AATCCAGTTTCTACATTGAAAAAAAAGGCCCCCCTTTTTGAGTCTTCACTGAAACCTCAGGGTCTCACCTGAGCACAGATGTCCTTAGTGCTGCTTCAGTCTCCTGGCAAAAACAAGCTTTGTCTCATTCAAGTGCGTGTCGTTGAATTTGTTCGCCTCGGCTGTCTGTCTATCAGGCTGGCAGGCAGAAAACTCCTGAGGTTGACAAAGTGACAAGACATGCCCTGAAAGAAAAGCGGAATTGTTTTTGCTACCAACGCCAACACACAAACACACACACACACAGACACACACACAAATACACACAACTGTGAATTGCAAATGAAAGCTACTATACTGCTAAACTCTTGGGTTTTTTGGCGTACTTCTTTTTCCCCAGCTGCCTTGTAATCTGACGAATTAGTCTCAGCTGTCCCTTCTCCTTTCCCCTCAGGAAATATATTTCTTCTCTGTTGCTCTCAAGACTGAATTCATCCAGCATAGATACATTTACACACACTACTACTGATGTCTCTTCACAGACTGGAGCATATAAGGCCTCCACCAAACACCAGGCTAAGGACCAAGACCGGAGCTCAGGAACTGGTAGAGGTTAACACAAAGTTGCATCTAAAATTTCATGCCCAAAAGACATTTTCAAGGTGGTACGATCCAACTTCAGGTAGCAGGAGAGTTTTTCTGATTTCACGACACCCCAGACTGCAGATGCAGAACAATCTGTGATGCTCAGCCAAGACAAATTTTCCTCACCTCAGTGCCTCCAAGGGAGAATTGCTGGAATGGTCTCAGTCAAAGAAATACCTGTACTCTCTGATAATGACATCCCAGAAGATGTTTCTGGAACCATTTTTATGCCCACCAGGACTAATGGGTTGCAAAAGGGGAATAGTCCTTTAATGGCACTTGTCATTGTGCAGCACATTCTAGCTGGGCGCTTGGGTGCAGGTGTGTTTTTGCGTGTCAAACATCTGTGCTCCCAGGTTTTGATGTTGAAAAAAACAAACCTATATTTATAGAAACATTTTTGTATGCTGAAGGTAAGCTTGGCCAGACGATGAACAACACAGCTAAAATGACAGAAACTAGAGGACAACCTATTGTCATGACAAAACTGCTGTTCAAGTGAATCTGAGTTTAATATCAATTATTACAGGAAAAACAACATCAGGGATCCATCCGTGAATTCCTACAACCACCTTTTTTGTTTTCACTGCCAGAATTAAACCCACACTGATTCCATTGCTCTTGTCTTTAGGTGTACTTATTGCTTTTTTTGTCATCTTATTAAATTTTCAGAGCATTTTGTGGCACATTCATACATATCTATGCATATTTAATGCATGTTTCTCCATTTAAATTATGATTTTGACACATTCCCTGAGTGAGACGAATCCTCTTGCTTATGGGATTAAATGTGCCATGTTTTTTTTTTCTCCCATGAATGATAATCCCACGTTTACATATTTCAGATCTGGAGCACTGAGCTCTGGACCTTTGGCAGCATTGACAGCTGCGGCACATGTGTTGTTGTGACTGTGGAAGATTCTGGCAAACACTCATACATCCTTTGGATACTGATACAGGGTTTAAGATGCCTCACTGGGATACGAGTCGGTGCAGAATCAGTGGTCAGTTGTTTCTGAAGGGTTTCAAACCTTTAGATTTCCTGTTGTATTTGTTGCTGTAAATGACAGTGAACAAGAGAAACTGTCAGTTTTTATGTTTGTTTGTTTTTTCAGTCTCTCCAGTTTAGGTGATTAAGGGCTCTATCTTCGTGCCTCGCCAGCGGTGTGGCACAGGCGCAGCGTAAGTCAGATCTGCCGTGATGATGAGGCGTGCCCAAGCACACTTTGGTATTTTGTTGAGCGGCGCAGCACGATGCAAGTACCCCCCTCACCCCACCTAGACCCCCAACTCAGCTCCTCCCAGTGGCACAAGAAGGAAAGGGAGGGAGGGGAGAAGGCGTGGAGTGGATTTAAGACAGAGTTCGGCTTTAAATATTATAATTAAATATCTTGTTAACATCATCATGTGTTCTGAAGAGCTACTCATTACTTAGTGATTCTGTGAAGAAGAATAAAGCTCTCTAGATTTAACTTCACTAGAGTCGGATGAGAAGACTTTTCAGAGGCTGGACCTGATCTGGCCTCGATCTGGGTTGAGACTTTGACAAAAAAGCAACAACAGTAATTATTTTCAATGTTTAAGAAACACAAAATAAGTGAAACACTAAAAATGATAAGTGATCCCGATTCCCTTCACTCAGGAGGTGATCTGAACCCTGAGCGGTATAACGCCACCTAAGCGAGAATCAAATAAGAGAGACTTGTGTTAACTGCTTTATTTATTGGCACTCCCCTCTGCATGCCTCCTCCTGAAGGGCTCATTAACCACCAAGTACATAAATACAATTAGGTGGCTATTTATTTATCACTGCTTGTTGTTAGGCTGAACAGGATAAACGTCTCCAATCTTGTCATGACTCTTGCTCACTAAACTAACAAAACAGGCCAGAACACGATCTCAAATCTGGCGTTTTACTACAAAACAGAAACTTATTCTGTTGTTTTTCCTGCTGATGGGCGCTCTGTCGTGATTCTGACTCAGGCTCTTTCAAAACAAGCTGAAGGATGATGAAAGAGATTTGGAGCTGAGGAGAAAGGGGGGCTAATATGCAAATGCATCATTTGTCTATTTGTAGTGCGTTTGAAGTCATTAAAAATAAACTTGCAGCACATTGACCTGATTCATTAAACCTAGTGTTAGCGTAATGCTGGTACATCAGGGACCATTTAAGGGCAATCATGTTTGAGCCGGGCATAAGCTTCATTAAGCTGACCTGTGATCTTTTCTTCAGTCGGATCAATAGAAAATTGCTGGGTCATTATAATATCGGGGTCGACTCTATGCGGTCTCTTCTCCACTTTAGTGTATTAATGGTGAAATAACATTGCCTGAGCAAATCATTTAGCAGCTGTTCCACCTCTTCTTATATCTTCTCAGCTCAGTGACCTTTCAGAAGTAGGGCACAGACATTAGACAAGCTGAGGTTTTCCACAGGCACGGAGACCTTTAACAGCTCTCAAAGCTGCATAATATCCTTTCATATTTACTCCAAAAAACATTGGATGAGATTTTATCTTATCACAGTCAATACTTCTCTTTCGCACTTCAAACGCCTACAGGCAATATCTGCTCCAAGGACTGAAACAACCACTCACCCGATCTGAAAGCTTTTGTCTGATATATGTCTATTTTTGTTTTCTTCCATTTTTAGACCGTATCATCCTCCTGGGGAAATCAATTTTTAGCAAACAAAGGGAAATTGCAAGCTGCATGGCCACTATGAAAAAGCACATCAGACCTGTAGAAAAAAAAAACATAGAGTCACCTGTAGATCTGACTGCAGGGAGGTGAAACGTGTCAAATCATAGAAGAAATCTTTCACTTTAGCTCTTTTGAGGGGAGCTATCCTGCAGCGTCTGTACGCTTGAATGTCAGAGGTTTTCTTCCGTATGGAGCAAATTTCTATTCCCATGCAGAAGTCTCATCTTTGTGTGGACAAACAAGCATGGGTATTACACTCCTGCTTATTTGTGTCTCTACCATGCTCCAAAACACACTGTGATTGGATCCACTGTTAATGTCAAACTATCGATTGTTTTGAATTTGCTTGTTTTTCCTGGACTTTGTTGTTGTGCATCTGAAAGCCTCTGGGGTTTTGAGCAAAACTGTGTGAAATTAAGGCCATAAAGATAAACATGACTGAACATGTCTCTGGATGGATGATTTTTTCCCAGCACACATTCACTCTCAGAAAATATAGAGGTATACACATTATGTTTCTTTGTTTAGGGGGTCAGTAATAACATTTAAAGTCTATGCAATATCTCTATGAAGTTGATAAACTATCCACGGGACTGTGATTGCCAAGTTGTCACATTTAACCGTATGTTTCTGTGCCCCCGTCTCAAAAAGTAACTCTGCTAACACAAATCATTCAAGCAACAAATTGTATCCCTCAGTGTATCCAAGTGTGTGACATTTCTGAAAGAAGTCTCACCTTGGCTATGACACAGCTTGTTGAAGCAGAAAAGTTTGAATGAAGGACTGAACCCGTGTGCGAGGTCACCGTGTCTAATGTCTTTATTTTCTGCTTTCTGCAAAAAGAAAAAAGTCTTGGTCCTTTCAGACAGAAATCCCTCTAGTCTTACTGAAGTAACAGTGTTGTGTTAGTCATGGCCACTAACCTCTACAGAAGTAAGACCAGTTTCCCCTGGTCAATGAGGAGGCCGTGAAGCGCCTTGAGTGACCACTGGCTTCAAAAAGAAGAACCCTTCTTAAAACACACGTTTTCGTCTCTCACATCAGTGGTACTGCTAATATAGGTACTCTATAATACACAAAATAAATAAAACCAATATTTTTTACATTTTTTCTCTGTATGTGTGAGATTAAATGTGACAGGAAGTGTGCTTTTCTCATCTTCCCACTACTTACAGCATTACAAGGCAACATCCACCCATCAGTTCACACATACGCACATTATCACATTAATGACAGACCTAATGGCGATCTGCATATTGACCTACTGGTGGCTTTGCTTTAAGGAGTGATTTCAGCTCCCTGTCCTTCGATATTTTCCATGTTCGGCACGGGAAATTGTGTTTCCAGTGGTGTAGTCTTTCTGGATTGTCTCCAGGTATCAGGGCAATAAATTTGCCTCACCTTTCATTCTTATCCTTTTATTCTTCTAGCAGTTGGCAGCTGCCCTATTTGCTTGTAAAACTCAACAGTCTACTAAATCCTTATTCAGTGTTTAAGAGGCCAGTGCACAGCTTTGTCAAGCATTTTCAACAAGAGAGGCACAGGGGTGAGAGTGTGTGAGTCTACCATTCTCTATGGAGCACTTATCGGGTGAAAATGAAGAGCTGGCGCCCAATCGAGGGAGCGAAGTATCTATCATGGTTTAAGGATTCAGAACAATTGAGATATTATGGTGGAATTATTTGGGTTTCAGGTTTGAGAGCATTGTGTATAGGGTGGGTCTGGTGCAAATATACCTGGAGTTCAGGCTTGGCATTATGGCCTCAAATCAATATCACGGTATATTGATCAGTTCACCTTGTAAACGATAAATGGACGATAACTACTCCACAAGCTGCTCACCCCCTCTCACGTTAACTTTGTCTACTTTAGCTGCCACTCCAGCAGCTACAACCTTTGAACCGTCCTCCATCTCCTCACCTGTCTTTCCTCTTTGTTATGGACTGGATGGGGTGGAGTCACGTCTCTGAATTAGGATGGTGTCTTAAAGGGACATGAGACCATAGCCTACCTACACACATCCAAAAACAACTTTTATCTATTTATTTGTTTATTTGACACTGTATATATAGCATATAATAGATAAAAATACACATGAATGTGAAGAAGTGACTGTTATTTAGGGAGAGAGAAGGTGAGGGAGGGCTGGGGTGGAGAGTGGGGGGGTAGTAGGGATACGGCTCAACTTACCCCGCTCCTATGCTCAACTTACTCCATACACGGGGTAAGTTGAGCATAGGAGACTTTTTTTAGCATGCCATATTATCAAGACAGTTACGTTTACACTCATTCTGTTGGTTTCCAGGGATGAACAACATCTTGAAATATATGCAGATACACTAGTTAGAGACGAAACTATGATTGACTTAATGTAGTGATCCGAAATATAAAAAATGGCTCATCTTACCCCACTCTTCCCTACTACAAGACTACAGTGACAGACATAAAGGGTACAGCCATAGACTGTTTATAGAATGAACGCATCTGCCTCCTCGCTGGGTGTAGCCACCGTGAGAACAGCACCCTCTGGTGACGGGCTGCAGTATAGGTCATAAATCCCGCCTCCTCAAGCAATCCCTATGGAGCTGTGGACAAACTTTAGAAATTTATTAAACAGAATGTAAGTTTTGCTTGTGATGTTGACATGTAGTTACTATAAGACTGGTTTGTGCTCAAGTCCTCGTTTTTCTGTGCAGCTCTATTTTTATAAAATCATATAGTAATGATGGAAGGCGGAGTTAAGTTGTCCATAGTATATACAGTCTATGGGTACAGCACAATCAGGTGGATAAATAAGTACAGATATGATAGACTAATCTATAATATATCAACCGTCTTAAGTATGGGAAAATCAACCAGACCCACAAGCGTTTCTGTGACAAACCTTTTATGTAAGCATAGTACTGAAGCTGGAAACAAACACTCTCTTTAAAAATGAAGAGCGGTTTATCACAGCAGTGTTTCATGTTTTATTCAAGCTGGATACAACAAGAATGAGGAGATGTTCCCTAAAAGCAGATGAGTCAGAGGAAAGCAAAAAAAAAAAATACTGGTGGAGATTTTTTTCTTCTTATTCTCTTAAATTCAGGATCCAGTTATATTGAAAGAAGAAATCAAAACCATCAAATCCTTGTGCTGAGGCGACATGTCTTATATGCAACCGACAGATATTCTGTGCAAATGTGATTTACCATATTGTGCGTCCTCTTTTGCTCTGAACTATCCCCTAGAAATGCATTCAGATACATTCAAAGCTTGCAAGGTTACTGGGTAAAAGCAAAAGCAATGCAGTGCCGATTCATAAATACTTATATCCCTGAAATAAATAATGTTATAAAACCTGAATGAGAGGATTAATCTGTTTCTTTAGGTACATTATAATACACTATACCAGTATGTTTGAAATTATTGAACAGGATCTTGTAAATATATCATCCTTTTGGTCTGTCAGAAGACAAAGACATACAGCACAGCCTTGGTTTTCCTGTTTGAGAAGAGGGGGACTGGAGCAGCTTAGATACGTATGAAGGTACCTTGTATTTCTGCTGAAAGGCCATTTGAGGACTCTTTACAGATCCAATAACCGATCTTAGTAGACTAATAAACACACAGATGTTGTCCCTTAATTTACAGAGAGTCCAGAAACACTGCATCCTGTTCATACTTGTTGTTGAGGAGAAGTGAAGATGGATATCATTAAAAAAGTTTGATGTCCGCTTTTATGTGGAAAGTTCTGGCCCTCCTCTCTGAGCTCACGGTACAAACATCAGAGGAGCAGCCCGACGATTTTCCATCCCCATAATGAAAATTAGTCTGACTTTAATAGATGATGCGGGATGAAATGTGGAGATTGTTGTCCAAAGGGCTTTCCATCTGATAATGATGAGCAATTAAGAAAGCTCGGTGATCTGATCCAGTCATCACAGAGAACCACATCCAAAAGGGTTGTTTTTTCTAGCTGTTTCAAAGCTCAGTACCACGAAATGATCTGACAGCACCTGTCTGTGGTTACTCTTTTACTTTTCTTTTTTTTTTAGCCATCCTTAAAGGGATATTCCAGTGTAAAATTAAGTTGTACCTTAAAGCCACTCTATAGCAACAAATAATTCTCAGAACAGCACCTAACTTCATTAACAGTACATATAGGGTCCCAGCCATAGTACTAGCCATCAAACATCTTTTTAGCTTTGCCTGATTTCTTTGGCAAAGAGACTAAAGACAATTAACCCACTCTGCTCCAGCAGCCGCTTGTTTGTGGGAGGAGCCCTGATGAGTCGATCACCAACTGCAGCAGAGTTCGCACTTAATGGAAATGCAATCAGACCGAGACACTTAGGCAGAAGAACTTCCCCATCTGCTGTGCAAAATGATTATTATGATGATTATTACTTCATGGAAATGATCTGCTCCACTCAGTGATCGACTCGTCCAAGCTCTCCCTACAAACAAGCGGCTGCTGGAAGAGACTAGTTGAGTTGTGTTTGGTCTCTTTGCTAAAGAAACCAGGCAAAGCTAAAAAGAAGTTTATGGATCGTGCTGTGGCTTGGGCCTTATATGTCCTGTTGATGAAGTTAGGTGCTGTTCTGAGCATTATTTGTGGCTATAGAGTGGCTTTTTGGTTGAAGTTTGCATGTGTAGATGTATATCACTGTGTATTGCTATCGTGCGGTCGTTACTGAAGTTGGTGTAACTAGAGAAGCAAGCAGTCGGCAACAATCATCTCTCAAGGGTGTGTCAAACTTGGTGTTATGGTGTGTTTGACCCTAATTTAATTTTACACCAGAATATCCCTTTAAACAACCTATACATCATTCCTCTTTCATATCAACTGCCACCCTAAACGTTTATGGACATTACCAGAAGAATCCAAATGTCAAAATCAGACATGATTATGTCAATAAATGAGTAAATGTATTGACCCTTTTAATGTCAGAAAACAGTCGTATGTTTTTGACGGGCAGGACTCAGCTGGAGGAAAAACAGTAGAACTATGAGAGGTAAACACTATAGACACAACAGTTTTTGATGATTGCTGCCGTCCAGTCCACCCCAATCAAAGCTGTCTTTGTTGTCGGTGATGGTTTAGAGAAAATTTCAGTTTTAAGATATGTCATCTAGTCTGGCTCTCAACAACACAGCAAGAACACTGTCTGAGACCCCTATGGCAATTCATGTCTGCCTCCAGAATCGCATTGTTTGGCCTCCAGCTAATACCAGGACACCATTGTGAGACTTTCCCTGAAAAGAGTTAGCTGGTAAAGCTGAATTCAGACACACAAAAAGTACAACACAGCAATATGTATGTGTTTTATTCAGCACATGATTTATACATGGATCTGGATTAAATGAGTGTCTCTCAGTCAAAACCAAAGGATGTAAACAGGACATGTTTCACATCAACATGCAGGTTTGATTTCACTCAGAAAAGCCTTGTTTGCTGTCCTCTTTCAACGATTCGCACCGTGGCACCCAGGCTGGAAGGACTGATTGGCCTTGAGGTCCTGTATCTGTGCTGGACAAGATATCCAATTCACATTTCGGGTAGCGGACTAATCAGCTCTGTGCCTCCATTCCCCCAGGCATTAAAACGTAGTCGGATTGGTTTTGTACAAAATTGAGCTTTTATCAACTTTCCCCTTGAGTGCTGCTTCTGCGGTGTTGGATCCTACCCACAGCACAAGAAAGCCTGTCGCTGTCCAAACTGAAGATTTGGTTTGTAAAAATAGCAACATGCATCTATGGTTTAAATCCATGAATTGTTTGTGTGCTAGGATGTGCTATCATGCAGAAGGCTTCGTTTGTTCCCAGAACACTGTAACATAGTCTTGTAAAGCGATGGTGACATATTTCTTTCTGTCTGTGTGTGAATAACATGAAGGACTAACAAGCAACTGAAGGGAACTTCAATGACCGTCAATTAATCTAAACAACATTATTCTGTCCATCTCCCTCTCTCTAAACCCATCACAGTCTAAGCAGATGACTGTCGAACATGAGTCTGGTTCTGCTCGAGGTTTCTGCCTGTTAGAGGTAGTTCTTCTTCTCCACTGTAACTAGATAAATGAGAGTGGATCTGATCCTACAAGATGGGACTAAGGACGTCCTCACACAAGGTCCTCACCCTGTATTGTCTTGGCGTCGGCACCAAAACATGTATTGCTGTTTACACATCGTATTGTACATAGACATTTACATGACAACACAAAATCCTGTAGATCCTGAATCAGGATCCTGCACGCGTAACACGCTGCGTCTCTGCATGAGCACTTGTTGTTGCCGTAGCTGGTGTTGTTGTTGTTCTAAATGTTGGTGTAAAAGTCGCAGCAATATTTGTAGTTGCTGGAACAAGAACAAAATCACCCCAGCTACCGCCATTGTTGTTGTTGCTGTGTGTGTGACAATGTGGGTTGGGGGGCGGGGAGGAGGACGGGTGCTATAAGGTCACCGTCTTATCTATTTATATCAACTACGGCATGAAGACGAATACCCAGATATCCACCTGCAGACCCGTTTTCAAAAAAGATGCGGAGTCATGGACAAATACGCGCCTCCGTGTGTCAAAATCACCAGATCAATAGTTTATTTTACCGGTGTCTTACAAATTCGTACTCTTGTAAAAACCACCTCAGTCTAACCCCATCTTACATAAGGTCTGATCAGGTCAAGTCAGGACAATCATCTGATGCCAAAGGCCTGGTAACACGTGTACGGCACTAATACACAAAGCCATGAGAGTGAGTATATACACTAAGTAAGACAAAAGAGGGGAAGGGGACCAAGCGGAGACCAAACACTTAACCTTGAGGTACTAATGTTGATAAGACACGTGGTTTGGACGTTTTATAAACCAGTCGTTGCACAGTAGTCATGTCTGTGGCCTCCTTTGACAGCAGAAAACCAAATGTAGCGTTGCATATCACAAAGAAACTCTGAATATGACTGTAAATGAGAAAAAGGGAGTGGAGATGGGATTCACGTTCACCTTGCAGGAACCTTGGAGCTCCTCCTCAGTTATTCATGTATCATTTATCCAAAAAGAGAAAAGGTTTGAGGAGAACAAATAAAAAAGAGAGGAAATCATGTTTTCTGCTTGCAAACCCATAAATCCATCAATTGATGCTTAAAATAATGGATCACTCCGCATGTTTATCCCCAGTGGGCAAGAACCATTAAGTGCAGAGATTTTCACACAGAAATAATCCGTCCTTCACTGACAGGCCTGTAGCTCAGTACCAATGACTGTTCTGTACTTGGGCGTCACTCACCATGATTTAAGATTCGCCACACTATGTTGATAAATGATTTCATTTTTGCCTTTGATTAAATATATATACTGCACCTCAGGTCTGCTTTTATAATAGATTATTAAATGATTAAGTAGATTTTAAATGGCACATTGTTGCTCTTTCCAGAGTACAAGTATGCATCAAAAGGTTAAATGCTGATAAATGTTAAATGTGTAGTTTTAAACCAGCAGTTTCATTCTTCATCTCCTCACAGGTCAGTTATCTTTGATCAGTTTCTGGTGGATTTGCAGGGGAAAACAGCTTTTTAATTTGCAGTTCATTGTCGCTATTGTGGCACATTTTCTGTGATAAAAAAGTGACACGTTTCAGGTTTTATGAGATGTGGATAAATGAAAATGAGCAGCCGCTGTACCAGTGTGTTGTTCAATAAGTAACTGAGCGGTAGTCCAGATAAGAACTTGTGATTTCCCCTCACAATTAAAAAGAAAAAAGATGAAATGTTTCTTTAAATTCCAACATTCGACAGACATCAAACTAAATCTTGTGTTTTTCTCTGTACAAGTGAGATATTTGACGACTTAGAGAGTGATGCTAGAAATGTGGAAAGCCCCAGTGAATAATGAATGAAGCATCCTGACTGATGGGCAGTAAAAACTTATGGCAGCTTCCGTCTCCTCCATCAAGTCACTGGATCAATGAACAACATTAAATCCTACTTTTATGCACTGTATTAATATTTTGCACTTGAACAATAAATAATCCCAAAGTTGGAACAGAAAGAACAACGAGGAATACATTCAAACTTATCTTTTAATAAAAGTGAGGCAGAAATGTCAAGTAAAAAAGTTTTATTACATTTTTCACAGGATGTAAAATCATATTAGTTGATCAGTTATTTATATATTAAACATTTTGAAACAAAAAATAAACGTGTCCTGCCATCAGAAAACCCAACCACACACTCCCTTTGGCTAATGTCGATACAGCAGCTGCTATATATGACCACTCACTCCCGTACAACAGCCTGAGAAATGCAGTTCTATTGCATTGCAGCTAATTCAACCTGAGCTCGACTTCCCTTCAAAATCATGCATTAGCTAATGAGCCTCAGCTGCTGACTACAGCTGCAGAACAGTAACAGATCTTACACTGGACACTGACTCAAACATCCCGCAGAAATAAATTAACTGAGAGTGTTTGTGGAGGTCCTGGATTTAATGACCCTGTCGAAAGAATGACATCATACGCAAAAAGGCATTACTTAAAGCTAGGCACACACTCCAGGAAAATCAATGTAGGACGCCTGATTAAGACAAAGATCCATTAGAGGGTTGTTTTTTTTTTTTAGTATTAACAGGGATTAAAAAATATATAAATAGGTATTAGAATTAGGAACTGGTACCCTCAAAAACAGAGAGCATGAGAGATTAAGAACCCAAAACTGTAAAAACAAACAAAAACTAGATATGTTCTATGAATTGGCAGTAACCAGACACACTGGTTATTTCGTCATGTTAAATGTACAAACCATACAAAACGTGTGTAAAAAGTTCTTCCAGCAAACACTAAGATGAAAGAGATGCTGTGTTGCACCTTGATGGATTTCAGAAAAAAGTACAGGTCCATGCAAATTCATCCTGACACGGGGATGACAAATTGGCTCTGCAGTAATAGACCCACAGCTGTGGAGCTGAAGGGAGACATCGAACCTTTACTGCTCATTATTTCTACACAGCTGTGGAAAAGGATCAGCCAACAGTAAGGAGAGTACATCAGCGTCATTTATTATTTTTTCATATCAAACTACTAAATCAGCTCGTTTTAGTCAAATTTGTTTGAGTGCTGAAGTTGCTGGCCAGCAGTGACAGGCATGTAGCTCGTGTAAACTGTTCAGTGTATGCTTTAGGGCGCAGCATTTTGACTGGCTGGTTTAGGGAGTTTGAAAGGAGTCATCTTTTTTTTTGTAAGTTTGAGGACATGTGTCAAGGAGGAACATTCAAACCTGTTTGTCAGCACATTCAACTCCTTAGAAATCCTAAAAGCCTTCAACCTCAGCTGAGTGAGGTGCTCATTGTCGTGACACTGTGAAAATCACATCTTCAATGCAAGTCCGAGTTCGTCTAGTCCAAGCTTTGTTTGGCAGCCAGGTGGGCCGTAGAAGCTCTCAGCACAGCCCTCACCAGAGTTTCAGCCTCATATGACATTGTTGTTTGGTACCCATGGCTTGACAAAGACGGCATTGTTTATTTTTTCAGTTACTATCATGTCCGTCTTCTGTGTGGCACAGTGCGCTCTGGTGGACTTTTGTGGTACAGCAGCAGCAGCAGGAGTGCTGTTGCTACCTGGATGCATCAGGGATGAGTCTCTTAAACCATCGGCTGACGGCTACATCGACTCTCATCACTAATGTGACCCCGATAAGCAGAGACACGCTGCTCACCAGGAACCCTGAGGCCTCGAACATTAACCTTGGAGGAGAAACGGAAAGAATGAGAATGAGGGTTTTGCTCGGAGATGAGTCATTTGGTACAAATTTTGGTGAGGTGTTCAGACTGCAACAGAAAAGCAGACCTATGATAATGTGCATTAACTGAAAAGCTCCGATAGAGTAAGTGGTTGGCAGTAAAGATGTGTCCATTCCCCCAAAAGCCTTTACTGTTAGTGAGTTTGTGTGAGCGGGAAAATCCATCCGGACACTTACTTGGGTGCAAAAACCTTCCACACCATTAGGTGTCTCCTGAGGATAGCAGCTGCACAGACTGAAGCAAAGACCTGTGAAGAGATGCACAGATAGTTTCTGACGATGGGAGAGTGTGACACAAGGAAGGTGACGAAGAACAAAAGTAAATACCCTTTCACATTTCAGAAACCTAACGCCAACCCATCCATCCCTGGATTTATGAAAATTGTTTGAAACTAGCGATCAAATAAACAGCTAATTAATTATAAATGACAACTTTACAACTTTAATATTGGATTTATCAGAAAACCATGGAAGTAAATCTGTACCATCTGATTTTGAAATTGAATTTCTAAAGCTGAATTTTTTTTTGCATCAAAATCAGAATTAGAATTTCAAAACCATCGAATTTCAAACACGCATTTTTATTACTGACACTTTTTTTTTTTTCACAATGATGAAAAAAATTCGGTGTGAAAGAAAAAAATCGCTCTCTCATAATATTAGTTTAGTAAGAATTTGACTCAAAACAAAATGTGTAAAAAAAATTCAACATTAAAAAATTCTATGTCAGAAGTTTCAGAGTAATTGGCTCAATCCAGTGCTCTGCATTCAATCTTCCACTGGGGTCGCTGCAACATGACCAATCTGGCATTATTTGATTGACAGGATGATAGATGATTGAGCCCGGAATCGATTGCTTCTCCCTGTCTCTTTTTTTTTACGTTAATTTTTTTTACACAGCTTTTATGAGACAAATATTTTAGCAGACTGATTTTTTTACACTGAATTTATTTCATCACTGTGAAAAAAAATGAGTGTCAGAAATAAAATGTGAGCTTGAAATTCGATGGTTTTAAAATTCAAAGTCTAATTTTGATGCGAAAAATATTCAGCTTTATTAATTCACATTCAAAATCAGTTGGCACAGATTGACTTCCATAGCAAACTCTGTAACTGACCTGGACTCCGAGTATAAAGAGGTAGCGCGTTGAGAGTTGAAGAAGAGCAGAGCTGAACTGATGGGGGTTTTCTCTCAATCTCATCTCCATCACAGCGTCTCCTTCTTCCCCACAAGCTTTGCCCCCTCTGATACCGCGGACCTCACACACCAGAGGCCAGAACAGCAGCAACGGGCAGCCCACTGCGGACAATGACACATTGGCCCAAATCAGCAAGTCACAGATTTTTGATGAGCTTTCTGCAATGATAACACGCTCGATAGTGTTTGAGTTTATGAACAAGTTCACTATGAGACCAACTGTATGTTTTAGATAGGAAATAATGTGTAATGTGTATTGCTATTGTGTGGTCGTTACTAAAGTTGGTACTAGAGAAGCAAGCGGTCGGCAACATTCATCTCTGGAGGGGGTGTCGAACTCGGTGTTATGTAGCGTTTGACCATAACTTATATTTACGCCGGAATATCCCTTTAAAAGTTTGGAGGCACTGACTCCCTGTGGTGTCTCTTCAGAAAAGGACAGTCTGGTTTTTGGTGCGCACAGAAGGAGACAGAATTACCTGCGAACAAGATGTGCGAGGCGAAAGTGTTGAGGGTAACCAGTGAGGCGGGCAGCATGGTGCCTGTGTGCCCATCAGGGAATCCAACAAAAGCAGCACCCCACTGAATGGAGGGGAAGGTGGGAAGGTGACCTGTGGCATGAAAGAACTGGGTGGCAGCCAGGGACCACAACACGACAGGAGTCCAGGGCACAATGAATCCACCTAAGGAGAGCAGTGAGAGAGTGATGAGCAGGGTGTGAGGACGCAGAACGTGTCGAAAGAGTGAAACAACACAGGAAAGTGAATCTCACTAGAATTCGTTCCACGCAGGCTGCTGAGGGTAGTGGACGAGGCGTGGATGTGCAACAGAGCTCCCATTTCAAATAGCAGCAGGAGGAAAGATAGAGCCATGCCCTCTGGGTGCAGGAGCAGCAGACCAATTCCCAGCAGGCCACAAAACAGCAGCAAAGGGGCAGAGTAAACAGTTCCCAGGCCATAAGCCTCCACAGCGGGCTTGCTGCCCAACTCAGTGCCCCCGCTCAGCTCTCCATCGTCTAAAGAACGGCGCATGCGCTGATAGATCTGTGGGATGAGGTGGTGCAGTTCAGCTTGGGGGCTGATGCCGGTGCTGGCTCGGTAGCGGGGCGGGGGTAGAGATGAACTTCTGGCTGTAGTCGCAGTCCTTGTCTTTATAAACACAGTGAGAGGGTCTAGCCAGATTAGGAACAGCCCCAGTCCAAGGAGGAAAAAGGCAGTCCTTGGGAGGGCTAGCTGGGCCAGGCTAATCAGTTCTGCAAGATTCCTGAAGCTGTCCTCAGGAGTGGCGCTGACAGCCCAGTGGAGGCCGAGGCACACAGACAGGAGTGGTAGGATAAAGCAAGCAGTGAACACAGTTCCCCCTGAGGAATTGAGGTTACCGTAGTGGCGGAGGCAGCGTTTCAGTAAATAAGTCCATAAGCCGAGGGAGCACACGGAGAGGATGTAGTGGAGATTCTTCAGCTGGGCGTCCTGTAACCGGGACAGAGGGGAAAGGAACGGGGAAGGGTGGCAGGAGCCCTGCTCTTCTCGGCAACCATGGAAGCACAGGGAGAGGTAGAGGCTGCCGATGAGAAGTCCTAAACAGGCTAACAGGGTGCTGCTTTCTTTCCTCACAGTAGACGGGGACAAGGCCGCAGCAGGAAGAAGCCCTGCAGGCTTTAGAGGGTCATGGCTGGGGGGTAAGAGCAGGCCATCCCAGTTCAGATGGATGGGGATACAGAGAGCCAGAGAGAACACCAGAAAGGTCACGACACGGCCCTCGGCGATCACATAGCTGTCTGATAACAGGGAGGCGCAGCGGAGGAGTGGTACTAGAAGAGAGGGGACAAGGAGGTGGTGCGGGCTCAGCAGGGTCACAAACTTTGGAGCTTTGGATCCATTCTTAGCTGAAACTGTAGTCCTGGACTGATGGGCCCTCCAGAGAAAGAGCAGTTCAGAGCTGAGGGCAGCTGCTGCCAGGCACCAAGCTACCTCAATGTATCCCTGTATGAGCAGCTGACCAGCAGCCGCACAGACCCCCACTGCGAATGCCACTACCAGTGGGGCCTTTAGTCCAGGTCCGTTCTCGCTCATCAACACCAGGGACAGCTCAGATAGGATGAAACACGTCAAGCAGGCAAATGCCACGAGGGCTAAACCTGCTGCCATCTTGAGGGGGTTGAATTGAGCCCAGGTAGCTCTGCAGGTGTCTCTGACAGAGCTGAGGTAAGCCTGCAGGGAGGCAGCCAGCTTTGGAGAGGATGTGTGACCTTCTCTGACCATGGCGAGGTACTCAGCGGACAAGCGGGAGAATTCACCCTTCAGCTGAGAGAGGCTCTCTGGTGGGATGTCTTTGGCCATGCTGGAGTAAGTCTCCAGGAAACGGTTGACCTGAAGAAACAGAAGAGTCACGTGATATTCAGCACAACACAGAGAAGAAAGAACTGAAGACGCTTCAGGACTGATGAAGTCTGAGCCCTTTTCTGAGCTCTCTGAGCTGAGTACCTGTTTAGCATTGATCCACAGTGCCTCCAGCTGGCTGAAACCTCCAACTGCACCCCCTGTTTGCCTATGTGGAGGAAACAAAGGCAGGAGAACCTGGCCCACACTGCTGTATGGGATGGGGACTCCTAGCAGCAGAGCCAGGGTCGGCACCAGGTCTGTCTGGGGAACCACATGTGGTTCACTCTGCAAACAGGAGACAATAAAGACATGGTGTCTTTCACTACAACATTTATTACAGATTTGAAGAGCATCTTTGACATTATGGAGAGTCTCTCTAATGTGTGAGTTAGGATGATTTTCTTCAGCCACTCATGTCATCCTTGAAGGTGGTGGAGCTGTGTCACTCAAATACCTCAGATACTTGGGTGCTACATCTCTGGAGCCATGGGCCTCCGACAACCATCCTCAACAAGGACCTTGTACACATGTCCATGCAGATTCTCATTCATCCAGGTCATGGTTTTCTTGAAGACTCCAAAATCAGGCAACTGGACTGTGTAGAGTTGAGAAGACGTTTCGCTTCTTATCCAAGAAGCTTCTTCAGTTCTAAATTTTGCTAATGTGAGGAGCAGATATTTATCTTACTGGAGAAGGGGACAGACAACGACTGGGAGGAGTTGGACAGAATGGGTCGTAGAATCTCTGGGTGTTCCTCACACTAGCAATATTTAGAACTGAAGAAGCTTCTTGGATAAGAGGCGAAACGTCTTCTCAACTCTACACAGTCCAGTTGCCTGATTTTGGAGTCTTCAAGAAGACCTTGTACACATGTGTAACATCACTCAGGCTCCCAAAATATGTTGTCCTTTGTTATTACCCTACACGGACTCTCCTTCAGGTCAACAAGATGTAACCAGAATGTTTGGAAACGTGGACGGTGAAATATACCTGAACAGTCTCAGACCAGTAAAGCTTGTCAAAATGATCATTTGTGTGGACCTTCCATTCTTTAAAGTGTGAAATCAAGCTAGGCGTCCTTACAGTGTGTAAAGAGGAAATGCTACAGGTATAAAAGTGAGATCACATAATGTTCTTTTCGAGAATTCACAAGTTCAATCTCCATTACAAAGGAAAAGTCTACAGACATCTCAAAACAGTCTGAACTTGTGGGGCTACAGCCTTCTTTGGTCATGCATAAATCATATCTCACATCAGGATATGTAAACAAGTCAACTGACGCATGACCAGCTTCGAAAAAGAAGGTACATTAAACAGCAGCTAGCTGTTGGAGCATTGTCACCTCCTAAAGATCTTGGTGCGTCTGTCCTGTGAAAAAAAAAAACAACAGCAAAAATGGCGAGGGCACCCTTTAATCATCGCTCCTCTGTCATTTTGTCTTCGTGCTTTTCTGTTGATCCCACAACAGCCCTGTTCAGCCCTGTCTGCTCTACCAGCAAACAGAGATCTCATCTCGGCCCTGTAATGCCTCTATTACTCTGACGGGACTTTTACACCTCTGCTGCATTTACACCTTGATGATAAAAGGCTACTGTCTTTGCGGCTAATAGTCTTCCCTCCTTTGTTGTGGCAGAATGTTCCCTGTGCTTCATCTGACTCATTATCTCCTTCTGTGTCTAATCAACTGCCCCAATTACACAGCAATTAAGAAAATCAGCGCTCAAGTTCACTTGACTAGTCTGAGTTACACTTTTACCCCCCAAAAGACTGAGACCACCTGCCAGCATCCTATTAAAAGAAGATTCATGGAGCTGCACCGCATGAATGTTCATCCAGCACATGCCCAACTGATTAAGCAAAATGAAAAGTGATGTAAACATGAATTTGCTGATAAAATGAGGAAAATACATTGATGTTAAAATTGATTTAAGCTTCTTGAGATATGAAAAGAGTTTAAAAAAAGCTGTGGGTTTTTTTTTCCATTCATTCAATTAATGGAAGCTTTGGCAAAACTAACAAGTGAATTAAGAGTAATATTAGTAAAGGTAGGTTTGTTGAGGTTTATTGTTCATCTTAAAAGGGATATTCTAGCGTAAAATTAAGTTACGAGATGAATGTTGCCGACCGCTTGCTTCTTTAGTTAAACCAACTTTAGTACAGAGACCTCAGGTGAGTCCATTACCGCAGCGTGGTGACGCAACTTAAAGAAGAACTTCAGTTGGTATAACTAGAGAAACAAGCAACTCTTTTATCCCCTAGCCACAAATAATGCTCAGAACAGCAACTTACTTCATCGACAGTACATATAGGGTCCCAGCCATAGTACTAGCCATCAAACATCTTTTTAATTTTGCCTGATTTCTTTAGCAAAGAGACCAAACACAACTCAATGTCTCTCTTTCAGCAGCCACTTGTACAGAGACCTCAGGTGAGTCCATTACCGCAGCGTGGTGACGCAACTTAAAGAAGTTGGTATAACCAGAGAAGCAAGCAACTCTTTTGTGTTTTATTGACCTGGATAAAACACAAAAGAGTGTTTTATTTCTTATCTTGTGTCTCATACTTACTTCGTTAAACTCATCCTAAGTTTAAATGAAGCAGAAAACATTGACATTTACTTTCATTCCTCAGTTTTCTCCATCATCTCAGAATCCCTCACCTATCCATAGTGAAAAGCTTTTCCTCAATACCAACAAAATTTCACCCTGGGTCTTTATCACGTCAAGTCAACATGTCTGTCTTTGAAAAGTGTAGCCACAGCACCAACCTTAGATGGTGGTCCAGGAAAAAGAGGAGAGGGACTATAGAGAAAGATCGCAGCATCAGTCTCCTTCTGACTTTCTCCTCCGTGGTCCCCAGTGTCTGTCATCCCATGATCTCCCATCACCACCAAGAGGGTGTCATTCTGCAGACGGTCAATCACAGATCTAGACGGGCAAAAAGGTAAAAGGTAAAGTTCACATTGTCATGGTTATTCAGTTTCAGATCAAGAGTGAGGGGTAATGCTTACTGTACCACAGATGAACTATGAAAGCACAGAGCTGTAACTGCAGCAGAGGGATCATGTCAAACAAATACGAACAGCTGTAATGTTGTCTGACCTGATGACTCCGTCCATCTGGGCGAGCTTGTCTGCCATGGCTGGGTGATCAGGACCAAACCTGTGACCACAGTGATCCACTCCGAGGAAATGAGCAACCAGGACATCCCAGTCATCTCCAACAACTGTGAACACCAACAGCAAGGGACAAACCAATCTGAATAACACAGATATGAACCCTTTGAATGACTGCATCATCACCAATAAGCCACAACCAAGAGTAGAACTAAGAAGAGGGATCACATTACTCCCATTCTTGCCTCCTTTCACTGGCTGCCTGTTAGCTACAGGATCGAGTTTAAAACCCAGATGTTTGTCTACAAAGTGTTGAATGGTCTTGTTTTACTTAGTGTTATGGGGACAGAGCTTTCTCTATCGCCGCCCAGAAAATGTGGAATTCTCTTCCTCCCTCCATCAGATTCTCCTCCACCATTGAGACTTTTAAGACTCAACTTAAAACCCACTTTTACTCCCACGCTTTTAAATGTCCCTAACTTTTATAGCTCAACCATTTCCCATGTAGGCTCTGTGAGCTCTGTAGATCTGTATTGTCATTATCATTGTTATTATTATTATTGCTGCTGCTATTGTTATTATTATTATTTATTATTACTATTATGAATGATGATGATAGTGATGGCGTTGAAATTATATTTTTATTGCTATCGTTACTATTATAACTGTCACTCAGTCTGCTCTTCTTCTTCATCGTCTGTTTGTTCTCTTCTTTTGTTTTGTTTTTCCTCTGTATTGTTGTGAAGCACTTTGGGTCAACTCTGTTGTGTGTAAAGTGCTGTATAAATAAAGCTGAGTTGAGTTTGAGACATACTTGTTGTGTAAAGGTGCTGAAGTATCCCGTTGTCCACAGTGTGCAGATCCTTCACATTGAAGGAAGGGAAGGGCAGAGAGCGGTGAAACTTCTTAGGAAAGAGATTCTCCCAGGTATCATCGCCCATGAACACCACTCGTTTGCCTGAGAGGAGACACACGTAGTGATTAATACGGTTAAACCTACATTCTGCCATCATTACCTGTCCTGATGAACTCAATGTGGCGTCTCTACCAATGAGTCTGAAAGTTTGGACTCATGGTCAAAGTGAAGATGGGAGTCTTTAGGTATGTTGCTCTTCAGCTACTCACCCACTTGCCCAAATTGATGGATGAGGTTGTCTTCCAAGATCGCACTGGATGCAAAGTTATTCCCCACGTCCACAAAGGTAGGCAAGGAACCAGTGGTGAACCCTTTGATCCTCTGCATGGTGGTCGTAGGTGGGTCTGCACGGAACGGGTACAGGCGGCTGTGAGAAGGCCTGGATGTGACTGTCTCCTCCAGCACAGGCAGCTTGTTCTCGTACGGCCGGGGTTCCGTGTTGTTCGGGTCGAACCGGGCGAAGTCAATCTTGAGGGCATCTATGATGAGGAGCACGACCTTACGGAACCGGGGCTGGGCGCGGCAGAAGTCCACCGGCTCCTCTCCGGGCTGCAGCACGTCCCCGCAGGTGCTGGTCCTGCTCACCTCCAGCCTCACCAGCAGGAACCCACCCACGAACATGTAGATGCCCACGAAGTACAGCGCACACATCCACGTGAGTAAAGAAAGCAACCAGAGCTTCTTCATCCTTCAGAGACAATGAGACAGGTAAAATGCAGACCTCAGTAACAACAGTCAGAGAAGAAAAACTGCACCTGCTGGTCTATAAGCTCGTGTTTTTGAGGGTCCCTGATTCAGTTTCAAGGTCCAGGTAAAGTAATCATCATTCCGGGCGTTGACGTGACCTGACAGGTGATAATAACTCACTGATCAGTCCACAGACACGGACCGTGATCAAACTAACCCCGTTAGCCAGAGCTAGCTCTCCAGGCTCCTGTCACTGACCTTGTGGCTGTCGGCTTTTCGTCCTCTCCCAGTCGGAGGGCGGATGTGAATGTGTGTGTGTGTTAACAACACGGGGACAGGTGTGTCAGGTAAACCGAGAACGCCGGGACACCACGCTCACCTTCATCGGAACTACCCTACAATGAGATATGAAGGCTGGTGACAGCTCGGAACTCAGCGTGCAGGGAACCCGGCGGAAGTTTAGGGCGGACGTTTTTGATGTAACACACTGTAACAGGAACATCATTAACCCTTAATGCACTGGAGGCGCGAAAGGGACCCACTTAAGATGGCGGCAGCGCTGATACGTGAGCTCCAATAGGCAGCGTCAGTCGATGATTCGCCCAATTCAATATACGTAGACGCCTCATATACTGACGCTGTCTATTGGAGCTCACGTATCAGCGCTGCCGCCATCTTAAGTGGGTCCCTTTCGCGCCCCCAGTGCATTAAGGTAGGTAGGAATGCCCAACCATATTAACCATAACTCTCCGAATTTCTGCCCAGTTTTCACACGGTTCGGTTTGTTACAAACGACAGAGATGTAGTTATAATACAGTATGCTGTCACACATTAAAAATAACTTTTTTGTTTATCTTACTAGTCAAAATCATTGACTGTATATAGAATGGACAGAGTCTGCCTCCTAGCTGGGTGAAGCCACTCCTAGAACACCCTCTGTTGGCGGGCTGCAGTATAGGTCATAAATCCCGCCTCCGCCAGCAATCTTAATGGAGCTATGGACAGACTTTGGAAATTTATTACACAGAACATACATTTTTCTCCTCCCTGTTTGTGATGTTGACATGTAGTTATTGTAAGACTGGTTTGTGCTCAAGTCCTCTTTTTTCTGTGAAGCTCCGTTTTTAACAGTTATCAGGGGGTTCATGTTTTCTATGATTGACACTTGATACAGCCTATGGGCGTTCAGGGATTGCGTAGCTCTCCCGGGGGATAATCGCATTTTTTTTTTTTTTTTCAATTCACTGTCACAATGGCATTTGAAGATAAAAAAAAACTTTATTTGAACTTAAACTTGTTAAAAACATCAACTCAGCTTGTTTCAATCACTGTGTCCAATTGGTTGTTATTTTTCATTCAAACTGTTTTCTGTCCAAAAACTAGATTTGGTCTTTTTAAAGTCCTCAAAGTTAGTCTGAAAAGTGGAGGAAGGTTTTATCATCAAGGTGGTCCGATATTCAGGTCAATATGGTAGTGGATCATAGAGACTCAAAGCCTTGATTCAGCTGAGCCTGTAGGGCGCTGTGTGAAGGAAAGTTGGTGTGTTTAGTCTCTCAGGAGTAATCATTAACAGGTTTATCACTCTGAGAGACTATGTGAGATATTAATGTGGCGATTTAAGTTGAGTTTAAAGAAGGTGGCTGCAGCTTTTTCCTGTCCTTTTCGGTCTTCTCGTGACTGTTCCTCTTCAAAGTGGAAGTGAAAGTCTGTGAGCTCAAAAACAGACTTCATTTTGAGAGAAGAACGGAGCAGAAAGAGGAGAGGACGAGGAGACAGGGTGAGTGATTACTCTGTTTTTGTTTTAATGTCAAACTCTTTATGAACCGTTAATGAAAAATGATTTACTGACTAATACACTTAAAAACTGCAAAACAAAGAAACCTGAGCAGACAAAGAGCTGGATCAGTTCTTCATACAGGAAACTGTCTACGTGCAGTTCTTCTTCCTCTTTGTCTCGACTTGTCTTTTTAGTAAAAACAAGAATGAGTTTCTTTTTATTTTAGCCTCTCATTTGAAATTTAATTCAGTCCTGCTTTTTTATGAGACTTCAGGGACCTCACAGCTGTTGATGTTTTGACCTGGAATCAGACAAGGATCAGAGAGAGGCCCTGCAGGGTGGAGAGACAGAAACAGATCAAACCCTGTATAAGTCTAATAGAGGGGTATTTTTTCAGACTCTATACTTCCTTTCTGATTCCTTTTTAATGTTTTTACATGGTTTTCAGTTTAAAAAAGCCTCCTGTTTCTCACTCTAATGTATTAAAATATCATGATTTCAGCTTCCTCCTCAAACGCTTCATATTAGCTGCACCTCCTGTCCACGAGCCTACTTTGATTTCTGAACTCTCTCTTCCTGTTTGTATCTCACCTGTTTGTCTACTTTGTCCTCAGGTTGTATTACTTGGTTTCATCTTCCATAAAGTTTCACAACATCAGATGGCGAAGATGAGTGACTGTGTCGAGGAAGAGGAGTACAGAGCAAAGTCTGTTATGTCAGACTGTCTGTCTATGAAGAGTGACCAGTCTAAAGATGATCCTCTAAACTTTAGTAAAGAACCAGGACCTTCAGAGGAGGGCAGAGCAAAGTCTGTTATGTCCGATTGTCTGTCCATGAAGAGTGACCAGTCTAAAGATGATCCTCTAAACTTCAGTAAAGAACCAGGACCCTCAGAGGAGGGCAGAGCAAAGTCTGTTATGTCCGACTTGTATGTCCATGAAGAGTGACCAGTCTAAAGATCTTCCACTGGTCTTCAGTAAAGAACCAGGACCCTCAAATGCACAGTAAGAGAAATACTTTTCAACTACCAAACTCTCAAATAACAATAACTGATGTTTCAAACACAAAACTTTCAATTCTGACCCCTCTGTTTTCTACCATGGTGAGAAAAATGATCTCCTCTGCTCTCAAAACGCTGATTTTCCTCTTCAACCTGCCAACCTGGAGAAAGTAAAGAAAAAGTTACTGAGCACAGATTTACTTATTATTCTTAATGTTTGTAAAAATGAAGGGGGTTTAAAACAGCATTTTAAAAGGATTCTGACCTCTGTATTTTCTGATCTGGTTCCTGTGTTTGGGACGTTGTGAGCCTGTAAGTCTTTGGACTGTGGTGAAAAGACCCCAGAAAACAGTCTGTGGGTCACAAAATACCAGAAGACCAATAAAGAAATAAATCCTGAGAAATGGAAACTAATTCAGAGCATCTGACTGTTATTAGACCTTTAGATCTGATGGTTAAAAAAATGTAGTAAAACTGTCAGAGAAAATCTCTCTACCTTAAAAAAAACAACAAAAATCACAGTTTAGTTTTTTCTCCTGTCTCCACACTTTGAGGCAGCAGCAGCTGAATATTTTACAGGAGATTGTTTTATGTGAGAGAAAAGAGTGACATCAAAAACTTTGTTTTAATAAATTCTTCTTATTCTGTATCTTCCAATCATTAAATGATAAAGAAAATAAATGTCATTTATTTTCTCAGAGAGACACAGAGATTTGACTCTGTGGAGGAGCAGCTGTCCAGATATCTCAGCTCTGATGGAAGTAAGTCTAAGTTGATCACAAAGATGTTTTTGTGTTTAGCAGTTTGGTTCATTTTATTTTATGTTTTTCTCTTTCAGAAGGTTGTGGTCTCCAGGAGGTTTCAGATGAACATAAGATCAGTCTGAAGAGGAGATGTGAACGTGTGAATGAAGGAAGTGATGATGCAGGAAGTCAAACCCTCCTGAACAGGATCTTCACTGAGCTCTACATCACAGAGGGACTGAGTGAAGAGGTGAACACCCAACATGAGGTGAGACAGCTGGAGAAAGCTTCAAAGATGGAGACCCTCCATGACACGCCCATCAAGTGTCATGAGATCTTTAGAGTCTTACCTGACCAACAAAAGAAGCTCATCAGGGTGGTTCTGACCTACGGCGTGGCTGGGGTTGGAAAAACCTTCTTAGTGCAGAAGTTCACTCTGGACTGGGCAGAGGGTTTGGAGAACCAAGACCTCCATCTGGTGGTCCTGCTTTCATTCAGGGAGCTGAACCTGATCAGAGATGAGCGCTACAGTCTTCTGAGTCTGCTCCATGTTTTCCATCCAACACTAGAGAAGGTCACAGCAGAGACGCTGGCTGTCTGTAAACTTCTGTTCATCTTTGATGGTCTGGATGAAAGCAGACTGTCTCTGGATTTCACAGACTCTGAGGTGGTGTCTGACGTCACACAGAAGTCTTCACTGAATGTTCTGTTAACAAACCTCATCGAGGGGAACCTGCTCCCCTCAGCTCTCATCTGGATAACTTCTCGACCTGCTGCAGCCAATCAGATCCCTCCTTCTTGTGTGGACAGGATAACAGAAGTACGAGGCTTCACTGACGCCCAGAAGGAGGAGTACTTCAGGAAGAGGTTCAGTGATGAGGATCTGTCCAGAAGAATCATCTCACACATCAAGTCCTCCAGGAGCCTCCACATCATGTGTCAGATCCCGGTCTTCTGCTGGATCACTGCGACAGTTCTGGAGGACATGATGAGGAGAAAGAAGAGAGGACAGCTGCCCAAGACCCTGACTGAGATGTACTCACACTTCCTGCTGGTCCAGACTAAGAGGAAGAAGCAGAAGTATGAAGGAGGACATGAGACAAGTCCTCAGGAGCTGACTGAGGCTGACAGTGAAGTTCTCCTGAAGCTGGGGAGACTGGCTTTTAAACATCTGGAGAAAGGAAACATCATGTTCTATCAAGAAGACCTGAAGCGGTGTGGTCTGGATGTCTCAGAGGCCTCGGTGTACTCAGGAGTTTGTACAGAGATCTTCAGAAGAGAGAGTGTGATCTTCCAGAAAACAGTTTACTGTTTCGTTCATCTGAGCGTTCAGGAGTTTCTGGCTGCAGTCCACATGATCCACACTTACACAAACAGGAGCAATTTCTCAACTCTGGACGACTTCCTGAAGAGAACCATGGAGAAATCCCTTGTCAGTAAAAATGGCCACCTGGACCTTTTAGTTCGCTTCCTTCATGGACTCTCTGTGGAGTCAAACCAGAGACTCTTAGGAGGTCTCCTGGGTCACACAGACAAAAGTCCAGAAATGATCCAAAGAGTCATCTACAACCTGAAGGAGATGAACAGTGATCGTATCTCTCCTGACAGAAGCATCAACATCTTCCACTGTCTGATGGAGGTGAACGATCTGTCAGTTCATCAGGAGATTCAAAGGTTCCTGAAGTCAGAGAACAGATCGGAGAAGGAACTCTCAGAGATCCACTGCTCTGCTCTGGCCTACATGCTGCAGATGTCAGAGGAGGTTCTGGATGAGTTGGACTTTGATGAGTTTAACACATCAGACCAGGGACGACTGAGACTGATCCCAGCTGTGAGGAACTGCAAAAAGGCTCGGTAAGTCTGGGTTTTATTCAGAATAGTGTAAATGATCCCTGTAGTTCTTCCAATGTCCACGTTACTGATGATGTTCTTCTTCAAATAGAAATCGACTGAAACGTCATGGAGGGGTTTCTTTAGCAAAAACATGATCCTGGTGTCTAAAGTCCTATTAGCATAGGATGAGGTCTACCTGTGAACCCCTGAGAACTTGTCCTAATCGTGGAGGACCTCTTTGTTTTGAATCCAGTTAAATTGACCGTGTCTGTAATGAATAAAGAAGAACTTTGAGGACAAATCAATGACCATATCTGAAGACACACAGAGGTCTTCTGATGATGGTATCAGTCCAGATCAACATTTCAGTCAGTTGTGGTGAACTTGAGTTTGAAGAAGGTGGCTGCAGCTTTTTCCTGCTGGTTTTCAGGTTAGAAATGATGAATCTGTTGTGAATGAGGGTTAGGGCATTTATGGTGAGAATAGAACTGGATCATTTTCTACACGGTGGCAGAACTGTCTCTGTACCACAATGTTCATCATTCAATATTCATAAGCAATACAACAATGAAAACTAACATCATTTTCCACCACTCAGTGGAGATTATATGGTGGACTGTATGAATGATGAGAACACATGAGTTATTTGGACAGCAGCTCCATGTGTCTGAAAACACTGGTGGAAATAGGATTTTAATGTCTCTCTCTCTCTCTTTCCCCTCAGTGCTGCAGGTTAGCACTGACACTCTGCCTCATGTGGGAGAACAGAATGACTAAAATAAGTCATGGAGTCATTTGTCTTGAACATCTGAACAGTTTTTTTTTTTTTTTTTTAAAGGCTTTCAATCAAATATTGTTTGATATTTATGTTGTTACAGATTTTATAACTGTGGACTCTCAGAAACTAACTGTGAAGTTGTGGCCTCAGCTCTGAAGTCCAACCCCTCCCATCTGAGACATCTGGACCTGGGCTCAAACAAAGTGCAGGATTCAGGAGTGAAGCTTCTCTCTGCAGGACTGGAGAGTCCAAACTGCAGACTGGAGGCTCTGATGTGAGACACCATTTCCTTCTGATCTAACAATAAGATGTGACAGTTACTGCCTTGGATTTTTTTAAGGAAGTTTTTCCATCAACTTTGATCGAGCAGTCTGAATTTGTTGTTGTAAAACTTCAACACAAGAAGAAAAATCCAACATTTCAGAGTTGATTTGGAGTGGAACGATGGATGTAGAAAAGAAGCAGGAGAAAATCAGTCCCACAAGTATTACACATGCTTGTAGAGGGCAGGAGCAGCACAGACTAAAGGCTGATATTGAACTGATCCACAATTAATGTGATCACTAATGAATGAATGAAGTGTCAGAGAAATGATGAGCTGCAGTTTTCACTTCAGTTTGTTGAACATTAACATCATCTTGTCCGGTTGGTCCATAAAAACCTCCCTGATCAATGGTCTTTTGGTTTATTTACAGGCAGTTTGGCAGTTGTTGACAGCAGATGGACAGACCCCTGAATATACTTCTAACTATTTTAATCTGAATTCAGAAATACAAAAAAACCTTTTAGATTTCCCACATTAGTTTCTCAGGATCTCATTTAAGTTTTCTGTATCTTGAAAAATTCCTTGGGATCTTCAAAAAGTTTAGAGATGATTTTAAAAAAATTCCTCCAGATCAACTCTGAAAAGTTCTTCTTCAGTGTCCTTCAGGGGCTCAAGAACATTGAATCATTAAAAGCAGAAACAGTTTCTTCAGAGGTTAAATACTTTTTTTCTTTTTCAGACTGTGGGGCTGCAGTTTGACAGAGATCAGCTGTTCTTCTCTGGCCTCAGCTCTGAAGTCCAACCCCTCCCATCTGAGACATCTGGATCTGGGTTACAATGAGCTGCAGGATTGGGGAGTGAAGCTGCTGTGTGACTTTCTGCAGAGTCCAAACTGTAAACTGGAGACTCTGAGGTAAGTTAAGTCTTTGTCAAGTTTTTTTTTAACCAAATTTAAATTTTCATGGAATTCTCTAATATTTCCAGAACTTTCTTCTTACTCACATAAATTCATAGTTTTTCAGAAAAACAGACAGAGAAACACAGACAGAAAAACACAGAGAAAAACTGAGCCAATCAGAGCAAAACTCATTACCATAAATGTTAATGAGCCAAAATCAGTTAGTTTTCCTGTAAGGTTTTTTAGACATACTAAAATGGTTTGAAACAAACCATCAAATAACTTTTCAGCTAAAATTATGTTGCAAACATGATCAGAGGACATCAAGGATTATGAAAAAATGATTGAAATGGGTATTAAATTTTGATGGCAGGTCCCCTTTAAAGCAAAGGGTCATGGGAGTCAGACCAGCAACTGCTGCAACAAGGACTACACCTTCTGAACAGCTGGACCTCTAATCCAAACCAGTGTTCCATCACATCTGATGTCTTGTCTGTTATTTTACATGGAGGGTCAGAGCAGACCAGATCATGAGCTCTGACAGACTGGATCTGGTCCAAAGGTCTCCTGTTGGAGTTCTCTGAGATCGATATCTGAAACCTGAACATGTGAAGTTTGATTATTAATTATTTTTATCTACATGATCTATCCTTTTTTCAGACTGTGGCGCTGCAGTTTGACGAAGATCAGCTGTTCTTCTCTGGTCTCAGCTCTGAAGTCCAACCCCTTCCATCTGAAACATCTGAACCTGAGTGAAAACAAGCTGCAGGATTCAGGAGTGGAGCTTCTGTGTGACTTTCTGCAGAGTCCAAACTGTAAACTGGAGACTCTGATGGTCAGACTTTTTTCCTTCATTCAAACATTATCAGGATTTATTTGTGATGATGACACTAAACTGCTGACTCAGGACTGAAATACTGACCCAGACTGAACACCTTCAGTCCAGAGTTGATTTTCTTCATCAGTGGATTATTTGATGGACTCCAGTTAGATCACTGCTGAGCTCCAGTGAATTAAAACCTGAACACAAGAAGAAAACTCTTTGTAGAGTTCACAGTGAGAAGCACATTCAGACAGAAAACAGAAGCAGGGGGAGATTTGTCAGACGAGAACCATTCAAACTTTTGTTCAGGACAAGATCAGGGAATAGAAAAAACTCAGTTTAGTTTCTGACACTGATGAAAGTCCAGCTCTGTTGCTTTGATTTTTGATTTTGTTTTTGAATCATTGTGTAAAAATCTGAATTTTATGGTATATCTGCACTTTTTTGAGGCCTTGCTGTGTTTAGACTGAAATATTAACCTCTCAAAGACGTGATAGTTTTGGTTCAGCAAAGTGAAAATATTCTGAACATCTTCATTCCCTTCGTTTCTGAAGTAGCTGACATTTCCTGGAAAATATTGAGTTGTATCTACGATCAGTATAAAAGTCTCTAAGTTTGTTTTCACTATTTAATGTGTAACATTGAATTCACTGTTTCAAACTTACTTCCTGTTTGGTTCAGCTCTTTGAAGCGTCACTTTTCTTTGATTCATACTTTCCAAACCTTTCCCCTGAACTCTACAGATTTAAGACATCAGATTTCAAACTGGATCAGTCTTTGTTTAAAATCTCATTATTTCCTCTTTATTTAGGTTGAGTTTCTGCAGTTTGACAGAGATCAGCTGTTCTTCTCTGACCTCAGCTCTGAAGTCCAACCCCTCCTATCTGAGACATCTGGACCTGAGTGGAAACAAGCTGAAGGATTCAGGAGTGAGGCTGCTGTGTCGCTTTCTGCAGAGTCCAAACTGTAAACTGAAGACTCTAGAGTGAGTCTTATTTCCTCGATTCAAACATTATCATGGTTTGTTTGTGATGATGACACTTGACTGCTGACTCAGGACTGAAAAACTGACCCAGACTGAACACCTTCAGTCCAGAGTTGATTTTCTTCATCAGTAGATTGATGATGAAAGATGACTTTCACTGATGAAAGTCCAGCTCTGTTACTTTGAATTTAGTTTGTTTTTGAATCATTGTGTGAAAATCTGAGTTTTATGGTATATCTGCACTTTTTTGAGGCCTTGCTGTGTTTAGACTGAAATATTTACCTCTCAAAGACGTGATATTTTTGGTTCGGCAAAGTGAAAATATTCTGAACATCCTTTATTTCCCATCCGTCCTTGAGTCGCTGACATTTTCTGAAAATATTAAGCTGCGTCTACAATCAGTAAAAAAGTCTCTGAGTTTTTTATTTCACTATTTAATATGTAACATTGAATTCACTGTTTCAAACTTACTTCCTGTTTGGTTCAGCTCTTTGAAGCGGCACTTTTCTCTGATTCATGATTGTCTAAAATCTCATTATTTATTAATTATTATTTTTATTTAGTTTGAGGAGCTGCAGGTAGACAGAGATCAGCTGTTCCTCTCTGGCCTCAGCTCTGAAGTCCAACCCCTCCCATCTGAATACTCTGGACCTGAGTGAAAACTGGCTGCAGGATTCAGACATGAAGCTGCAGTGTGATCTTCAGAAGAGTCCAGACTACAGACTGGAGACTCTGGGGTCAGTATAGAGTTGGAGTTAGTCTGTGCTGATCTCCTGTTCCACTCCACACAGTATCACAGCAGATATTCAGTATTTCCTGCTGACTCTTCGACCCTCCCAGAGGATTCTTTCTTTAGTGAAATAATTCTCTGCGAGTCTAGGAGTGTCAGTTATGAAAAAAGTGTCCCCTGGTCTCTATATTTCAGATCAAATGTAGAAATGAGACATAATGAAACAGAAATGTTCAGTTTCTGCTCTGAAGTCCAGTTTATAGTTCTCTGTATTCAACACAGACTGTTCTTTATACTTATTTTCACAGCAGGTCTGTTACTTCAGCTTTAACACATTTGACAGGAATGATTTCTTTATTTTGATGATGTTGGTTTATTTGTGAGGAAACCTGCTGCTTTACACCATCACTTCAGGTCTGAGCAGGACTGAAACCTGCTGGTTTTTAAACTGGATGTTCTTCAGTCCAGCTGATGAAGTGGAGAGGTGGAGAGGACTCTGGGAGCTGCAGTTTGACCTGCTCTGAGATCAGCTGAGGACCTGGGCTCTAGATATTTGATATTTTCCCTAATATTCTAGGATCAAACAGTCTGAACAAGTTTGTTTTGTTGATGGAAACATGATCATAAATTTACACTTTGATTGAATCACTTTTTTTGCCCGTGATGCAGCGCCACCCAGTGGAAATGTAAAGAAGTGGAGTTGATTTATTTCAGATCATATTTCTGCAGGAGGAGTTGATACCATGTGTGACCAAATATAAACTGGAGGGAGACAGGAAGAGTATTCTTTCACCTGTGCATTTTTAGATATCCATTTTCCTCTTAATTTTCCGAAATGATTGACTTTTTTTTTTAGACATTATTTTCTTTCTCTTTACATGTTTTTGTTCTCATATAACTTTTGTACTAAAATCTTCGCACCAAAATCTTCCTCCCATTTTAATTTCAGATGGTCTAGGGAGGTGAGGCTGCAGAAGCAATCGGTCGTATATATGGTGTAGGAGCCAAAATATATTTGTTGAAAGTATGATTTCTAAAAGGTACGTCACTTCCAGGGATTGTCACTGAGGGGTGTGGTTTTGGGATGCTTGGCGGGTTATTTAAATCTCACCGGTGTAGTCAGACAATGGGTTGTGGTAAGCTCTGATAATTTTCTGTTGACCATTTCACTCATCCTGTTTTAACCTCATTTTTATCACATCACCTTATTATTTGAAGGGAAAAGTTTTGGACCTGGTTCAGTGTGTTCTCTTTTCTTTTTGGAACAATAAACCTCTTTTAACACTCAAACTGGACTAATAATTGAACGAGTCACAGATGCAAGCGCACCTAAACCCTGGCGGCCTTTTGTTGAAGGAAAGCAGTCGCGACATATGGGATATAGAGTTTAGCTCGGAGGGGGTGCAAAAGGTCAAAAATTAAGTAATTGGCACTCAGTGTGGTACAGATATTGTTCATATTTCATTTTAACATTTGTGTCTCTTTTGTCCTGATGGCAGCTGTGTCATATTAAACCATCTCCTGATCAACATTTCAGCTGCTGGTGTAAATCCAGGTTTAAGCTCATGTTTAAGATATTTTCAATATTTTATTAAACCGTATTTGGTATCATTTTATAGGAGACCCTCTTGGCTTACATTCAAACTCAATTGTGAATTATTCTGAAAAACACAGGGGTAGCTTTGGCTCTTCTTGCATTCAATTACATATATTTTCCCACAAGTTTCACCTAAATGACCTTTCCTTTAAGTCCTATAACAGCTAGGAACATCTGGGACACAAAACACAGACGCAGGAATACTCACAAGACTCAAAGGTTTCAGAAAATATATAACATGGCCGTACATTTTTTAAAAGCTTTTCATGACTTCATGGGCTGGTAAGTATGACACATGAACTATTACCAATTTTTGCCACCTTGAGTGGTGCCAGCATCTGGTCTGGTCCATTCTCTATAGACACTTATGATGGATTTACAGTTGTGTCCTTTTTGTATAGCTGAACATTCCTTTCAGTCCTTTTTATGCATTTTGCAGACTATGAAACCACTTTGTGTCATGTCATTAAATAAAAGACATCTAAACTTTGATGCTCCGTGTGAAATCCAACATATTTGAAAACCTGCTGTTATTTTTTTTTATCCATATGGAGACACACAGACATGCTTAACAACTTATTTATTTTCATATATTGTATTTTTACAATGCCGAACTGAAACAGTAATCCAAAATATGTGGGTAACTAAACCAAACTTTTGGAAATCATATTGTCAGTTTGCCTTTAACAGATGATCTGAATTACCAGAGAGTTTCATGTCACCATCCTCTGAACATTTTTAGGCATCAGTGAAAATGACTAACTTTTCTCTCTGTGCAGAAGACCAGGAAACCCCGCAAACACATCCTGTAAGACTAAAGTGGTGAGCATTTTTTCTTCAGATGCTCAGGTAAAAGAACTTTTAGGGAGATCAATCTAGTAAACCAACATTAGCCAAAAAGTGAGTAGACCACACTTTAGGAAACTACATATCTGAGGCAGTCAAGCCAGAACTCTTACTGCATCAAAAGGTCTCTGGTCCCACTAAGCTCAAGACTATTAAAAAATGTCCTCTGATGAATGTAAACAAGTTGTTTTCAGTAAGTAGTTAACCAGATCTAGTTTTTATGACCGTGCTGAAAGTAACAAGCCAAGAGAACCTTAGAGCAGTGATTTGGACGAGGATTGGGAAAAATAACTTTAAAAGGGAAACATGTTTAATTTTCTGTCAAATTCTAGGATTAAATCTGGGATTCATATTTTGCAGGAATACATAAACGCTGGCAAAAAAAAGCAGATCAATCACTTCCTGGACAATACCCATGGCTTATATTTTCTGACACTGGCTACAATGACTGAAAAATCCTTTTGCTAGCCCACCTTTATTTGGGTAAAGGCTGGTGTTATTTCCCAATCCAGCAACGCTAAACATAAACAACAGTCACTGAAGATATAAGGTATCCTCTCTTAAAAAATGTGAGTTTTTCCAATAAATTCCAGGCAAAACCTTCCAGCAGTTTATAATTCTCCTCTGGCCCATGGGTAGACGGTATGTGAACTCTGCTGAGCCTCTGGGCCCAGATAACTGACACGTCCTGTTTCTTTTGGTTCTGTGTCATTTTCCTGCTTTTAGTTCATTCGCTTGTTGAGTTGCTGTTATTGAGGTGATGTTGACTGGTTCTCATGCTCTTCTCCCTTTTCCTCCACCACCTCTGGCACTGGTTTTGGGCTTGTCTTTGCCAATTTGTTGTAAATAGTCATAGCCTGCAAAGAGGGAAACATGATGGGAGCCATTATTGCCCTGGAACAAGACAAGAAAAACATCAAATGTACTGTGTCCAGGGTCTGTCAACTTTAGATACCTGTGTGACCATCCCACTGATGTCGCCACTATTAGAGGGCAAAAGGATGGTGTTGGACTCTTTGGCAAGGTTGGAGAAAGCAGACACGTACTGCTCGGCCACGCTTAATGAGGCTGCTGCATCTCCGTTCTGAAATACAAATAATAATACAAGAAAATCACAAAATAGACGTACAATTTTCAAAATAAGACTCTTAAAAACTACAGTTTGTGATTGTAGATTAAAAAAAGAGGCCTCACATGTTCAGTCAGCGCCTCAGACAGCATGCGGATAGCCTTGGCCTTTGCCTCTGCTTTAGCCAGGACTGCTTGGGCCTCACCTGAAGGAAACATTGTACGCCAAAAGTGGTGTGCAATTAGTGTAATTAGGTTTGGATCACTTTTCCCATTTTTCTTACTTCCACAGCCTCATATCAAAACACTTCACAACGCAGCTGCATAAAAACAAAAGTTCAAACAACTGAGTCTTTAATGCACCTACCAGCTGCTTTATTGATCTGTTCAGCTTTTTGACCCTCTGATGCCAGAATCTGAGCTTGTTTACGACCCTCTGCAACGTTGATGGCAGCTTCCCTTGTCCCTTCAGACTCCAGCACTGTCGCCCTCTTCTTCCGCTCGGCTTCCACCTGCACAGAGGTGTTCAAATGTATGTTGGAGTGTTTTCCTCAAAAATTATATCTTTGTAGCTTGCCCAGAGTCAAATTACTAAAGTGCTAGACTTTGTAATGCTCTGATAACGAAAATCTTACGAAATCTGCACAAGAACAAAACATGAATACGATTTTGAAACCTCCTGAAAACACACGCATATATGTACATATATATATATATATATATATATATATGTATATATTTTCTGTAGCCTCACCTGCATCTGCATAGATTCTTTGACACGAGGTGGGACATGTATATCTTTGATTTCATATCGGAGACAGCGAATCCCCCACTCGTCTGAAGCTTGGTTGATGGAGTGGACGATGTTAGAGTTCAGAGACTCCCTTTCCTTTAACAGAAACAAAAAGTCAAACCCTGAAAGTGCAACAACACCTTTCATTTCAAACCTTTAAAAACCCAGCAGCACTTTGTCATTACCCTGAACACTTTGTCCAAGGTGAGTTTGCCCAGTTCTGACCGCATGGTGGTCTGTGCCAACTGTGTGACAGCATATTCTGGATCCTCCACGCCATAACTGGCCTAGAGACGAACAGAAGAGGTCAAAACAAGAAAAAGATCTAATGTCACTGAGATGAGAGTAAAACAACACAACAGAGCAGACCCTCATTCAAACTTGAAAAGAAGGGCTTAGTGGTGTACCTTAAAAGGGTCTAGGATCCTTAAGTAAAGCACTCCATCAATCTGAAGAGTTACATTATCTGAAAAAAAAAATAAGAAACTTGCATCATTCAAGTTCCAACACATGAGCTATGCAGTCAACTATTAATGAAAAATCTGATGCTTTATTAATTCCTCACCTAGAGATACAGCAGACTGCTCTGGGACATCAATAACAATCTCCTTTAGACTTTGCACATAGCGAATCCGGTCAAGTAAAGGTATGAGGAAGTTTAAACCCTAGGACAATCACAAGGTTAGTGAGCTACAGAGTTCATTTGTTGTTTGAAAGAAAGTTTAGTGAAATTAATCAGGTAACAGTACTGGCTCTAAGATCCGATGGAAGCGACCCATCCTTTCAACCACCCAGGCTTCCTGTTGAGGCACAAACAGGACGACCGTGTTCATGGGCAGTGTGGAAGCCCATCGCTGCTGAGCCGGTGTGACCCACAACCTTGGCGCCGCTCGCTGGGTTTGCTGCAAAGACAGGGGAAATGTATTAAGTTCCTTATCAATGGGTGGCACTATCTGTCACTGGAAAGCGAATGGACTCTCCAATTTTACTAAAGCCATCAGTAAAATCCAGTTGCTTGATTCAGTTGTTGTTGTTTTTTTTTTAATGAAAGTATGTTCCATTTATTATATGCTTGTATCCTACCTTTAACATTAAACAAATATTGTATAAATCATCTGTTACAAACATGTTTTAGTGCAGAGTTTAGCTGTACAGGTGAGCAGTAAAAACACCTGTACAGAGGTGAGAGGTTATAAACAGATTTTAATACATGAATTATCAACTACAGTCAATTTACTCAGAGAGGACATATGTATCCATAACGAAATGTAAACAATATACCGATTTAATGAGTATTATAGTTACATTTCTCATTCATACACAATGAGTCTGAATGACATCAGCGAGAGGGGGGAACTGTCAGCGTGTTACGCGAGCTAACAAGCGGGAAAAAGACTAAAATATTGGACAATTACCTGCAAAAGGGCCCCGCCCGTCCGACACAGTGTTCGTAACATTATTTAGATCTCGTAGAGTGATTGTTCAGAGAAGATTTAACCTCGATAACTACACACCTAACAAACTCCACTCATGACCCTTACTACTCAGGAACTGAATATTACATCAGTGGTGCAACGGTAAAATCCTCCGTGCTGCATGACAGAAAGAAACGGCTTGGGTTCCACTTGTCATTAATGTGACGTGCGACAACAACAATTGATGAATAATGTATAGATCAGAGAGACACAATACAACGCAACTACTACTACTTCTACAACTACTTTGCTTATAGTAATACAACTTATACGACTACAAATAATAACACCCAGTTTTCTTCATCCTTTTCTGTGCTACAGTAAAGTACTTTTGCCTGCAGTCGTGCGTTTAAGAAATTGCCAGGTTAAATAAAACATAGCCTGGCCAAAACACACAACAACACACACGTCTGAAGATGGAGATGCATCATAGGAACGTTTTAGATAAGCCTAAAAAAGCCTAAAATGTGTCAATTCAGAAAAATGCTTTAGGCCTTATGGGTATGTCATTTGTAAAATGTCATTCCACTTCATAACTATCCCGACTCTCATTGGTTTTTCACGGTGGTTTGAGTTTAATCATTTCTGTATTCATTTCTTGTTCACTTGTGTCAATAACTAATTTGTAGGTATGATGTGTAATGACTCACAAAATACGCAAGATGGTGGTGTCGTTTGATGAAGACGTCTTTGTAGTTCGTGGAGGCTCCCTGCAGATTTCCTTTTTCCTTTTTTAGAGTTTCACTTCGATTAATCGCAGCAAAACGTTAAGAACAGTATAAATTCAACTTAATTTTTTAACCCACGAAAAGGTGACGCACACATTAAACTACATTAAGAGAACCCAATAATGTTATTCTTGGAGAGCTGTGTACAAATCTGCCTTTTCATTTACTTTGATTTTGACACAAGAGGCTGTTTTATACGTACACAAACTTGTGCTAAAATTCATAATCCTGGTCTAGATAAAGTCTTTACTTAGGAGAGTATGCAAAAACTGGAGCATAACAGAATCAAGCTACATCAGATAACAGTTTAGTTAATAAAATGTCCTGACACAAAACTACCAAAACAACAACAACAACAACAACAACAACAACAACAACAACAACAACAACAACAACAACAACAATAATAATAATAATAATAATAATAATAATAATGTCTAGGAAGTAAGGTTGAATTAAAGACGTCAAAAGTCAAAACTCTGCTTTTGTCAAAGAAAATGAATACACATAAATTCTGAATTAAATGGATTACAGACTCAAGCAGCAGTAGTAACAGTAAAAATACAAAGTTTTCTTTGAAAAGTAATGAAATGACTTCACTCTTGTTACTTTTCTCCCTGCTGGGAGAGCTTCATAGACCGTCCATGCTGAGAGCTTTATAGACTGTTAATATGGAGACCTACATAGACTCAATATGTGAAGAACTTATATGGCATATGGAGAGAACTTTAACAACTATACATGTAAAACTTCATAGACTGAATAAATGGAGAGTTTCCAGGAGATTTGGACTGTTTACAATCTGTGTGCGTCACCTGTTCCTTCCTCAAATCTGCCCCTCCCCCGTGATTGGATTCCCTTGTTACACACGCCCCCGCCCCTTTTTCACTCTTCTGTATTTTCATTGGACGCATCAAACGTCAGTTACAGGTGCCTCGACCCCGCCTTCCCCCGCTCTTGGTTCCCGCAGGTTGTTCGTCAGTCAGTCAGTAAACCTGTGATGAGAGTTTTTATAATGGCGTGGCAGTGGAGGGGGGCTGCTGCTCTCTGCTCCAGTCCAGCTCCACAGGAACACTTTTAAACATCGACCTGGAGGTTTTCTGCGGAATCCACTTGTTATTTAGCGGACATTACAATGAAAACGTTGCGGGACAGAGTAAATCTCCACTGAGGTCCTGCTCTACAAACTGTTTGAAAGTACAGGATTGACGCTGGAAGCGCTTTGCCATGTCGTTATTGTGTGTCAGAGGTGAGTTTTACTTTTCTTTTTATACAAATAAGTTGAGGTTCAGTTTTCTGCTCTGCGTTCGTTGAGTGTGATGTGAATTTCTGTAGGACAGGTCTTTGGCTGGAGGCTTCCTTAATCACGGAGTACTGTTGACAGATCATTGAAAAGGGACCAGAAGCCATTTGTTTTGTCGTGATTTAAGCTTTTCTAAAATCCCAAACAGTTTATCAGGGCTGTTGTAGAAGCACATGACCTCAAGTTGTTTTTCCAATTTAAATATGAAATATTATAATTTAATTATTGAACCTCGTTATTGCCTTTCGTACCAGCTGTTGTAGCTCAACACAACTATCAATGCGACAATATGATGTACACTTAGATTTCACACCAACACTGCAGGAAAATGTCATTATCCTCCACCAGAATTAAGATGGTGATGATTTTGGAGACATAAAGCTTTAAATTAACACATTTATGTACATCTTGATATGTAACTTAAAAAAACAGCATTAATATTACCAAAATAATTAATAAATCAAAACTCAAAAGGAAAAGGTCCTCAGTTGTTGGGTTATGAAACTTAACTTCATGTTTATACTCTAAAGTCTTCCCTTGGACACGGTCAAATCACACAGGTACCAGAGAAATGAGATTGAGGTCAGTCTTTGCCTGCTGTCCCATCTTTTGCAACATCATTTTCTGTAGCAGCAAGAATGATGCTTTCTGGTTATTTAATCCAAGGATGCCAAGAGGAAATTTAACACTTGATAGTCATAATACAGCTCTGACTTTTACTCAACATTAATGGGTATCTGTGATGGTGGACTGTATCTTAAAATCACTGAGTATAGTCCTTTTATCATCATGGCATCTGTGCAGAAACTGCATCAAGTGTCCTAAAGAACTAAGAAATCTGTGTGAGGCTGAAAACTAATCACAATGAAAAGTAACAACCCCTTTAAAGATAAGAAATTAACAGTGGTTTCAAAAACTGAATCTCATAAAGGAGAGTAAATGATTTATTTATTTTTTAACTTTTTATTTCATTATTTATTTATTTATTTTTGCTGCTATGAGAGAGACCTGCTGAAAGAATCTCATTTAAAAATGGATCTGGGCTGAAAATAGTTAGGCTGCATAACTCAACAGACACAGCTGAGTCTGAGCAAATATATGGATTCTGTTCAAAACCTTTGGTGATATGTATTTACACACTCAGGCAAACACCTTCTGTCATGGTCTGAAGTTGCTGTAACGCCTTTGCAAATGTTATCCAAGTCAATGTTGAACAATGATTTCACAGGCAGCATCTCAAGGCATATTGATTCTTCTGATTGAAACAGCACCAACCAATCTGAAAACTGGTCTGGTTAATTTAGCAAGCTCGCCAAAAGGCTTAAAGGTGCAGTGTAGAAATTGGAATATTGATATTTTGCCTTGAGATTCTGGATCAAGACACTGCCTTCGAGGACAAGATGGTTCTGTGGTATATAAAGGGCCCAACACATGCACCACAACTCTTTTCCTTTATTTTCTGACTGGTGCATTTCTTGTAGCCGTTCACTAGATATTAAAATGCTTATGTTGCTAGTTTGTTTGCATTGTGCAGTAGCATTGGGGTGTACGATGGCGGCATCCATGGAAGGAGACCCTTATCCATGTAGACATAAAAGGCTCATCCTTGGTTAACACAAACAAAACAAAACCTTTTTTTCAGGTAATAATACACTCCTGTAAAGTAACTGAACCTGTCTGTGTCACCAGATATCACTGCTTTCATTTATAAAATTATTATGGCTAGATTACCCTAAGTCACTACTGCATCACCATGAATTTTCATGATGTAGTGAATATCATAAGAAGAACTTTATTAAAGGTAGGGGTTGACCCGGATTCTTAGCTCTTGTCCGGTCTACCTCAGTTTTAAACACCCGTTATTCCACCAGAGTCTCCGGTATTTACTTTGTTTTATTGCTTGTGTTTTCCGTACTTTCTGGTCGGTTTCTACTGTCCGTTAACTTTGTTTGGGCTCGTGCTCGTCATTGTAGGACGTGGAGCATGCCTCACAATATGAGGGAGTGGCATCTGTCTGACAACCAATCAGGTTGGGGGAGGCGGAGATCGGCTTTGTTAATAATCAGATAGAGTGGGCTGCTCAAAAAATTTAAATGTTGACTACACAGACATAACGAAACACAGTGATATCGTTATATTACCAAATGTCATCAATAACTAATACCTATTGACTGATTTTAAAAGCTTTTTTGTATATACACCACAAAAATAGATGCTTCTTTAACGGATTCCTGCCTACCCCACCTTTAATCCCAAGAGGAAATTCAGTGGAAAAAATATTTATCCCTCAAAACCTCTGTGGATTTTTTGGCTCCTTTGGTTTATCAGATATTGTCTCGCTCATTTATTGTCTGGTGTGTCTTGCTGCATTTGGAATATGTTGGTTAGCGTACCATATTTCATCATCAGCGCCTCTCTCTGAACCCAGCTCTAACATGAGTCTGGTTCTGCTCGAGGTTTCTGCCTGTTAAAGGAAGTTCTTCTTCTCCTTGTTAAATGCTGTTTAGTATTTTACTCATGTGGTTGAAGATGGGATAGGAGTGGGTCTGATCTTAGTGGACGGGGCTCAGTCTGATCCCATATTTACATCGGGTCTTTGTAAACAGAGTCTAGACCAGCTTTTTTGTTGTGAGTTGGTCCTCTGGCCTTTTTTCTGCCTCTACCATAATAGGTGAAACTGGGTGATAATTCCATCTCCCTTAAAAAGCAACAATATTTAAGGTTTTGGAAAGAATCGACCTGTGCCGATATACCTCATTGTAAGCAACAAAGCTTCTATAAATCAAATAATACTGGACTAAATCTGACCTTTTGGTAAATATTTTCTCTGCCCGTTAATTTGTTACTGGTACAGATAATGAGTCTAAGCTAGAAGGGATCATGCAGCTCATAGAACAGACAAAAAGGTGCCGGGGCAGGGGCCGTTTCATTAGCAGTTGTGACTCATTCTCTGATAGCTCAACTTGACAATGTTGTTTATTTATTGCCAGTCGAGATGCCTCATCACCATGGCGATGTCTTTACACAACAGACAAGCTCTCATAAGCCAACATGTGTGGGAGACTCCTGCTGTGGATCAGGGCAGGGCTGAGTGAACACATGTCTCACATGGACCCCATGATGCTGCAGTATTGGGGGTGTAAAGATGATGTTCAAGACATGTGATTACATAAGTGACAGAGAGACCTTTTTTTCTCCGACCTGAGAGTGGTTACAGGGACTTGGTAATGTATGGTTTTTTTCTTGGGGAGATCAGACTTAGAAAGAGCTCATGCTGACAGTAAAAGTGCTTTTGTGGTTAAAGTTTACTTCCTTTCATAAAGGATGTGACAGTGGTTGTGGTTAAAGTCGATGGCATTACTTAGTTTGTTGTCCATCACTCAGTGCTTTGACGGAGGACACATGATAATAATCATCTGTCTGAGCTGGATGTAAACATGCAGGATGATGTTTTCTTTCCTAGTGTTGATTCAGACACCTGACTTTGCAGATTGATTGACAGCAGGGATCCACCCTTATACCAGTGGGATTTGTAAAACAAATAACTTTGTACTTATCACCCTCCGTATTTTATGATTTGTGCTGTACAGATTGGCTCAGGTTGCTGTCTTTGTGAAACATTACCTGGGGGGTATCATGCTTTTCCACATTTACAACTCAAACTGCAAAGTTACAAAGTTTGGTGTCCATACTACATGTATGCAAAGTTTCAAACCATGAGATAAACGTATGTTGTCATAATCTGAGGAAGAAGATGTAAACTTCTTAAATCTCGGACAAATGTGCAAAAATTCACGACTGTAGTTTTCATTTAATAACTTTCCACCGGCCTGTAAACAACCGGCCTTCTGTCTTACCTGCAGGTTAGCATCCATGTGCTTGTGCTTGTCAAGTTAGCACAGGCAGCCTTCATACAACTTGATGTACATGTTCTAAATCAGATTATACCAGACTGTGCCATCCTGTAAGATATTATCTGTCATCTAACACATGATCAGCATTTCAGGCCCACAGTAAAAGACGTACTTTTAACCAGTTTAAATGACTAGGATCGGGTTCCACTGAACTCAAGAAATGATGTATAATTGTTGAGTTGACCGACAGTTTGTATCAAACAGTATCTAGTTGCAAAGAAGTGCCACTTGTACTGGAGTGTTTTTTTTTTTCTCTCACAGTGAAACTAGATTTTTTGGGGGGTTCTTTTTGCAGGAAGGGAAATCGATGTTTGGACCAATTTTGTTGCAGATTTTACTTTGATCCCACCAGTACTGGTATTTGAACAACTCCAGGTGACCTTGTTTTAACAGAGGATATCTAGATGAGGGCTCTTAGATTTGTTGTGTGTGATTGGGTTTGTTGCCGACGGTTGTTTGGTTTCAGTGGTCATAACAAGGCATCATATCGGTTTCAGTCTGTTTTTCAACCTGTCAAACCTCCTTATTGTGCCTTTAAGCACACATTTCAAAGACTGTTTGATTCCAATCATTATTAGGGATAGGGACAGTGGGACTTGGTACCAAATTTTAAAAGACCTGAATATCTGTAAAGTTTGATCTTATCAATACTGCTACATGAGTCTCATTGTTCCTGTGATCTGGTCCCTGCCCTGCGTTTCAGTTGAGAGAACTTGGTCAATATTCAGTTGCTGCTGGGACAGTCATCCGCCTTGTGCCTAAACTTGAACTGAAAATAGTTATCATTCATCATGAAACCAGCATGAGAAAAGCCAGTAAACAAATACAACCAGAATATGACGGAGTCTCATCCATAATGTTTGAGTATCATTGAGCTGGTGAGGAGACTGCAGTAGAAGTGAATTTGACAGCTAACTGAGGCCCTGCAAGACTCAAACTGATGGCAGGGCAGGCAGACGGGTGGAGAGTTGTGAGCAGCAGAGTGGTGGAATTATGAGGGAAAGAGGCAGAGAGAGCGCTTAGAGATTGTGGGAGTAATCCCCTGGCCATCTGTTGCTCTCTCCCTCTTTCACTGGCTCCTCCTGATCAGATACAACAGCGAGCACAAAGAGGGAGCAGCAGCAGCGACAGATGCTGATGTCACTTCCTGTTCCTCTTTTCCAATTTAAGGACCTCCAGTGATGAAACCAGTGTATAACACATCTACACATAATGTTAGTTTCTTTGAAGGCACTAAAAATCCCTTTATTTCAGACCGATAATTCATTCACTTCTCTGCTTAAAAATGCAGTGTGTGGAATTTAAAAGCATGACGCAAAACAGACCTGGTAGAAATGTAGGCGGCCGTCTTTCCCTGCCATGTTTTGGCCTTTCCAAATGTATCAGCGGAAGAATGAAGGAGTGGTTGTTGTGCACTGAAAATAATTTTCAATGATAGACATTTCTGATTATGAGAGCCCGACAAGTGGAGTTTTATATGTCATGCATCTCAGAAGAAGTCGGTGAAGGAGCGTTTCAACCTGACTGCTAGATGTCATAATATTCTCATTACTGCACCTTGAAGTGTTGGATGATTTTTCTGTATCATTTTGGGATTGAAATAACAACCATTACTGTGACATAAAATCTTGTTTTCTCATTCTCAAGTGTTTCCTGAATTTGCAGGTTTTAAGATGGGCAAAGTTAGTTAAAAAGTTACATCATTTTTTCATAGTTTTTATAGAGTTGTTCAAACATGAGTGGGTGCACTTGCAGAGGTACGGCGCTGTGAAAACAAGACAGACAGGCAGAAGAAGAAAACAGTAGCTTCATGGAAAAACATGTATGAGGCTAAATGACCTTGAAGAACTCAGGATTCAGAGTGATAAGCATCAGCTCCCTTCATTATGGCCCTCAGGTTTATTGCCCTCTGCTACGTGCACCACAGCCCAACACAACACCACGTAAATTAGCACTGACGGCCACTGTGCCAGCTCATTTGCTCCAGTGACATGGAGTTTCCAAGCCATAGTGGAAAGTCATAAAAACGATCTCCCGCTACATTCCCACTGCCCCCTTTCCGCTCCATAGTGAGGTATGTACAAGACAGGAAACACTCAGAGAATCTTTTGGGCCTTTGTGATAACAGAGTTTTTTTTCCCTATTGTTATCCTTTTAAACAACTTTGGAAACAGCTTCTTTTTGGCATGAGGGAGCCACTGTTGTGTATTCTGGTTCACTTTATATTAATTGGAGAATGTGAAGACAGAAAGGGAAACAAATAAATACTTCTCTCCCAAACAATTAATGTGCACAGAGCGAATACAGGATTTAGCATAAAAATATGAAAGCGTCATAGGTGCTGCTGTCATCCCATCCTCTCCATCTGCCAGCTCAGGCTCCGGAGGTTTAGTAGGTTACATGCCTGAACACATAACCCTGCAACAGCAATCACAATTAATCCTCTCCAAAGCGCTTCATAATCCCATAAAGGTTATTGTATAGATGCATCAAGGGGCTAAAGATGGTGGATATAAAAATAAACACAAACAAGCTTTTTCCCCCATTTATATTCTCCTATATTTTGACATTTTAAAGATTTTCAACTTATAATTTTGTCTTCATTCAGTGACATTGACTCACTTTTGCTTTTTGTTTGTTGTGGGTCTGTTGCATTTTGTGATTTTAGTTTAGGCCGATTCTTTTTAAGATTGTTTTTATACTGAAGTTGGTATTTCACAATGAGATGAAGTCATTTATTAACTCTACCAAAAATCAGGAGACAATATTGAGTATAATGCTGTGCACCTGTAAAATGTATAAGTCTTTGCATCATTTTCATTCAAAAGCATTTCTTTCAGCATGGCCAAGTATGATCTAAAAGCCATTTTTAGATTGACATAATGATAATTGTGCAACCACATAAGGAAACCTGACAGTCAGAAATAGAAATGTAATAACAAAAGTGGTCATGGACTTGTATTTGTTTCTGTTTGTAAGCTGCAGCAGAGAGTAGGATTACTTCTCCAGGGGTTTTCTCAGTGCTTTTATATAAGAACAGATTTTGTATCGAGAGATTAAATAAAGACCAGTTTTCAGCGACAGTTTATATAAGTTCAAATAAGAGGTAAAGAAGTAATCGGAAACAGGAAATATGTATTTATCTTTTATAGAGTTTGTGTCATCTTCATATTACTGTTCATGCAGGGGTTGTGACACATAATTACAACAAAATCTGATGTTTTTCTTTATTTGTTTTATAACATATTGACCCAAAGCAGCCCAACAAAACAATAATCTCATCTTTTTTGATGAAACATTACATGACGCACTGTTCCCCTGTAGACGACAGCGTCGTGAGGCTGTTGATGTGTTTGTGTGATTCAGCCGTCACGAGTCCTCCTCTCTCGTCTGCATATAAATGAATTTGTCAGGCTTCAGTAACATGAGGTCTTGTCCATTATTTCATCACTCATGCCTATGAGTGTATTTTTGCTTGATTTCTCCTATTGTGGTGGCACTTTTTTTTCTTTTTTTCTCGTACATATATAACCCTCATAGCTCTGCTGTGTTAACATTTGATTGTTCCTTTCAGACAGATTATTAATAAATTCAATTATGTTGAATTATCCTAATCATTGGTTTTATTTTGTTTTGCAGTGAAAAAAGCCAAGCTCCAAGGACCTCAAGGTGAGTGCTATTTCTACTTTTTATCATCATTTACTGTATTTTTCATCTACAGAAGCATATTTCATTCACTTCCAAAAAAAAGGAAACTGTTTTTTTTTTTAGTTCTTTTTTTCTTTGCTGTTTTTCAAATTAACTCTTTTCTTCTCTCTGTTTTTCTGACATTTTTTTTCTTCTGTTTTTCGGACTAATATTTTTCCCCTCTTTCTATTTTTCAAATTTGTATTCTGTTTTTTTTTTTTTGTCTTTCTGTTTTTCATTTTTTTTTCCTGACTAAATGAGATACTTCAAAATCCTGCAAGAATCTCATACAATCAGATAACATTAACCACCACGGCTGCTCCAAATAGTGGATTCTCCAGCTCTTGGATAATTTTGACAACGGGGTCAAAGCGAGTAAAGCATGTTATTTGTTAAACATAGGGTATTAAAACCCTGAGTATAAACCTCACACCCAAAAGAAACTAAAATTTGATTAACATGAACAAGTGGGTCATGTTTGGGTCATGATCCCAGAGAATAGGAAAAAAATTGAACAACAAAATGAAAAAGAACTCTGAAAAACAGGGGGAAAAATATTAATGATATATAATTATCAACCCAAATGGACACCGTCACATTCCTCTGTTGAATTGGAAGACCAGGAGGGCTGCAGATCACACTTGCACGTTATTTAAAGTTTGAAGTCCATCTCTGTTCTTTGTTGTCAATTTTAATCCACTTTCACCTCACAGACACTTTTGTAAAGTGATAGATGTCTTTATTGACTTACTGGTTCCTCTAGCAGTCCAGACAGGCTTAAGTTCGTTGCACGTGCCTTTATGTGTGCATGTGTGTGTGTGTGTTTGTGATAATGAGTGTTTGTCTTTCTACATTAGCCCAGGTATTACCAATCCAGTCCACCCACCTGTGGTTCAGTTCCAGCTGATATTGGCAGCAGCCTCCAGCAGCCCTCGTTCGGCGTTCATGAATGTGTGTCTGAAAGTGTTCATCATTCGCTCATTTTCACATTTAGGTTAATCACTCAAATTCTGTCAAGTCACTGACAGCGTGGGTTGACTTTGCGTTATGTAATCTGATGTCCTTCCACCCCAGGCCCTGCACAGGTGAGCTTAGATCGCTGGCTGCTTAGCCCAAATCCCCTCGCTCTCGACCCATGCAAATCCTCTGGCGTTCAGCCTCGCACCTTTCTCTAAGCCATGTGACATTTTTAACAAGAGCAGGCAACGCGGAGAGAAAGCCATCACAGCTTTGGATCAGGTGGTGACTTTTACTCTCAGTGTCAGTCCCTGGGTGACCTAGTGTTCGTTGGGGATAATTGCTAAAAGTATTACCCAGCAGGTCTTTGCATTTGTTCAGCTGTTATCCTCATCCTTTTTGGGAAGCCCTTTTTTTAATGCATCTGCACTGTGTCACAAGTCGTTTGCTGAGCTTAGATATGCGTTTGAGATTGTTGCTGATTGATGCTGCCTTTTCTGTTTGTCTGTGCCCTCCTCCCTCACCTGTACTACAGCACATGTGACACCTGCCCCAGAGCAAACACGGAGGATAATTCAGTTAGGCCTGTCGTCTCCCTTGGGCAAAATGTCAACATACTGTTTTCTGGAAGGAAGAGGAGGATCGTAATCGTGAATGAGAGTTAGAAAACTAAACTTGTTGATTTTCTAAATAACAGTAGCCTTCACTTTTGCTTGTGCTCCAGTGAGGAGAACTGATGATATTTACTTGGTGTTACAGGTCTTGATAGCAACCTGCTCAATCAGGTCTTTCAGGGAGGTATCACTTTATCTAAAACCTAATTTTCAGAACACTACCCATGTTTACAACAACAGGGGTAACCTCAGCTTCTCTGCAGTGTCTCTACAGAGCATATAAAAATCAGGGGAAGACACAGTGTTTACATTTTCACTTCAGTATTTTTAGAGCGTGGTGGCATGAATAATGTGTCATTAGTAAGTATATTCGCCACAATGGATGCTGATCAGCTTGGTAGAAAAAAGACACTACATACGCTTCCAGACTCTGACTCTGTATGCTCAATCTAGAAATTCTCCAGCACGTCTATGCCATCAGAAGGCCTGTGTGTCCTTTCACTATTTGCAAATGCAACATGCATGCTCCTGAACCTGATGAATGAGTCACTGATATAGCAAAAGTATAAAAAGCAATAGGAGCTGAACACTTCCTTTGGAGACGTACTTCCATTCAGCTATTCTGCTTTTATGAATCAGTGGCAGTGGACTCTGGTTGGTGAAGGTTGCAGACTGCAGCTTTGTGTGAATTACTGCTATATTCTGATTTCCAAAGATCCAAAGATCCAGAGATATGTTTACTAGTAACATGTAACTCATACAGCCAAACTTTATCCAAAAATCACTTAAAATCACTCAAGTTAAAGCTGCCTGCGCTCTCTAGATCTGTGCTCCGTCTTAACCCCAGTTTTCAGTGTTTACATGACTTTCTTTTGAATATTGCATCATCCTCCTTCTTATGCTTGTGGAAATTCCAAACAGGAACGGTTGTAGATTTAAGTTTAAGGAAATAAGTACATGTGTTGGGAAGTGATAACCTTTACTTGCTCTTCATAGGGGCGTGTGATTTATTGGAAGAGCTCTCCGAGTTTACATAAGGCTGGTCTGGGATGTGTGTTTGCTCTGTGCTGTCACCACACCCACAGATGGATCATGCTTACTAAAGAATTAGTTGTTTCCAGAGATAGCGCCACACATGGAAGTGGATGTGGCACAGCATGGACAAGTGGCTGTCGAGTACATGCAACACAGGGGCTCGATGAAGGCTGAGTCCACACACGCTGTATGATGTTTGAGCTCAGAGTTTTCTGCCCTGTTGAAACCTCCAGTGAGGTTGTCCCAGCAAAGGAAGGGAAGCCCTGTGATAGGTTTGTGTCTTCTGTTGTTTGCAATATTGATGAGTGGTTTGAATTGGAAATGTCAGCCTTCCAGCTGTGTGCATTTTCCTGACTAATTTATCGAAAAACTCATCATCAGTCAATAATGGATGAACACACTTGACTTGAGGTCTCAGTGGTGAGCGGGTGGTTCACAGGCAGGAACCCAAAGTTCTGTCACTAAACATGGACAGGACAAGACGCTGGCTCCATCTCAGAATTTACCTCAGCTAATCCCTCCTCTGGACAAACCGACTGCTGTGCATGTCATGCTTTCACTTTGTCACTTTGTGTGTTTGGTTGGTTGATGTCACTGTGTTTGCATAGTGTGTGTGTGTGTGTGTATTGAAAGAGATGATAAGGGTGCTGACAAAGAGATGTGTGTTTTGATGGATTTTGTTGTATTAGGTCCAGTTGTTCTTGGATTGAGAAAATTATAACTTGGATTAACTTGCAGTTTAAGTGATGTAATCTTGAGTGTGTTTGTGTGTGTGTGTGTGTGTGTGTGTGTGTGACCCTATATTTAAAATACAATGGTGTTTATGTAGGCACAGTGACAGCTGAACTCACACTTCTTAAATAGAATAGAATAGAATAGAATTTTCCTTTATTGATCCCTCATGGGGAAATTTTTTTTTGCCACAGCAGCATCACAGACAAAGATAGTGCAAAAATGCAGTTATAAAAATAAAGATCATAATATTAAGAACTTAAATAAATGTTATAATTAAGAAAAAAATTTAGAAAAAGGAAAAAGGGAGAAGAAAATAAAACTATATCAAAAGTAAAAGAAAACAAAGCGCTAGAGTCATGAAATGCACATCCATGGTTGGAATATGCAAAACACAACACTGCTAATTAAAAAGAAAGACAAAAAAGGTGCAAAAAACAACAATAAAAAGGCAAAAACGTAAACACTGTGAAGAGTTGCTGTGACTTGCTGCCACTCTCAGGGCGCTCAGTCACCAAAAAATAAATAAAAAGATAAATCGTGAAGTTTTAAGTTCCTGTGATAGTAAAACTGCTGTAAGGTACTTTTAGTTTGTGTTGTTTTTAGCGCCCCCTGTGGACAAAGTGGTATTTATTGTTTCTTGTCCTGCGCATGCAAGAGTAGCAAAAACCTGCTATGCTACACTCACACCAAAAAGGCAAATATTTAAATATATTGACTGTCAAAGCCTCGGGGTTAGTTAAAGCCTAATAAAAATGGATTCTCATGAAACTCACGTCGATATAATTAGAGTTTTTTTTTGTTTTTCACAGTCATTAGCAGAGAAGATTCCATATAAAAACATTGACATCTATTGCAGTTCCTCATAAACCAAAAGTTGAAGATTTTCTAATTTTTTGGGAGGGTTTATGAGTGAGTGTGTGTGTGTGTGTGTGTGTGTGTGTGTGTGTGTGTGTGTGTGTGTGTGTGTGTGTGTGTGTGTGTGTGTGTGTGTCTTTAGATTGACCGAACCAATCTAGTTTTTATTTATTTTTATTTTCTTTTGTGTACCAACATCAGTACTCTCTTTGTTTTCCGAGCAGTTCCTGCTTCTTCCTCCTCCACAGTCTGCACACAGCACCTGCTGTAAAGGACCCACTGCCACTAAGTGGCTCTTATCTAATCCATACATCCTCTTCTCTTCTCTTATCTCAGCTCTTCTATTCATGGGAGTCGGCCCAAATGTGGCACAAGGCATGGACTATCTAATAAAGGAAAGGCTTGAGCATCCCCCAGGCTGCTTTGTTATAATGCCTGTTTTGTACTGTCCTCTCGTTACACTAATTAGCTTTGTGTCACTCATGCTGCTTGCTTGAAAACAGTGTCTTTTTTAAGGGGCCCCGTGGGTGTAAGAAAAGCTTTAGGGTCAAAATTTGATGTTTGGATTTGTTGTGTGTGGTGTGAAGTATTATACGAATCCAGTATTGTAAACAGTTTGTGTGTGGTCCTGTTGTGTCTGGAGTTTACTTATCTGGCTGCTGTGGTAAAGGCGCCGGCAGTGTAACAGAGTAAATGTTTTAATATGTTGCTGCGGTAACCAGGAAAATCTTTGTTTAGTGAGGTCAGATGGATGGCCTTTGAGGGAGCAGCTGATGCCCTGCTTTTATTTCCCATCAAGCACAAAGGAAGTGTGTGTGTGTGTGTGTGTGTGTGTGTGTGTGAGAGAGAGACATATAGAGCGAGCTCATGCATAAGAAAATGAATACTTTTCAAATTTAAAATATGAACCTTTGTGAGAACTATATATTAAGATTCTTATTTTCTCACAGTAAAATAAGGATATCTTTGGTGTGAACAGTCTGTTTTCTCTCTTAACCTTAAATGTAACCTGTTGGATGGGAGGCTTCATTGGCTGTGTTTTTACACCAATTGATGCAAGTCCTGCTCCAGTCTTTTTTAAAAAACTCTTTTGCTACGTCAAGTGTTCTCAGTGGTGGTTAAATTGTGATTATGAAGTTTTTTTTGCCAAAATCATGTTACCTGGGCCATTTTCAACAGCTTTTCTTCTGCAGAGCTCCAGTAGCTCATTGGCAATTCTCCTCTGAGTCGTGGGCGGAGACAGCGCTGCTCTGCACACTCCTCTTCACACTAGCTTGCAGTCTAACATTGCCAGTATAGTACAAGTGGCAGGTAACATAGGAGCTACTCAGCTCTCGGACACTAATGTCTTTGGAGACATGATGAAAGTTAATATCATTATTAGCTTTCTTATGAGCATTGCAATCCGCCGGTCTGCATAGCGGCTCTGGGGGCGGAGCTTGGATTTGTGACGTAGGAAATCATGTTCCCAGAACACATTAGTGTCCAAGAGCTGATAACTCCTTTGTTACCTGCCACTTGTACTACACTGGCAATGTTAGACTGCAAGCTAGCATGAAGAGGAGTGAGCAGAGCAGCGCTGTCTCCGCCCACGACTCAGAGGCGAATTGCTAATGAGCTACTGGAGCTCTGCACTCTGAAAATGACACAGGTAATGTGATTTTGGCTGAAAACTTAATTATTACAATTTAAAGACCACTGAGAACACTTTAGGTAGTAAAAAAAAAGATTGGAGTAGGACTTCAAGCCAGGTGTCAGAAGATAAAACAATAAAACAGTGAATATTAAAGAAAAAAAAAGTCTTAATGTTAGTATTTTTTTTTTCCACAGTATTACGTCTGTGGCCAACAAAGACCTTTAAAATGCGTTGTGCAGACCCAACACCCTTAATGACGAAATTATTTGTCCATCAAAGCAGAAGTTTTCTGACAATTTGAAAAAGAAAAAAGACTCTGTGTGGCTTTGCTACGTGTCTGTCATCTGTCAGGAAGCATTAGATTTGAAGGTGTGGAGACCTGTCTGAGCAGAAGTCCCTATGATGTAATACTTATTGCCCATCCAGCATGTCAAATAAAAACAGTCACCCAGCATCCCTGGCTGCTCATGTCTCCATGTAGGGGGTAGAGTTTAACAGCTAGAAAATGGGAGCTGCAGGAAGGACCACCAGCGATGCTGCCCTGTTAACAACCCGAGCGAATCCGAGCACATCAGCCAGCACGTGTCAGCGCTTCCTCAACCTACTGCTGGAAATGAAAAGCGGTGGTTGTGTCATGGGCAGTCTAATCCCCCTCAACCCCACTCACCCCTTTGCCCCACCCAGCACCGACAGCTGGTGCAGACGCTTGTTGTGGCTCCACTGTCCGACATTACTGGCTGAGAGACGGCTGATGGAGATCACTAGGTGTGAAAGTTGTCTACGCAGACTGACAGATTGACGGACTAACAGATATTCAATTGAAAACACGTCTCAACAGCCAGTTTGAAGCCAAGAGAGTTCAGAGAAGTCATTCACTTTGGGCTTTGCTTTTAGATCACACTGTTTGCTAAGGCTGCCTTCACCCCTGACCTCTGATTTTCAGTTTCAGCCTTGATGGCATCAGGTTTGACAGGGACCTTTTCTGCAAAAGTAACAGGTCACATGTGGCTGCCATTTCATAACATCAGCAAACCACCTTTCTGTTAGGTCCAGAGGAGCTCAAACAGAAGCTGTAGTTCACAGAGCAGGAGAGGCAAACAGGAAGTTGGATCCTGGACTTGTATCTGCCGTGTGGGGTTGGCCCTCTGTGGAGATTAACAGGGTCAGTTTGCTGGCCTGACTTGGCTTGACATAGTTGGGGGAGGAGACTTATCAGCCCTCACTCTCACCAGAGGAACTGCTGTCCTTTTCACCCTCACAGAGCTGAAGTAGAACAGGTTTGGTCACTGTTACAGAAACAGTTTGAATCAGTGAACCATTTTCTCCATGAAAAGTGTCTCATTTCATGGCACACAAATGTGTGTCTTTGAACTTTTACACATTTATGTTGTATTTGATCCTGCAGTTGATGAAGAAAAGTAGCTTATATGCCTCCAGCAGGCACTGGTGTGGTGTGCTGCCAAGTGCAGAGTTGCTGGGATAAAGGCCAGCACCTGTAAGTATTGCCCCCTCCCCAGGAGGAAAGTGGAGCTGAACCAAAATGAAGGACTTTTAGTGTCTCAGGGTCTTGTTAACAAGTGAGGAGAGAATGCATCATGAGTTTGACAGCTGCAGCAGTAATGTGGGTGTTGCACTGGACTGATGTGATGGAGAGGGAGCTGAGCCATAAAGCAAAGCTTTTGATTTAGCAGTTGATCTAACCCTAACCTTATGAACTGTTGGTGTGATTTAGAGTATGAGATTGGGGAAATATACAGTTATAATCAGGTTCTCTGAGGAGTGGCTGGGCTCAGCCTGAGAAAGAGAGAGAGAGCGTGGAGCTCGGACATCCAGGGCAGCTTGAAGCAGAGTTGTGCCTCAATGGCAATGATAAAGTAAGGGTCATCTACATGTCCCCTGTAGGATTGTAATCAACCAAAGAAGTTCTTGGTCGACTAAAACCCTGAAGTTTTCAACCAAAAAATTGACTAATGGGGGGGTAGGGTTCCGACTCTGATGGCAAACCCATCTGTGGAGGGGTGAAAATATACTGATATCAGCAGAAGAAGGCAGATAAACACGATGAAAGTTGAAACGCTCAAAATAAAAGTAAATATTTGGTAAACCACCGGACGTTGATTAACGTGGACGTTCTTGGTTTTTCAAATTTCCTGTCTCTAGCCGGTCTCCAGTGAGTTGGGCGAATCCAAAATGGTGAAAAGACAGGCTGTTACCTGTGAAACGAGGGTACTTTGAAAACATCCCCATTAACACTTGGTACGTCCCTCCTGATGAAATGAACCATAGACTGTAAATTGGGGCGGAAAAAAATTTAGTTCTGGTCGACTCATTACATACCGACCAGTAAGTCGACGAGGACTTTACAGCCCTTGTCCACTGAGCACATCTTTTTGAAGGTCTTCTAAGGCAAATACATTTGTAGGAAATCCTGAGGTAGATCCAGGCTGTCCTGCATGGGAACTGGAAAGCTTTGCAAGAGAGAGGGGTGTCTGGAGGAACTTGTATAGTCTACCCCAACTCAGCTCTGGATGGGCAGAAGAGAATGGATGGAGGATGTTTGGATGGGTAATACACAGTATTCCACAAACTCACTGTAATTTAATCACATTTCTTTGTCTGTTCCAGAAAAGTTCAACACCTATGTGACACTGAAGGTCCAGAATGTCAAAAGTACAACTATCACTGTGCGGGGGGACCAGCCTTGCTGGGAACAGGATTTCATGTTGTAAGTGAACATATCCTTTAAGTCTCTATGTATAGGTTTGATGTCAGACAACTTGGACCTATCAAAGTACACCACAGACACAGAAAGCAATGCGGCTTCAAACTCGTAGAATGACAGAAGACGGAACCAAGTTGTCCATAGTATATTCCTGTCTATGGTAACAACAGATTCTCCACCGTCATCATTGAAACAAATGAGGAGATATTTTAGGAGGAATGGTGTTTATTCCTCTGGTAGAGATCCAGATTCATCTTTATATTTCTTAAAGCGATGACCTGGTTACGTAGTCTTTTGTTTTTTAACAAGCCAAGCATTTATTTCCAGGAAAACACCTTGATAAACAGCTGCCGCTCATTTCCCTCTCATATTCAGGGGTTTAATTTCCTCATTTTACCCTTGCTGTGAAAGGTATCTATGGTGACAAGAGAGCAAGCACCTTGTTTCATGTGTGTCATTGTTTGTCTTTTGTGAACTCCCTCATTGCAACACTGTTTATTTTTCCAGGCCTTCATCCCTCCTCTGTCCATTAATGATGCATCAGCCAAATTAGTCATTAATCATTACCGCTCACCGAAGCTCCCAGCGCCACCTTTTCCTATAAAATAGATTTATAGGGGATGACTCAGCTCTTATGTAAAACATTTTGAAATGTAAACCTAGATTGAATTAGTGGCAGTTTATTCTGTTATTATTTTTGATAACTAAAAATATATTTTAAATACGTTAAATAAGGACAGGATTGACATTTACTACCTCAATGCCATGGACATTGTGTAAAATGACAATTAAACAAGAATTTGACGATTTCCAAATCATTTGAACTCTATGTGGTATTAAACATAGTGCAAAGATAACACTAGTCAGTGATTTCCAAAAAGATTGACCAGTTTTGATTTGTCAGACTGCAAGAAGCATTTTCTACTTACTCTTAGTGCAAATTAAACAGTTTCAGACCCTGAGAAGTCGTTGGCATATATAAGGATTTGCAAAACTGTGAAATTGTGTTTTTATCACAGCGTCAAAACTCCTTATAAAACTGGGGATGTGATATGCAGGATGGAAAAGTTCTTCACTTGACCTGTTATTGGAAGTTAATTTATTTTTTAGTTTTGTAAAAGTGATCCTGGTGAAACTAAAAGAACTTGCTGGAGAACGGTCTTACTTACATGTAGAAATGTCAGGTTCTAGTCAAAGAACAGCTTTGTTTTACAGTCTCATTTTATATAGTAGTCTTTACAACAGATGTCTTTCAGTAAGATTAGCAACAGCCGGGTTTGAACGCCTTACTGGATTCATTTATTCAGCGCAATTTTGAATGAGCAAATAATTTAGAGAGCGTACATCTCTGCACCTGGCACCCTGGTTACTCAGCCCCCTGCCCTGCTGTTCTCTCAATTAGCTGCTCCCTTTGATTATCTCTTCTCTCATCTTCCTTTTGTTAAGCCTTTTGTTAATCATACCTGCCGCAGACGAGAATATGCAAATGTCTTGAGCCCTTGTCGTGCGGCTGCTTTCAAATTCGATATGCCATTTTGCTGCTGTCATCAAGCTGTTGTTTTTTTTTTAGCTCTCTGAACAGCAAGTTGAATGACAACATAAGGCTCGATTGTGTTATAACAGCTAATACGCAACAAAAAGAGGAAGTATCCTTTGTTATCATCTCCCAGTCATAGAGCATGGCAGCAGTTATGGGTCATTGAGAGTTGAGTGGCATCAGGGAAAAGTTTGCTCTTATTTGCTCACAATTTGTGGATCACACCTATCCCTAATGTCAAATTTACACCGTGAAACCTGAATGCTTTCTTTCTCCTCAGTGAGATCAACCGGCTGGACCTCGGGCTCATCGTTGAGGTGTGGAACAAAGGCCTCATCTGGGACACCATGGTGGGGACCGCCTGGATTCCTCTTAAGAGCGTCCACCAGTCAGAGGAGGTTAGAAATGCACTAACGCTTGGTTTATGTTGTCTAGAAACGGAGCATTTAATACCAAAAACCTTGGATGGGAATACATTTACTCATAAACCTGAAAAGATCTGAAAAGAGTTTTTAATTGAAAAAAAAAATCATATTTCATTTATTAATATTGCGTTTTATGAAAAGGTTTACATTAAAGGTCGTTACACACCAGCAAATTAGCAAAGCAAATTTGTAAAGTGAATAATTCTCTTTTTCTAAAACCTCAAAGTCAATTCAAGCTCCAACACCGACTACGAACTTCCACAGGGCAAAAAAGCGACTGTAATTTTTTCACCCCTGTGGCGAATTTTGCGAACATTCACAGGTAAACTGCTTTATAAATCTATAGCCTAATATAAATCTTAGCTCAGACATGTTGTAAGCCGTTACTCTGGATAAATCAGTAATTTTTCCTCTCCCTCTACAAACGTGGAGTCAGCTGATGGAGCAGTTCTTGAAATTGTCTGAGGGACATTCAGGATACGATTTAAGCTCCTGGGTTGTTGTGTGGAGCTCCCCAGTCTTCTCTCGCAAGGACAGTATTGGATGTACCCAGACACTTTGATTCTTCTTTTTCTTTTTGTTCTTTAATAGGCTTACAACCACGACTAGGTCGTCATCACTTGAGGATGTAGTCACCAATGTTTCTCCCTCTTCACTCTCCCCCTCTTTTTTCTCCTGTGGTGTATTTTTATGCGAATATCCAAATTTTATTCACGTCACACCAGGTGTGTATAGTTTTTCACGTCACTTGGCTAATTCGCCGGTGTGTAACGACCTAAAGAGATGTACTAGGAAACATTAATGGGGTGGATGGAAGGTACAACAACAGTCACAAAACGGACAGATTTCTCACACAGATCAAAATCAAAACTGTTGAATTGCAGGAAGGTTCAGGCGAGTGGATCTGTCTGGATGCTGAGGTCCTGATGAAAGCAGACGAGATCTACGGCACAAAAAACCCAACACCTCATCGAGTCCTGCTGGATACTCGCTTTGAGCTGCCTTTTGGTGAGAAATCTTAACATGCAGAAAAAAAATAAGAAGTACCAATGAGTAAACCGCAACAACAAAAGTTTGTATGCTTATGTAAGACATTTCCATGCTAGACTGGGTGCTTCAGAGACAGAGTGGGTACATTAGTGAAGCTGGTTACCTGAGGGCAAATCAAATCTTGATCCACTGACTTACTAAAAGGTCATCCATGGACACAGTTGAAATGTCACCAGGCAGTAGCTCAGGTTAGACAGAACCAGTGATCCACCCTGGAGCCTTTAGTCTTTATTGGAATACTATGTACTCAGCTCAAAATAAAAATGTAATACTTTACAAGAAAGAGGTTGGAGTTGTAATTTTGTGTTCTTGACGTCGTATCAATCAGCTGAATAATGAGAAGAAGAAAATTTCTGTCACCAGCTTTCAGCTTCTAAAAGGTCCCATGTCTTTATCTTTGTCTGGTTCAGCTCGGGGTGAGGAGTGTCTGTCCTGCTTAATTGGCATTGACTCAGGAGGGGCAGATCTTCTGTTATTCACTTAGGCTCAGTAAATAGAATTTTGCCTTTAAAATGTTGTCCCATTGTGGCCAACTGGGTTAAGAAACCAGAGTATGACTGCAGGAGCGTTAAGGTCCATTAACCACTTACAGTCTAACGACTTAAATACAATCACTCACAGCAGAATTTACAGTTAATACACATTCTGAATGATGTTCAATGTCATTCTTACTGCATCTATAACTCCTGAGGAAAAAAAAATCTAAATCTCTAAAGGGACAGGATGTTCGACTTAATGAATTAAAGTTAAATGAAAACAAAAGTAGAAGATACTAAATTAAGAGCACCGAAACAGCTCAATAAAAGACAATCCTGTCATTAAAACTATAGAGATAAATGCTAAAACACTCAAACAAAGTTAAGTTAATGATATAAAATTTAGTTAAAAGCAAGACTAAAACGGTACATAGACATCTATGTTGACCGTACAATGAATCCAGCAGTTTTTCTAAGTGCTGCCTGCTGCTGGACGTATATTTGATGAGTTAATATGTTGAATTGCTAATACAAAATTACTCTATTGAATGTCTTCAACAATCACGACTACTGTAGCTACTTCAGTTCTGTTCATTAGGAATTATGCCAGAACATACAGTATATATATCATTAGATTAATATGAAAACAGGGTATTTGAAGTCCTATTGATACCGAGCAGTTTGTCTTTAATTATGTTGTAGTTTTGTGTAAATTGACCATCTAAAGGAAAAAAATTGGATGCACTTAAAGACTGGAGGTTGAAATGTCCCCTCCCTCTCCACAGTCTCTGTTTTGCCAGATCTGATCTCGTGGCTCGAGCCTTGAGATCAAAAGGCATCAAAGTCAAAGCAGGGCGTCTGTTCACTGAGTGGGAGAGAAGCTCTTTCTCTGTTTTGAGAGAAAACCTTTCAAGATTGCAGGAGGCCATCATGACTATCTGTGCCACCAGGGCCATTTATTAAAGCCGTTGGTCACTTTGTCTTTGAAGCCCCGGCCTTTGTGTCTGTGGCCTTTAATGTGCATCTGTTTACAGCGTGGTGCACGTCTCTTTTAGCCGTAGAAAAGCTTGAGACGACCTGAATCAGGATTTTAAGGTTTAGTTTGTTACTTTTAGCACGATCTTAAGCATTTCTCTACCTTCTCGTACTTGTTCCTATAACACAAAGAAAAGACAAGAAATCTATTTTTGGTCTCTTAACAGCTGGTGGTCATTGTAACTATTTTCATTTCATGGTTTCAGAGGCTTATGAGAAATTAAAGAGGCATTAAAGTATAATGATACTGACTTAGAACGTGATGTTTAAGCACTGAGAGAGCAGGATGTTATATTTAAAGATATATTAACCTGTATGTTTGTATGTGCCAGACATCCCAGATGAGGAGGCGCAGTACTGGACTGGGAAGCTGGAACGCATCAATACCATGAGAATCCATGATGAGGTAAAGGACAGATGTTACTACATCAAGGAATTAAGTAAATTAGAACGCTGTTATGTTAAACCTACTGTGTGCAGATGAAGTAGAATTTTTTTGCTATCTTTGTTTTTTATTAAAAAGATGATCCCAATTTTTTAAGAGTTAGGACGCTGTACTAAATCATAATTAAAATAGAATTTGATGTGTTTCAATTCATTTCAATCCATTTTCACAAGAAAACTATTTATAAGCATGTTCCAGAAGTGCTGGTCAAACTTTATGAAGTGAAACTGTCCTGTGGTCTGACAAATCCACATTTGACATTCCTTTTGGAAGTCATGAACAAAGTATTCTCTGTTGGCATGGATAGCTGACACAACCGGGAAGGCAACGTTAATGCTGGACAAATATACAAGTTTTGAAGGAACAAATGCTGCCATCCAGACAAAGACTACAACAAAAAAAAAAAAAAGGAAGGCAGACTACATTTAGTGCACATTACAACAGCATGGCTCCACAGTAGAAGAGTCCAGGTGCTAAACTGACCTGCCCGCAGAGCTTACTTGTCACTTTTTAAAACTATAAAACTATTGCTGCATCAAAACACAAAATTTACCATCAAGGACACCCCAGCTGAAGTCCTGTATTAGATAAGACTGGGCAGTTTTACTTTCAAAACCCTGAAACTGGTCTCCTGGGTTACCAGATGTTTACAGTCTGTTGCCAATAGAAGAAAAGATGCAACCCACCACTGAAAACACCCTGTCCTGGCAGTTTTGATCAAATTAAAAATGAACTGTTTTTTTTTTTTTAAACAATACCCTTTTTGTTTCAACATTTCATATGTTTTCTTTGCACTACTTTCATCAAATATGATGTTTAAATGATTTGTTAACCATCATACTCCGTCACATTTCACACAATGTCCCAGCCCTTATGGAACTGGGCTTGTATTTGCATGTTACTGTATTGAGCATCTTATTTACATCATGCTAATGTATTTTTATGCATCAGGAATTGGAGAGGCACAAGTTTACTGCTGTATTAAAAATAGAATTATGAAGATTTCAGAGAAAATACACCTGATACCTGTTTTTTTCTCTCTCATCTATTGTAGTACCCTCTTCAGGATGTCATTCAGAGCCATCCGCTGCCGTTTGCACCTTCTCAGTGTTGTGAGTCTGCTTGCATGTACTACTCTTGTCCTCTAGATGGAGACAGTTCTCCACTATTACAGTTCTGAAGCCCTTCTTTTTACTGTTGCCATCACTTCCTTGACCCTTTTGCACTACCTAATGTAATAACAATCTAATCCTTTCTGTCAGAGTTGAAAATAAAGATTATGCTTTTTTTTAAATCCAGTCTTTAACTCTTTTTAAAAAACTGAACTCATGTCATTTATTCTTACTGATGGGACAGTGTAAGTTTCTTTTCCACTCTGAAAACCACCGATGACCATGCATCCACCTACTGTTGAAGCACAGGGGCACTTTATTATTTTCACAACCCCTACATCCTCTGATTGTACCTCTCACTTGTAAAATCTGCACTTTTACCAGGCAACTATTTCGGATGGGCTGACCCACTGAGTATGTAAAACCCACTTTAAATCAAATTCTCCCTCTGACCAATCCTCTATCCCCTTTGCATGTCCTAATGCCCAATACTTCAAGTAACATTTGACCCGTAAGGCTCCCTTGCATTTAATTCTCATTGCTTCACTCTAACACTTGATTTCCCCGATGCTTTCCCTGAATCCCATATTTCTACTTGCCGTCCTGCTCTTGATGTTTCCCTATTTACGTTGCTCTCTGTTGACAGCATTATTGTCATAACCCATGTTTACATCGTAAATTATTATGTTTACGATGTATTATGTTTTGTTTATTATGAGCCATAGTTCAGTACAACTTATTGAAAGCCCTTATATTGGCCTTTATAATGTTCTAATTTCTTTTAACGGTTTCAGTGAGACTTTGTTTAATTCCTCTTTAGTATTGAGATTGAAGGTACTGAACAAAAACCTTTTTAAGTGCTTGTTAAACAATAGAAAAAGTCTAAATTGCAGTTGCCATGACATTTTATTTGCTTCTCACTTTTCATTGAGAGATACCAGCAGATCCAGTTTGACTCTCACGTCTTTCATTTGGAAGGAGGCTTGCACTTATAGCAATAATATAGTCTTTAAAAGGGCGTGCCCTGTACCTATGAACCTCAAAGCCTGTAGTGTTTTCATGAACATCTAACGAGGGTGAATCCTCCACTTTGGGTCAGTGATGAGCAGAATATCCTTGCCTGCTGTTTCAAGTAGAGTCTGCACAATCATTCTCCAAGAGATCCATGTATTGAACTTCTCCTGTTTGCCTGTTGCAGCTCTGGATGATCAGGACAGTGCTGTAGATGACCGGGATAGCGACTATCGTAGTGAGACAAGTAACAGCCTGCCTCCTCGATACCACACGACGGCTCAGCCCAACTCATCAATGCACCAGTATCCCATGGGGCCCAGGCAGCAGCACCATCCAGACTCCTGCACAGACTCTGTCCACAGTTTTGACCTGGACTATAGGGACCAGAGAGGGAACAGGTAAAGAGTAACCACAGGGTCATCCATACACTAAAATCTGTTTGCCTCGGCCATAATGACAGGGTTTGATTTGAAGCTCAAGCCAGTTACATAAGTCAGTTTTCAGCAGTCCCTCTGATAAAAACACCTGATTAAATCAAATGTAATATAGCATGATGTCATTGTTGATGTTTCAGAGTGTACTAATATCAGAAAAAAGCAAAGCCTTCCAGCACACAACTATTTTAAGCTGTTCAAAGTCTAAATTTGCAAACGAGTGCCAATGTAGATAATGCTGCATCAGAGAAACACGGGATTACAGCGAAGGGGAGTTTTTTCACATTACAAATGCTCTGGACTTGATTTAGCCTTATCACTGAGGAAATCCTTCTGTCACACACTGAGGGAGTGGGTCGGGGGAAAAACTCACGCAGTTCCTCAGTGATTAAAGCATTGTTGCTTATACACCATATGGTGGTGATTTAGCACTATGAAAGAGTGCTGTCTCTGACTGAGGGTCATAGTGCTGAAAACCATGACCGCCTCTGTTAGGATTTAGAAATATAAGGCACGTTCAAACATGGAGAAAAATGTACTTATGAACATGTTTGTTTCCCGTGTACATTCAACAATTGTCATAATGCTTAATTTGTGTTTTCATTTTCTCTCTTGTTTGTTTGCTTCTTTTTTCTGTCCCTGTATCCATTCCCATTCCTTCTGACATCTGTTGTTTTCACCTAAGTAGATCTTTAAACCAAAAAGGAAGGGTCAGAATTATACCTGTAGATTCTGGTATGGGGGTGGACGACTGGGAAAACAAGTACAAAGGAAAGGGGAAGCCTCAACTGAGCGACTTCTTGGATGATGAGGAAGACAACATTATCCTTCGAATGGGAAGACCCATTTCTGAACCGCCCCACAACCACCAAAACACTCAGCGTAGCGGCTTTCTTCCTGCCACATACCCTGAAGGTTATGACACCATTGATCGGCGGCGAAAGAAAAAAATAAGAGACCCTGGAGGGTTGCTCAGCTCAGAGACAGACAAAATGAGAGAAAAGGCTTTTCCCTCTGACCTTGATCTGCTCCGTGATAAAAGAGGGGAGCTGTTCATGAGACAGGTTGCAGAGATGCAGGAAGAAGAGGAGCGACTCACAACGTGTCTCAAGCCATACAGGAATGGACTTCTGTACAAGACTAGGATGTGGGCCAAGACTGAACTGGACAACACGTTGGAGAATTATGTGGCATACAAAAAAGAGCAAGATGCTAGAATGAGGGCAAGGTTTGATTTTGATTTAGAGAGTTCTGAGGATCTGGACTACCCCACAGGAGCAGAGGAGAATATGGATGACATGGCCTTTAAACCTATAGATTTTCACCCAGAGAATGCAAGACATCACAGAAACAAGTTTTCATTTTCCTGTGATGGCCAGGTGGAAAACTCTCAAAGTATTCGGGAGAAGAAGTGTGGAAAAGCTAAAATTGGTGCCTGGGTTCCAGAGGCTATGCTGTCTCCTGTAGAAGAACCCAGTGATGAATATGTTGATCCAATGGATGAGCTTCAGTGTCTTGTTGAAACTGTCTCTGAGTACCTGGCTGAAAAAGAGGAGGAAATTAGTAAATACGGCTCCCTTCCCAGATCAAGCAAATCTAGGCTATCATCTCAGGGTAGTATTAGAACCGATTCGTTTGCCGAGGACCAAAATAGCTCACAAGATCCAAAGGTGGGACCCCAATCGCACACTCCATCTGATCAGAGTACTTCAGTAAAGAATGCAATGAGCTCATTATTTTCTTCTCTCTCTAACAAAGTTGGAGGAAGCCAAAAACAGTCTGCCCCCAGTCCACAAGCTCCACCTACACAACCAGCACAATCTGGACTGACTAAACTATTGTCCTTTATACCCAAGTCAAATAGCACAGCTCCTGTAGCAGTTGTGTCTCCGGTCGAAAGTTCCCCTGAACAAACGTTCAGTTCTTTGCCTTATCAGCCACAAAGTGATGCCAAGACACAGAGTTATAATCAAGACACAAAAGCCCCCACAAGAGTTCATAATCAAACAAGTAAAAATGAATATGTACCTGAGCTAGTGACCAAACCTCAGAGTTCTTCAGGAAACTCAGTCCTGGGAAAACTAAATCCTTTGAAGCTTTTTGCTGCAGGGGAAAATTCAGCTGAGAGCAAACAGGGAACAGAGTCCACATATTCTGAAAACCAAACACATTGGGATGAAAAGTGTGTTCACCAAGGTAAACAGATAAACAACACAGATGCGCATAAGACATCAGAAAAGTTCAGAATTTCTTCACAAGAGAAACAACTGAGACACAAACCAGAGACGAATGTATATGGAAAACAACCCCCCCAGAATTACAATCAGGGAACTGTTCCTGTTCAGCCAGCAAAGCCAACAGGCCAGACACAAGCAGCTAGTCCTGGGTTCTTCGGTTCTTTAAGTTCGCTGATCAGTCCAACTGTACCTGTTCCACCTCAGAGATCTTCACCTGTGGCAGTTTATCCGGTGTTCAGGTCAGGTGATGAACCCAGACTGGAGAAACCAGTTGAGGAGCCATTGTTGGGTGGTAAATTTAAGCTGCCTTTCCTCTCTTCTGAAAATATCTCCACTCAACAGCATCCTAGAGCAACGAACACTCAAAATATTGGCCAATCACATCCAGGGTCAACTTCTTCAACTACTTCAACACAGAATCCTGCTGTGCCACAGGAACAGCCAGAGAGAGGATGGTTTTCAAGTATATTTAACCCTAGCTCTGAGCCCAGTGGTTCAAATCCGAATCTAGCCGGCTATCAGCAGTCTCAGAGCTCCAAAGCACCACAAGGCCCACAAGCTCAACATTCAGCAAACCAGAAACCAACAGCAGCCCATCATGGGTTGCAGCATCAAGCTTCTAATCAACCTGGACCACAGAATTTTTTGACAGGTATCTTCAAAGGAAGCTCAACTGAAGACATCCCTCATATGAGCTCCAATCAACCCAAACAAGGAGGACTGCTATCCGGACTTTTAAAATTTGGCTCTTCCAGTGATTTATCTAGCAGTTCTCCTCAACAGGCATCCCACAGCAATCCATTACAGAGGAGCAGCCCCTCACAATTCCCTCATCACCCATCCCCACAACAGCATTCGCCAGCTTCACAAATGGGGCGCTCATCAAAGTTTTCATCAACAGGAAACATACCAAGTGAATCCCAGCTTGGTGAAGCTGAAAGGCTAAGAAATACACCTGGTACCCAATCCTCTGATGAAACACAGCAAACTCAATCTCAGGTGAAGGGGCTGTTGTCAGGCTTTCTAAAGTTTACATCATCTGAGAATATTTCGAGCAACCAAGCAGGTGAACGCCAACAGACCAGAGTTAGTCACAACTTTAAGGATTCCAACCAACAGAATTCTCCAAACCAAGTGCCTCATCTTAGAAACACAACCCCAAGTCAACAAGTTGTCCAACAGGAGACGAGTAAACCAGGCTTTACCCGCCAGCAAACTGTTCCACCTCAGCAACCACCACCCCAGAGAAGTGGTCTGTTATCTGGTCTTTTTAAATTTGCTTCAGCAGACAACGTAAATACTCAACAGCAGCCAACATCGCAGTGGCAGGCAGTCACCCCAAGTATATCAAGCTATGAACAAACAATGGCAAGAAACAACCCGCCATCTATCCAACATGAACCCCAAAATAGTTCAACACAAAGAACAAGTCTGGGTCCACTTTCTGGTTTATTTAAGTCTTCGGAAAATGTGGCTGAACAACAAAAGCCCACAAACATCCATGGGTTACGGCAAATGAAAGAGCAAAGCTGTCAGACTCATGAAACACAGCCAGAGACAGCAAGCTCTGGAGTTCTCTCAGGGTTATTTGGTAAATTAACAAAATCATCGGAAAACATTGACACAAGCAGCAGGACACCATCAGAACAAATGCTGCAACAGAGAGCCAAAACTACAATCACAAGCAAGTCCACATTTCAAACACAGTTACAGACTAGTGCAGCCCAACAAGTCGCACAAGAACAGGCAGTCAAAGAGAAAAGAAGTCCACTAACTGCCCAGCAAGGCTTCCTATCAGGATTGTTCAGTAAAAATGTTACAGAGGATCCTCCCACTCACAAACAAGGACAAGAGTCCGATCAGAATAAAGAACAACAGATGTCCAAAGAGATACCTTCAAGTACATTGAACCTTGAGAGAGATAGTCATCTCAAACATTTACCAGTCTCTCTCAATCCAGGACAAAGCAGGCATGCTTTCATCCGTGCACCTGTCTCAGTTGATACTGAGAGTTTGGACTTGAGAACATCAGCTGTTTTTGAAAGGTCTCTTCAAAATCAGGCATCATTTTCCTCAATTAGCACAGGCAATTTACCTCAGTTATATTATGGTGGTTCACTTCAGTCAGTTCGCCCAATGGCTTATAGTACAGGAAATATTCAGTCACTTCTACAAACCAGGGGGATGAACACACAACCGTGTATTGGCAGAAGCAATTCCTCCTTTCATGGAGCTACAGGACAAAACCCTTACCAAGGTCAGATTTCTCCCTATGGATCAAGTCCCAGTTATGATGAAAACCAGTGGATCCGTGAAAGTGCTCTATGGCAGCACTTTCAGAATGAGTCACTGAATTATCAGATGGAGGGAGGGGATCAAGTGTACAGGATGAGCGATGACAGTCATTTCCTACAGGCCTCTGATCTTCACTGCAGCTCGTCAAATATATATCAGCCATTACACTCCTCTACACCATGGCAGAATGCTGTTTGTCACCAAGAGCAAGTTGGACCATATCAGTTAGATGGACAAAGGAGTGTTGATCCGTTTCCCAAGAGGAAGTTATGGAACAGCTATGAGGATTTGGGAAACATGGAATACTTACCCACCGAAGAGGGTGCGTTGAACCTAACCACCAAACCAACAAATACAAAGTTTGGTAGCACTTACAGTTTGAATGGGGTGTCTTATCATGAAGGCTATTATGAGGAGACTCCACCAAGCTTGTCTTACGCAGCAAACTGGCAATATGGCAAGGAAAATGCAGTTCTACCAAATTTTCATACTAATGGCATGATCCATCAGAGTCAGTTCAACTTAAATAGGCCAATGAGTTCAAACTGTGCTCTGGGTGCCAAAACTGAGATGGAAGACTCCATGTACCTTGAAGACACAGAGTGGTACCAGCAGTGGCTTGCACTTTTGGAGCAAGGAATGTGGTGGCCAGCAGAAGACGGTGACTGTGGCTACTTTGTTTATACAGATCATGAGTACATTTATGCATTGCTTACAGATGCAGCAGGTGAATATGTGTATGCCTGTACCCCTGAGGGTGAGCTCTTGGAAAATCCCCAACAACGGGATAGTTTTCCCAGTGCTTGGCTGGAAAATGAAATGGTCTGTGTCTGTGGTTTCAAAATTCCTCTTTACAATGAGGATGAACTTCTTTGGTTACCTGGTCAAGAGCACAGCGATTCTCAACTTCTGAATGCTCCCCTAGATTTGTCTGCTGCCTACAGGAAAGGAAATCAGATCATGAATTTGAATCTTGAACAGTTCTCTGAAATGTTTGAAAATTCATTCCTGTCACAAGGGCAACAAGGCCTTGATATTACATCTTACAGATTGAACAAAGTCAGGATGGATCCAAGACATCCCAGTTATGTCTATGAAGACCAATATGGAGATGTTATTGACCTCTCCTGTCACAGTAGGGACCATGTTGGCCCTTTCTGGAATAACCAAGAAATGAAGACATTTCTTGCTCAAAAGGTTGCTGTTTCCTTGAACACTACCCCTACTTCAAATTTAAATCAGCAGTTACTTTACAACTGTTACCAACCTAGCCAAAGGCGACGTTCATCTACTGGGGTTACAGTGAAACATGTAGATGATGTGTTAGAGGAAGAATGGAGGATGAGAGTGTCAGCCGCTGAAGAAAAGCCTAATCTTCCAGTCAAAAAGATTTCTTCCCTAATATCTTCTTTTGTGGGCAAAGCACCACAGACTGAATTAAACAAAACTAGTATATCAACTAGTCAAGCTTCTGACAAAAATTCGAAAAACATCTTGTCATCAGGGTTCCAAAGCCTGAAGTCAAAGATAATCAAGGAGGACTCAACTACTGTAGTGACTCAGCCAGAAATCTCTACAAGCCAAATGCAAAGGCCTGTTACAACGCAAGGGAGAATCTTGCCAGCAGTACCAACATCTGCTCAAGTGACTCAACCCCCAGTCCAGTCACGTACAACTTCACAGAAACCAAGACTTTCACGTCAGACTACCATGGCACAACAAGCGACCCCCCCACAACAGCCAAGTATAGCAGTGCCTTTAAGGTCAACGGAGTCTCCTGTTAAACCTGGGCCTCCTGGACATATAAAATCTGATAAGCCACTGGAAACACCAGTAGAGAAACCATCTGAACAGCCACAGACAGGCTTTATGAGCTTTCTGAAATCTACAGTAAAAATAGAAGAACCAAAACTAGATCCACAGAAAGGTCCTCCTCCTCGGGAAGGCAAATCTGGGAGCACAGCTTCCTTGCCAGGCAGCGCTCCTCCTGACAAAGAGACTCCAGGAGTTTCAAATCTCTTTGGATCATTCAGCAGCCTATTCAGTACCGAGCCTTCTCCATCTCAAAAACAGCAAGTAAAACCTAGCAGTACTGAAGGCTCACTGTCATCAGCAACCAAACCTAAAGGTTTACAAAGACAGCAAACAATGGACCAAACCAGTACCTCTAGACCTGGGCAGGGCTTGCCAATGGGCAGTAGTGTACCCCAAGCATTTCCTGCTAGTTCTTCTAAAGGCCCACCAACAGGTCGGGTAGAATCTGTGCCACCTACAGAACAAATAAAACAGGAATCAGGAACTAAACCATCTGGTGGACTGTTTGGATTTTCAATTGGTGAAATGCTAACAGGATCAACACCAGCTGCTCAATCTGGTTCCACATCTCAAACACCTGAATCAGCCACTGCTCCTCAAGAAGAATCTCTGGGTAAAAGTATATTGTCTATGTTTGGTGGGCTAAATACCCAGCAAGCTACACCTAAAACTGGACCAACACCTCAAGCACCTCCAACAAATGCTCCCTCTGAACCTCCTCAACAGGAATCACTTGGGAAAAGTTTATTATCAATGTTTGGAGGATCAAGTCCTCAACCCCCTGCTCCCCAGACCAAGCCAACTGTTGAAGTACAACAACGAGGAACTGCTCCTCCTAAAGATCCCCCTAATACAGGATTTCTTTCAATGTTTGGTGGTGGTAGCAATCAACAGTCTCAAACAGGATCACTCTTAGGGGGTATTCTGCCTGGGTCATCTAGTTCAACTGAGAGCCCGAGGAAGGGACTCTTGTCGTTGTTTGGTGACCCCAGTCCTTCACAACCCCAGCCACCTATGTCATCTAAACAAAGTCCAACACAATCACAGCATCAACACCAAGGGGCCACTCAGACACAATCAAAACCACAAGTACAGCCTCAAGCAAAAGACCAGCAACCACCCTCTGTTCTCGGTGGAATATTTGGTGGCTTGTCAACCTCCAGTGAAAGTCCAGGGAAAGCTCTATTCTCAATGTTTAGTGGCCCTGCCGCTCCTCAAACCACAGGAGCTGGTGAGAGGACAAGTGTGCCTACTTCTGCAGGAGTGTCAGTACCCAGAGAGCCTGTGAGGAGTATACCCTCTGTGTCACCTGTGCAGCAAACCCCAAATTCATCTCCTGCTAGTGCTACTGTTACTAAAGAGCCAACTGCTACTGATGCACAAAAATCTCCATCCCAAGTGTCATCTCTTTCTGATAGCCATGCTTCAGCAGCTACAGCAACTCCTGAAATATTAAGTGAAGCTAGTAAATCAATAGATACTACTGTCGATACTAAACAAGACACAAGTATACATCCCAAAATAGAGTGTGATACTGTGCCAAAAGAAACAAGCACAGAAGGTGCATCCCAGGATCCTCCCAAAGAATCAACAGCTTCATCTATTTTGTCTATGATCAGCGGATCAGGCTTGCAAACTCCATCCTCACAATCTGGCCATACTTCAGACAGTCCTGGGAAAAGTTTACTTTCGTTATTTTCTGGGTCCAGCAATGTAGATGCCTCACCTACTGGGCCTGCACCTGCATCTTCAGGCCCCAGTGACCAACCAGCCAAAAGTTTATTTTCTGTGTTTGGAGGATCAGCCCCTCAGCCCTCTTCACAACCTGGAGCTTCATTATTAGGGTCCATGTTTGGAGGTCCATCGCCTCAGACGGCAGCTTCTCAAACAGGAGGATCATTACTCGGTGGTTTGTTTGGAGGGTCCGCCCCTCAGGCTGCTCCACAGGTTAGCCCCACCAAGACTGCTAGTTCTGCTCATCAGACGGCAGGACCTCAGGCAGGAACATCCCTACTTGGAGGCTTATTTGGTGGATCTGCCCCCCAGGCTGCTGGATCTCAATCTGGTGGGTCTATTTTGGGAGGGATATTTGGGGGATCAGCTGCTCCTGCAACTGCAGGACCCATGACACTTGGATCCTTGGGTGGAATGTTTGGTGGGCCTGCCAACCAAACTTCAACTTCCCCTAACAGTAGCTCCATACTGGGAGGAATTTTGGGAGGGACATCTCCTCAAACATCTACTGTTCAGACCGGTCCATCTCCTCCAGGCGATACTTTACACAAAACTTCTGCTCAAAATAAAACAACACCCAGTGCAACAGCTTCACCAAGAAGTACTGATGACAAGAAAACTACACCTGTAACAGATGTGACATCAGTTCCGCCTGGACTTCCAAAACAGTGTGATGAAAGTAAAACTGATCCAGCTGTAGCTGTTTCTGAGGCACATGCAATTGATACTGCGACCAAAAGTAAGGAGCAGGCAGAACCACAACAGCAAGCTGGTGGTGCAGTTGAGGGTCCTCAGGCAAATCAACCCCAAAGTGATGGCAGTATCACAGGAGAAGCTTGTAACCAAGATGCAGAGAAGCAAGATGATTTAACTAATAAAAAGGAGTCTAAAGACCCTGAAATACACGAACAAGCACAACACCCTGCAGGACCAGAACTTGTTAGTAGTCAGCTGAATCAAGATACAGTACCACCTAAGGTTGAAGAACAGGTCACACTACCAACAAAAGAAGTTGCCCAGGAACCAGAAAAGCCTTCACAGCCAGAGAAGTCTGTTGTTGACTCAACAGCAGAAACAGTTACAGGCTTCATGTCCTCCCTTTTCAAACCAGCAGCTGCACCTACTGAAGCTCCACAGCAGCAGCAGAAGAGCTCGCTTTTTGGTGCAGGAGCAACAGCACCCCAAGCATCTGCTAATCAGCCAGGGGCATCACTATTAGGAGGAATTTTTGGAGGGTCAAACACAGAAACAGCAGCTCCACAGACAGGAGTATCATTACTTGGAGGCTTATTCAAGGGTGCTGCTCCTCAATCTGGTTCTCAAACAGCCACCCCCACCAGTGGAGGGTCAATATTAGGTGGAATGTTTGGAGGGGGACCCACTGCAAAATCTACTGGTCCCCAAACTGGTGGATCTTTACTAGGTGGTGTGTTTGGGGGATCTTCAGCAGCAGCACAGCCTGGCGGGTCTTTGCTCGGTGGAATGTTTGGAGGAGCCCCCTCTCAAACTGCAGGGTCACAAACTGGTGCATCAATACTTGGAGGCATAGGGGGATCTTTATTTGGGGGTATTGGACAACCACCCAAGTCACCTGGACCAGTGCCAGCCGAGCCAAAGCCGACACAAGGCACTGCTAAACAACAGCCAGTGGTTAAGAATGAAAGTGTGCCACCAAAAGCACCTCCATCTAGCATAGAAAGTAGCCCAAATAAGACTGTGGAAGCCCACCCAGACGATAGTCTAATAAAATCTAAAAGCCAAACAGAGACAGCTTGTTCAGAAGTGCCTGCTGTCACAAATGTTTCAATAAGCTCTGCATCTGACCCAGCAAATCAAGGAGATAATGCTGAAAAGGAAAAGTCAGCTGTTATAGGAGAGGTGATCCATGAAAAGCCCACTGTCATTAAAGAAGAGCCTGAGAGTAAAGATACTGACAGATCTGCCCCACCTGATAACAGAGTTACAAATACTACCACGGCTCCTCCAGCAGACCAGATGCCAAGTAATGCCGATTCAGCTCAGCCTAAATCTCTGTTTGGTTTCATATCCACACAGACTGATGCAGGAAAATCTCTTGGATCACTATTTTCACCAACAGTGCCATCAAGTGCTCAAGCGGAAGGAGGCACTGGTCTGTTGTCAGGATTGAAAACCTTTTCTGGAGGCCTGTTTCAAGAAGAAAAGACCAGTTCTGGAAAACAAGAACCATCCACAACCTCATTATTTGGGACTAAAATAAGTCTTCCTTGGCAAACAGAGCCACCCAAGCCAGCTGTCCCAGTTATAACATCTCAGCCCAAAACTAACAACAAGCCTACAAGTGATGGCACACATACTTTACAAAAGGTTGCGACGTCTGATGCCCAAAATATTGAATCGGTAGGTTCCAGTGATGGTAAAACAACTCCCCAGATTTGCATTTCCACTCCTGAAGTAGATCCTTCAGCATCCCAGGCCCCAAAGGAGGAGGAAAGTCTTGTAGAAACAGACCCCTCAGCAGGTCCTACCTCCGGAGTGCAGCTGGACAACCAGGTCGAGAAGGATCTATTGAATGCAAAAAGGCTAGTAGAAGCATAATAAATGGCATCCCCCCTCACCATTTATGATGCATTGACATCTTGGAAAAATTGTATTCCCTGTCCAGCTCCGCGATCTCTCCTCTAGTTTTATTTGGTTTTAGCTGAGTATATGTCTGTCTGTGTGGGTGTTTGTATTCTCTTATATTAATCTGTTGTGTCTGTTTGATTTTCCATGAAATGACAAAACAGAACTCCATGATTTGGTTATTTGTGAAAAAAACATGGGTATTTGTTTTCACATCTATTTGAAATCACATACATTAACAAGATTCTGGACTGCATAAATAATGTTAAACTTGTTCATGCATGGACTTCTGATTTGTGTTGTTTTGCATTGTCTTGTTCTGACAAAACCAAAATATCCTCACCGTTCTAGCACAAACGTTTAGCCCTTTAAATATTGATCCTGGAAATAGAAACAGTTTTGTGATTCCCACACACAGGTCACATCAGCGTATTTTATTTTCTGAGAGTCATTTGTTTTGAAACCTTGTGTCACCTTGAAGCAGAAAGCTTGGTGCCTCCTCATGGCTGCACCTTACCTCGTACTCAATACTATCTAAGCTCACCCATGGAAGACAAAGCTCTGTAGCTGCGATGCCTCATAATCTGTACATGTTTTCTGTAAGAGGAAACTGACTCAATTGCAACAAAATATGCTGATCAATTTGTGTGTGGATAAAAATACCGTTTAACGGCATCAGTAGTTAGAGTTCATTTGAATTTTTACACCCCCATAAAGGGCTCTTATGTAAGCTTTTTTGTGTGTGTTGACATGCAGCAGCAGCAAAATGGAATAAGCAAATGCATTAAATAATGCACGTGCCAACACTTTGACACATTTTTATTATTTTTCATGCAACAGCCTTCCAGCAAGGTTAAGTGTCTTTCTAGCGCAGGACGGGGTGCTTGCATACCAAACCAACCAATAATGAAGAGGCTCATGATAAAAAATAGTCCCTAAGTAGTCTAAGAAGATATAGAAGGACCTGACATCAGAGAAGAAAATATGAACTAAAAAACTTCTAATCATTGTTCTTTTCCAACAAATTGATTTTAATGCGTATTTTTCCCCATTCCTTTCACAAAATTTTAGTCCAGTGGAAAGTAGTCGCTTTGGGTCATCTGGAAACCTGAGCCAGACCAGTTCCCAGCTTAGTGAAACTGGCCAGGAGAGCACTGGAGGTTCAGAGCTGGAGGAGTCCTTCCACTCCTTTCATAGTGCTGGCTGTCATCCTTCCAACAACGCGCAGTCTCGCACCAGTGGACATCTTTCCACCAATGGACAGGCCTCTGTTGGTGAACAGGGAGTTCACAGGCTGTCTCCTGATGTGGGACAGGGTCTGAAAAAAGACACTCCAGAGAGACAGCCCTCTAAACTCAAAAGGTATGTGACTTTCTTGTGACTTAATTTGATTCGTTCAATTTTGATTTTGATGTACCTGAAAACTGATGGATTTTTTTTCCATCTTTTTGTTTTAATTAATACAACCCAGGTTCCATGATGATGGCCCACCACTGCCCTTTTCCCCGTCCAGAGTCCGTTGGTTGAAGGCCATCAATAAAGTCAGGGTCCAGCTGAGAGAGGTAGGCAGGGTCTCACTTTGGTACAGCTACCAACAATTGCTCTCTCTATCTCTATCTCTCTTTCTTTCTCCTTTTTTGCACCGTGTGACACACGACATGTACAGCGTCATTACTGCAAACACATAGAAATACATCAAATGACTCCAGCAATGCTATGGAAATGGTTGAGTTTAACCTCTTTTTTGTTTAAGATGATGTACTGACATTAAACAAGAAAAACTATGTCATTTTCATGTATGTATTGATGTATGTATGTTTGTGTTGACTGTTAGGCTGTTTGCAGGCTACCCGAGTTTTAGTGTCTTAAAGACTCAGTCTTAATTGCTGCCTAATTCTTTGGTGAAGTCCACTGTCCTTTCAGTCACTCGTTGCTTCAAAGATAGTTAATGAGAACATCAGAAACAAGAAGGGTTTTAAGGAAATGAATGATAAACCGTGACTTAGACCCGATGTTGTAGACCAGAATTTATATCCTGTGAACAGATGTGGAGTCTAATCCCTCTTGTAAGTCCACTCGGAAATCTTCAGAGGGTGGTAATAATGAAAACATTCGAATCTCTCATCCCAGTGAGTTTCATCCCATTGATTAAGCTTTTTATGGCACAGCAGTAACAGAGTGGCTCATATAGACCCCCATTACAGTGATTGGTTTGCGTGTACTGGTCGAGACAAACAGAGGCTCTAAATGGTGGCTGATTGAATTTATGATTATAAATCCGAGGCAGGGTTAAAGTTGTCATTTATTCGAAGAGGAAGGTGAACACATATGCTAACAAAAGTCTCAGTCCTGAATAGGTTGTAATGAATCAGAATTGACTGCTTATCTCTCCAGCACATACCACAGCTGGACTTCGTGTAATCCTGTAATGCCCTCCAGTATTTGGTGACAAGATGGACAGGAAGCAGAACTGGTTGGGAGACTGTCTTTACATATTAATTTCCGTGTGTTTTACGTTTTCTTCATTTAACATTGTAATAAAATGACTAGATAGAGAGGGACCAGTGGTTGATCATGAGTGTTTTCACAGTTCGTGGATAACAACAGAATATCCCAAGTGTCAATAACTGGCAGATGCTGACAAAGAAAAGAGAGAAAGAACTGAGAGCTGGCAGCATGACTGCCTCAGCTTAGCTTTGAACTGAACGCATTTGCTGTGGACAGAAAGAGAGTGAGAGGAGAAAGCATGCAAAGAGGGAGGAGGGAGTAAGGGATGGATTCTTAACAGCGGTTGAAAAGCTTTATAGTGTGGTCAACCACTTTGCACTTGCCATTATCCAGTTGTGTAAAGGAGGATTACGGCACTTCTGGGTGTTTTTCTTTTTCAAGAGCGTGGTCTGACATTTGATGAAACATCAAGGTGTTGATTTAAAGGAAGATGGGATATTTTTCTTTGCAAGATGATATTTAAAGGTTGTTCTTAGTTGCAGATTTCCCCCACGAGGTAAGTCTTACATTTTAAGAATTTGCTGGCCTTTTTCTCTCTCCATCTCGACTTTCTATATTTTGTATTAAATGTGCGTAGCGTACATTTTTGTACTACATGAAACTTTTGATTCATGTATTTTCATGAAGAATTTCTGTGATCCAGAGTCTGCATAATTACCTGCTCTGAACTTTAAAAGACAGATTAAACTCTCCAAATGAAAGATGCCTCTTCATAAATGACAGTGTAGGGAGAAGAAAGTAACAAAAACAGGTTGTGACTTTCACTTGGTTTGAAAATAACTCTGACCGAACTAAAGCTTCTGCCTTTTTCAACCTCTTTGACATAATACGTCATATAACAAATGAATCGTTTACGTCTATATTTACCTTTTTTTTTTTTTTTTACAAAGAAGTGGAATTAACTTATGAACACAAAAACATTTAAATGGGAAGCATAATGCTCTGAATGAATAACATGCTTTCTAATTTCATTGAATTAGATTCACATACCAAAATACCAGCTGAGGTATTCACTGGTCTGTTTTAGTGTTTGATTTTTACCTTTGTTTTCAACATTTCTGATGTGACTTTTCAATAGCTGATGCTAAACCTGGTATCACAGAGTGAAGTACACTTTGTATAAGCTGAAAGAGCATGAGAGATTGTTGTTTTCGCCAATCATGTTCTTTCTTCTTTTCTTTTTTAGCGATTAACAGGCTGTATTGCATGACTGTGTTATCTTTACTTTTAGAAAATAGACTGATGTTATAACTCGGATTATCAAATAGTCCCTGAACTGTAAGGGGTCAGCGCTGTCAAGCGTTGCAGCTGGCATGGGTGTAAAAGAATGACAAGGCCTTAGAGGAGACAAATGATCTGTCATCTAATTACTGAGCTGCCTTTGTTAAGACATTCTAATTAGAGATCCGCACAGCAGCTGCAGCAGCTGCTTATTGTTCACTCTGTAAGTCGAGACCATTACTAAAAGAAAATCTGAGCTAGAACGAAGAACTGGCTCCATTTTTAATTTGATGCTTTTGGTGCATTTCAAATTTTCAAGTTGTCCCAAAATTCCCATGATTGAGCTCGACAATAATCTAGTTTTTAGTAGCTTCTTATCTCTGTCTAAAAAGCGAAATAGTGAAAAAAGAAACTATTTATTTTAATCTTCAGTTATTAAACTTAAAATGAATATTTTAATTCTTAAAACAAAATTAACTTCACTTCAACTCATTTACATCTGTAACAACAACAACAACCTATCAAACAGTTTACCAGATTGTTGGCATGTTAGTTGGTTTCCATTTCTATGTAGAGCAGATATGACAGAATTAATGTGTAGCAGAACTACCAACATGAGAGCTTCAAATGAACAACAAAAAAACAACTGAAATACTCAAGAAATGCTGATCACTGGCCGGATTTTTTACTGCTTCAACGACAAAAGATGCACAGTGTCCAGCGGTACTTTTAAAGTTTTTGTTCAGACAGAAGAGTGATTTCAAATTTTACTGTTAAGTTTGCAAATATTGCCCAAAGGACATATCCTGTTGTGGTCAGCCTGGTGTAGGAACAGCTGATAAAGGGTGTGTCTTCTCAGGGATGTTCTCCAGAGGACAGCTCAGTGGACAGGATGAACCCTACAGACCAGAGCTGCTTTCACCTGAGAGAGAAAACCTGCAGAAGAAAAGATCACAGAGCCCCAAAGTTAGAAAGACACTGCAGAAGCTGCAGAAGTGTCTGCAGGGGACAGAAGATAGCTCTTCTTATGGTTCGTCAGCAGGGGACACTGCAGGCGGCAGTGCTGACCTCATCTCATCTGGGGAGAACAGAAGTCCTTGCCAGGATGGGGTCGTGGATGATACCCTACCCAAGCTCATTAGTAGGATCAGACATGATGAAGGAAAGAGGCTGATGGGGGAGGAAGAGGCAGGGCAAGGCTCGAGTGACATAGTAGAGCATATCCTCAAAGAGCTGAAAGGTATTAACAAGATCCAGGAGGAAATTTCTGACCTGAGGCAGTATCTTACGTCTGTGAAAGGGTCGGTGGATGAAGTATCTTACTGTGTGGATGCAGCACTCAGTGAAATAGGGGAGTTGTACTCCGGGGCTTCAGCTACAACTAATCCTGGTCCAGTTTCTCAAATACCCTGCATGAGGGGTGGAAGCCAAGGTAGGCAGAACGCCAGTCTAGTTTTGGATCACACAGATTTCAGAAAAAGTTTAGCATGTCTACCATCTCACAGATCAGGGAAGCCTATCAATCGAGTCACTACCCAATCAGAACATCCAACAGACCAAAGGCAGAACTCAGAGAAGAATCCAAACATGATCATTAAAGGATCTTCGAAATCTAACGTCTGCTGCCTGGAACGTAGTCATGGCAATGACTACCAGAGCACCAGCTCCCTGTCATCTTGTCACAGCTCCACCGGTCCAGAAGCAGGTATTCTGATTAGTGACCCGGACCATGGCAGATGGCCTTCTGAGATGCAGCACAGTATCAGTGGAGAGGGACTGTGGAGTGAGGAAGACATTTGCTCTTGTACGGACAGTCAAAATGAGTTACAAACCTGTCCTAGTGTTTGGGACAGGTGCACCACGGAGGAGACACAAAGTAGCACACCAGGCCATTCTTCACACAACAGCTCTGAACATCTCTCCTTGCTGTTTGGACACCACTTTGACTATCCTTCAAGTTCTTCTAGTATGGTGGACTGGAGGCCCCCCAGACTGCAAACGGATGAAGAAAACTTGGACTGTGACTGTTCGGTAAACTGCCCATACTCTCGTAGTTCTGGTTATCACACCATGGATGCTTGCTTAAATGAACTCGGTAGTGAGCCCTCCAGGAGTATAAGTTGCTCCACTGTGCTGTTGACAGACTGTGACGACTGTTACCTGGAGCCACATTCAATGTGTGATGACTGTCCGTCATCTGGGGACACACTGGATCTGGGCTCTGCTGACAGTTTGGACAAGGAGTGGACCGATCAAAGCTTATCCAGAGGCACTTTGTCACAGGAGTCCTCTGAAATGGATTCTCTAAGTACACCCAAGACCCCCAATGTGGGTTTTGATGTAACTACGTTTAGCAAGGCTGTGGTCACCTTTGGGTCAGCTTTGAAAGGGGCTCTGAAAAAGTTGGAAGGGTCATACCCTGAAGATGTGAGAGAAGACTATGACTCTGATACATCTCCATCTTTTGCCACACAAGCCAGCGAACAGGAGCAAAGTAGCAGAGAGGGTGCAGATGATGGAGTTAGAGGAGCAGACCTTTCTACTGAATGTGGCATCACCAGGGAAGAGGGTGAGACTTCACTCTGTGTGGATTGTAGTGCATCAGTGGAGAACCAGCCATGTTCACTTCCAGAACCACCTCATGGAACAAGCCTCTGTCTTTGCAATCCAACTGAGCATCACTCTCTGGAGGTTTCACAGGAAGAAGGAGAGTGTCCAAAGGTTGGGGTTGTGTCGAACCTTGACTTAAAACCAGACCACTGTCCATCAAATGAGGACGAGTGTCCACCAGGTCCAGAGTTTAGTGCAGATGACTCCATATTGTGTACAATTAAAGAAAACCACCTTTCTGATGATGTGGATTCGAGAAAGCCGACTGATGCCAGTCACAAAGAGCGTATTGCTAATTTTCAGCGCATTCTGAGGGAAAAGAGGCAAACTCGTCACAGACTGTCCAAATCTGCTCAAGGATCCCAGGGATCACACGGCTCTCAAGGATCTCAGGGATCCCAGTCTCAAGAGGATTCCATCCCAGGTATTGTTAAGGGTATTTTCTTAAACTGAAATGATGAGCAACCCAGCTGAGCGATAAGTTAAAAACACTTGAGAAGGTCTAAAACGCTCCTGTGGGAAAACTTCTACTGCGTTCAACAATGTGCAGCTCTTACTGCTCTTATGTTATCGTCACCCTGTCAACTTCCCTCATGGTAATGAAGTCCAGCTTGTGTCATGACCAATTTGTTGAGGCTCACGCCACCTTGCAGCACTCAGTCAGGTTTATTGATGATAATGATGGACGCAGAACCAAGTTGTCCATAGTATATACAGTCTATGGTATTTATCTGATCTGATCAAATTTATTTGTGATAATTAATTAATTAAATTTAAACAGGATCACACAGGTAGTATATGTAATTTTGAAATGATTTAAAGATTATTCAGTAGTTTTTGAGTCACTGTCTTTCAGCGGATGCATTGGGGAGATAGTCTGAAATTGTTTTTTGTTCGATTGTTTTTCCAAACAGTTTCTAAATGTTGTTATACTTTTTTTTCAGACTGTGGAAGAGAAGATGATCAGGTTATTGATATCATACCCCTCCATTCTTACTCTGCAGCTGTTTTGTCTGTTGTTTTAAAAGTCCTTGCACTTAGAAATGAGGGGAAAAAACTTGTATTGCCCCAGCAGTCATTATTTGGTGTTCGTTTGTTTGTTTTTTTTCTTTTTGTTTTTTTTCCCACTTTATTGATGTTTTCTGTTTGTTTTTTTTGGATGTCCACATGAACAGTGGAATCATCCAGTATGTAAACAGAATTTACTTGCATTTTAGCAAGTGTGATTCCGTTCACTCCATGGTTTTGTGTCTGTATGATGCTGGTCCACCTTTGCATTTCATGTATCGCTTACAATCAAGATGTATAGATATATTGATCTGATATAACGACTTTGCATGATCTGGAACACTCAAGGGGTTAAACTCAACCATATGTGACTTTCCATTACTTCTGTTTTCTCATCACATATTGCCTGTCTGTCACCTGCTTTTTGTTAGTCAATTGTATATGTATATGTATTTTTGTTTAATATTTACAACGTTGTAGGTTGGAGATGAAGAGCCAAATGTCAGACAAGCCTGGGTCAAACCGGGGTAAGTCACTCGTTGTCATACTAGATGCATGAATTTAATTGAAAAAGGACGAACACAGACATGTTATGTAACTTAAATGTGATGTCTTTTTCTTTATTGATCGTGTTTTCATCCTGTGTAGTGGTGGATCTGGTCTGTATGGAATTGACAGCATGCCTGACCTGCGGAAGAAGAAGCCTATCCCCTTGGTCAGCGATGTGGTCAGTACAAACCTGTCATTCCTTTGTTTTGTATTGAACATGTCATAAGTCACCCTGTTTTTTGTCCTTTTTGTACGTTATGTGTGTTTTTCCACTTGTAAGACGACCACAGAAGTCAGTTGTTTTTATGCCTCTTGGCTGCGATTGGGACGAGATTGTTATCAACAGATGAGACACATTCTTGAATCAGACTGCTAATATTTCTCTCCCTCCTCTCTTAAACCCAAAACTATTTCCCACAACTCTCTTGAATGCATTCACACTCCTTGGTCAGGCTATGGTAAGTTTATAGAACCCAGCTGTCACTCCCTTTCCTGCTAAAGTTCAAAATATCAAGTAGGACAATTGAATAAAAGTGCCTCAAACATGGATGTCTCCAGCATGCAGATTTAATTGATCCCAAACCTCTTAACACAACCTGAAATAACTGCATGCATCATCTTGGTCATCGGTAGCTTTTCCTCCTACTTGATATTACACTGTATCCCTGAAATACACTAATTTATCCATTAACTGTTTCCACACTCTTGGTTTATATCTCACATAAATAACATGACAGCAATAGGACACCTTACTAATACTTCCACGAAACTTAATTGTCTGATGGGTGTTTGTTTAATACCACTGTTAGTTTCATTACCTCTCCTCCTTTAGCTGCTTTTAACGTCTGATACTCACACATGTTGTCTGGTCATCCTTTAAGAATTCATAAACGGGGAAATAACAGGACTACTCACCACCCTCCCAACCACCTTGGAAACCTTTTTAATTTACACTGACCCTTAATATTTTAGGATCATTTGGAGGTGTGCTTGGTTGTGGGTTGTATCATCTATTTTAAAAACACTAACTTTCCTTTCTCATCTGTTGTTCAGTCTCTTGTCCAAGCCAGGAAGGCAGGGATTGCGTCTGCCATGGCTGCACGGTCCTCGATCAAAGATGAGGAGCTGGTGAGTATAGATTAATATAAAGATATCTTGGGTTTAGGGATTAGGGCGATATGGGCTAAAAGTTTATCATGATAAGATTTGCCATTCTGGCGATAACGATGAGAGTCCCGATAAAAAATATTATAATTCCAATCTATATTTTTGACTCATTTTGTCTTGAGAACACCAGTTGGAGTAGTCAAATAAGATACCTAACTTCTTATCATGGAGGATTTCTCTGACGATATATCGTGAATGATAATTTATCGCCCATCCCTACTTGTGTTTCTCAAAAGTATGATTCACCTTATTCAAGTGTTGTGTGTTACTCCCTGTAACTCCATGTCCTTTCTTTAGAAAAACCATGTGTACAAGAAGACCCTGCAGGCTCTTATCTACCCCATATCCTGCACTACGCCCCACAACTTTGAGGTCTGGACAGCCACCACTCCCACATACTGCTACGAGTGTGAGGGGCTGCTGTGGGGAATAGCCCGCCAAGGCATGCGTTGCTCAGAGTGTGGGGTAAAATGCCACGAAAAATGCCAAGAGCTACTGAACGCTGACTGCCTCCAGCGTGAGTGCTGCTCTCATGATTTTGATCAAATTGCATTGTCCAAAATGGTGTTTGAACAAGAAACATAGTATAAGCTGACTGATGGTCAAAAAAAAAAAAAGCTGTTTTGTATATTTTTTCAGTTGATAATCCTGTAACATGCCAGACAACAGCATTTTTTGTACGTTTTTTTTTTAGGTGCTGCTGAGAAGAGTTCTAAGCATGGAGCTGAAGACCGGACTCAGAATATTATCATGGCGATGAAGGACAGGATGAAGATCAGGGAAAGAAACAAACCAGAAATCTTTGAACTTATCAGGGAAGTGTTCGTCATAAGCAAAACGATCCATGCACAGCAGATGAAGACCATCAAGCAGAGTGTCCTAGATGGTACCTCAAAGTGGTCGGCCAAGATCACCATCACAGGTAACCCACTAACAAAAAGCTAAGAGTTTAGGTATAACTGTCAAAGGCTGACCACTTTTATCCGTGTCTTTGCATTAGTGGTTTGTGCCCAAGGACTTCAGGCAAAGGACAAGACAGGATCTAGTGATCCATATGTGACTGTGCAGGTCGGCAAAACCAAGAAGAGAACCAAGACCATTTATGGCAACCTCAATCCTGTCTGGGAGGAGAAATACCATTTGTAAGTCACAAACATTTCTTATCAGAATATGTGCTTTAACCTTGTAAAGACTTGGTCCGCATACTAGCGTAGAGTGATGTAGATTTCATGGATCAATCCACAGGCTGGGCTCTTGTGAAGAAGTCTACTTTTTCCATCTAAACTGTCATAAACGCGACAAACTTCTTCATTTTTACAACCACACTTCCAAAAAAAAGTTGGGTTGCTGTGTTTTGAATAAAGATCGGAATGAGCTTCAAATCATTTAATGTCAGCAAAAAAGTTGTGAAAGGGACAGCGAGTAATGCGTCTTATAATCAAATACCAAAGTAAATATTTCTTTCTTTTTTTAATTATTTTTTGTCCAGCGAGTGCCACAACTCCTCGGATCGTATTAAAGTACGTGTGTGGGATGAGGATGACGATATCAAGTCGAGGGTGAAGCAACGTCTGAAAAGGGAATCTGATGATTTCTTGGGCCAAAGTATCATCGAGGTCAGGACACTGAGCGGAGAAATGGACGTCTGGTACAACCTGGGTCAGTATGCTGCTTTCTTCAAACAAGAACTAGATTTATCAGACGTGCTTTCTTCAGTTAGAGTAAAATATTGTCTGTTAAATTGTTTTATTTGTGGAACTTACAGGGATATTAAACAAAACCGTAACAAAGAGTCAGGCACCCCCTTGACAGATGAATGTTGCCGACTGCTTGCTTCTCTAGTTATACCAACTTTAGTAACAACCGCACGATAGCAATACACAGAGGTCTACGTATCCACATGCAAACCTCAACCAAATGGCACTGTATAGCCACAAATAATGCTCTGAACAGCACCTAACTTCATCAACAGTACATATAGGGTCTCAGCCATAGTACTAGCCATCAAACATCTTTTTAACTTTGACTAATTTCTTTAGCAAAGAGACTAAACAAAACTCACCCACTCTCTTCCAGCAGCCGCTGGTTGAGGTTTGTGCGTGGAGACGTAGACCGCTGTGTATTGCTATTGTGACGTTTCTAAAGTTGGTATAACTAGAAGCAAGCAGTTCCAGTGCGTTTGACCATGATTTAAATTTACGCCAGAATATACTTTAAGTTATTAAAGGATAATTATTCACCCAATGAAACACTTTGAGTCACTAAACCCTTCACTTATGAGATGCTGCTCACTGTTCCTAAGTTCTAATTTAAGATCCCTACCTCATCTTTAAAACTATGAACTTTAATGTACAGAATCATCTCATAAATAAATCTTAATTAGCTTTTGATAAGGGAAACTATCTTCCTTTTTGATGCCAAGAAGTCTGTTTCCAGTAAAACCAGTCAGTGGTTTGTTTGGCCTAGTTTTAAATCCTTGTCGTCCTGTAGTTGGATTCTTGAAACTGGCAGCCCTGATTAGCCCTGAGGCTCATACTGGTTTGCATGAGAACAGCAGCTATCCCTACAAAGCTTATTTTTGTAAAGCCCTTTTGTTCTTGCTAACAGTCAACTCCCAGAAATCAAACTTGCTTCATTATAATCCTCAGCACTATTCCTCCGAGTGTGGGAATATATCATGTGAAGAGGCCTGGAAAGAGTCACTAACAACATGAAGCCAGTCATCAGTCCCTGTTGGTTTTATTCAGATAAAGAAAGCTGTGAGGATCAAATCTCCTGCGGTTTAGGGTGCTGTTAAAAGGCTTTTATCCAGACATCAACTCACTCTTGGCTCATAAACACTCCCTGAAAGTTCATTAACAGATTTACTCTCCTTATACAGCTACGACCTCTACTTCTACTTGATCAAAATGTACAAAGTGACATCACCATGGCAACAATAAATCTGTAATTATGCCTATAAATCTGCAGTTGTGTCCGTTTAGATATGAGGGGCTCAGTTTAGTACCCCTGAGGATCTTCATTTCGGTAAAAGCTCCTTTGGTTTCAGTGTCATCAGAACCTGGAGTGTGAGCAGCCGTGTTATATCCTCTCGCTTTCAAACAACCTTTTTTCTTCATTTCTATCTTCTAGTGTACCAAAGTGCCCCTCCTCTCCTTTGTCGTCCTCTTTGTCCTCCTGATGTGTGATTATCAAGTAGCAGCACTCTAGTCGGAAATTGATTGCTCCTGCAACATGGACAAATTACCCCTAATGATGAGTCTGTCAGAGCAAATAGTAGGGGTTCGTCACCGAGAACTCCGCCCCCAAGAGAAGCTTCCTCGATCACACACTGATCTGTACAACCCACTGCCATTGTCTTCCTCACTGTCAGCTGGAGGACTTCTATTAGTGCTGCTGGCCCTGAGCTGCCATCAAACTGTAGAAACAGAACCGCCCACAATAGAGCTGCCATGTTCATAGCCCATAATTAGGGTTTTGTTAACAGGTAGAGTGGCGGTCTCTGATTTGAAGTTTGAGTTATGAATGAAGGAGGTTTGTGTTTGATTACAGAGAAGAGGACCGACAAGTCAGCTGTGTCAGGCGCCATCCGCCTCCAAATCAACGTGGAGATCAAAGGAGAGGAGAAGGTGGCGGCGTATCATGTGCAGTACACTTGTTTACATGAGGTAATTGAGTTTTTCTTGGCATCTGATGAAAATGTTTGAGGGAACCTGTACCACCCATTAAGGCTCATAGACTCTTTTTCTGTCCCTGGCAGAACTTGTTCCATCACTCGACTGACATTCTTGGCCAAGGCGCAGTGAAAATCCCAGAAGCCCGTGGAGACGATGGGTGGAAGGTCTACTATGACGACGTAGCTCAGGAGATCGTGGATGAGTTTGCCATGCGCTATGGGATTGAATCAATCTACCAAGCTATGACGTAAGTCTTCGATTTCACAGTCGGCACAAAGGGATAGTATATCTGAACCTTTCTTTCCACCCACCCATGTGTTTGTCACCTCTTTGCCCTCCTGCTCTGCTTGTTGTCCTCTCAGTGCTGTTGCCAGTTTATGTTTGGCGTTTGAAATGACTCTTCCCAGATTGGGAAAACTAGATGAATGAGGAGATAAATACACAGCTACCCACAGCCTCATGAAGCAGTGATTTGCAGGAACCTTTTCTCTGTGGCAGGCAGCTGTTGGTCTTTATACATTTAAAGGTACAAAAAGTGTAGTAGTAGATATCCTGTCATACACATTCTACAGCTTTGCTGCTACTTTTCTTTACAGGCACTTTGCCTGCCTGTCATCCAAGTACATGTGTCCTGGGGTCCCTGCAGTGATGAGCACCCTGCTGGCCAATATCAATGCCTACTACGCCCACACGACCGCCTCTACCAATGTGTCCGCCTCCGACCGCTTTGCTGCCTCTAATTTTGGGGTTTGTATTCGTATATCGCCAGCATCAAACACATAGACTCATGCATACTGTACAGAACGCTGCAAGACACACGTGTACACACACACACACACACACTCACACGAAGGCAAATGTCTCTTTTTTTCTCCACTGCTTAAACAGAGATACATGCAGTCCTCTCCACTGTATTTTTGAATGCATAAATATCTTTTTTTTTTTCATATTAAAGGATTTAATTCTTTGTCGCTTGTTTTTTCTTGTGTCCCAAATGCAGAAAGAACGCTTCGTAAAACTTTTAGATCAACTGCACAACTCCTTGCGCATTGACCTCTCCACTTACAGGGTAAGGTTTACTGAGAAAAGAAGGTTGATGCTATCGGTCACTAATTCTTTAATATGCTTTCATCAAAACATCAAACAGTTTGTTGTGACCGTGACGTTAAAATGAATGTTCTATTCATTCGCACAAGACTCACAATTGGTGATGGTAATCCATCTGTAGTTTCAGGTTTCATCACTAATTTGTGCCAAATGATGGTTTCCTGATTACTTAAGTGTACTGTCTGTAGAATTTAAAAGCAATCAGACTTGTTAGAAAATAAATATGACGATTGTAAAAAAGTGGTTGTTCAAAAGAATTTTTATTGATAGACCTCTTTGGTAATAAAAACTCGACATGTGGAAGAACATACTTTTCATCATAGGAGCGTCTTGTCCCAAAAGCCTCTATCATGTCACAGATGTAGGGAGTGAGCTGGGGAGCATCCTGAATATTTCCATTTTTACTCACTGTACCTTTAATGTTTTGCTTTCAAGCATGAACTGTAGAATTAATTTATTTAACAAGCTTAAACAGGACTAAAAAGTGTAAGATCTCCATGCAGGTCTAATAATTGAATGCTATTTGCCTGTAATGTTCAATAACTGTAATGTATGTTGAAATTAAACCTGTTTTCCTCTGCAGAACCATTTTCCTGCCAGCAGCAAAGACCGGCTGCAGGATTTAAAATCCACAGTGGACCTCCTAACAAGTATCACCTTCTTCAGGATGAAGGTAATTCACAGTGTTTCATGTTCTACATCTATGCTGTAAATGTTTTCCCAAAGGTCTCAGATGCAGGATTTACTGTGTTTGCATAGATGGCCTGCAGATTTACTCCCTAAATAAAACATGCATAGTGTTCGGATGTTTTATCTTCTTCATGGCATTTAACAAGTTTATTAAAATAAAAACCAGGGTTTGCTGTCATTCACTAACAGTGCTACTCTCTTAACTGGGTCATTAGGTCCAAGAATTACAGTCTCCGCCCAGAGCCAGCCAAGTGGTGAGGGATTGTGTCAAGGCCTGCCTCAACTCTACATATGACTACATCTTCAACAATTGCCATGAGCTTTACAGCAGGCAGTACAATCCTGTCGACACAGTGAGTCACACTAACATTATCCAGCTGTGCCTGTGTAGAAAAAGCTGCATTTTTAGATAAACAATTCTATCCATTGTCTATCTAGAGCAAGGAGGAGCTCCCTTTGGATGAGCAGGGTCCGAGCGTCAAAAACTTGGACTTCTGGCCCAAACTGATAATGCTCATCGTCTCCATCATAGAAGAGGACAGAAACTCCTACACACCTGTGCTCAACCAGTAAGTAAACTCCATACTCCTCCTTTTTCTTTATCTCTTCCTCCTACATTGGCAGTTGTGGTAATATTCATAACATTTGAGTTTAGAGTTTATGTCAAAACTTTGTGTTTCCTTCAGGTTTCCTCAAGAACTGAGTGTAGGAAAGGTGTCAGCAGAGGTCATGTGGACACTGTTTGCTCAAGACATGAAGTACGCCATGGAAGGTGAGTCCTTTAGATGGTCAATATTCACTGTCGCTCCCATGGCAACTTGCTTTGCTGTAGGGATGCACTGAGCCACATTTTTTCACATCCGATCCGATCTCGATTCCTGAATTTGGATATCTGACAATACCGATACTATTCCGATACCAGAGCTCTGTTAGCTTTACCATCATTATTATCACTATTGTTTATTCATTATTATCTCTCACACTGTCTGCTGGAAGTTTACCCTGCTTTTGGTAGGACTCCAGAAGTCATTCCTGGCGGCTCTTTTCCTCTTCTTGTCCCCTGACTAAAAAAATCCTCATGCTCTTTCATGTGGTGCTTTTTCAAATGTTTGAATGTTTGTTTATTGTACATCGCAACAGAGATTCCGCCTCTTGGGCTAACGGCTTTGCAAATGTTGCATGTTGCTGTCTTACTTTGCGGCGTTTCGACTGTAAAATATTTCCACACAGCAGACATGTTGTGTGGAAAAGTTCGCTAACCCTAGTGCTGCTCACTGCTTACCTGATAGCTGCCTGGCTGCAAACTACGGAATGGATTCCCAGAATGGGGGCGTGTTTTATCCCTGTGTCTTATTGAGACACACCTCCGTTCAGGAAATCCATTCCGCAGTTTGCAGCCAGCTAGCAGACTGACCAGCAAGAATCACTTTACAGTTATTTCAGTGGACGAAATTAAAGCAAAGACGTGACTTATGGATCGGAAATTTTTGCAGATTGGATTTGAAATCTACGATCAATTATTTACTTAGGTATCGGAACCCGATACCGATACTGGATCGGATTGGCCTAATCCCTACTTTGTTGTATTATTATCTCACTTTAAGTTTGTTCTCTTTTTTTTTTCTATGAAATGATTGTTTGTTTTTCGTTGTCCCTACTGACAGAAGATAAGTTTTCAATCTTAAGCTCTCTTCCATCACGGTGTCCATATTATATGAAGTCTTTCTGCACATGTTTTACTGTGTCTTGTAGAGCCACACCATATAACTGTTGCTGTATTGTGTTGGAATTTAAAATGGCAAGAGCAGAATAGAAATTCTGGGTTAGGAATCATTCAGTGGCATGGAAGTGTGAAAGAGTGAAATAATAACTGTGCTGAGTGTGAAAGCTGCTTAAGTTTCCCAGGAGCCTGGCTGTGATTTTTCACCGCTGTAGTGATCTGTTCAGTCGAGCACCACCGGTCCCCAGAGGTAATCAGCCTTTATCAGTCAGCCCCTGGCCTCATGAGGAAACCTCCACAGAGACTTTTACTGTGAAATATCTGTTTCATAGCCCACAGTTCAGAAGCCGCAGCCTTTTCATTCTTGATCTGCATTAATATAAAGTGTGATAAGAAGTGTGCCCAAAGATAGCGAGAGTCCGCAGAGATTCTGCCCTATTTTCACCGCCAGGCCAGGGCGCTTCTCCTGTCAAAATGTCGGTGTCGTTTATTTTAGTAGGTCACTGAAATGTAACTCAGTGCAAAGTTTGATCCAAACTCTTTCTCCTTAAGGTTATGCAAAGTTCTTTGGAATTCCTTCTGTTTGTGTATCTGTGGGTTTAGCTTTGACATGTTCATTGTATCCAAAACACAGCACAAAAGGTTATTTTGATTTATAAAGAGACATACTGAAAAGTCGGCGTAGCACAATACAAAGAAAAGGAAGATGAAGAACTTTATTGATCCTTAAAGGGAAATTCAATAAATGTTAAATATTCTCTGTTTTCATTTTGAGTTATCTCTTATTTGAAATTAAACTCTTATCAAGCCTTGCAGTGCATTTACACATTCAACAAACGTGTATGATACTGATTCTGTTCTGGTCAATGTTTCCATTAAAAACTTCATGTTGGCCATGCTGGTGTTTCCTTCTTAAGTATCAAAAAGAAAGACTTCAGTAAAGACGGGCATGTGGGTACCACCTTAGATACTTAAATCTGTTCCTGTGACGGTCAGATCAATTTTCTCAAATTTAGGTCGAGTCATGATTAAACATACTCTCTAGTTTGACAGACACTTTTGAAAAGAATCCCTAAAACCGAACCCACAGAGGCCCGGTCAGCCCACATAATGAGTCACAGTCCAAACTCCCGTGATACCAACCTCGCAGCAGTCCAACTGTCTTTGGCATGATTCCCTTTATTCTCTGGTTCTTATCCCAGCGCTCACAGGCTCTCTGTGTTTGGGTGTTTGCAGAGCATGAGAAGCATCGACTCTGCAAGAGCACAGACTACATGAACATGCACTTCAAGATCAAGTGGCTCTACAATGAATACGTCAAGGAGCTGCCAAACTTTAACGGCGTTGTTCCAGATTACCCTTCGTAAGTGTTTTTGACTCATTCACTCACTGTGTTTGGACTTAAATTAATTTAGCCCTTTTTCTTGTCTTCTTATCGCTCAAGGTGCTTTAACGTTAAATGTCACATTCCCTCATTCCCACTGTATTCACACACCAAATCTCACAGGCACAGAGTAACATTACATCTACGCAAACTTCTTAAAAACTCTGAAAAACAGTTCAATTTTTGTTTCTGTATATAGAAAAATAACATTTTGGATGTCTATACCTTCCCTCTTAGATGGTTCCTACAGTTTGTGCTGCAGTGGTTGGATGAAAATGAAGACGTATCGATGGAGTTCATGCACGGAGCCCTTGAGAGAGACAAAAAAGACGGAGTAAGAAAATTAAAATGTACTTTTGGCGTGATGTTACCTCTTCAGTGGAGTTTCTTTGTCTGCGCAGAGTAAAATGAAATTGCAGAGTTGATGTTTAAGAGGGCGTGTGTGGGATTATCTCATGGATCATCAAATTTAGTGACGGTTTCTGTTTTTCATCCTCTCAGTTCCAGCAGACGTCCGAGCACGCTCTGTTCTCCTGCTCTGTGGTGGACATCTTCACACAGCTCAACCAGAGCTTTGAGATCATCCGAAAACTGGAGTGCCCTGATCCAAACGTCTTGGCCCAATACAGCCGGCGCTTCTCCAAGGTAAAGCCACCTCACTAAACCGCTGAGTTTGAAAAAACGTGCTGTCAACTGCATTTTCTTTGAGAAGATTTGGAAAATGAAAAAAACAGCTTTTGCTTGAAATGTCAAAACCACAGAAAAACAGGGATTCAGGTGGTGTGAATTTTACATGTAAGTATAATGTTAAAGACCAACTTCTGAAACAGCTTGTGATTATGAAATATGGTGGAAATTACAGCTACAGTGTTGTCTGGAGGGGGTGAGTGATATTTGGAAAAAAAAAAAAATGGAAATGTCACGTTGGAGATAATCCGAAGCTCGGGCGTTGAGGGACAGAAGACATTTATGCTTAAGATTTGCTTTCATGCATGCCAGAGACGACAAAAAAGGACATTTAGAAACGTTTCTAAAGATGCAGTTGGGAAAGTTGTCCTGCAAAATTTCTGTTCAAACTACTCTCCTAACATTGCATTAGGTTTTATTAAAAAATTCAATCTTAATATATTTTGTATTTCAAATTCTCACTTGTTGCAGTAATAATTTTAATGTATTTCCTCTGCATGATTCCTGCAGACCATTGCCAAAGTTCTTCTTGAATACAGTGCCATCCTGACCAAAAGTTTTCCCTCTTACATCGACAAGGAGAAGATTGTAAGTTATCAACAGCTGAGTACTGTGTGCTGCACAGTTAATTTAGAAGTCACTTAGGTGTCATTTTCATTCATGTTTTTTAATAAATCAGTCTGTGTTCCTTTTTCAGCCGTGTGTCTTGATGAACAATGTGCAGCAGTTAAGAATCCAGCTGGAGAAAATGTTCGAGTCGATGGGTGCCAAACAGGTATGTTTAAGGAAGTGGGTGAATGTGCAGAATGGATGCCATACTCTAGTTTGTTGAATTATTTATTTATCTATTTATTGATTTACATGGATTCTTCCTGGGGTCCAATGAGGAGATATAACAATTCACCAAACATAATCAAACAAACATACAAACAGTAACACAACACAGTAAAAATATCATAAAATTCAACAGTCACAACAAATCAAGAGCTAAAATACGTCATAGTCTGGAAACAGATGGTACAAACATTAGTTTATAGGATCATAACACTCTATTAAATGTGTGTCAGGTTCATTTCATCATTTACCAGCTGTTACAAGTAAAAAACTATTTCTTTATTTAAAACGTCTGTTCTTCATTTCTTTTTAAAAGTCATCCTACTGATCACTTTGACCAAATGCATTGGCGGTTTATTCCACATAGACATTGTTCTATACATGACAGTTCTCTTTAAAGCGTTGGATTTGGGCACTGGTACTGTGAAACGCTCCAAAAAGGCTTGTCTTGTGTCATAACTGTGTCTGTTGTTAGTGTAGGTAAGCTGGGGGTGCGAGTATGAAAGCATTTTGGAAGTGATGATGTTTCTCAGGACTTGGACTTTGTTCCTCTCCTGTATCAGGTTGCAGTAGAAGAAGCGCGGGTATGTACTGTCATGGTTAATCTGACCGTGGTCTACATAGTAACCTCTCAGATATTTAGACAGTGACTTGGCTGGATAATGTCCTCTGTAATAGTGTGTTTAGTATAGTTGTGTTAGAACCATCAGTTGTGTGTGACCTCCCTTCACTTTGAGTTTGAACACCGAACATGTACTTTAGTAAAGAGTAGTCGACTTTAGATTTGTAGCACTTTGACGCTGAAGCCAAAGTTTCATCCAGTGTGTTTACTTTACGACTGAAGCAATATGAAATGGAGGAGCTGGAAGAGGAGGTGGAGGAGGAGGTGGAGGAGGAGGTAGGTTGAAGTAAACCTGAGAGGTCTGCCCATCATTGAATTGTTCAGTAAGTTCAGTATGTCAGGTATAAGCCTCATCATTTCCCCTCTCCTTCAGGCACAACAGGTTGTCACTGAAGAGAACAAAGCGGAGGCCTCGGTGGGTAGATGGCTGCAGATTAGATCTGGAGTAGTTTGGCTCTAGATTGAGAGATAATTAGATCCACAGTCTTGGTAAACCCCGCCCTCTTGTAGCGCTTAAATAGATTTTTTAGAGCTCTTTGATATCTAACATAACGCCCTGGTTTCGTACGGTGTCATTTGTAGCTCAGGTATTCAGTTGGATACTAAGTGTTGGTCCAGATTTCATGAGAGTCTCTCTGAGGATCGGTCGTGTGTCATCGTGATTTTAACGTCCTACACATATGGAAATGCTGTTGTAGTTAGTTTTATGAGATCTGGAGATGTTTCACTTCACTGCTCAGCTGTTCAACATTTCAAATTCAATAATACAAAAAGTTTTTCCAGGAACAGGAGTTTGTGCGTGAGGAGAGGAAGTGACCTACAGTGTTGATCTTTTTGCTCCTCCTTTAACAATGTAAATGGTTTCTCAAAATTAAGTTCCAATCATCCTTCTCTTCTCTCTTTTCTAGCGCAACAATAAAACGCTAGCATGGCAGGCAAGTTCGGTCTATATGCACGCATGTTCAGTCATGACATGATTGCATATTGCTGATAATCATTTTATGAATGAAAAGTCACTGAAATTGGATTAGGAGAACGTTTGCAGCTTTAAGTTTCATAATTTTGTGTTTTGTCGTTTTGTTTCACTCCTAGTTTGAGGAGAGTGAGGAGGAGGAGGAAGTAAGGGAGGAAGGGCTAAAAATTGAGGTTGAGGTTTGTCGCAGTGTGATCCTTTTTTTTAACCATGTCTGTCATCAGGTCATTCTTGTGCTCCCTTTTCTTCATGCTCCCAGCAGCACCTCAGTGATACTGCAGCAGCAGCAGCATCTGTGCTGTTTCCATGGTGGAGTTCTTGTTGCCTTTTTTACGATCACCCGTGTTGATTTCCACATTGTTGTCAAATTCTCTCAGCGACATTTTCCCTGAACTTTCCTCAGAACATGGTCCTCCATTCAACCTCAAACAAACTTGTTTGTGAGTGTTTTGTTGGACATTTCTTTTAATGCATGTTTTTTCTTTGAAACTCTTTTTTGTGTGTGTGCCATAGGCTGATAAGGAAAAGGTGGGTCCACTATTACAAATACAGTAAAATCACAGAAAAACTGAGATCAGTGAAGTTACAGCAGAGTGGGGTTTTTGACATTTTTTTTATTGTATTTCTTTTCTAAAAACTTTGAAACATTCTCCTCACACAGACGGATGGATCAGTAGAAAAGGTATGTTAAGTCTCTGTTGTCAGAGAACTTTGTGTGTTAGCCACTGATCCTGTGAAGTTCTCCTTCTATTCAAAATTAAAACTAAATCAAATAAACGGTTAAAAGAGGTTGTCCTGTGTTAACCTCCACCTGTCTGTGTTGTCGTAGACTGAAAGTGCATTAGAGGACAAGAAGGTGAGTTTCATACATACAGACGTTCCTATACTCAAAACAAACCCATGCAGAGTTTCCCAAATCGATCCATTCATATCTGCCGTTCCCTCCCTGAAGTTTCCCTTTAAGTGCCTCCCAGCAGAAATGTTCAGATCCGTTCTCGTGGTGTTTGTCAACCCTGTCAGATCATGAATTCAAAGCTCCTTTAGATCCTCAGCTTGATGAGCCCCGACCTGTTGTCATCCTTCTGACTCGCTTCCCTGCAGACAGAGCTTATTTAGATGAAGCTGAGGTTAATTCATGGCTCCGTCACCTTGTACTTGTTCCCTCCCTACATGCTTGTTCAACTCTCTGCTGCAGTATTAATATATTTTTTCAATACGCTCACTTTGAAAGTTGGAGACGGCTGATAAGAAGGTGGGTTTGCTGACTTGTGAGATGAGATTTGATTTTTTATTCATTTTTTAAGAAACACATCAAAAGTTTGGGTTTTTCATTCAAGTAGGGTACAAACTGTCGGTCTTTAATGTGGTTCACCCTCTTTCTTCAGGATTGCGTGTCTTCATAAGCAGCTTGTGTCCACAGAATCGGATCCTTTTCCTCTCTCATGACTTCTTATTTTCTCTGTGTTTTACTTTTTATGGGTTCTTATACCTGCTTACCTCTTGGCTTCTGTCTGTGTCCTTCTGTAGATGGACTCTGAGGCTGGGGACCTACTGAATGATTTGCAGGTGAAACTGAACAACGTGCTGGACGAGCTCAGCAGGACGTTTGGAAACAGGTATAATAACCCAGGAGCCTTCATGAAACATGTCACCTGACAGACTCATGAGCACCACATTGGTCTCTTCACAGGCGTTTTTGCTGATCTGTTCTGTTTTAATAGTTTCCAGGTCAAGATCAACGACTGTATGCGACAGATGTCCTCTCTGCTGTACCAGATTAAGGGACCGCTCAACGCCAACAACAAAAACCAAGTTGATGGTGACTCTGACAACATGTTAAGGCCACTGATGGATTTTCTGGATGGAAAGTGAGTAAATGATATAATGTCATTTTAACTCCAGTGAAGGTTACAAACTGAAACCCTTCTGATCAACCTGAGTGTTGATGTTTTTGTTCGTGTATTCGCTTATTCGCAGACTGACGCTGTTCGCCACTGTGTGTGAGAAGACGGTGCTGAAGCGTGTGTTGAAGGAGCTGTGGAGGATTGTGATGACCAGCCTGGAGAAGACTATAGTTCTGCCACAGGGCAGTGATACCTTTGTGAGTGAAAAAAAAATCAATCTGTTTATTTGCTTGTTTGTGTTTGTGATTCGTCTCTAAAGCACCAAGTTTTCCCCTTTTTCAGGGTGCACAGATTCTCTCAGCTGCAAAGGAGCTGGGTCAGCTCTCAAAACTCAAGGTATCAGAGTGATCTTATATGTTTTCTGTTGATTCTCAAAATAACCCATTAAAGGCTCATTTATGCTCAACGTTTCATACCGATACGGACGGAGCTCTCTGTCCGTGCTTTGCGTTCTTTTTTCGTCTGTATTCCTGCACGTATCTTTGAAGTTTAGGGATACGGGCCAGACGGAGCAGTACCACCAGAAACTGTGGGGGCAGTGTTGCTGCTGTCACTTCCCGATACACATCTCTAGAAAGAAACAAAGAGGACAATGGCGGGATCAACGTCAATTTCTCTGATCGGTACTACTAGAGAAATACACATTAGTCGCCATGTTTCTTTTTGTTTATTGCTGTAGGAAACTTTTGACTCCGGCCTGCCCCCCGGTGGATGAAATGGTTAACATCCATGCCAGTGTAAAGGACGCATGTGGGCAGTGATGGAACCATAATTTGAACGGACCCGTACATTTTCATGACGTATGGCGAGCATAAATGAGCCTTGAGGGTGATTGAAGGTATTTGAAGGTATGAACTCCTCTGTCTGATTTTCAGGATCACATGGCAGGGGAGGCTAAAAGCCTTTCTCCGAGGCAGTGTGCTGTCATGGATGTGGCTCTGGACACTATCAAGGTCAGTTTATACTGCAGGTTCTGGTTTCATTGGATTGCAGGATTCAAATGTGCTCCGTCAAATGTCCATTTATTAAATAAGTCCTCTGAAGGGTGATGTAAGCAGCTTATGACTATAAGTAATCAGGTCAGAGTGTGTGAGGGACAGCATGGGTGAAATGACAATTATGGAAAAATGGCGCTTCTTTAATTATTTACCAGCCCTGCTATTCATCTGATTCATCACAAGACAATGCAGTCGTCCTCCTTCACTTCTTTAACCATGTCAGCCATGTCTCTCTTTACTCTTAAACCACTCCTAATATTTCTCCAGCTTTAGGGAACCATCATTTATCTTCCAGTAATCTCCCTGATGTGTTTCTTTGGCAGCAATACTTCCATGCGGGGGGCAGCGGGCTGAAGAAGGCCTACCTGGAGAAGAGTCCTGAGCTATCTTCACTGCGGCACGCTCTGTCCCTCTACACCCAGACAACAGACACACTCATCAAGACCTTTGTGACCACCCAGCATGCACAAGGTAATTCAGGCCACCATCCTCGTATAAACACAGGAACACAAGCATTTCTTATTTTAGACCAGCAGAGGGAGCTATGTGAACTAGACTTTCCACTGAGTGTCACCTCCTTTATCTTTTGCATTGATTGTTTGTATCAGCAGGTTTATCATGTGGAAGTTTGTTGACATGTTACTGCTTTCTTCTCCCTTATCTCTTTTGCTGCCTGTGTCCCAGTGCACAATGGAAAGGGTATTAGGCTAACTCCTAATGAAAAAATACAGCCCAGCAGGGGTAGGTTCAGAGAAACATTTGCCCGTCTTCTTCTTCTTCTTCTTCTTCTTCTTTGTAATCTCCCTTTGACACTTTCCCTTTGACCTTGTCCACTGCATGGGAAGGTCAAACCTCGCTTACGTCTCTCCTAAATCTTGTTCTCTTGATGGATGTTTTGTCTTTTTGTCTCACTGAAGTGTCTGGTTTTACCCTAAACCAGGTTCTGGCATAGACAAACCAATAGGTGAGGTGTCGGTCCAGATCGAGCTCCACAGTCCCGCCAAGGGTGATCGAAAAGTTACTGCCAAAGGTCAGTTTTTTTACGATATTCTGCCAAGTATTTTGTAGTTTTCAGTAAAATGCTCTGATCTGATTGTCTTGTTACTCCCGTCCCCTGTGGCTTTGCTTTTTTCAGTCATCGGAGCCAATGACTTAAAATGGCAGACTTCCGGCATGTTCCGACCCTTCGTGGAGATCACCATGATCGGACCCAACCTCAGTGACAAGAAACGCAAATTTCAGACGAAATCGAAGAACAACAGCTGGTCTCCAAAGTTCAGCGAGACCTTCCACTTGTGCGTACCCCAATACCTGTGCTTATTTTTCAAACAGAGTAGAAATAAGATGAAGTTTAAGTTCAGTCTGACCGTTTTGACCACTGTTTTGTTTAATGTCATTGTACAGCCTCACATACAGCTGTCATAGTTTCCAGTTTTTATCTTATCCAATTGTGAGCCACTGGATGAGTGATTGCACATTGAGGAAAGAGAAAAATGTTTTCAATTTGATTTCAAATTAAAAAAAAATTAAACTCAGTTTTACGAAAGCGTACTGCATTCACTTACAAAAAAAAAGCCTTTTTTTTTTTTCTGTTTTTCAGACTAATTTTTTTTTTCCCCTGAATAAATTAGATACTTCAAAATCCTGCACGAATCTACAGTCAGATAACATTAACCATCGCAGCTGCTCCAAATCAATGGAAGTCAAGGGGGATGAAAGCGTCTGTTTTTTAATTATCATGATCCCAGAAAATAGGAAAAACAATTAATCTGAAATAAATAAACAGTCAGAAAAACAGAAAAATCAGTCTGAAAAACAAAAAAAAAATCAGTCTGAAAAACAAAAAAAAATATTCTGAAAAACAGAAAAGAAAAAAAAATACTTTGAAACACAGAAAAAAAATTAGTTATAAGAACAGAACATAAAAAATTACTTTGAAAAACAGGTTTTTTTTTTTGTTGTTGTTTTTTTTGTTTTTGTGAATGCAATATGCTTCCGTACAATTTAGTCGAAATGCCGAAAAAAGGGTCAAACTTCACCTGGTCCCCATCAAACTGATCGCCTTGGAGTACGAATGTTTCAGTCTGGACCAGTTCAGTCTAAGAGAATCAATGTTTCCATGCAGAAACCTCATTGGGCAGTACGCTGTGTTGTGAGAGGTAATGCCGTACCTGAGAGCACACCTCCATTACTTTTTATTTGCATACATGAAAAGCCAAAGCTGAGATACAGTTGAAAACAGGCATCACTGACACTTACTAGGGCACTTGTCTCCCTATTCATCAGTCTTTCTGCTGTTGAGCTGTGACGTGCCTTTTTCCACTGAATAGTTTTATTGTAGAAGGGAATGTTTGTCAGTGCAGCTTCAAAACTTCAGTCCTGCTGTTCAGTCGTTCAACTCTCCTGAGATCTAACCCTCAGTGTTCTGTTTCCACAGTGTCCTCGGTAACCAGGAGGGCTTTGAATGCTACGAGCTGCAGGTCTGCGTCAAAGATTACTGCTTTGGCCGTGCAGACAGAGTCGTGGGCCTGACCGTGATAAAATTAAAAGACATCAAGGGAAACTGCGCTTGCTGGTGCCCTCTGGGCCAGCGTATCCATATGGATGACACAGGCCTCACCGCCATTCGAATCCTCTCCCAGCGCTCCAATGATGACGTGGCCAAGGAGTTTGTGAGACTAAAGTCAGAGACCCGTTCTGCTGAGGAGGGCAGATGAGGAGGGCTGGGATGAAGACGTGACGAAAGACGATTCGATGAAGGGATTTATTTCCACCAACGACAATGTTGACTCTGTCATTAGACTTTAAAGTGTCTTAGCTGCAGCTGACCGTGTGGCGTCTCTTTGCCAAGCTCATGACACACCGTCACATTCACTCTCTGGGTATTTTGGAAAAAACTCTCACTTACTGTGTCACATTAATTACAGAGCTACTGTACAGCAAACAACCACTTAGGCACAGGCTCACTCAACCTTCAAACTCACCAGCTGTTTCATCAGGTAGTCAGTCACCAGTTCGACCTTTTTCTCTAATCCATCTCCACACCACAGCCTCAGGGGAACAGAGGATGCCAGGCTCCACTGGACTGCCAAAAGTGTTCCCAAACCTCCCCTTTGTTGTCGTGCAATAACCCCCCGAACCTCCTGACCGTTAGCCCGTTTGAACGCCTTACACCCTGCAGATTGTGAATGTGTGAAGAAAAAGGATCTTTTCTTTCTCTCTTTGTGTTTGAGTCAGTTTAAAAATACTGTATAATTTTGAATGGTTGTCAGTCAGGAAGCAGTTCTACTTGTAAAGTCATGAAACTGTTGAATAGAGTGGAAATGAAGCTGTTGAAATATCGTACTGGTCTCACAAGTTGATCTTGTGGAGCTTGTAGTTCATTAGACGGTACTTAAACCCTGAATTTGACCCTGAATTTAACAGAATTGACAGTTGATTGTGTGCCTTGCCATGTTAACTTCTTCCTGTTTCCTCATCCTGCTGTATGTTGAAGATAAACCCTGTTTCAGCTGTACTCAAAGAAGAACTTCATCACCATCTCTTGGCTGATGTGGCCTAGTGTAACCATGATGTTACTATTTTATTTATTGTTTTATACATATTTATTTTTGCCTGTGCTCATTGTTTACCACTGGAAACAGATGCTCAGAATTTGCACAGTTTGCTTTTTACTACACAGAATCTGAACTTTTAGAGTTTCTTTACAAGATAATACACAAACTCTGCATATGTCATGACATTTCACACAAGATCGGCACCGAAACAGTTGATTTATTTTGAAAACATATCACTTGTCTGAGCGAGTGCAGAGCTACTTGTGGTTTACAGTTATCTACATCATTATACATGAGTGGCCTTATTTTAGAAAAATAGGTTAACTTTTATCCACTCTTGTTTTTCCTTGAGCTCACAGCGATGAGGAGGGGCGTCCACCTTCCTCACGATGATGATGATGATGTCATGTTTTCCACGTGATGCTCCTTTTTGCGATCCTTCGAACGTTGTAATTATATCTGAGTTGTCTTTTCCACTTGTTACGTTTGTGTTCTCGAGTTTTAGAGTTATTTTTCTGAATCTCCCAACATGATTTTAAATGATTTGATCGCAGTAATGAAAGATATATCTGAGTGTTGTTTACACAGACGTGTGCCAGTGAAGTTGGGAGAATAATAAAGTGTTTCTATTTACAAAGGATGAATATTAAAATACAAGAGACTTAATGTGTGCACATTTTTAAACTGATCACTGAAGTAATGAGAAAATCACATTCCTCTATCGTATTCATTAACCCATAGTAATAAATGATGTCGTCTGAGAGGGGAAATGTTTTATAGCCAATCTGTGATTTTAAAAAATGTTCCTTGTGCCATTTTGCAATCGCTCACTTTTGTTTTGTCGTTTTTTTTAATGTCAGCGTTTTCTAAATCGTCAACCCTTGCACTATCACTGAACTATTACCACAGTCAACGGCATTTTTGTGTTTTCTTTGTATTGTCGGGACTTTCAAATGTTTTTGTCATCATGTAAACATTCCAGTTAAAGATTTTTGTATAAAGTATTTGAGAAGTATCCATAAATGTGTCTCCTTCTTTTTGTTTTCAAAGAGTTTGAATGGAGAGGGTAAACCTCATCGTTTTGGTGAGTTATTGCTTTTCCTCTTCAGACGCACTGAATGGTCAGTCAATAAGAACTTACTGGTTAAAATTGATCAACACTAAGTTAATTACAGGACTGATAATGAGAAATTGAATAAGTAAGTTTAAGTCCAATGTAGAAGGCATCACCTTTATGATCACTGAACTCAGGACGTGACACTGAAACTGCGTGAAGGATGACCTCAGTCGGAGCATGCGCACTCATCACAGGGTGTGTTTCAAGGTAAAACAACTACTTTATGTCTGAGCCATCACGCTGGCCCTGATTGGCTGGATCCATTTACCTGTCCTCTTGTTTTACTGCCCCTCCACTCCTTCCTGCCTCATCGTCCAGGTCCAAAGATCACTACTCTGTTTGCTCAGGCCCTGGGCTGTGAGCTGCATGGAGATCCCAGCTCTTCCTGTATGAGTCTGAAACCTCAACTGTAGGTGCTTCTTCTCTCACCACAACACCGCTTCACCTGTCGTCCATCCTGCTTGTCTTTCATCCAACTGGAGGCTGGGCTCACTTTCTCTACCTTTGGACTGGGTTGTACCAGGACATCTAGAGACAGAAAGAGAGGGATTTACTTTATCTGAAGGGGAAGTAAAGAGAAGGACAGAAGTATTTCCCTCTTTTGTTTTTGGCCCTGTGGTCCAGAGTCTCTGTGTGAGAAAGACTTGAAGGATATTCATGTTTTAGGTATGTGGCTGACTTTCATTCGCTGTCAGATTTTGGGGAAAACGTCTCTTTGGTTGGAGCTTTATGATTTAAACCTTGTTGTAACTCATTACTGATCGAAATGTAGGCCGAAGGCTCGGTTGCTTCAGAGTCACATGATTTCATAGTAACGGAAAAGTCATGTACAGAAGTCAAACTTGATTTGTACTTTCTTTTTGCTCGGGTTTGAGGCTGGACATCCAAACAAATCCGGGTTTGCTCAGCAGCTCAGTGTCGTGTTGATTCACACAAAAGATCCTCTGCTCTGAATTCAGGACGAGCAGCAGCAAAAACTCACAGCAGAACCACATAAATCAGCAAAAACTAGACTTTCAACTGTCTACTGAATGTTCTTTAGGCCTTAGGCACTTTGTAATAAATCAGATGTTCATGGTCAGATCAATATCTTAATCTCAGTATTTCTGGATTATCTACTAGAAATCTTTCTCAGGTACAAAGGGTTGAAAAGGGAGCGGCTAGATGCCTTTACAACTCTGCAGTGTTGATAAAGAATCAAGGATGTGCCGAATATACTTCTATGACTTCTGAAACTTCTCTTTACATTAAAATTTGATGAGAAATATCTGCAGAGAGAAACTTTTATTTACTGATTGTATTATTTTAAGAGCAAATCAGACATCTCCATACCAATTAAGATGTATTTTGATTCACTACAGTCATAATATTTAAGATTTGTTTCCGTGTTTTTACCCACACACCTTTGTAAACTCTGACAGCTTCCATCAGTGACTATCAGGAATTAGATTTTACATTATTACGCTGGTTCCTCCTCGCTCTGGCCAGTTTCCCCTTCCTGTTGCTGCCTCGCTGTGGTCTAACTACAAAGAAGTGAACGCATCTGTGAAAACTTCTCCTGTACTCTGTCTATAGGTGAAGAAATATGTAGAAAGTGAGCCGAGGATGGGGTCAGTGGTGTCATTCTTCGAACGGCTGCTTGGGACAGAAAAAAAAAAGGGTGAGAACAGATGCAAATCAACATTTTATGATGTCTTTTTATGCAATGAACTGAGAAAGCTATTTTTTATTTCTCCATCCCTTTTTTCTTCAGAGGAGGAGAGATACTTACGAGCCAATGACAGACCGTTTAATCTGTCTTTCAACTATGATGTGAGTCTCAACACAGACCCTTCTGTGTGCACGCAGTTGCAGCAGTATAACAGGAGCACAATTTAAGTGTCATGTTGCACCACATGGCCTCATATTTTTCTTTTAATGTCCTCTATGTCAGAACAATGCGATCAGGACCTCCAAATACAACATCTTCACCTTCCTGCCTCTTAACCTCTTCGAGCAGTTCAGGAGGCTCGCCAATGCCTACTTCCTCTTCCTCATGGTCCTCCAGGTGAGCATCAGTTTACAGAAACGGAGACGACACACAAATGTCAAAATATATGAAGAGAAAACTGTTGTTTGATCTCACTGACTAACAATTATAACTCATACCTGTGTGTGTTTGTTCTGTTGACAGCTGATCCCACAAATCTCCTCTCTCTCCTGGTTCACCACGGCCGTCCCTCTAATCCTGGTGTTATCGATAACAGCAGTCAAGGATGCCAGCGATGACATAGTGAGCTCAATAATGATAATAATAAATGATAATTACAATCGATAAATCAAAATTGAACAAAACTCATTCTATTGTTATACTCTTAACTGCATTTGTTTCTCTTTCCTGTGATCTTTGCAGAACAGACATAAAAGTGACAATCAAGTGAATAACCGAACTGTGAGTGTCCTGATCAATGGACAGTAAGTCTAATTTCATTTTTCACATCAATTATGCAAATAAACGAATTTTTGTTTGGCTCTTTTTTTCATGTGATTTCATTATTTGATATTTTTACTTCCTGACAGACTTAAAGAAGAAAAATGGATGAATGTACAAGTTGGAGACATAATTAAACTGGAGAATAACCAGTTTGTCACAGTAAGTGCTGCGAATAAAAGGGGCAAAAACATTTGTGTATTATGGCTTTTTAGATTATATTGCTCTTCAACTGATGTAGGTGCTTTCAGTGATAAGAAGAGCTGCAGTGAGGTCGAAACAAAGTTCAGACCAAAGATAACAAAGTTTATCTAATCTCATAATCTAAGAAACTTTATGTTGCCTGTATTGTATCGCTGTCTGTCTCAGGCTGATCTTCTGTTGCTGTCGAGCAGTGAGCCTCTAAATTTGGTCTATGTGGAAACAGCTGAATTAGATGGGTTAGTATGCATCAGTGTGTGATGTACTTGATGTTTTTTATTTTAATTTTTCTAATGTCCTCCTGATCTCCTTCTCCTGATCCCCTTTAGTGAAACCAATCTGAAAGTAAAACAGGCTCTGACTGTGACTGGAGAGATGGAAGACAGAATTGAAGCGCTCGCAGCTTTCAACGGTGAGACACTGAAAGAAACAGGAATTTACAAAACATACTCAAGTAGGAAAAGAGTGCTAACTTTACTTTAACGGCTTCAACATGAACACTGCTAACTTAAATTATTCTCCGCTGACCTCTGCCTCTGTTAGGTGAAGTGCGATGTGAGCCTCCTAACAACCGTCTGGACAAATTCAAAGGAACCCTGTCTTTAGACGGGCATCTCCACTCTCTGGACAACGACAAAGTGCTGCTCAGAGGATGTACCCTGAGGAACACAGAGTGGTGCTTCGGTTTGGTCATCTTTGGAGGTAATTTCTTTAAATCTCACTTCAATCTTTTTCATTTTTTATAACTACTTAAAGTGTTTCTCAGAGGTCATTAAATTGTGATTATGAAGTTTTTAGCCAAAGTCATCTTACCTGTGTCATTTTCAAGAGCTTTTCTTCTGCAGAGCTCCAGTCGCTCATTGGTAATTCGTGGGCGGAGACTTTGCTCACTTCTCTTCATGTTAGCTTGCAGCCTAACATTACCGGTGTAGTAGAAGAACCGGGAAACATAGGAGTTATTCAGCTCTCAGACGCTAATGTCTTTAGGGACATGATGAATGTTGATATCATAATTAGCTTTCTTAGGAGCATTGCAATCCACTAATGCAACCATTATTATCCACTCGTCTTTGTTGTCCACCACTTCTCCGAGTCTGGCCTGCATAGTGGGGCTTGGAGTTTGAAGTTTGGATTTGCTACATAGGAAATTTCCTTGTATCTGAACCTGCCGTTTGGGTCTGCCAGAGATTCACAGATTCACTTGAATGTGGAAATACTTAGAAATAAATTTAGCACTTACTTTTCTCACAATATGTCCTGTAGCATCAGAAAAATGACATGAACATGTAGACAACAAGAAAACATGATTTTCATCAGAGAGGGTCTTTAACATCTGAAGCACTATTTGAGGCTCCTGGTGAACATACCCTCAGAAAAGCTTGAAAGGACTCAGACAGTTTTTCACTGGAACTTCGCTGCGGTGTCAGCGCACCAATCTTTCCTCGTCCCTTTGTTTCTCAGTCTCGATCAGAGCAAAAGAATAAGACCAACTGTGAACACGACATCAACGGTCTCACTGAACAGGAACTGGACCACAGCAGGAATTACTTGTGTTTGCAAATAACCCCATCATAAACTGTAGAAGTGAAAGTTTCAGAAGGGCACTTCCAAGATATGTGTAGGGCCTACAGACGCTGCCCCAATCATAGTCCACGTCCGGCTTTGATTTATGGTCCAGCTGTATTTTTTTTGATACGACTGTGATAAAATGATTTGCCAGTCCAAAGTTAAGGAAACATCAAAGAGTGTCCAATTTTATCTCCAAAACTGACCCCACTGATTCTGGTAGACACACTCTTAATAATAATATTATTATTATTATTATTATTATTATTATTATTATCATGGCTGTGTATCTGACCAAAGATGGATCTTTTCCAGGTCCTGACACCAAGCTGATGCAGAACAGTGGCAAGACCATTTTCAAGCGGACGAGTGTTGATCACTTGATGAATGTCCTGGTGTTGTGTGTGAGTTTGATTTTCATGCAGACACAAATACACATCAGCTGTCAAGCATCAACACGTTACTCAAGTATCTCACAATATTTGTAACCTCTTTGATTTCTCAGATATTTGGTTTCCTGGCGTGCATGTGCAGCGCCATGGCCATTGGCAATGCAATCTGGGAGGTGCGGGAGGGCTCAGTGTTCACAGTCTTCCTTCCCCGTGAAACAGGGATTGACGCCAGCCTCTCCTCCTTCCTCACCTTCTGGTCCTACGTAATCGTCCTCAACACGGTGGTGCCGATTTCCCTCTATGTGAGGTATGTTCAAGCTCGGACAACTGACTGTGAAGTTTGGAGTCGGTTTACTTTTGCTATTATTATTATTATTATTATTATTATTTTGTCTCTGAAAATCAGTGTCGAGATCATCCGGCTGGGCAACAGCTTCTACATCGACTGGGACAGGAAGATGTATCACACTAAGAGTGACACTCCTGCCCAGGCCAGGACCACCACACTCAATGAAGAGCTGGGTCAGATCAAATACATCTTCAGTGATAAGACCGGCACCCTGACACAGAATATCATGACTTTTAACAAGTGCTCTATCAATGGAAAAGTTTATGGTGAGCAGCCGGGCTGATATTGATGTTAAAAAGTGTTATGGAAACACAGTCACAGACTTTACACTGTTTTTTATTGTTTCTCAGGGGAGCTGTTTGACTTTTCTGGACAGAGGGTGGAAATAACAGAGGTGAGAGAAGCTAACACATACTTAAAGTCAACCTAAGGTATTTTCTGTAACGTCTATTTCCCCCTATTTCTCTTTTCTGCAGAAAACACAGACAGTGGACTTCATGCAGAACCCGCTGGCTGATCCAAAGTTCATCTTTCACGACCAAAGTCTGTTAGATACAGTGAAAGAGGGAGACCCAGAGGCTCAGAGCTTCTTCCGCTTACTGGCTCTTTGCCATACAGTCATGCCAGAGGAGAAGGAAGAGGGTGCGTGTCCTCTGACGGACATCTTCTTATTACCTGATAAGTTTCAAACTGAAGGCCTACCTGATTTATGTTTTGAGTTTGTTTGGAATCCTATTTAGTCCAGGTTTACTGATTCATTGACTTTTATATCCTAATTTCTTTTAACTGCTCTAAACTCCATATTTACAGATCAACCCACATGTCATTTATTTCCTTTCCTCTCCCTTCTTCCGTCTTTTTTCCCTGTGACAGGAAAACTGTTCTACCAGGCTCAGTCTCCTGATGAGGGAGCTTTGGTAACCGCAGCGAGGAACTTTGGGTTTGTGTTCCGCTCGCGCACACCGGAGACCATTACAATCTGGGAGATGGGCAGAAAAGTGACCTACGAGCTTCTGGCTGTTCTTGACTTCAATAATGTCCGCAAGAGAATGTCAGTAATAGGTAAAGCGCTGGCATTTTTCCTTTTTCTTTTACTTGAGTATGTAGCATGTAAACAAGGTGAGTATATAATTCTGATCTGTCCTAGTGTTGCTCCACATGTTGAATTCTCAAACTTATTCATAAAATCCTGTGTTTTTCAAATGTAAAGAATGAACATTAAAAAGATTCAGACTGCTGACCTCGTCTCACTAAATAACATCCACTATGATCTCCAGTGCGAAGCCCTGAAGGGAAGTTGACTCTGTTCTGCAAAGGAGCAGACACCATCATCTTTGAGAGACTTCACCCCTCCTGTAATAAACTAAAGCAAATAACTACTGGACATCTCTGTGTGAGTCCTGGTTTCGGATCCCTCTGATGTTTGTGTTCAGATTAACTCAGTGTACTCTCAGAGAACTGATCTTTAACTGCTTTACTCTGCCAAACTAAAACAGGAGTACGCTGGTGAAGGCCTCCGTACGTTGGCTCTGGCGTACAAGAACTTGGATGAGGACTACATGGATGATTGGAAGCAGCGCCACCATGAGGCCAGCACTGCCATGGACGGCCGGGAGGAGAGACTTGATGAGCTTTATGAAGAGATAGAGAAAGACCTGCTGGTTAGACGACCAACTTAATACTTAAATATTTAAGTACAAATGCAACACACTGTACTGTTTACCATTTTCAGATATTAATGCTGAGAAAACTTGAAAAATGAAACCCTCTGAGACTAACCAACAGGTTTATCAGGCAGGTTCAAGAACCAGCCTGTGTAACTTTTGTAAAGAAGTGTATTACCTTCACCAAAAAGAAAAAAAAATCAGTTTTTATGAGTAATTTTTTGCTGTTATTGTTTTTCAGACGAATTCTTTTTCCTATTCTCTGGGCTCATGATCATTTAAAAACATCCCCCTCTGCTTGATTTATAGGAAACAAACTTGGCCCACTTGTTTAGTTTTATCAAGTTTTACTTTCTTCTGGGTTTGAGACTCTGGGAGATCCTCCTCTCTAAGTCAGATAAATGGAATCATCAGAAGTTTGTCTACTTTGCGCAGACACCTCAGGATTTGCATTCCCTAAGTTTAACTAATAACAAGCTTTACTCTCATTGACCCCGTAGTCAGTTATATTGGAGCTGGAGAATCCACTGATTTGGAGCAGCCATGGTGGTTAATGTTATCTGACTGTATGAGATTCTCACAGGATTTTGAAGTATCTCGCTTAGTTAGGGGTGAAAAAAATCCTCTGAAAAACAGAAAGAGGGGAAAAAATATTAGTACAAAAAAAACAGAAAAAAAATTGTCAGAAAAACCGCAAAGAAAAAAAATTACCTAAAAAAAAACAGATTCCCTTTTTTTGTAAGTGAATGCAATACGCTTACGTACTTTTGCTCTGAACATTCCTATTAAAATATTTGCTGAAACTTAATTAGAAAGAAGTTGAAGCTTTCATCACTCTGTACCTTACATGTTTTAGCTTTTGGGAGCCACAGCTGTCGAGGATAAGTTACAGGATGGAGTACCACAGACTATAGAACAACTTGCTAAAGCTGACATCAAAATCTGGGTGTTGACTGGAGATAAACAGGGTGAGCATCACGTATTGTATATTTATTCCTGTTTATATTTCATATTTTAAGTGTTAAAGTGAAATAATGCAGTAACATTAGCTTAAACAGTAACATTAGCTTAAGCGTGAGTTTGACAATGTTCTTCTATCAAAGTAAATGTGGATGTTTTTTTTTACAGAGACTGCAGAGAATATCGGCTACGCCTGCAACATGCTGAGGGAAGAGATGAAGGATATTTTTGTTGTCGCAGCAAATACACCTGAAGGAGTAAAAGAGGAGCTGCTGTAAGTCAGGCAGAGATAATGGCGACGTATGACACATCCAGTGATAGTTACCATGCAACATAATCAGACTTTAAATAACTGGTGCTGAAGTTATAAAACTGTATGTGACACAGTTTGTAAGCCTCCACACTTAATTGCAAAAATATTTTACCTACATAATATGTTAAATATGCACAGAATGGTTGAACATGCAGCAAAGATATATTCAGAGTTTGGTAGAAGACATCCGTTGTCTTGGGGAGTCATGCTAACTTAGATCTGTGCACAGTTTGATGGATAGATATACATGCTAATGATTACAGCTAATATAGTCGAGTGAATAATCCTTCTGTTGCTCTGTTTTAGAAATGCAAGAAGAAAAATGTGCCCAGATGCTGCTGATGAACCCGAAGTGATCAAGTCTCGCGCAGGTCTATTCTGGCTGAAGAAGACTGAGTTTGTGCAGGACGAGAAGGTGGACGGAGAATATGGACTAATCATAAATGGACACAGTCTGGTAAGGCTTGGTCATTACATTATTCCATTATTAACCAAACCACTCTGAACATCAGAACCCTCCTTTTTGGTGTCTTGATATTCTTGGATGTCTAGCTCTAGATTGAGGCCTCAAACACATTTCCAGTACAGTCCTGCAGTCTCCTCTTTACCTTCCTTTTTCAGGCCTTTGCCCTCGACAAGAACTTGCAACTGGAGCTGCTGAGGACGGCATGCATGTGTCAGACGGTGATTTGCTGCAGGGTCACTCCTCTTCAAAAGGCACAGGTGGTTCAGCTGGTCAAGAAATACAAGCAAGCTGTCACTTTGGCTATAGGAGATGGAGCCAACGATGTTAGCATGATCAAGGGTAGGCTCGTACAACATGGACACAACACGCCATTCAATTGTGTTTGCAATAAAACCAATCAGTAGGAATGTAGTCTTTATTCTGTCTGTCTGTCTGTCTCCCAGCTGCTCATATTGGTGTGGGGATCAGTGGCCAGGAGGGCATGCAAGCAGTTCTCTCAAGTGACTTCTCATTCGCCCAGTTTCGTTACCTACAGCGTCTCCTGCTTGTGCACGGTCGCTGGTCCTACTTACGAATGTGCAAGTTCCTACGATACTTCTTCTACAAGAACTTCACTTTCACCTTTGTACATTTCTGGTACGCCTTCTTCTGTGGCTTCTCCGCACAGGTGAGGACCAAACCGAATACTTATAATACCAACAATAAAACAAAACTAGAATCCTCTGAGACTTTTTACCACTTCAATGAAAATGTTTGTCCAACATCTCAGGTTATGTAATCCCTCCAGATGATGAGAATTAGAAGTTGATGAAAATAAAAGTAGGACAGATAGTATGTTGACAGTTTAAAGGATCTTTCCTCCAACAAAAGAGGAACACGAGTTCAGAAAAGGTTGTTTACTCTGCTTGTATGTGTATGTGTCTCTCATGCTTTTGTTTACAGACTGTATATGACGAATGGTTCATCACCTTGTACAACCTGGTTTACACGGCGCTTCCTGTCCTTGGCATGAGCCTCTTTGACCAGGTATGTATTCAAGTAAAGTCATTTTCTTAAACACACACATAAATACACACTCATCTCATCTGTCTCCGATCATAATCTTCCGCCTCTGTAGGATGTAAACGACCGCTGGAGCTTCCAGTATCCTCAGCTCTACACTCCCGGCCAGTTGAACCAGTACTTCAGTAAGAACATCTTTGTGCGCTGTATGATGCACAGCTGCTACAGCTCCCTCATCCTGTTCTTCATCCCATGGGCGGCTATGCAGGACACGGTCCGAGACGATGGCAAGGACATTGCTGACTATCAGTCCTTTGCTTTACTGGCACAGACCTGTCTGCTGGTTGTGGTTTACATTCAGGTAAGAGTCTTGTTTTCTGCAGGACTTAGTCAAAGACACTAATTCGATAGTTCAATCTGTAAAGCTGTCAACTTTCTTGCTTCATTATGAATAAATGTGTTTTTTCCCTCAATATGAAATCTTCAGCTGTGCCTGGACACCCATTATTGGACAGCAGTGAATCAGTTCTTCGTATGGGGCAGTCTGGCAGCTTACTTTGCTGTTTCATTCACCATGTACAGCAACGGCATGTTCCTCATCTTCAGCTCCTCTTTCCCCTTCATTGGTGAGTATTTAAATCTCATTTCTAGAGGCAAAACTTTGAGATTCCAGTCTCCTGAAATGGTCATGTGTGTCTGTAACAGGATTAATTTAAGGTTTGAGTTGAATTTAAACCTCCTGTGTAGAGTATTTTCTATCCCTGATACACTATTGTAGGTTGTTATGATATTAAATTCATTTAATTACCTTTTTTTTTTGCTTTTTGTAACTTCAGGTACAGCTAGAAACTCTCTGAACCAGCCTAATGTGTGGCTGACCATCCTGCTGACTTCCCTCCTTTGCATTCTGCCTGTTGTGACTTACCGTTTTATTCTTATTCAGCTTCAACCCACCATCAATGACAAGGTGAGATAAGACACAACACAGGACCAGTGTTTACATTTTCTATGACTCAAGCTGATGAAATAAAAAGCAGTTTAGTGTGAGCTTGAAACTCTTTACGCCCTCCTCCACTTTCAGGTTTACTTTTTTTAAATGTTGGATTTATTACAGATACAGAAACAAAACCCCAAAAGCTGATTTAAAGGTGTTTGGTTCTTGGTTCTCTTCTAGGTGAGATATAAGGTGCGGGAGGAGACACTCCCAGCTCCCGCGCCCCGCCGCCCGCCTCGCAGGCGTATCAGTACCCGCCGGTCTGGCTACGCCTTCTCACACGCCCAGGGCTATGGTGACCTGGTGACATCTGGAAAATTTCTGCTGAGACTAAACCTGAAAACTCGACCGGCCCTGTTCTCCCAAACAGACTCCCCTCTGGCTGAGAGCCAACCACAGCACTACCGCACCATACCAGAGGAAAGGGAGGAGGGGAAGAGTCCCACACAGGAGGAGGCGTCCGTGGAGTGAACACTGCGTCAGGCTGGGAGGCAACATGACAGATTTGATCGCAGAGTCTAGATCCCACTAAGAAGAGGATGTGCAGGGTTAAGTTAGTTTTGATTGTAAAGGAAAGGGTCACTACTATGTGAAAACGTTGAAGGGACCACACTGCTCCTTTTTTTATTCAGCTTTTAACTTGAAAGCTGGCATACAACCTTCATGTACTGTATCTAACACAACACAAACCGCACAAAATCACAACATTACTCTTGAGAAAAATTCACGTCTTTTAAGAACGGTGAGATTTGGGAAAGTAAGCAGAATGACTCAAAGTGTGGTCTCATTTTAAACACTGTAATTATTCGCCTCCTAAGCATGGCCAGAAATACTAAATGGGGTTTGAGGTGCTCATTCATGTTGGATTTACTGTTTTTTACATTCCTTATTCTTTGTTTTTTGTGAACTATTAATATTTCAGGATAAGTTAAAATGTGAAGGATGCCAAAAGCTGGGAATAAGATGATGTTCTGTGTGGAAACGATTCATTTTATTTGCATTAAGCGATAATAAATACTCAGGATGTTGTTTCAAGGAAGAGAAACCAAGTGATTTCAATTTCATGAAGAATCAACAGTGAACCTATTCCCGCTCTTCTGTTTACATATTCTTGCATTCAAGTTTTTTGTAATATTGTTTTATTTTTGTTCGACTCTGTGACGTTAATCCTCCTTGTTAATTCATAAACGCTCACAGTCACAGTAAGTCAGAGTTTCCTCTGTACAGCCAGGGGTCAGTGTTGTCTCTGTAAACAGGTTTAATGTGCCATCAGACAAAAATGAGTCACTGATTCCTTTTTGTCAAAATGTTCTGACTTTGTTGAATTAATTTTAGGTTTCTTGTTTTGATTGTCAAAATCTCTCAAGTGCCAACATGTAATTTTTTTTTAAATAAAACAGTCTGATTTACTTGTGCAGCCATTTCTCTTCTTATAGTTCTAGACAAGACTTTGCATCAGAATTTGAAGGACAAAAATGTCTGATTATGTAAATATTTTATATCCTGACCTCTTTCAGGGAAGCTTTAACTCAAAGCGCTCCCAGATTTTTCTGCATTATGTATGCAGCGGTGTGCAGTTTTAATCTCACGCCGCCTGTCCTCCTCTTCTCACAAGCTTTCTTCACCCACATTTCACATACAGGCAAACTGCACCGTTATATCTGCACACCCACACACGTAATGCATTCAGCTCAGAACTGCAGTGTCCTCAGGGACACCTACAGATGACATCAGAGGCTGAGGGCTGTCCCTCTGATCCAGATATTGGAGGAGATAAGAATGTGTTTGCTGAAATGTGCACGCTGAGACATGGTGCAACAGTCCTGTGAAGGCAGATCAGGTAGAGTGCAACATAGGGACATGATAAAGAACAGAAAAAAGAAGAGGGGAAATAAAAAATACATGATTTAATTTAGATGTAAGGTCTTTTGGAGACACTCCTTTGCTTATCCGATCTCTTGGGTTGCAGATGGACTGATATACATTTCTATTTAGACAGATTCACCTGAGTGCCAGATGGATTCAACCTAAGGTGTTGGAAATAAAACTGCTCCTTTTAACTCCCACTTATTACTCCTCCTCCTTTGGCCGTGCAGTGCTGTCAGCAGGCTCCACAGTCTCCAGTGAAGGTCACTGAATGATCCCACTCTGTGGAACAGGAATGAGGACTGGTATGTTTTATAAATAGCCTGCCTGTGTGGCACACCCAAAACCACAACCATCTATTTCTTTCCTCTCTAAACAACCTCTGATCATATTTCTGATTAACTAGGGATGAAGCAGCGTTTAATATGTTTTAATACCAACCATAGTCTTACTTTAAACTTACAAAAATAAAGGACACTGAAGCCAGCAAGGGCTCTGACAAATACTGAGCATCTCTAATCCTTTGTGCTATTAATAGACGCTGGCATTTTTACACAAGGTAAAAAAGCAGCTCGGTTCGACACAGGAGCTGGGATGAATCAGAGACAGAGAAAGGGAAAAAGTACGAGCCAGAGCAGAGCGAGCGTTTAGACACTTTGATATTGTCATGCAATCCCCCTGGGGCAAAGTTCAAACTGAAAGTTGTACTGTGCTCCGTCTGGTGGTCTTCAGAAAGAGGAGACTGCTGACTTAACTTAAAGAGAATTTCACACTTGCTGATCCAACATGGATTGAGTCACTCTGTGTTTCAGTCTCCTGGGCAACAAGCTCCTTCTCTGCGGAGACAGAGCTCTGAAAACCCTTGAGATGAAACATTATTGCTGTTTGCACGCTGAGAAATGAATATTTCTGTCTTAGAATCTCAGAGATCACGGTAACTCCAGCAGCTGTTCTCGATAGGGCAAAGCTCATGAGGATCTTAACACATAAACAAGTGATCCTGTGAGAGTCATTTAATGCCGACCCTCTGACTTTTCATTCAGTCAAACGGTCCATGAGATGTCTTCACTCAGCCACACTGAGATAGAAAACAGTTGAGTGATTAGCAATAATCACTCAAATAATACACACTTTTTTCCTGTCCCTTTTTGTAACTTAGAAATTCTCAAATGTTTAAGACATATGACTGTACAGGGACATTAAAGGTGCAGTATGTAGTTTTTAGCAGCATAAAGCAAAACAGACTTGATCAGAAAAAAAGTAGTAATAGTAGTAGAAGAAGAAGAAGAAGAAGAAGAAGAAGAAGAAGAGAGGTTAATATGCTCCAAAATCATTTGTACAGATCGTCATTTTTTGATGGTAAAAATATAAAAACAAATAGAGGATCATACCGATCATGTTTCACAGGGGCTTCTTGTCCTTTAAGGCCACCGTCACTTCACAGTAGGCAGGGTGAGCAGGGTGGGCGGGGTGAGCAGGGTGGCGGGCTAATCTAGAATCTGACTGCTAGCTAAATATTTACATGTGATGATGAAGATTAAATTGTTTATGTTTGTATATCTCACAACTCAAGTGAATGTGCAAAACAAACAGCATCTAAAGGAGGTACAGAGGGTTCAAGAAGACTCTGATCTGGACCTCCTTACAAACCAGATGAAAGTCCACATGGTGCTTCATTATGGAACCAGTTAAACGCTCATAGTATTGAATCTTTGATATCTAGATTTAGGTTTACTTCTCTCACATTCGACCCAGACATGTGAGGAGCCTGCAGACTGATGTTTCCGGATTAGAGCAGTGACTCAGTGTTAAGACTTTTGCCTTAGCAGAGATCAAACACGGGTCCAACAGAGGCTTAACTGTTTAGATGTTTGACAAACGCTGCGTGCGTTTGTCTGGATGTCAATATGAGATAGTGAGACACACAGTGAGATGGCGAGAGTTATCTATAGGTAGAGAGAGAGAGTATGTGGTGTCAGCTGGAAGCCTTGTATCTAAATAAAGGTTTACCTTCAACCTTAGAAAATGACCACCTCTGGCTGCCACATTAGCACCGGTGAGAAGTATGGGATTTATTTACTAAACACAAAACAAACATGGCCAAGGCTATTACATTAATTATATTCTAGTAACCCTGGTAACCAGTGCGTTTTCTGTCTGGTGTTTTGTTCGACATTGTGTCTTTAGTTTTATGTGATCTAATGGACGGCCTATCAAATCAATAAAAACCAGACACACAAATAAAACTTTTCCCTAACATCTGATTCAGTAAAAACATGGCCTTGAGATAACGTCATCTGCTGTTATTTTTGGCTCTCTGCAGTTGGGCAAACAGTTCCTTGAACTCTTATTTTGAAATCTAAAAGAACAGAAATCTGGGACTCGTAGTTGTCCAGAGTCCTATGACCCCAATTTAGAGAGAGTCCCAGAGGCCTTGTTCGGGAAGAGGCTTTTATGTGTCAGTGACCCAGGATTGGCTGTCGTAAGTTATGGTCACTTTGAGAGGGGTCTTCCAAATGTGGAAAGACAGCAGGAGTCAAATGTCATGTAGGGAGCATGCTTGGCGTCTGTTATCTGAATAACTGCAGCAAAGTCTGTGTTTCATTCTTGGCTCACAGCTTCATTTGTTTTATTGTGTGTTTTTCTTACTTCCTCATTACAATTACTGTTTATCCTCACTAAATATGTTATATTTTGTGAGTAACTAGCATGGGAGTATTAAGCTTAAATTCCATTTTTGCTAGTCTACCAATGAACCATTTGTTAGCATCTCATTAAATATCAATCCTGCATAATCTGATAACTTAATGCATTGCAGATGAATCATGTGAGCACGTTTTGCATGAGTACATGTCAGTGTAAACAATATATTAACACAAGCACCTGGACCAGTGCAGCTTCAGTCACTGCAGTCACCTTCAGTGTGTCGCTGAGTGGAACTGAGTAACTGGCATCAGTGCGCGCATGCTGACCACACTTTCTCTGCGTGAACCTCCTTTGAGCCAGCTGGACTAAAAACAAGGTCATGATTCTAGATTTTGGATCAAAACACAGTCACTGAAACAAAAAGGATCTAGGTCAGGTATTGCTTCAAAAAGACCTCAAGTTTGTCCGTGCTCTGAGATTGTTGCAACCACGTTAAAGATTCACAGAAACAGCAGACCGCAACCGCTCATCATCTGACCCAGGTGGGTTTTGAATGAAATAGGACATTGAACCTCACATGTTTAACAATGAACTGTAATGTACCTTATAAACAGCGGTTGGTCATCTTGTGAGCTAAATTTTTGTCTTTATTTATGAATCAGCAAGATATGTTATTTTATTATCCTTGCCGAGAAATGACAATCTGAAGTTATTCAAAAAGTTTTGGTTTTAAATTCCTTTTACCAGATCAGAACAGACCTGCCCTGGTGAAGTCTTTGGTCTTAAATAATTGCAGGTCAGCCTCTAACTTAAGATTTGTTCCTCTTTAAATTACTGAAACCAGCGGTTACAGTTTCTATGTTAAACCAGTGTCATTAAACAGATGCAGAGAGACGTAGTGCCGTCATTCATGCACAGAGGTTTGCAGATAAAATTTTTATATTATTGAAATTACAGTGCTCAAAAGTCTTCTTTTATGTGACTCTACCTTTTTTTCTTTTTCTTGAATAACTAAAACAAACTGCAAAAGAAGCTTCTGGCTTTTCTTTAAAGGCTAAAAAAAATTACATGGAGTATATTCCCAGAGGATTTCTTTATTTTTTTGATAACTTCACATAAGTAACATTCAAGAGTAGCATGACCATTACAGAATTGCATAATACTTTGATATGATCTGGGATGTATTGATTACGGTCTAAAGAATTTAAAATTGATACCAAACTGACAGCATCATTTTTAAAAAGAGACTTAAAATAGTGAATCCATAAAATTTGAAAAAACACAATTAATGACAACAACAATAATAATGGCCAGCAATGTGTTGTCAAAGAAAAGCCTCGCTGCTTGTAAGCATTATTCACATGAATACAAAATTACAGTTTAAAGGCACATTCATAGAACAACAACAATATTGCATGCAGTCCCAGGAGATTAAAAGCAGCACAACTATGTCACAGTTTAGTGGTTAACACATTAGAATACCTGATATAATGAGAGATAAACAGTATACAGAAATATTGCTTTGCTTTGATTATTGCTGTAATAAAAGTGAGCTGTGTGCATTTATTATTATTATAGATTGCTGGAAGTATTTAATCAGCAGACGGAAAACATAAGAAACTCACTTTGCACAATTCAACACTTGCAATAAATCACATTTTTAAGTGGTGCAGCTTGCATAATCATTGATTCTGCCAGAGAAAACAGAAAGTATTTGATGTAACATGAGCTTCTGATGGCAACGCTTTCATTTCCCTGAAAGATCCATTTATCCCAGTAATCATTAAGTTGAAATTTTGCATGTCAAAATACATCTGAGTTAAATATGTCTTTGACTATTGTAAGACTGCTGCTCCAAAAACAAGAAAACTGGATCATGAGCAGTGTGTTAAAATCCAAGATGGGCTGTAGCAATAGATGAATTTGGATGTTAAGTCAATACTGGAGTAGATAAAAAGTTAAAAATGCCCATCACATGATCAGACCCAAAGGTAAACGTTATTATAACCTGGCCAATAGTGTTCAAGGCAATTATTGTTTAAGAGCTCCATCAGTTAGTTCTAAGCTGGTCACAGTCTTGAGTATTCAAAGCTGAAACTCAGATATGTTATCACTTACAATACAGTAAAATCAATGTTTACCAGAATGTACGCATTTGGGTACAGTGTAGTTGACCATTAGTCGTCTTATGAATGTACTGTATTCAGATGTGGGTCATGTGACAGGCAGTACAGAGATCTATTTTTAATCTGGTCCTGTAGCCAGTTCTAAAAGCTGACTGTACGTCACCTCACTTATAAAAATCCCCACCATTTGTGCACCAGCAGGTCGTCTCCAGAGCCTGTCTCGAGGAGACGGTTGCCGCACTCCTCCCAGCGGCACACCTCTCCCTTGTCCAACAGCACAAACTTCCATTCCACATGACTCTCTGCAGGCAGGCTGACCACTGTGGCCCAGTGCCCATTCTTGGCCCTCTCAAGTGGGATGAATTCCTTCCAGTTCCCCAACTCCTGCTGGTCCCCTGTGATAGCCACCGTCTGGTATGGCGACTGGGCGAAATAATGGACTCTGAAGGTTACGTTGACATTCTGGGGCATAGGCTGGACTGCAAGGACCTTTTTGTTATTTTCAGAGTTTTCATCAACAAGGGAGAGAGAACTGGGGAGAGAGAGCTCGACTCCATGTTTGACTTCAGTGACAGGTGGATCTTCTGTTGGATCTACACAAGAGACGTCTACTGTTGCAGTGACACACTTTTCAGTGGGAAGCTGGTTGTTTTGACTGAGTTCCTGGATGATAGATGGAGCAGAAATATTCATCCAAGGAAGGACTGGGTAGTTGCTTTCTGTGATCCATTCATTATTGTCCATGGTCGCCTCCATGATACTAATCTCAGTCTTTTCAGACTCAACAGCTTCTTCCTCCTCTGCGTCCGTTTCTGCTTTCTTATCAACACCTACTTTTGCTTTCTTGTCAGTCTTTTCTACAACCTCAACAGTAACTTTCTTGTCCGGTTCCTCTTTCAGCTCACCAGCGAGGCTCGTAATATTGTTCACAATTTGTTCCATAAACTTCTCCATGTCTCTGTGGTAACTATCCTCTATCTGATGGCCAAACATGTCCTCATTGGCCGCGTAGGATTCATACTCGGTCCTGCCTGTCTGCCTTTCACGGGGTGACTGGGGCTGGTGTGACTTGTAGGGGCCAAATACCATACCTGCAGTATTTTCATTACAACTGTAAGGTGCCGCTACATAATCCCCAAAGAGGCTGTTCTTGGGTTCTTCCTGGGAAGTAGACGGCAGGATGCACTCTACAATATTTTTATCTATCACCTCAAACCCATTATAGACATCTTGCAAATCAGGGCTGACAGCCATGCTTGAAATTCCACTTTCTTTACCAAAACTTGGAGACGACGGGTCAGGATCACCGAGATCACTTTGCTCAAAAGATGTCCTGTACATGTGACAGGTGCTCGGGCTCAGGTCTACAGTCATGACAGGAGCAGAGCTGGCGGTTACTTCAGATATGTCTCCAATATTTGCCACTCCATTGCTTGGTTGGTCTTCACATGTTGTAGGGGAAGCTAAGCTAGCCTTGTCAAAAGAGGGTATATCGGTGGCAGACGTGATGTTTATTTCTTCAATAGTGTTTTTCATGTGATCATTGGAGGCAGAGCTGACCTCTGTTTCATCAAAAGGTTCTGTCGGGTCTGTCGCTCGATCTTGGGAGGGAGGCGACACGTCAAGGAGAGATATCTCTTCCTCCATTAAAGGTGAGGGGGGTTTGTTTTCAGCTTTTTCAACAACACTTATAGGGAGACTTTGCTGCTCTCTGTGGCAAGAGGACACATCATGAGGAGGAAATACTTCAGTGACATTTTCACCATCGCTCGTAGCTACACTGGGACCAGCCGATGCCACTGTCTGGTCATTTCCCGTATTTGTAGGCTCTCTGTCGATATCATGTGACAGTTTCTGTGATTCAAGAGTTGTGGAATTAGCGTCTTCATCTGGAGATGTCAAGCTTTCATATTCTCTTAGTGGCTGTTGAAAACCTGATGAAATGTCTGGATGATCTGCATTGCCTGAGATTTGATCGTTTTCGTCAGTGGTGACGTCAGACAGATTGTCGTCTTTGGTTTCAGCTTTTTTGGACGCACTCAAACAGGAAGGAGAGGGGCTGGTTTCCACCGTTTGACCACCAGATTCTTCAACAAAGGCAATAATGTTTTCACTTGTTTTTTCCACTTTCTCTTTTTTGTCACCATCCTGTTGACTGGAGGTTATAATGTTTTCCTCATTCTGTTCAATCTCTGCTTCTTCCTCTTCAAACTGTTGGCAATGGGTGTCTACAGCTGTGTTATATTCATCTGTAACTTCTTCAGACATTTCCTCAGTCGGGCCACTATATTCAACCCCATCACTACGCTCCACAGGAGGAGTCCACTCATCCATCACATGATCGCCCTGGTCCTGGTTCAAAGATGGCTGATTTGTTTCTTGGTCAGACTTCGATAATTGTTGAGGAATTATCTGTGAATCTTCACACTCCACCTCTGCCTCCTCACTCTCAATTTTATTTTGCTCCTCTGCAGAACCGAGATTATCGTCAGGGTAACTGAAAGTAACACTTTCTGGATCCGGTGACTCAAACTCCTCTTCTTTGACATTACAGATAATAGAGACAGGTGCATCTTCCATAACAGACTCCATCAAAATGGATCCCACACCGTTTGTTTCAACTGTTGTTACATCTTCTTGAAGTTCGTCAACATATTCATTTTCTCTCGTACAACTGGTTTCCTCCTCTTGTCTAGTTTTCTTGTCAGAAACATCCTCATCTGTGACCACATGCTTGTCATCCCGGTACGCTGACTTACACACCTAAAAAAAAAGTAAAAGAGATGTAACTTTTAGAGTTAAAGGACATTTAGTCTGAAGGATTGGCAGAGGCTACTCATGTACACGTCTATGCTACTTGTAACAAACTAAAGCACATACTGATATGATAAAAGATATTGCCACTTGGTCACTGCTCCAAAACTCTGAAGAAACATTAAAGGGTAAAGTATGTAGAAATGGCAATGTTAGAAATTATGGCCTTTGAAAACAGGAAGTTTCTGTGGTGCATGATAACTGTGGTCCTCCATTTTCAGAATTGGTTACCAGAATTGGTTAAAAGTACGAATACTTTTGTGCACAACTACCAACCTGTTTATGTGTTTCATGCTGCTACTCAATAAAAAAAATGCATGTTTTATTAGTTTGTCTGTCCTGAGCTTCTGTAGAAACATGGAAGTGCAAGATGGCAGCCTCAGTGATGGGGAGCCTGCTCCTATATAGATATAAGTACCACACACTTCACCTTTAACAGAGTTCATCTGTTTTAATCAAGTGCTAATGATACCCCATGTTTGCTTGTTGAATATTTCATGTTTTGACATACTAGTTTCACAACAGGGATTAAACAAACAAGATAAACAAGACTGGACTTTGTTACCTTTAACCACTGCCAGACCAGCTGTTTCTCCACACTAAGCTAACTATCATCTCGCTGAAGCTGCATATGTGGCTGAAATGTGTCCAAAACCTGCTTACCTGGTCTTCTTTGTTGTTTTCATCAATAATCTTCTCTGGATCCCTCAGGCAGCTGTTAATATCATGGACCTCTTCCACACCATCCTCAGTCACTGTGTTTGTAGCACTGTGGCTGTCACTCATAACATCCTTCACCACCATTTTGGCCTTAGTGTAAGAATCATCTCGTGGGCTCTGACTGGCCTCTTTTACATGAGTATGTACTTTGAAAGAATCCCCCTGAACTGTTATGTCATCTGAAGTGGTGTTCTTGTCTTCTGGGACTTGGATGTCATCCTTAGGAGAGAAATAAAGTGAAGGCTTTTTCTCAGCAGGAGCAGCAGCAGCAGCAGCAGCAGCAGAGCGATGCCTGATTTTGTGATCACTCTGGATCAGATCTTCTATCAGTTCAGATGAACTTTCCTCTCTCAGTTCTGCAAAAACACAAACAGAAGAAGCCCTTAAGTTATACATTAAGAACTGTCAATAAAACACCAATTATATTGCTGATAATAATGACAATAATAATAATATCAAACAAATATATCAAGAATACTTTTTTAGCTTTGTACTTTTGTTATCCATCCTAAGAAGGTTGCAGTTTTATCAAGATCCCAGTATGAACATTTTCATCCACACTCAAAGTAAAGGTCAAAATGCATCGTAATAAATTTAAATAATATATTTAGATAAATAATCAATTCTTCTTCACTCAGCATGTTACTGTGTCTATTGTTGGATGGACCCTGCCTTGATGCAACCATTTCATTCTGTTTTGATGCTGTCAAATAGTCAGACCAGTTAGTGAGAGCATCAAATGTATCTACACATCCTGTAAGCCTGGTATGTGCATAAAAAAATCATATAGTTGTATTTATCTGGTATAACTCCTTGATTTTTCATATTGCAATGTTCTGTACATCGCCAAAATTAGATAGAAAGATAGATAGATAGATATACTTTATTGATCCCAAAGTGGGAAATTCTCATGTAACAGCAGCAAAAAACACAAAATTAAATTAAATATAAGAAGTACAATGCACATGCAGACTAAAAATACTAAAAAATACAAAAAAATTACCCAATACCTTTGTAATTTTCCAAAAAAAAGAAACATTTAAACCAAACTCCAAGTTATGAATTAGCCAGTGGAGGCCTTAATTGACATGGTCTGGATTTATCTTATCTCATTGTGATTCTGAAATATTGTGTGCACCTCTCTTTATATAATAATAATAATCACTCATTTGCTGCATGGGTGTTATATGCTGTTGGGTCATTGTTCCATTTTTAAACATGTGTAAGAAACCCTGGTTGGATTTCTCTCACCTATAGGCCTAATGGAAAGTTTAATCTTTACAGTATCCCAGTCCTCAAGCATTATGAAGCCTATTAATATCTACTATAGTGTTAGTATCACAGCTCAGTATTAATATCATTGCAGTGTCATCTGCAGTCCCCCTATGTTACTGAGACTGCAGAGCTCTATTTAAACTTACACACACACATGTCCTATTATCACCATCACCCACAGGTTATAAACACTGACCCACGAAATCCAACACTCCCGGGTTTGCAGCACCAGCAGCAGCCTAAAAACCTCTAAATGTGGATCCCTGTGGATCTCCTTACCTGTTGCCTTCACAGAGCTGTGGTTTTCCTCCGGGCTTTGTTGGATCACCGATGCGTCTCTCTCCGCTCCGGGGGTCTCATCGTCGCTGTCTGCGGCTGTGGCCTTCCTCCGCTTCCCCCTCACGGTCCGGTAGATGATGAAACCCGCCAGCACGGACACCATCGCTATAACTGCGACAGCCACGGCGGGACCGTGCCGCCCTATCATGCAAAAGAGCGATGCCAGATCCATGCGTCTCTCCATGGCCACGGCGTTGCTGTTCGTCAGCGACATCGCTCTCTCGGGAGAAAACGACACGCTCCTCCTCCTTCGTGTCTCTGTGTGTATGTGCAGTTAAAGGCCTGATGGTCCGGCTGAGGGTGCTGCGTGCTGCTGTGGACTCCGCTGTCTGCTTCCCTCCACGTTTTCAAGCGCTGTGACCTCTTGTTGCTGCAGAGCTGCAAAGGGGTGCAGGTGCGGGCTGCTGATTGGCTGGTGGAGTCACGTGAACACTGCATTCATTCATTCATAAAAAGGGGAAAAGGACCTTGTATTCGTAACATGAATATACACTCTGCCACAGTGACTGGATTCGCTCCTTATGTCTCCTCTGTACCTGCCCATGGTTATCACATCAACCAGGTTTACCAGCAGACCCTCACTTTTATTCCTCTGAGTCTCTGATCCTCTATTTTCAGTCCGCTTATTGAATAAATTATAAGGAGAACATGAAGGCCAACCTTCAAACCATCACTGAAGCAAATCTTTCTGCTGTCTCCAGATTATAGATCTGCTGTTTTTATCCTCTATTTAACCCCACATAATTGAGAGTGCAATAATAACTTTTACCACAATACATATAAATGTTGATTTGAGGTTGATTACAATCATCAAGATACATGTTTGACACTGTAAATTATTCATGCATGCAGCATCTGTTAAAGATTTAAAGGTTTCTTGCTCTCTTTAATACCATGCAGCATAGTCGAATGTAAGAATGGAGATTTGACTGAAATTACACAAACTTGTAAACATTTCTGCAGTCACATTTACCTATTTAAATAGGCTGTTAATGTCAGAATTAAAATACCTAATTGTTTTTTCATGTGAATGTAGTTTGAAAAAATAATAAATTTAGATCTAAAGCTTGTATGTTGCAAAGGTCATGTATGAGGTGGGTGTCCTAAGTGTCTCGGGGGGGAAATGCATCGATATTTTAAGTGGACAGTCTTTGTCTGTGTATGATTAGAGATTTTAAATGGTAATACAGCATCTACTAATCTGTTGAGTCTGATTATTTTCTGTTCAGGACATCTGTACAGTAATAAGTGACATCAGGTACAAGAAGTACCAGTGCTGCTGAGTTACAGCTCCTCCTGGTGGTGCACTGTGGTAAGGACAGGAACGTTCCAGTAAACTGGATCAGTTAAGTTACCATCTCAGTTGTTGAAAAAGCATTCATCAGTTTTTTTTCTTTGACACTCAGTTTCTTTCAATTCTAACTCGATGAAGATAGTAATATAGTGTTCCGTTATGTTCCTCTATTTAGTCAATGTCAAGATATAGAATTCATTGATGTTTTTGTGTCTTTAATAACACATGAAAATATTAATTATCATCTGAATATAGTTTTGTGAAATAAATAGTAATAATTTTAATCTGTTGTATTAGAATCACAGTTCTGTAGTTGCAGTATGTAGTTTTCATGAATTGAATAAAATGAAATATTGATAACACCCGTAAAGGTTATGTCATGATTTGCTGCCACAAATTGATCAAGTTGTCAAAATCAGCTGTCAGCTCTAGTTTGTCTTCAAAGCAGAAAAAATAAAACTCTGAGTGAGAAACTCAGACCAAAGATGGTCAATAAATGAAACAGGTTTCTTATTTTAAATACTAGGGTTTTTACTTGATGACAAACTGTCTTTACTTTTGTCAACGTTCAGTTTTAAATAAAGAAAATATTTAAATCCAACAGGACTGAATTGAGACATCAGCACTCCTGAGTAAGGGCTCCTTCTAGTGGAGAGCTGTGGTAATGACAGGAAAGTTCCTGAAAACTCTGGAAGACAGCTTCATTTACACAGGTGAACTTTGTATCAGTCATCCTCTCAGTGGTAAAGTCAGCTGTAACCAGGGGATTATTTCTCATCCCTTAACTTTCTATGAGGCTTTGTCAAAGTCATAGTTATAAATGACAATGAGATCACATAGTTTTACTCTCTTCAGTCAAGTTAAACATGAAATTGATCAACCTGACCAAGAACATTTATTTGAAGCAAGATAAAAATAAATAAATAAACAGATAATTGGACTTTCAAAAGTTAAAACAACTCTCTTGAAATCTGAATATATTTATTTTTCCTCCTCCAAAATGAACAATGCGGTAAAATTCATTCCTTCATTAACACGGTATCCAAAATCTCTCTGTTATATTTATGGATCTGATTGGCCAGATGTTCACTCTTGGGCTGAATGTTGTGGGTAAACTCTCAGATCTCCAAGAACTATGCGGTGGACGTCAGCAGTCCTGAAGAACAGCTCCCACTAGTGGAAAGCTGTGGAGATGACAGGAAAGATCCAGAAGATTCTGGATCTCCTCCAGGTAGGAAATAAAAGCTGAGACTGTCCCACTGCTGAGACAGAAAGACAGACGAGCAAGACTGAACAGGACCAACACTCACATAGTGTTTCATCTGAAGACAAGAAGACTCAGCCCCAAAGGACCAGAGAAGATGCTGTGCTCTCATAGACTTCAGTCTAGCCCCAGTACATTCATGGACTTCTACTGGCCTGTACGTCGCCTGTGGCCAGCGGTCAGACCTCTGATCTACCAGCAGGACCTACTGCAGAGAAACCTACAGGAGCTCCTGCACAGTCTGGAACTGATGGACAAACTTCAACACAACATCCTGGAGGAGACGGAGTCTTTACAAAGTGATGTGGCTGTGAAACCTGTCTCCTACCAGGTGGAGAAAGAGGGAGAGCTTATTGGCCTGACTCTGGACACTCAAGACTTCTCTCCAGAGGAGCTGTCTGTCAGACAAGTGGGCAGGAGGCTGAGAATCAGCGGCAGGACAGAGAAGAAGCAGGAGGACCAGAAAGGCTGCTCCTCCTGCACACACCAGGAGTTCAGACGGGAGTTTGATCTGCCTGAAGACCTGAACCCTGAAGCTGTCAGCTGCTACCTGGATCCAGAAGGGAGGCTCCACATCCAGGCAGCCAGAGCTCCATGTATAGAAGAGGCTGAGAGAGAGCTGACCATCACGAAGAGACCGGAGGAGAAAACACAGCAGAGTGTGTGTCCACACACAGGAGACGACATCAGCACAGAGACACACAACAGCTCACAGACCTGTGCTGAAAACATGGACTCATGCTAATGTTGCTCTAACAGTGAAGAGTAAATATCTTTTGTAAAATAAACTATGTAAATGTGGTTCCTGAATATTATTACTGATTATATTTAATAAAAATGTCAGATATTAACTTTTCCTTGTGACTCAGTTTTGTTAACAAACAAAGAAAACTTTCTTTTCCTTTATTAGAAACAGTGAGGCTCTCTTTAGACATTTCTCTAGTTTCTCTCTTGTTTTCTGAGCTTCCTCTATTTAATGGTTTTAGTGACCTTTTATTTGACATGGTCTCGGTTACAGTTTGGGAAAGAAATCATCCTGAGCTGAATGGAGAGGAGAAACTGTAAGCTTGAATATGCAGTACTTTTATCAGCCACTAGAGGTCACTTTTGGACAAGTAAACAGGATGTTAATATTCAAGCAGATTGAAGATCTCTGTTTTACGAGACTCGTCAATGGATGAAATTTACAGCCTGATGAAACTAAACCTTTTAAAAACTCAACCCAGCAAGTTTTTACAACAAATGAGTGATCTGATTTGGTGGAGATTTTTTTTATTACTCTTATTACAAAACATAATTTACACATGTATAGGACCACGTGCCAAAATGAACAAAAACATCAAGTTTCTCACAGAAGATTTAGAAAATAAGAGAGTTGCCAAGTTTTAATAAAGTTTCTTCTCTCTTGGCCAAATTGAACAACACAGTTGATAACACAAGTTTCAACAACAGGCTGATGTAGAGCCCAACAATAATACATCACTCTGACACTCAGGTTTCTTATAAGTGTAAAATAACACCAAAAGCCGTATTAGCAGGGTTACAGACACAGAGAATTGAGACACGATTAATGAGCTGTTTTCCTCTTTTCTGCTCCCTGCTGTTTACTAGTTAAGGGTTCGGTCTCTCCTTGGCTCCCGTCTGGCCCTCAGAGATTTCTCTCCTAAGAATAGATGGATTGTCCCGTAAACGTGGCACAACAGGGTGGAGGAGACCAGAGACTGTTTTCGGGACTCACTCAGCTTTTGTTTTATGTTCTATTTGTGGAGCTGCTCTTTGTTTCTCAGGAAAGTGGTGACAGAAGGTTTCTATACTGGACCTGGAGCTGTCCTTGCTTTGTCCCCCTTCATGTTTTGACGGTTATCTCTCATCGTGTGCCCTTCATCGTGTCAGTGCCTCTTCCTGCCGCTTCTTTTTTCATCCCCCTTTTACTCCCAAGCCTTTCCTTTCATCTCCTCACCTCTCTTCAAGGATGCTGAGAACCAACAACACATGGGAACATTTACTGCCTCTTTTATTTCTTCTTCCTCCAGGCCAATTTCCCCACCCACTCCATCCCTCCATCCTCTTATCATCTCTGTCTTTCTTGACTAAAACCTTACCCTCTTTTTTCTCTCTCTCTTTCTTCCTCCCTTCCCAACTGCTGCTCGTTTCCGCAACATCTCAGACTGTTTAAGTGAATTTTAATCAACAGGGTGTGTGTGAAGCAGACAGCTTTTATTGCTATTACAAGAACCCATGAGTCAGTCTGTGTGGCTGTCTGCATCTGTTTATGTTGAGAGGGATGTGGCGTAAATGCAAAGCAACAAAATTTGGTAAATCCGGGGTTTACCTGATGCAGGTATAAGGAATGCTTGTTCTTACCTTTGGAAACAAACAGGAAAAAGAAAATGACTATGAGGCCAGTCTTTTCCGATGTCATGACCAGGATCACACCTCATAAAGCGCCCACTACAGACATTACTGTGTTAACATGTTTAAAATAGACCCTCTCTCACAGCTTTGCCATGTCTAGTTGGATTCTTTCCGGGATCTTTTTACGCACCATCACAAATCAGAAATAGGAGGATAAACTCGGTTTATTTCTCATGGGGACTTCTCCTCAGCTTGTGCAAACATCTGAAAAATATCGTCTGTTCTTCGTCAGAAGTCTGAGAAAATAACCCCGCCTGATGTCATCATGATGTCACCAAAGTTAGTTTGGTTTGGACGCTTCACATTTATCACAGATAGACTCTGTTTCAGACTGGAGTTGAGGTGATGTTTTACATAGCATAAAGCCGTAGACATGACAGACAAAATCAATCCCCAACCGTTTCATGCAGGTATGTTAGTCTGACTGGGCAAGTCGAGTCAAGATTATTTATGAAGCACCGTTATGAAGACAGCAGTCAATCAAAGTGCTGATCATGGGATACATAAAAGAAGTAAATAAATAGATAATAAAACAATAAAATTAAAAACAGTGGAACAAAATACAGACAGTAAAAGAATAAAGGCGACAGTGTTTTTGTGCTTATTCATGTGTGCTTATTTATGAAACACAAGGGAGAAAAGGTGGGTTTTTAAGGACAATTTAAAGTCTCTACAGTGTGAGGCTCTAATATGGTCAGGTAAACTCTTCCAGAGTCTAGGGGCGACCGCTGAAAAAGCTCTGTCACCTTTAGACTTAAGAAAGCAAACTGGTCAGAGGACCTTAAGGCTCTGACTGGGGAGTGCTGATGCAGGAGCTCTGACAGGTACAGAGGGGCGATGTGGACTAATGGACAAATGGACTAATGTGTTTACCTCTGTTTTAAAGTCAGTTCATTGCAATAAATCATTTTTTTTAAGTGCACGTAAACGTACAAAGTGTGATCATCATAACCACTGAACGAGCTGACTACGTGATGATTGTAACACATGCAGTAGCTGTTCAACTATAGAGACAGGCTGTGCACAGGTAGGACAACACCACTTAGACAAACCACATGTTAATAATAATAATAATAATAATACATTTTATTTGTAAAGCGCTTTTCAAAGACACAAAGACGCTGTACAGAGTAAGCAGTAAAAACACACATCAATAAGTAAGAAAATTTACGGCAATATAATAAAAACATGTAATCAGGTAAAATCAAATAACAATAAAACACACATAAATGAGTAATAAAATTTACGACAATGTCAATAAAAACATGTCGAATCAGGTAAAATCTAATGGGGGGGGGTTAGGAGGGATGAAAGGCAGTGCGGAAGAGGTGGGTTTTGAGAAGGGTTTTGAATCTGGTGAGGTCAGTGCAGTTTTTGAGTTCAAGTGGGAGTGAGTTCCAGAGGGTGGGGGCGGCGACTGAGAAGGCTCTGTCCCCCCAGGTTCGGTGCTTGGTCAGGGGAACTGTGAGGAGGTTGGCATTGGCGGAGCGGAGGGTGCGGGAGGGGATGTAGGGGTGGAGAAGATCCTGTAGGTAGGGGGGCGAGGTTGTGGAGTGCTTTGTGGGTGAGGAGGAGGATTTTGTATTGAATGCGATGGGGTATGGGGAGCCAGTGAAGGTTTTGGAGGACGGGGGTGATGTGTTGATGGGAGCGTGTGTGGGTGAGGAGGCGGGCGGCTGAGTTCTGGATAAGCTGAAGTTTGTTGAGGAGAGTGGAGGTGGTGCCATAAAAGAGACTGTTGCAGTAATCTAGACGAGATGAAATGAATGCATGTATAAGGGTTTCAGCTGCAGGGTAGGAGAGGGAGGGGCGGAGGCGGGCAATGTTTTTGAGGTGGAAATAGGCTGTTTTAGTGATTTGCTTAATGTGTTGGGTGAAGGAGAGGTTGCTGTCGAAGAGAATGCCAAGGTTGCGACAGTGGGAGGAGGGGGAGAGGATGGAGTTGTTGATGGAGAGATGAAAGTTTGTGACTGTGGGGGTGAGGGAGTTTGGGCCAATGATGATGAGATCTGTTTTGTCATAATTGAGTTTAAGAAGATTGCTGTCCATCCAGTGTTTGATGTCAGAGAGGCCGTTTGAGAGGGAGCGTTGGGTCTGGGGGGTGATGGAGTTGGAGGAGATATATAATTGAATGTCATCAGCATAGCAGTGGAAGTGGAGGTTGTGTTGATGGAGGATGTGGCCAAGAGGGAGGAGGTAGATGATGAAGAGGAGGGGACCAAGCACCGAACCCTGGGGGACACCTTGGGACACGGGGGCGGTTGTGGAGGAGCAGTTGTTAATATGGATGAAGTGATTCCGGTCTGTGAGGTAAGAGTGGATCCAGTTAAGAGCGGTGTCTGTGATATTGAGGAGGGAGTGTAGGCGGGACAGAAGGATGGCATGGTCGATGGTGTCGAAAGCAGCGGAGAGGTCGAGGAGGATGAGGATGGAGAGTTGGCCAGAGTCAGCGGAGATGAGGAGGTCATTTGTCACTTTTATGAGGGCAGTTTCAGTGCTGTGGTGGGTGCGGAATCCTGATTGGAACTGTTCATATAGGTTGTTACTGTTGAGGTGGGTTTTGATTTGTGATGCGATGACACGTTCGAGGATTTTTGACAGGAAAGGGAGGTTTGAGATGGGCCGGAAGTTACTAATGTCATCGGGGTTGAGTCCAGGTTTTTTGAGGATGGGGGTGACAGCAGCCAGTTTAAGTGACGGGGGAACAGTGGCGGAGTTGAGGGAGGAGTTGATGATCTGTGTTATGACTGGGGAGATGACGGGGAGGCAGTGCTTGATGAGGGAGGATGGGATGGGATCGAGGATACAGGTGGATGAAGACATGGAGCAGATGATATTAGTCACGTCGGTTGAGGAGACAGGTGAGAAGCAGGAGAGTGCTGATGGGATGAGGGGAGGAGGGGAGGAGCAGGGAATGGAGGGTGGGGGAAGGGAGTTATAGATTGCATTGATTTTGGTTTGAAAAGAGGAGAGGAATGTGTTGCATTTTTCCGGGGTGAAGGTGATGGAGGTACTGTCTATGGGGTGGAGCAGTTTTTTGACGGTGGAGAAAAGAGCCTTTTGGTTGCTGGAGCCGGAGTTGATGAGGTTGGAGTAATAGGATGAGCGGGCGGATTTGAGGGCTGTTCTGTATAGGTGGAGGTGGTCGGTGTAGGCTTGGAGATGGACAGTGAGACCGGATTTGCGATATAGACGTTCCAGTTGGCGTTTATGGGATTTCATTTTGTGTAGTTCAGAAGTATACCAGGGGGCAGAGTGTCTGAATGAAACTGTTTTTGTTTTGAGAGGTGCGAGCTGGTCCAGGCAGGAGGATAGAGTGTTGTTGTAGTAGTTGATTAGGTCAGGAAGTTTAGCAGATGGTGAGGGAGGGGATGCAGTGAGGGTGGCAGATAGGGAAGCGGAGAGGTCCTGTGGTGAGATGAATTTGAGGTTTCTGAAGGTAATTTGTCGTTTTTCACTGTGGGGCAGAGGGGGGAGGTCGACGTTGAAAGTGACAGCCAGGTGATCTGATATATAGAGGTTGGTGGTGGAGAGATGGTGGATGGAGATGCCGGTGGAGCAGACGAGGTCGAGGGTGTGGCCATGGGAGTGGGTGGGGGAGTGCACGTGCTGGGTGAGATTGAGGGTGTCGAGGAGATCCAGGAAATCAGAAGCTTGTTTGCAGGTGGGGTTGTCAATGTGAAAGTTGAAGTCTCCAAGCAGCAGGACAGAGGATGAGATGGTGTTTAGGTGGGTGACAAATTCAGAGAAATCCGAGAGGAATGATGGGTGGGGCTTTGGGGGACGGTAGATAGTAACAATGACCAGAGGGGTGGGGCCAGGGAGTTTGACAGAGATATTTTCAAATGAGTGGAGGGACAGGGTGGGGGCGGGGGTGGTCTTGAGGGTTTGTTTGTAAATAACTGCGACGCCTCCGCCTCGTCCAGTGAGGCGGGGTTGGTGCAGATAGGAGTAACCGGGGGGGGGTGGCTTGGTTGAGTGGAAAGAGGTCGAGAGGGTTGTGCCAGGTTTCAGTTAGATAGAGGAAGTCCAGGTTATTGTCTGTTATGAAGTCAGCTAGGATGTGTCCTTTGTTGTTGAGGGAGCGGGTGTTTTGAAGGGCCATCTTCAGGGGAGGGGGCTGTGGGGTGGGCAGTGAGGCAGGGGGAAGGTAGCGGAGATTTGATAGATTTCTTGTCCTTCTTTTTGGATGCATGGGATTTGAACGGGAGGTTCCAGTAGTTGTAATTGTTTTAATTGTTTGCAATGGTTTGCAAGGAGAGTCTATGGTTGAAGGGTGTAGTAGCTGTTTGGACCAGGAGGGGGAGCTTGATGTGGTGGGGGCAATGGGGATGGTGCGCAGTACCAGTTGGGGCCTGCTGGGGGAGCCGGTGGTGAGGGTGGTGAGGGCGAGGGTTCCGGAGGGGGGCCTCAGGGGGGCGCTGTTTCCAGGTGGGGTAGTGGGAGAGAATGAGAGGGAGTATGTAAACAATGATAGTCAGTTGGTGTGTATGTGGTGTTGGATATTAGCGGCAAGTGTCTGATGGCCCAGTTTGTTTGGGTGAAGTCCGTCATTAGAAAAGAATGGGGGTCGGTTCCAGAACAGGTTAAAATTGTCTATGAAGTGGGTGGAGAGGGTGCTGCAGAGGGCTCGAAGCCAGGAGTTTAGGCTGAGGAGGCGGCTAAAACGATCGATGCTGCGTGTTAGTGTTGGAAGAGGGCCACTTATAAAAACAGTTTTGCCACTGCGCTCAAGGCTATCTAAAAGAGTCCTGAAGTCTTTTTTTGTCTGTTCAGACTGTTGGTGAGCCGTGTCATTTGTGCCAACGTGGACAATGATGCGGTGAATAGAGGCAGGAAGTGATTGGAGAAGACCGGGGAGTTTAGCTGTGATGTCGGCGACAGTAGCACCGGGGAAAGAGCGAGTGATGGCATTAAAATAACGAATACCTCGTATGATGCTGTCACCGATGATCAAGGTGGTGGGGGGAAACAGCGGCGGGGGGTGCATTGCTCCTGTGTCCGAAGCAGGGCTGGTGGTCGGGGTACGGGGACTCAGCGGTGCGGTGGATACGGTGGATGCCAGCGGCTGCGGGGATGGTCTGCCACTTCGGTCCGGGGCAGCTGAAACGGGCCCGGCGGAGTTCCGTCGGACTGCGTCCCGGAGAAACCTCCTGCGGGCGGCCGAGGACGCGGGCCGGCTCTCCGAGCGGTGGTCAAGGCGGGTTCCGGGACACCGCGCGCGACCAGGGACCGACGGAGACGGGTCCCCTCCGCCAGTGCCAGGCCACACGGGAATCCCACTGTGCGCCGGCAGGGAGGTGTTCTTAGCGCCAGCACCCGGTGACGCCCGGGAGCTGGTCGCCAGAAGAGCGGAGGCTACCCGGTCCTCGAGCCGGCACGCCGCGAGGGCACCGGAGGACGTGGACGAAGGCCCGGGGCTCCGCCGGGTGGCCGTGTAGGAGCCATGGGAGCTCCGGCAGCCGCTGCAGAGGACGCCACCACGTCACCGTCGAGAAGGGACTGGTCCATGCTGGTGTTGGCAGGCTCAGGAGGATTCTCACGAGCCTCGAAGCGGCTTGGAGTGGAGCTTGAGGTAGGCCCGGCCGGGTTCCAGGGGGTGGTGTTAGTGATTTTCCTGCCGCGTGTGGTTATTTCAGTCCATGTTGAGTCGTGGTTGGATGCAGCGGTGGATGGCGGTTTGGACGTGGTGGACGGGCTTTGAGGCTCCCAGGGTAGCGTGTCCTGGAGGGTTGATTGGAGCGAGAATAGGTGGAGGGATTGCTGGTGGGCCACATCAATGCAGGTTGTGAGGAGAGTGGATTTTGACTTAAGCTCATCGGAGAGTTTTTGAATGCGGAGTTTAAGTTTGGTGATTGTTTTGTTAGCTTCGTGAAGCGCTTCAGTCTTTTCCATGAGTAGGGACTCGATCGCTCTCTCGCTCATGCTCGCTCTCTCGCTCATGCTCGCTCTCTCGCTCATGCTCGCTCTCTCGCTCATGCTCGCTCTCTCGCTCATGCTCGCTCTCTCGCTCATGCTCGCTCTCTCGCTCATGCTCGCTCTCTCGCTCATGCTCGCTCTCTCGCTCATGCTCGCTCTCTCGCTCATGCTCGCTCTCTCGCTCATGCTCGCTCTCTCGCTCATGCTCGCTCTCTCGCTCATGCTCGCTCTCTCGCTCATGCTCGCTCTCTCGCTCATGCTCGCTCTCTCGCTCATGCTCGCTCTCTCGCTCATGTTGTCTAATATGTGGTTTTATCGTCAGTTTTTTTTTCACAATTTTATTCACAGTTTATTGTCTTTTGAATCAGATTTTCAAAAGACATAAAAAATGATGATTGAACTTCAAAACGAAAGTCATAAGTTACAAGAACATTTATAGAAATGTAACAGAACTTTCACATGCAGATGAGTAAAAGTACAATCATCCCTTAAGAAAGGCGTGATCAAGTTATTAAAAATGGACTCAAACATTTGTGACTTTTTCATTTAAACATTATTTAAAGTGTCCCATGTGTTTCGATCCTGTGTAAAGTTATGATAACACTATGTCAGGGCAGTATCGAGCTTCAGTGCATTATTCATGACGATAAGAACTGTACTGTGCAGATAAAGCCTGAGGTGTATAACTGATGTGTTATTCAGTCACTTGCCCTTTTGCAGAAACATTACAGCAGGTACATGAGAAAATGTTCCTCTATTACAGATTGTGGGAACATTATAAACTCTGAAAGGTCAAATATTTTTATAACATGTGCACATAAAGAGCGGCCACACCAGCACGCGCACACACACACACACACGCACACACTCACACAGATTTCCTGTGTGACTTCGAGGGTCTCTGGTATTTGAACAGATGTGGCCAGACTGAGCGTGCCTCGATCCCCCCCTGACCTGAACGTGCACTTCCTGCTCCGAAAGCTAACACCCAGGCAGAACAATCATAGTCTGTACCCTCTGAACACATGCACACACAGATATTCACACACACACGTACACGCACTCATGTGCAAAGGGTCACTATGCCAGCGATAAACACACAGAAAAACACACGCCTTAGCTTGCTTTTAGAGGTGGACAAACAACAAACACACACACTCACAGAGCAGTCAATGTGCGCTGTTTTCAGCTGAGATCAAACCGGTGTTGTTGCAAGTTCAACACAGCTGCTTTCATTTGTAAGATTTCAAGAGACCCTGCAATGTGTAAAATGTCACACTGGAACATTCAAATCTAATTCTGCGTATATTTTCAAAGGTTAAAAGTGTTGATTTTACATAAACTGAATTGCAGAAACATAATCTAGCACTCAGCTGGGAGACGCCGAGTACGAATGTGAGACATCAAGAAAATAAAAGCTGAGATGGATCTGAGCGGAGGCCAAAAGGTGAGAAGAGAGACAGAGCGGAGAGAAAATAAGAAAACAGAGAAGAAGGAATATGAGAGCGACATCGAAAACAAGGGAAATGTGTGCCATGAAATGAAGCGAGAAAAGATAAATCAAACTGAAATAGAGTTAGACAAATTGAATCAAAGGGAACGCATGAATCTGAATAACAGCACAGAGGCAGTAAAACTCAGAGGTATAAAAAATGGAGAAAACAGTGAGAAGGGGAAGAAAAAAACATTAGAGGAGGTCATGGACTGTGGGCTGAATTTGTGCCAGTAGTCAGGCAGAATGGAAAATTAGATCTAGTTTGGATAAGTACTACAGGGAGGAGAGTGATTTAGCAGAGCTCACAGAGACACCGACATCCAAACGACAGTGTTCTTTTAAAATCTGTTTTTTGAGAATTTGATTTGAGTTAAAGCTCATTTGGCAAAGATTAAAATAAAATAAAAAAAGATTTAGAATTTATGAGGAAGGTTAATTCCAGTTAAAGAATCACAGACCAACTGTTCAGAAAGCCAGCCAAAGACAACGACAGAAAATAGGATTCAGAAATATTAAACAAGTAAAGTTCAGCTGAAATTCAAAAATATAAATCAATTTAAACTAGAAATGGTTCAGAACGGGGCTTGAAACAGAATATCAATAAATCGCGGCCACAAACAGCTACCAAGGGGCCGTCACTGGCCAAACATTTGCTTTAACTTGAGAGGAAGGGGATCAACTTTGTTTCTGAAAGCTATAACAAGAGATTTATATGTGTTGCTCTCACCAGCGTACATCTTTTCCAAGGAAAATCTTTTTCAAACACAAAAAGGGAAAATATTTCCAGCAGTAGCAGCTCTGGTTTCTTTGGACCAGAAGACAAGAGCGGGACCACAAAGCCTTTACAGCCTACCTCACAGACTGGAACCAGCAGAGTTCTTAAACTACCCCGATGACTTTGAGGTCTACTTTAGTTTATGAAGAAATACCTGCAGCATGACAGCGTGGATTAGAAAAGTGTGGTGAACGTCGATTTGCTCTCTAAGAATATTTAAGAAGTTGCACATGCTTATCCACAATGTGTTGTTGTTTACACACTGATGTTAGCATTAAGCTAAAAGCAGTTTTCTGCTGTGTACCCTCCCAATGCTGTCAGTACAGCTGGAGCTCCTTAATCCTGTTCACCCCCGTAGAATGTATATAGAATGGACGTCGTCTGCCTCCTCACTGGGTGAAGCCACTGCGAGAACAGCACCCTCTGGCGACGGGCTGCAGTATAGATCATAAATCCCACCTCCTCCAGCAATCTCTATGGAGCTGTGGACAAACTTTAGAAATTTTTTACACAGAATATAAATGTTTCTCCCTCTCTGCTTGTGATGTTGACATGTAGTTACTGTCAGACTGGTTTGTGCTCAAGTCCTTTTTTTTCTGTGCAGCTCCATTTTTAAACGTTATTAGGGGGTTCATGTTTTCTATGATTGACACTTGATACAGCCTATGGACGTACGAAGATTGCGTAGCTCACCCGGGGGATACACTGTATGAGTCAAGCGTCATCACAGCGACTCTCCTGTCGAATGCATACAAGGCTATTGTGGAAGAGGGGGTTCTAGGAAGTGGAGAAAATCCCGAAAATATTGCGAGCAATTCAACATGTTGTTCATAGTATATACAGTCTATAGTCACCCCTCAAACTGGACTTTAGGGCTTACTATCTGCTATTTGTGGTGATTGTCACTTTTCTCCCAACACTCCCTGGAGGCAGGATACCTGGCAGAGTAGGACAGCATACACAAAGCATGTAGAATACGGTTCACATTCAGGATCTCTTTAAACAGCTCTTGAAAAGATTGGAACATACGTACATGTCTTGTGTTGGGCCCATGTGGTCCTTAAACTACACTGCACAGGCATTAGAATGGTTCACAAATAGCAGTTGGTGTGTAATCTTAAACTTGACTAGTTTCTGAATAAAAAACTTCATTTTATTAATACACTCAGCCCATATGAAGAACTTGACCTCCTTGCTGCTCAAACTCCACCCAGGAGTTGTTTTGTTGTTGGTAAACTGGCTAATATCATTTATCACCTTAACGCCAGTGTTTTGGTGTAAATGATGACCATCCTGGCCACTTTAGCTATATATATCTTCAATTTTAGATTAGATTTTAAAATCGTCTGTTGTAACCATAACAACTGCTAACACTCCGCCAGACTACGGGGGCCCTCTTTGAACAGAAACACCTGTTCTTCACAATGCTTGGTGCAACCAGCATGGATGACATTTGTTTATGCAGAAGGAACACGAGGCTGTGACGTAAAGAAACCAGCGGGGTGATGTGAGTTTGGCATGTTCTGTAGCGCTGCGGTGTGAACACAAAACAGCTGTGGAGAAACTACAACAATGCAGTGTTCTTTCAAATGATTTCAAAATAAAAGTCAAGATACAGTACAGAAAAAAAAAAAGGATCAGTTGATGCCTGGCTGGATTCTGAGTAGAATCCAGTAGTTTGTTATACGCTGCCACCAGACAGTAGTTACAGTATATAAATATCAATGATTAGATTTGATCTGATCATTGATATTTATAAAAACAGTTTCAGATGAATTGTGCGGATGTATTTGGTTTCATAACCACAAGAGTAGAACCCAAAAGAATCCCACGACTACAACAATGCAGTGCAGAGCTCAGCTACTGTAGACAACTACTTAATGACATTAACAGAGTGCAAAAGACCTGACGTACAATGGTGTGTGTGTGTGTGTGTGTGTGTGTGCACATGTAAAATACAGACCTTCATGACATCACTGTTTCCGAGGGAAATCATGTTTCCAAATCCCTGGTTTTCCACTCTGTAGTTGACCTCACATCTTACATCTCTCTCTCAGCTCCTCTGTGTCTCTCTGTCCAACACTCGATACTGCGTAGTGGCAGCAGTGAACTAAATCAGTTTAATTATGTCCTCCATTGTTGCTGTTCCCACCAGAGAAAGGATGATGTCATATTATTTTTACATGAATTGCTGCTGTTATAAAAGAAAATGAGTGTTTATTACGAGTGGGATCTTATTTTCTGTGTTTTGGCAACCGTTACATATGGTTTTGGTAACACTGTGCTCACCAAAGTAAACACTGACATCAGGGACAACTGAAACAACAACGAGTTTATCTAGAGTACAATGATACTGTGACAGAAGAAGAAGAACCATGGACAAAAATACGAAAAGCACCCTTTTCCAGGAAACTAGTTTCCCTTTAAGGAATATTGAAATCGAATGTAATTGAAATCAAAATGTAACGATAATCATATCCGATGGTTATCAACATCTGATTTAATCCATGTCAGGAGTTTATCATCCAAAGAAAACGCTGAAGAGAAGGTGAGGGCTGAGGGACTGTGTGGGAGGAAAGGGACGGAGAGGGATGACAGGAGGAGGAAAGACGGTTTAGAGTTACAGATACGATGATGGTAATGATAAATACAGACTCCAGTTTATACACAACCCTTGTGAACACTCCTGCATGCACCCTTTAATGACTGTCCTGGTCTGCTTTAGGGTGAATCACAGTGTCTTCCTCCATCATGTAGACTTATCGCACACATACACACTTTGTAGGCATAACAACACATGCAATCACTGTTGCTATAGAAGATACTTAACAGGAGAGTTTCTCAGCTGACAATAACAGACCAATCAGTGTTCTTCCAGTGTCACGCTAATGGAAAATTTTGCTCATGAACAAATCATACATTATTTTTCTCTTGCCATTTTCAGCAGGCAGAAGATCATGACAGATACATGCTTGACTTGTATTGATAATAGGATGATAGTTGGGACTTTATTACTTGACTTGAGCGCAACATTCGATATTATAGACATTGTTTATTATTAAAAACACTAAGTCAAGTTCAGTCCAACAGCAACCACTTGATGAAGAGTTATTTATCTAACAGGATCAATAGACATATGTGTTCTTTAATTGTAGTACTTCCTTCCCTAAATATTTACAGTGTGGAGTAACCCAGGCTAGCTGCCTCGGACCATTACTATTTTCCATATTTACTATTGATTTAATTTGTGCTTTAAATGATGAGAATGTAATCTGATAAGTTTCTATAGGAAACAGCTAAACTGTCTGTACTCTCCAATAAATTATGCGAGATATAATCATGGTTATGGGACTCGGAGCTGCCAGATCAGCCCAAACACATCTGGATCGGCCCGGCACCTTTTGATGACGTCATGCTATATGGTTGGCTGGAAGTTGGTTCGGATGACGTAGAAGATTGTGGTTGGTCCGGACATTAAGGAACTGGCTTTCGCAGGATTAGATCTCATGGGATTGTAGTTCTTCAGAGAATACATGGATGATTTTTCTCTGAAGCAATCTATCACTACTTATCAAATACTGAGAGAGAATAGTCACTGCAGTAACCAGTCGAAATCTGTGCAGGCTAATTCAGAGCATTTCTGCCACAGAGATCTTAGAGTGTAATCTTAATGGGACATGAGAAAAGAGACAGAGAAAGAAAAAAACAACAATGAATCTGACAGGAGGGGACGCAGTGTTTTCTCTCTGACCTCAGATTGAACCAGAGATGAAAGTGATGACGGCCTAACTGACAAAACTCTGAAACTCGGACACAAAGATATAAAATATGCTTTTGTTGCTTTTGTTGAAGTGTTTTTTTCTCTCTTTCTCTTTGCTCTCCCTCCTTCCCCTGCCTGCTGTACACCAGAGCTTTCAGGCACGATGTTGTCGGCACTCAGGCAGGAGAAGGTGACAGTAATAGTCGTGCAATAGAAACGTCTGTCTGGATCACACATATTATGGAGCATGTGTTGGAGAGAGTTGATTTGCCTTCCCTGCAGAGTTTTATCAGTTATCAGTCTTTTCTTTTCTCAGGTTAGTTTTTCTCTTGGTTAGTTTTAAAAGGAGGTGTTAGGAGCAAGAGTTCACCGTGTGGCTGGCTCAGCACCTTTCCATCTTTTGTTCATCTTGGCTGGGGTCTCCGACTCCTTTTGTTTTCCCTCTTTAATGTTTTCTTAATTTTGAGCATTTGGGGCTTTCTTCTTTCAGCCAGTGGCTTTAACTTTTACCTCTTTGTGTCCCTTTTAAGCTGTGTTGTGCTCCACTTTCAAGCCTGAGCTTTTGTTATTGGAGAGGCTGTAACATATTTGGAGGCTCATCAGTCAAATCACATTTTTCTTCTTCTGTTGTAACTAAAAAAGTTTCCTTAACTCAAAATTTCTATGAAGTATCGGACTTTGTTGTGTGTTGCTTTGCAAATTTTAAAAAAGTCTGTCCCTTTCCGTCAAAAGTTGCAGGGTACCTCTTAAAGTATAAAGACAGAGGCATGTCATTGTTATGCTGAAAACCAAGTGTGTCCAGATAAATTCATTTTGCATTGCTGCTTGTGTATATAAAAGTTTTTACTCACGTCTCTGTAACCTTGAAAGTCCGACTAACATAATGAATGAAATTCGAGTGAGTGCTAGTGGCACTTATAATGCTACCTGACATCGATGTTAGTTTTTGGGGTGATTTTGCAGCTTTGTAATCACTTTATTTACATTTCTATCTAGACTGACATTTTCAGAGAGCTCTAAGTCTGAACAAATGTCAGTTCTCTGTAAGACAGTAACTAAAAGCTGATGTTCTCCATATGGTCGATGTTACTATGAGACTCCTGTCTGTGAATAGTTTTCAAAATAAATTGTTGTTGACTTATTTTAAAGGCTAACTTTCTGTCCTGCTTGTAGCTTACTGGTAACATCCATAGACTGTATATAGAATGGACGCCGTCTGCCTCCTTGCTGGGTGAAGCCACTGCGAGAACAGCACCCTCTGGTGACGGGCTGCAGTATAGGTCATAACCAATTGAACCAAGTTGTCCATAGTATATACAGTATATGGTAACACCGAACAGTATTGGAAGAAGAAGATAGTTCCACAGAGCTGGACATGTTGTGAGTAATGCTGAGATTGCAGTGAAGTGACTGTTTGAACTTGATGTTTTTAAAGAGGGAATTGCCTTAGCAGAATCTCTTCCTCTCTCGTCAGTTCCTTTGTATGCTTTGGCAAAAAACACATGTTTTTCTGGGATCACTTAGCTTGACTCAGCTTTCCTCCTTTTTGTGTCATTTTCAAATGCATCGCATGCATCCAACTTCGCCCCGACTTTCTCTTCTCTTTTGCATTTTCTCTTGCCCTTTGGCATGACTATTATTGATTCTCGTAATGAATCCACTATGAAACAAAAAGCAGTCCTGAAAACTCTAAACACAAGAAATTTGCAATGTACACAATGTCAATATTGTACAATAACCTTAGGTGTATTTATATAAGGCATACTGTACATTCCAAACTTTAGACCACCCACATTTCATCGTATCAGAAATAGTCATTTAAATATAAAAGCTCTTGCAAGAGTAACTCATTCAAAAATATCATTCTGAGGGGGTCAAGTAAAATCTGTCAGGGTACAGAGGAACTCTTTTAATACTCTGCACACTCCTTCATTGAAAGCAGATATAGTAGCACATATAAAGACAGTCAGGAAAACGCTGTCGAACAACGAGACGTGCATTAAGTGGGCTAAAATGGGAAAACTAAACAAGGCTTTTCCTCAGTAAATAATTACATTAGTGATGCATAAATCTTTTACTGTGGCCACCAGGAATTGTTTGGGTGAAACAGACATCCAGGCTGTAGTCTGGCCCCAAACACAGAGCTTTGCTGACCTAGAAACACTTTCCTTTAATTAAACAACTTTTGTGTCAGTTCGGATCAAATAGCAGAAGGAAAAATACTCTGGTTGGTTTTAATGATGCTCAGACTTCTGAGTAAATACAGCTTACACCGTGTGTATGTGACATATAAGATAAAAAAAAAAAAGATGAGAGAGAGAGAGAGAGATGCTTTTTGGGGACATGTTTCTTATCAGGAATTTCTATGCAGCTGAAAATAACTGACATAAAGTAAAAAATAAACTGAATTCATTAAGACGGCATAAAACTCTGAGTTGTTTAAGCCCACTGAGGTTACAACTTGGTGTTTTTGCTGTGTTGTCGGTTAACTCTGAGGCTAAGGAGGAAAAAAAACATCACAGTAGAAGCAAACGGTGGGTGACTCGGCAGCTCAGGCTAACTCGTTTCCAAATAAAATAATAAATTCGGGTTACATCATGTCTAGGATGCATTCCTTTGTGATGACATGGTTTGTGTCAAACTTTGAATTGTGTCATTAGAAAAAATACGGGGCTAAACTCACTTCCCAGCCTGGCCCTTACCCTGGTTTTGGAATACCTCGACAGTGGAGCTACAAATTTTTAACCAGCACACATGCAAAGTGTCAAAACATCATGGGCTCTATTTTCGTGCTCGCTGGTGGTGCGGCGGAGGGTGGCAGACCCTGTGCAGCGGTATTTTCGTCTGGCGGAGCCCGTAGCACAGCCACTTTGTTTTTTTCGTGGACTGAGTGGAGGATTTAAAGGTGAGGAGAGGAGCTGATCTGATTGGTGAAAACAGGTCTCGGCTGTGTTAAACCCACTCCACGCCCTCTCTACGACTTACGAGAAGCTGAGTTAGGGAGGGGGGGATACTTTCACTGAGCTGCGCCGCTCACCAAAGTACCAAATGTGCTTGGGCACACCTTGTCGGCATGGCAGACCTGATTACGCTGCGCCTACACCACGCTGCCGGCGAGAAACGAAAATACAGCCCTATAAAGTTATTATGAAACTGTAAGCCACCAGTAGGGCTTAGGGATTGAGCTAAATCTGGTCTTGCAAAAGTCAAATTAGCAATCTTTTATCAAAATGCTTTCTCTAATTATAAAATGTAGAGACTTGCTACTAACTTGAAGTTTGTTCTTTGAATTTCTTTTGGAGTCCTGATTTGTATTTTGCTTTACCCAGCAGGGCCTTAAGGTAAAAACACCCTCTTGTTGTCTGGTTTGCCTCAGTCAGCTCTGTTTGATGCTGCTGCATGTGTCAAAGTACATTTACTGTTGTCGAAGCTGCCTGAGCCTCCCTGCGGTGTGACAGCCTGTGTGAGAGTGGGGTTTGTCAGCAGGTAAGCTCATTGACTCGCCTCGAATGGTGTCAGAAAAAGCCAAGAGACTCATTTGACCTCGTGACACACAAACATTGAGACACATGCTCTTTCTATTTCTCTCCTTCATTCTTGCTCCGTCACTCTTGCTCTTACTTTCTGTTGCCCCCCCCCCCCCACCGCCCCACAGACACAGACTCACACACACGAGGGAATGAGTGACACTGTCATGGCTGCTTTGACGGTGGGTGATCTGCTGTGGCTGACCTCTGATGGGTGTTAAAAGTCACCCCTTTGATGCAAAAGCACAGCAGCTCTTTTGTGTGTGTGTGTGTGTGTGTGTGTGTGTGTGTGTGTGTGTATCACACATTCTTTACATGCCTAAAGAATGTCACACTGAAATTTACATGCCCCTTACCTTTGTTAGCCATATGTCAAGAAAAGTCCCACACAAAGACACACAAAAGTTATTAGGGCCCGAGCCGTAGTGAGAGCCCGACTGAAACGATAGGAATTATTTATAATTATCATTAATTGACACTGAAATTCTCATTCATTGACTTGTTCTGTCGTTATTGAGAGGATAGGACAGGGGTACACAGTTCAGCTTCTAAGCCAAACTGGCACCCTGAACATCTGTGACAGTTTGATATTCAATATATAACCAAGAGTGCCATGTTTTGCAGCTGCTGTAATCTACAATGGCTGTTACGTTAAACCCCTCTGTCCTCATCTGGATGATGTTTTGGCCTGTCATTTCCTGTTATACTCTAGAGACCCCCCACACACTCAGAAAACAAGACACAGAGGGATATGACGGCGGGTGTTGTGTGGTTCTGTGAAGACTGATAAGAGGAGTATTGTTTTGAACTTTGAATTCTGGTGACAGGACTGCATTCACAGAGTAGAACTTTGTATTTCACTGTATTTTGTTTTAACTTATCTATTATCTTTCACCTCCATGTCTTATATGTCATTATTGTATCTAAGGTCTATTGCAGCTTTAATCCTCTTATCATCTCATTGTGAATTTAATAGACCCAGACTCATAACTTAAACTGTGTGCTTCTATTGTTTTAAATCTCAGTAATTGGCTCGAGGGTGTATCTTTCATTAGCTGGACCTTTGTCTGAGGATATACGTACATGAGGAGTTGCACTTGCTGAATCCTTAGAAATACAAACCGTCTGGGAACCTGGAATAAATGACAGGCGGGACTGAACCACAGAGACCGAACTAAAAAGAGTTGAATTGTGACTTTGTTGAAACAGACAAGGGGTCCTTTTACCTCTGTGGGCAGGGACCATTTCCTCTCCTCGTCTCTCTCTTCCTCCTTTTTCCCTCCCTCTCTCCCTCCGTTTCTCTTTTTCTGGGGGGGCTTTATATCTTTCCTCTCCTGTCTTACTTCATTCTCTGCCAGTCACATCCCTCTCTTGCTGACTCTCTCTTTTCAAATTTTGGCAGAGGAACTGACAGTGTGTGTTTTATCCACAGGTCCTCTATGTGCGCCTGTGTGTGTGTCCCTGTGTGTGTGTGTGTGTTAGCCAGCAGTCCTGTGGTCGCTGAGACTTCAAAGCTGAAACCAGAGTCTCTCCACAGTCTGCAGCGTTCCTATAAATCACACTAACCCTGCTGCAAGGGAAACAGATACACGTGTACACAGCCACAACACAGAGAGAGAGATGTAAACAAGGGGGAAACTTCATCAAATAACTAAGAAACATACAAATGGAGAAATATGGTGCCAAAGGGAAGATGAGGACAAGAAGGAAGGTAAACCTACGTTACAGTTTGGGGAGGTTAAAAGTAGACTGCAATCAAAGAAGAGGAGGGATCTGGAGGAGCTGACTAACTGTAGAAAAAGGCAACTCTTTCATTGAATTGGCCATAGAATAAACATAATGTCGCCAGCAAAACCCAAAGTTCATCTACTTTTGAAACTTGCATTGTGCTCCACTTGTGTGTAATCGGGTCATATTACTCTCCTTTTTTATAGTAACACAAAAACGAATCACCGAGTTACATCGAGGGAAAATCAAGAGTACGGCAGGGGGTCTGTTTTCTGTGGTCCCTTTTTTGTTTGATGGGAATTTCGTTAGCCTCTCAGATTACTGCACTGCTCCCTATTTTACTCCATGTATGGCTGCAAGACCTGGCTGCTGTCATCTGCTGTATAACTCATGCTGCTTACTCACAGAAAGAATCAAATCTGAAGAATAACCCCAGGAAGCTCTGAAGACATTCATTGAAACAGCCATGCAAAAGGTGGGGGGCAGACTGGAGTCCTTCACTTCCATTCATAGTAAACTCTTACTTACATGATGAAACCTATCTGACGCTCTAATATTTCTCCGCCGTATACCTCAACCTTTTCCCAGCAACCTGTGAAAACTCTTATCTAACAGATCCTCAGTTGTCTGGAGGTCAGAAGTCTGTAGTTGTAAAGCCTCTGACACTTACAGGATAACCTCTGACCTTTGACCTGAAAGCCTTGACTGACAGGCAATAGTCCAGCCTTGTGGAAAAAGTCCTGGTAGTGTTTCATGAATGAGTGTTGCGAATACTAAACGTGTTATTAAGGTCGGCTCGCTGCTGTGTCTGAGACAGAATCATATTAACCAGACCAAACTGAGGTCATCACCTACAACGTTCCACCAGAACATCAACCTCTGACTACAGCAGGAGGCACTGTGCTGAAAGAAGTCAAGGACTTCAAATACCTGGGCTCATGGGTCAACTCAACTGAACAAGACTTACAAGTGAGGAAGGCACTTGCGTGGAGAGCCCTGAACGGCATGACCAGTGTCTGGAACTCCAACCTCCCCCGCCAAATCAAACTCAGCTCCTTCTACGCGACAGTAGAGTCCGTTGTCCTCTATGGCAGTGAATGCTGGACCCTGAAGACAACCCTGGAGATATTCCTAGATGGTGCTACACCAGGATGTTGCGTGCAGTGCTTAACATCAGCAAGAAGGCACATGTAACCAACAGAACACTGTATGAGGGAATACCAAGGGTGAGCGAGAAGATTGCTGTAAGGAGAATGAGACTAACAGGACGCTGCCAAAGGCATCAGGAACGTCCTACAATAACATACATGGACATACTCAAGGAGGATGCAGGAGCTCAGAGTACCAATGAACTGGCGAGATGTATGGAGAATCGGGATGACTGGAAGCGATGATGGAAGGCTCGTCTGAGGACGACCTAGAGAGACAATGATAAACTACTGTTGTATTTTGTCCGTTTCATTAGAGGTGAGAAGACGTTTTAGTGGCTAAAACACAAAGTTTTGAAATAGGATGGATATCTTTTTTATATATGCTTCCCCTTCTTTCACCGTGTAAATTCGCTTTGGATTCAAATCCCCATTTGCACATGCTGGGTAAAATAGTGTGTACTCACTACTCTGGTAATGCTGGCCTTTATGCACAGGCGTATAGTGGTCTTCAGCGATGGTTCATTACAAAACACACTGTCAACCACTGGCCTGACCTGCATACTCCGGTGATTTCACCGTATTTGCAGATGGATCATTTTCACAACACATGAATGCATTTTCTTTTAATGGGAGGAAAAGAGTCTTCTGCATTCAAGTGGGCCATTCACTCCAAACAAAACCCAATAACCTGTTTGCATGAAAACATCATAACCAGAAAATACTTTGCATTGTTGCATTTGGCCCCTCCTCACACAAAAATGGCGTCTTGGGCTGCTGAAAACAAAAATATTTTTGAATGGATTCACACATGTATTGTTCGGAGATGTCATGTAGACATGCATGTGTAGGGGGGGTATAAACAGTGAGCTGTGTTTGTGGGGTTTATGGATGTTTCTCCAGACAAAGTTATCATCGTTTTTGATGTGGATTGACAGTTTAGTTTACTGCCTGATCATAGACAAAGTATGATATCAAAAAAGGTTTTATGAGAGTTAGGACATGATTTTAAATTGCTGTTTTACTTTTGCTTCCGAACATGATCAATTTGGCAACATAAATCCACCTTATGGCTGTCATAGAGACTCTCTTTCCTCCTTTTGGACATCTTTCGACACACAACTAAACTAAACTTGACAGTTAACCTGCCCCGGAGCAGACTTGTTCAGTGGTATGAGTTACCATTGTTACTGAGGGGGAGCTCAAATGAGCCATGCCACTTATATCAGTGTGACTTATTGAAAAAAGGCAAGCTTCCCCTCGATCCTGTGGAATAAGAATCAAAGTACATCGTTATTTTCGTTGCAATTTTAGTCAAGAGTGGCGTTTAGGGCGATAGAGTTACCAGCCATTCAGATGTCAAAAATGTTACATCTGTAAGCATTCCTGTTGAATTTCATTTCAATGGGCAATGAGACACGTGGTGAGACAACAGGGCACAGGTGAAGACAAAGAGGGCACACAGGAGGGACAACACAGGAAGACAAACCAGACTGGACTCACAGGGAGAAAATATCACAACAATAAAACAGGAAACCCTAAAAACCTGAACACAGGAGTACAGACATGGGCCACAAGGTCAGGGTAAGAATGACCAACACCAGAAATGTGAACAGCCCGACAGCAGAAGTAAAACAAGACATGGAACACAAGGAGGGACCGACAAGGTACAACAAGAAAATAACACAAAACTATGAAAGTTCAAAACTGAGAACAACAGAAACTATTTCCTGTTCTAACGGCGTCCTCTGTGAACAGTTTGAAGACTTCAGTAATGTTGATCAGATCTGGCATCTATCTGAATGAGTGTCTATGTCATAAACAGTGGTTCAGTCTGTAAGGACAAATGCAAAACCTAAACATAAATGACGTTTTATTTTAATCCCACAAGAAAACCAAAGAGAAGATGCATTTTTCAGAGACACTGTGACAACATATTTGAGTTGACTTTAACCATCCAAGCAGCTAGTCTAAATTCCTGACATCTTGACCAGTGAGATTTGGGTTAATATCCTGTCTCTTATTTGTACTACTCTAGAAGACCTGACCTTTGGTTTTGTTTGGACCGACCGCGCTTAAACCGAGAGATTTCCAGCTGTTTCTGTGACTCGAACATGAAGTTTTCAGGGTTGATTGTCTCGAACGTGGAGTTTTAAGAGCTTATTTTCTTCACACTGTGCCTGAGAACTGCAGCAGTCAGCACAGCATCACAATGGGTGGTGGATCCACATCCTCCCTTTAGCCATTAAACAAATAGGTCTTTATCCAAAAATGTCCGTGTGTGTTTGTATGTGTGTGTGTGTGTGTGTGTGTGTGTGAGCCAAAGAGGGAGACCTGATGTGTCTAGGTAAGAGCAGACATGCCCACATTTACCTGAGCTTCACGTGATGTAAGTAAGACAAGGTTCATTCCTGATACTTAATGGCCAATTAATTCACCTGCTTACCATCTTACAGTATTTCATATAAATGAAGTGTCAGATTAAGATAAATAAATAGGATTAACACATCATAAATGATTCCTGATTTTGGTGAAGAAGTCATGTTTGTTTTTCACTGCCTGAGGTGGCATCCAGGTCTCAACTTACATATCAAGATATTAAAGGTCCCATATTATTCTCCTTTTCAGCAGGTTCACAAAGGTCTCAGAGGTCAGTCAATTTGAAGTTTATTGTCTAAAAACCCATTTTTTTCCTGGACTTCAGCCATCCTGAAAACTCCCTCTCGTGAGCTCTACCAAGAACACGCTGTTTCTGTGTGCTGAGCCTGTCCACGCCTCCTTCACCTCAAGCCACGCCCCTCCCTGTCTCTCTGGAAGACGTGGTGTGGCTTGCGCTAGAGTAACATGTGCTAATGTTTACACAGAGTGCTAGTGCTAGCAGTACCAGTTTGATCCAGAGCCTGACCAAGAAGGAGAAGCCTCTGAAGAAATTCCAACTCTGGCTGCAGCAGGGTGTTTCCAAATGGTTCGTTACAAATATTATGAGTCTCAATATTTGTCTTTTTACTTTGTTTGTGTGTTGGTACGCAGTGACTTACATGTAGCTAGGTAACATTAGCTCCTGCTAACGCTAACATCTCAGCTGTTTTCTCGATACTTGGAGCTCTTTTGGTAAATGCGCGATATTCTAAGTGTAGTTATCACTCGTGACTGCATGAAATACTGAAACTTACAGCTCCCACGTTAGTTCGGTCCTGGACAGTGGGATCCGATCCAGGCTTTAGCTTCAGATTCTTAGTGAATGCTAGTGAATATTATTGTTAAAAAAACATTCTAAAGTGAACTTTGCATAATATGGGACCTTTAAAAAAACAGGCTAAAACCAGAAAGTAGATCAATGGGACAATGTCTCACAAGCAAGATGTTGACAGACGTTTGCGCATCCAACTGAAACGTAGATAAAATCAGCTCTGAAGAACAACTACAGAAGCAGATGGCTGCATGAGAAGGAGCGTCAGAGTGGATCTGATGACAAAAATGATAGAGCAGAGACTGGTGAGAAAGACAAAGTAATACAGACAGAAAGAGGGAGCGAGTGCAGAGTGTGTGAGGGTTACCACAACCATGCCACAGAGTGGTGTGTTTACATGGTACTACACCACAAGGCCTTTAAACCACAGACGTGGCACGGCTTAGTGTGTCAGTCTGCAGCTGTGTGCATGTGACCACGTGCGTGTTTGTGGGGAGAGATTCAATATGTTCTAATATGAAACCTGTGATTTTTAGATGCAATCTTAGCACATATAAAAACTTGGACTAATTTAGTTTCACAGACAGGTGAAACCAAAATCTCTCATATAACTGCACCAGGGTTGGATTCATTTCCTTAGAAGTGTAAGTTATTCTGAATTTTGATAACATCAGGTTGATATTTCCATGACATCAGCAATCACAGAGCAAAGATTTCTCCACCTCACACAGCAGATGTGATCTGGTTATGAGTTAATACCAAAAATTTAAAATCTGTGATAGTTGATTCACAGACAATAAGTGATTATTGTGTTTGTGCGTAATCGTACTGGGTTACATGCCTTGAGTTTGCAGTATTGAGTAATCTAAATTATATTTACAAAGCTTTCAGGACTGCACAGAATGAGTTTTTTTTTTACCTCAATGAAGACTATTTGTTGATGAACATTTACATAAACAACATCCCTGAAATGCTGCTCTGAGCTGAACTAAGTGAGTGGGGAAAGATCTCTGTTGTGGTGATAGTAACAGTAACTTTGCTCTTGTGCAGTTTTTGTTTATGACTGCTGAGTGAACTTGGTCTAGTAGTAAAATGCCCGCTGCATTGTGTCTCTTGAACTGCATTGTAAGACATATTGAGCTATGAAGGTGTGACTCTCATAGACTGTATATTGAATGGGCGCCATCTGCCTCCTCGCTGGGTGAAGCCTCTGTGAGAACAGCACCCTCTGGTGACGGGCTGCAGTATAGGTCATAAATCCCGCCTCCTCCAGCAATCCCTATGGAGTTGTGAACAAACTTTAGAAATTTATTGCACAGAATATAAATTTCTCTCCCCCCCTGCTTGCGATGTTGACATGTAGTTACTGTAAGACTGGTTTGTGCTACAGTCCTCTTTTTCTGTGCAGCTCCATTTTTAAAAGTTAGGGGGTTCATGTTTTTTATGATTGACACTTGATACAGCCTATGGGCGTACAGAGATTACGTAGCTCATCCAGTTTGAGCCAACGCGACTCTTGGCGACTCTCCCGCAGAGTGCATACATTGCTACTACGCAAGTGGTGGTTCCAGGAAGTGGAGAAAATCCCAGAAATACCGAGAGCAAGTTGGATTTAAATTTGTATAATGACAGAAGGCGGAGCCAAGTTGTCCACAATATATACAGTCTATGGTGACTCTAAATAATTTGTAAATCGACATTAATCCTCAACTCCAAACCTTATTCAATTAAAAAACAGAGATTTGGTGAAATACATGTCTAATTCCTTATGTTTTGGAATCTTGAGTTGTAGCAGCAGCCACACTGTGACTATGTAAAGTTAGACTATTTGTTTTCTGCTTTGTGCATATTGGATGTTGTTATTTGTCTCTGTTTTAGCTTCGGGGGAGAAAGGCAGACAGAAGGACTTACTGAGGGAGCATGAGCTGCAGGGAATGAATGGATGTTAACAAGGCAAGAGATTTGCAAGAGAAACAGAAGTGGGGTGCAGAAAGAGCCAATCACGGGGGCAAAGAAAGGTTGAAAGAGGAATGAGGTGTTCAAATTGGGGGAAAAAATATATATGTGTAAGGTTAGTTGGCAGGAAAGGGTGGAGGAGAAAAGAGTGAAAGCAGATAGAGAGGCAGACAGGAAGGAAAAGGAGGGTTAGCTAAAGAATACAGTGCCAGCAAGAGAGACTGAGAAAGAGAGATGTAAGAGGAAAGAAAGGAAAGAGAGAGATGTTCGTAGAGTTAGGTATCTGCTCGGGAGGAGATGAAGACAGAATAAAGGAGGAGAGAAACGGAGAAATGGACAGAAAAAGGTAGAGGTGGGGGGTTCTTCAGCTGCTTTCTGTAGAAAAGCAGTCAAAAGTAATTGGTTCCTGATGTGAGCCTGGGCTTAGTTCTCCAAATAAAAGGCCTCTCTGTCAGCTGTAATGGCTTTTCCATGCTGCCCTGCTCTGGTGGGGGCTACATTAGCATCTTAGCATAGCTCATGACCTGATTTAGATTAGAAGGCCATCAGATAAATGTACCAACTTTGATAGCATGATTACCACCATAGGTCATAAGTCAGTTAAAAGGAGATTTATCCTACAATCGAGTGCAATTAGGAGTGAGATCAGAATAAACAACAAAGAGCTGAAAAACGAGCAAACAGATTATTAAAAAGAGTCAGGATAGGATTTAACTTTTAAAATACACCAACGCACTGACAAACCACAGAAATGACCGGATGATCTGTGAGGATGAAAGCATGTCGTCACAATATGTCACACTCAACTGTCTTGTCAAACACGCGCATACACACCGACACCCACTGGTGGAAGAACCCCGATGCTCAGTGTGAGTCTGGGCCACTACAAACACTAGACCCCATTGACCTCCCTGACTCAATAACAAACAGCTGTCACATAACAGCACTTTGTGTGTTTGTCTGCGTGAGTGCGCTTTTACGCCTGCTTACTTTCTTGATTGCTTTTTTCTCCATGTGACTGTTGGATTGTGTGTTTGCCGCCGCAGTCGCATGACATCATTTGTTTGATTTTATATGCACGTGCGTACACATTATATGCATGACTGATTATAGGTGAAGATGTGCTGCATCACAGAAGTCATGAAGGCAAAAAAATATATAAAAATATAACAACAGGGAAGCTAGAACTAAAAAGTCTGCGACACAGTAGCACCTGATCAGCAGTACAGGCAGTAACGGACAAAGTGAAACCATTAACTTTGTCATCACCTGAGGGAGAGGAAGTCACCGTGGCTAATGTGTCATCTCCAGTCTCGTAAGTCTTGTCTGCTCTGACAATAATGGAGAGAGATGAGGGGTGAGACGGACGCTAACAGGAAGCTGCGCTTAATCTGTAGATTTGAGACCATCAGACAAAATTTGTGAGTGAGAAGAGTCAAATTACACATATAACAAGAAAAGAAAGAGTTTAAGATGAACTATATTTATCCCCTCAGGGTCAAAGTCTCCTTTTATGGTCAGAGAGCCATCCGTCCACATTTGTAAATCACCCTTTATGTTGCCTGGTGCTTGAAAAATGAAGCACAGTAAAGCATGGTGGGAATCATGCACAGCTCGGTGAACCCGAGGGTGAAACCATGTATGAAATCATAAACTGTGAATGTGCCAGATACGATGGTCTAAATGTTTTTGCTTCTGCACTTTTCATTATGCCGGACTGTAAACTCTCTATATGAGTGTGTAGTTTTGCCTTTAAATCACAGTCTGATTATTTTTATCATCTGACTAACTTCCAACCCACTTCCATGGCTTTATTATTTTCTATTTTATTACTGAACTTTTCACATCCATGCTTGTGTACCCACTGTAATCACGGGCAGTCACCTCCTTTCACACTTCCACTCGTCAGTTTTGTTGACATTGTGATGTAATTCATCTCACAGCCCGAAGCTTGTTTACGTAGCCTTCTCTGTCTTTCCTTCGTCTACTTTTTCTTCCATTTCCTGGATTTCACCCTACCTAACCCCTCGCTCTCTGTCACTCCAGCCCACTACTGGAATTTCATGGTCCTATAAAACTCCTGTGAATCCCCATCTTTTTTTTTTTTTTTCCTTTTTCCAAACCCTTGACTGTTTCTCTGGGATCCATGTTTTTGTAATAATTGAATGATTCCAGTCGAAGTTTTAAATACGAAGGTACAGTCAGATTTAATGAAAAACATTTGAAATGATGTTCACAGAGAGGATCATTTCTCAAATGCACAATGTCAGGCCTTTATTATCTACACAACCAAATGTCTCATGTAGATAAACATGACGACAGGAATCTCCTGTCAAGCGAGTTCGGCTGCCACAATGCAGTCATTCACTGTAAACTGTAGGCAAATAACCATTTATCTTTAGGTGTCTGTGAAAAAGTTTATCATACCTGCCCAAAACACAAAGGTACTACTGAACGATATGACCACAGTCCATCACCAACAGGATTAGTGTTTTCAATATCCAAATTTTTAAAGTCCCACTCCGATCATTTCTTCTTCTTGTGTTCTCAGTTGTCTTTAAATTGTGATTATGATGTTTTCAGCCCAAATCACATTACCTGTCTCATTTTCAAGGGCTTTTCTTCTGCAGACCTCCAGTAGCTCATTAGCAATTCGCCTCTTAGTCATGGGCGGAGACAGCGCTGCTCTGCTCACTCCTCTTCACTCTCCTCTTCATGTTAGCTTGCAGCCTAACATTGCCAGTGTAGTAGAAGAAGCAGGTAACATAGGAGCTATTCAGGTCTCGGACACTAATGTCTTCAGGGACTTGATGAAAGTTAATATCATAATTAGCTTTCTTCGAGCATTAAAATCCGCTAACACACACGCTTGTTCTGCGACCGTCCTCTCTACTTCTTCAGAGCTTGAATTTGCTACATTGGAAATCTCGCTGTGTCTGCACTTATTTTTCTCATGATATGTCCTGTAGCATCAGAAAAATGCCATATGAACATATTATAAAAAAACAAAAAACAACAACATGATTTTCATCCGAATGGGTCTTAAATGTCTGAAACCGATGGGGTAGGTGTCAGCCCAGCAGCTGAAGAAACACTCTCGGTATTAATTATTCACAATGAATGTTACGTTTCACTATCAAGATGTGATTTTTTCTTAAGCATGTTTTAGGTAAATCCTCCTTTGTCCACAGGGGCGCCAAAATTGACCCAAAGTTCCTTCTTGGAGCTTTCATCAACTTTCCCTTTGGGGATAAATAAAGTTCTTCTTATCTTATCAAAAGCAAATTATCAACATAGCCACTGACTCTGTGAGCCTCAAGCATCCTGATTTTAAGGCACTATAAAGATATTTAGATCAGCATAAAAACAATGTTCCTGTGTTCTCTGACACCTTAATTTTTATGAAGATATAATGGGCTTGAAGCAGAGTCATGAGAAAGAAACATTGTTTTGTAATTTCGTCTTCTCCTGTCCAATCTGACAAGTCCATTGGATTGTTTTCTACAAACACCTCAGTAAACACTACCAGATGGTGCCTGTGGGTGTGACCCACTGAAAACAACTCCTGTGGATTGTGTTTACTGACCTACCTGCTGGAATGTGTTTTAAGAAAGGGTATAAAATTTATTTTAAATGGATGACTATGTCCCGATACTCTGAGAGGTATAAGGCGGGTCAGGATCAAGAGTGAAAGGGACAAAATCTGTTAGAAGTTGTTCTCTGACAGCCTCCTGTTCACCTACAAACCTGGAAACTGGCTGTTGTCTTGCACTAAAGATAAAACAGTCTGTAAAGTATTTAGTCTTGACTGCATCAGTGTTTCCTTACAGGACAGAGCAGCTCGCCAGTAAAAGAAGAACGCCGTTATTCACAGCAACAGCTCTCAGCTGTTACATTCTCCAGGAATTACATTTGAGACTTGCTATGTCTGTAGCACCAAATTACTGTAATCCAAGCACGGTACATTTTCACCTACTAAGAGGACTAAAACAGAAGTGCTTTGTGAGAAGGAATGTGTGGATAAGATTAAGAAGAAAGTGACTCAGAGGAAGGTGATTCACAGGAGCATAGTTCAGCGATAGAAAAGAATCAAAACAGGCTGTCAGAGCATTTGTGCAGAATATAATCAACACTGGAGGTACGTCTCAGGACAGGGCCCATTTCAGCTCACCTGCAGTGATGGGTTCATCGAGGAAGAGCTTTGCTGATAACCCTCTGAACCCTAACTTCCCAAGAACTGATGTTTTAGCAGACAGGGTGACTCAACAGAGAAAGTCTCCTTGCAAAACCAGATAAAGAAGAATGATAGTCACACATGTGGAAGTGTTGACCCATCCTTTTATTTTCATCACATCCATATCTCTTTCCTAGATCTGTGTTCACAGTGACAGCTGGGACAGGACCAGACGTGTCAGAGATCTGATAACCAACATTGGACGTTATTGGCACATCCAAATTTACATGAAGTTTGCAGCTCTTCATCGGTTGAAAAAGACATATGAAAAGTCCATATGCAATGAAAACTGGAACTCCTTTAGAGTATAAAAGTCAAGTTGCAGTTTGCTTCAGTGTTTGGAGGAGTAAGATTAAATACTGCCACATTCTGAGGTTCAATGATAACTGAGCATTTCTGTCGGTTATTTAGGAGAAATCACCATCTTTGCTCATGTTTAATGTTATGATGTGCTGAGATGATCATGTCAGTGGAAACATGGAGATGATTTCAAGATCAAGAATGTCCAAATGAAAATGTCTTAATATAAAAATAAAGTGATGTTCACAGTATGATAAAGCCCACAATCATGTCATCCAACAAGTTGTTTGAGGCTTTAGCTTTAAAGCTCACAATCTGTTAGTTTCTTCAAATAACAAATGTAGTGCATAGATAGATAGTTATAGATAGTTATAGATAGTATAGATAGATATAGATAGTTATGTATATTGCTGGACGGCTACGGAAAAGAAAGCCTACACAAGATGTAAATCCAGACTTCAGTTAACTAAACTAGTGATTTTATACTGGTTTAAACTTAACTTTATTATGTCTCATTTCTACCACATACCTTTAATAAGTGTAATGATATTCATCTCAGCTCTCTTTACAGTCAGCTGATGTGCCTGCATGTTTACCAACTTCATTCTTCAGTCCTTCTTACTGTGTTTCATCAGTCCTTCTTACATACTAGGTCCTTTTGGACTGTGTAGGATATAAGCAGTGGTTTATATTTAAAGGTGAGGAACAAACACTGTAATGACATTGAAATAAATTCAATAAAGAAGCGTACAGCTCATTGCATGGTGGCTTCAACACTTCCCTTTCCCAGCTCTACAGCTGTGCTGGTTTGAATACTGCAAACACCTCGCTAAGTGTTCACAGATGGTGTGAAGTTGGCAGACAAGACTGTCACCCAGAATAGTTTCTCACAAGCTGAGAACTTTATTTCAGACGGTTTAGACTGAACTTAAACACCAGCACCAACAGAAAAGCAAGAATATTCCCAATATATGATGAGGAGGGTTCATTCGTAAAAGCCACAGTATGTCTTTGAGTCCCTCGGTGTCAGCTCTCATGCTCTCTGTTCTCCCGGCTCCACTCCACCCCTCTCTCCTTTCCTGTCTCTCTCTTAATAAGTTTCTGAAAAAATGTGTTTCCAATTAGGAGCCGAGGGAAAGGAACAATCTCTGAACTGCGAGTCCGTTAAGAAATATCTTTTACAACATAACACTTATACAAAAAACACATCCACTTCACAGTATAGTGGGAGATTTAGTGAATCAGGTTAAAAAAAAATCAGTAAAATAAAGTTGTGGAGAAATAATTAGCGTTCTTCATCTTTGTTGTTTAGATAATTATTTCACACAAGACATGATGTTCAACGAGTTTCTCTGACTCTCTTTGTTTAAACTGGTCTTTTTTTTTTGCTGTGCGTGCGTGTGTGCGTGTCTGTGCGTGTGTGAGTGAGGGAGTGACGTTATGAGCAGACAAAGCTGCTCTCCCGCAGAGTGTGTACGGCAGTCTGTCGTTGGGTCTGAGAGAGGGTGAGAGAGAGAGAGAGAAACGGAGAGAGGGTGAGAGAGAGAGAGAGCGAGAGCTTAGCGGAGCCGCCGCGCCAGCGCAGAGAGGCACGGAGACGCAGTGTGAGCATCAGGGCCACTTCAGCTGGAAAAGTAAATAAACATAAACGTCGGTACGGAGAGTCGGAGGAGATGCGTTTTTCCTGCACGGACCTAAAATGAAAGGGTTACCTGGCTGTAAAGTGGATTTGAAGTCTTGTTCATCGCTGCGACTTTGACACGAGAGTTGCGCGGGCAGAGACTGAATAAGGAGCTGTCTGTTTGGGGGAATTTCAGGCACACTTCATCAAAATTGAGTTGGACCTCCAGGAACCAGTCAAGGAGTAAGCTAAACTACCAGGCCACTACTTTCCCAGGAACAGAACCCACCGTGAGTACTTCATCTCTTGACCGAACCTTTCCTGAAGATCTGGTTTTCCTCACATGCTGTGGGCATCTTTACATAATCAAAGTGTACCTGCCACGTAGACGTGGCTAGAAAGCGTTCGGTTCAGATAAAGTTTTTGATGGCATTAGCAGATGCCTGACTCCACTCCGTGCACCGTTATTTCAGTGTGAGCTCAGTTGTGCGCCTTTATGATCCAAGACTGAGACGCAGCTGGAATGAGGGACTTGTTGCGCCAGAGCTGGGCTCTTTATCAAACGATATTTGTGAAAGGGAGGGAAAAAAACAAGCAGGCGATGAGTCTGGGAGGACAATTTTAACATCTGTGTTGATTTTCCACGCTTATCTGGAGTCAGTGGACATACTTGAAATTTTCTTTTAGTTCTGTTAATTAAAATTCTGTCTGACCCATGAACACATTAAGGCTGTCATGTAAAAGAAAATATAACCCTTTCAGCACTTGAAACTTCTCAAACACGATGACCGGGCAGAAAGCAAACTGATAGTCCTCGAACATTTCTTGAGGGGTTGGCTCCATCCCAAAGAATGCGCCCTTATGCTGTCTATACAGCCGGCAGGAGTCAACCCTCCCTGCTGAGCTCTGGACCCAGGCCTTGAGATTCAACAACAAATGCATGAACTAACTTAACTTTGGCCTGAAAAGACGTGACAGTGGCTTCACTGACAATGCTGGTAGATATTAGACTCCCCAGTTTTACTTTAGTCATCTGCAGGATGGAGATCTCTCTGGTTGGATTTAAACTCAGGTCCTGTGGTCGCTCCATAGTCTCCTTCTCCTTCTCCTTCTTTTTTGTGCAGCAATGTCTGCAAAGCTCACAAGAAAACTCAGTGTTTGTATTTCTACACTGGGCTGCTGCTTTTAGTCATGTTGGCATGAGAAGAACCATGGCCTATAATGTAAACAGTCAACACACACTCTTTATCAAGTTGACAATTATGGCCGCTTGGTCTGTGGTCCTGAGCTGCAAATTAAGACCATATTCAAACCACCAGAGCATAAGTTGACACTCACAGAGCTTGTTAGACTTCTGAAATAAAGCAGTACACATGCTGTTAATCGCTAAAGCTTATGAAATGGACAAGCAGTGAAGTTTAGTATTTCTTTAAACCTGCAATTGTCACATTTATAGCTGCAAAGTTCGCTGCCGAATACAGAAGATTTGATGAGGCTTCCCCACATGTTGGTTCTAAGCAGAATAAGGACTCCACTGACTGTGAAACTCATTGATTTATGTCCCCAGAGCAGAACTGTCAGGTCAGAATTCCTGTTGTCAAAATGAACAGTCCTTGTGATTGGAAATTTAACAGTCGTACGCTCCTTTACACAAGATCCTCACCCCTTTGATCTTATCTAATTAAGACAGATCTGGGGCCCAAGTGGTGTGTGGGTCAGCTTGTGGGTGTGTATGTGGGGTGAGTAAAAACACAGTTTACCTGCCACCCACTGCCACAAACCCCAGGGGGTCTTTGATGCGATCAGAGTCTGTGACACCCATTTACAGTCCTGAAGGTGGATTAGGTCACTGGAGTTTAAGCTGTTTGACTCACACACTCAGAGTCACATTTGTTGGCTGTCTGTCGTACAGCTCCACTAAACTTGACCGAGTCACACTTGATTTCAGGTTTAGAGCATTTTTCCGTACTCATGAGTAAGAATCATAAGTTTGTATATCCACTTAAACAAAGCTCAGTCACACATGAAATGCACTCTTAAAGGTGGGATCAGGACAACTTCTGCTCATGGTCTGCACAGTTTTCTGCTTCGGGCTGTTTAACAAGATATTTAACCTTTCCACTTTGGACACAGAGAAATATTATTGCTTGTTATTGTGAAATTCCTCAGAAACAGGGCTGTAGCTCACCCGGCGCCCTGACCTCTACTTTATGAGAAGATCAGATGGGTGAGATTTCACCTCACTTTCCCAGCAGATGACCTGCAACATCCCGTATTAGCAACCCTTTCCGTGACACATATAAAAATGCACAATTTGTCGCATTTTGACACTTCCCGGCTTTTACAGTGGTTACAGAGGAGAAGATATACAAAGTGAGAGATTGCGATAACCGCAGCAGAATGACAGAAACTGAGATATCTTAATCTTAGTTTAACGATAACCCAGAGCTAGTTCTGAACTTTTGTCCCTTCAGACTTTTGAATGTGTCAAATCAAACAAATAGTTCCCAAGAGTTCAGTGGTTTCCTTAGTAACAGGAAAAAAAAGGGTGTATTTGTCCAACTGACTGTGTTTGTGTAAAAAATGCTCATCAGAAAGTTACACCACATCTTGCGTGATGCTAAAAAGCTAAACAGCACTGAAGGGATGAGTTGATGCTCCTGACTTCTGACCCTCTTGTTACAAACTCCCACTGCAAAGACTTATCATCTCCCCCTGAGATGGCTGTTTTATGTTTCCCTGCATGAGCTCTGACACCCATCAGGAGAAAGGGTCCTTGGAACATCTGTGTTGTGATTACTGAAAGCATTATTTCTCCTCCCCCCGCGTCCAAGGACCTGCATTCCACCCATTCTTACTCCCAATACCCAGACTGTTTCCACACTCATGCAGGTATATTTTGTGTGGCAGAAGTGAAATTTCCTTTAAAACCACATGCAGGGGAAAGTAAGAGAGACATGTTTGCTGTTTAACCAGCAGGATAAGTCTTTCTGTTTATACACATGCTAGTTCTAAAGAAGCTTCTCAGTTTTACTTTTTCTTCCTCTTTTGTTTCCCTGTGAATCTGCGGACAGAATACAGATTCCTTTCAAACAGCTGATTATGATTACACTTCTGATTACTTGGACATTTCAAAAGCATGACGCACCACAACGCAGTTCCCCCGCAGCTCTGCTCCTCATCATCATGCTTCCATGTGCTGCTAATGGCACGGGACTTGTTGAAGTTACACACAATGGTCAACACTTGGTCAACTAAAAGCTAAAAACATTATTGACAGATAGAAATCTTCAGCTGTCACATCACGCTGGTTGCCGTTTTCTATGTTTAAATGCTCTTTAACATCAAATACTCAGAGTCATCGCGAGCAAGAACTGCACATCTGTTTTCTTAAACCGTTTAGTTTCTCCAGGTGAGGAGTCATGTATGGGAACTGGAACATCAGCAGAGTGAGCAAGATCTGAATTATATAACATTCACTATTGCAATGCCAGGAAAAGGACCTCCACTTCAACTTGAACAAATCACTTTTTGCGTTATTCGCGACTGAACTGCTGCATCAGTGTTCGTGAATTTTGAAATTAAAGTAAATAATCTAAGAGTTTGTTCAATTGTTCAACAGTCACTGCATTAACACCACCACTACAGTATATGTTAGCTCACAGTGAGGCTGTAATCAACCAAAGAAATTCTTGGTCGACTAAAACCCTGAAATTTTCGACCAAAAATCGACTCTGCCGTCAAACCCTTCTGGGATGACGTGGCGGAGTGCGGGGTGAAAATATACTGACATAGATGGTAGAGAGGAGGACTCACATGAAAGTTGAAACGCTCAAATTAAAAATAAATATTCAGCGAACCACCGGACATTGATGAACGTGGACGCTCTTCAATCTTCCTGTCTCCAGTCGGTTTCCAGTTGTTTGGGCAAAAATGGTGAAAACAAGGAGGATGTTCTGAGACAGGCTCTTCCCTGTGAAACTGAAAATACACCAATTAACACTTGGTACATTCCTTCTGATAAAATTAACCATAGATTGTAAATTAACGGGGGGAAAAATGGAGTCAACCAATCAGAATTTTGGTCAACTCAGCACGTATCGACCAATAAGTCGACCAGTTGACTAGGACTTTACAGCCCTACTGATCAGTCCTCTGTAAAAAAGACTCCTAATGTCAAGGCAAAAGTTACACATCGCATGTTACCCTCAGTCACTCACGCCTCCCCTGACCTGTCTCAACACCCTTTGGAAACAATAATGAGGAAAGTCGATACAAAAGTGAGCAATCATAATTGAGTATTTAGCTGTGTAATAGACACTTGTTTTTTCCCTCAGGATAGGTGTGGTTTGAATGATGAAGCAGTCCGTAGTATGGCCATCACCCTAAAGTGACACCGATACATCTGTGGGGCCCGAAACACACTTTGACAAATAAGTTAATAACCAAAAATTTTTTTTTTCCTAAACTTCACCACAAAGCTTTGTTTCCTCAATCTTAACGATGAGTGAATGTTTCACAAAACCAACAGAATGATGTAGTTTGGATTAAGCATCAGGGCTATTTAATGAAAACAGGAAAAGATCCCGGTCCTCTATAGTCCCTTATGGGGTTTTGGCACTATTATCACTATTATATTATATTAAAATGTAGGTTTAGGGTATGACTTTGGAGCTGGTCCAAAAACAGACAAGTTACTATGTGCATTGAGAATACAGCTGTCGCTGTGATGCAGGGTTGCAATAGTGCTGGGACCCTTAAGCATATGGGGGCATTCATATTATGAATGTCTGTCTTGGATGAGTGACCATTCTCGTGCACATGGAGCTGTAATTGTCAGCAAAACTGTCCTGTCCTTCATTTTTATCTCCCAACATAAGACTGAACTGTGGTTTTGTCAGGCGGCTGTGTTTGTCAGTTACAAGGACTGTGCTCAGTGTGTGACTGACACAGGCAGTATATTTTTGGATCATTTGGATAACAGTATCACACAGTGTGGTTTCTATGAGCACATTTTCAGAGTATTCCAATTTTAAAAAACAGCATAAAACTTCTAATTCATTGTGTCTTATTTCTCTTATATGTGAGGGAAAAATGTTCATAATATCAATGCATCAGGTCGGTCAGTCAGTCAGTCAGTCAACAATGACAGAAAGAGGAACCAGAAAGTACCAAAATGAGGATATAATTATATTTCACAAAAAGACGCGCAACAGTTTGTTTTCCTCTGCTGTCACAGTCATAAAACTCCCCTGTAAAAACTTAAGAGTGTGGTGAACATCGGGTATTTCCATGGGCATGTTAGCTGATACGTGCTAAGTTGTGAAGACATAAAATGAATTCAGCTTTTTAAACTAATTAAGTAAATCTGACTGAAATTAACATCATCGGAAACTAACAACAAGCTGGACCAGCTGAGACATTCAAACAGTGAAATGAAAATACGCAGTCTTCTGCATCATTAGATATGAATCTTAACAGTATTGTTTTTTTTGTTATTACTGCCACTTGGTGTGAAAGTGTTTGCTGCAGAACCCCAATGCAGACATACGGATCTCTAAGAAGTGTAGCTATGGACGGAATTTCTCTGGTGATTAATTTGATATAATTTACTCCACAACTTGGAAATCCTGCTTTACGCATTATTCATCGGAAAATAAAAACAAAATTTCAGTCTTAGAAGTGCAAAACTCCTGTAAAAAATGCAGATTCAAGTGTCCTTATGAGAGTGAACAACCCTTTGTAAATATTTGACTCCTCCTTTAGCATTCAAAATATTGTCCTTGGGGAATAAAACTAATGGACTGAATTTGAATACAATAACAAGTTTGTTTGTGACAAAGAGAAACCTGAAATGAGTGATTGAACACGTTAGACGGCTTTACATTTATAATAAACAGTACATTATAAGTTTAATATTCCAGCCCTACAATAATAACAGTGTGACTCTTTAAATACTTCCAGACCACAGCATGTTGCACAATTTTCCCGCAGCTTCACTGTTCAATGACGTCTCTACGCTCATGTTTTTGTCGTATAATATTTGCATATTGAAGTCAAACCTTCAAAATTGACTCTCTGTCCAAGTCATGGCCAGAAACGCCTCTAAACATTTGTTTTCAAGTACAGAGCATTAGCGACTTTGCTTTGAGTGGTCAGCAATGTATTTGCTTTTAAGCCAAACCCTGAAATCCCTGCAGAGCGCACTGATGCAATCCAATATTGCATCTGCACTATGGTGATGTAATCAGCAGAATCTCTTTCCAATAGTGAGATTTCATTAGAGGATGAATGGACACACCCAACAATAAAGTACAGAGAAACAAGACACATATGGGAGGCTGCTACCCTGGAGTCAAGCATTGTTCATTATTTGGAAAAAATGCAAATAGCAGTGATACAACTTTAAAAAAAACTGGGGTACTGACAAACTACATTTATGTAAAATGAAAGTCTTCAAGTTCCTCATTTTCCGTAAGTCTTTGTTGGGAAATATGACTGATCTTCATTTAAAGTAGGTACCAACTTTCAGATCCAAGTTTCAGGTGTCTTAGGTATTTAATAGAAAATAAATGTACAAAGTTCATTTCTCTTCTTTGCTTCAATGACCTCACATTTCCCCTGAATACTGACACATCACAGAGATGGTCCAGAACACTCTGAAAAGACTGGGTGTGGACTTCTCTGGAAGAAGATCCAGTTCAGATCATCTCTTCTCAGCAAAACCCCCTTTTATATTCGCCTGTCCAATGTATTTGCTGTATTATCTTGTGTAAGTGAGACAATGATATGATTACTGTTTACATGAATATCTCTGTGTATATCTAATGTCATGTGTGTTTGTGTCACAGAGTTCATGCTAATTCCCTCATTATGGCATTTCTGAAGGTTTTGTCACAGTTGTTTTTCCTGCCATTTAGCCTGAAAACCTACTTTGCTAAAACATGTGGAAGAGATCACAGCAGAGAAACCTTTCAGCAAAGAAGCTTATGAGAAAGATATTTGTAAAATGAAAGGGGAGGTCTATATACTCTGTGGATAATAACCCATGAGTTGGATTTCAGTTGTTAGTGGGATCCCTCGAAGAATTTATCGCCAAATTAAAGTACTTCTTTATAAGTTATTTATTGCTGAGTTAATTAGAAGTAAACCGCTGCTGTTGTTGGCTTTGAGCAAACCAGAAGTCATGGTGAAACCCAATCAACTTGTCTGCACAGAGCTGTTGATAATTTAGAAAGTTGATTCCTTCTCATCAGGGAATAAATCATTATCACGTCAGAGCACATCTAAAGTTTAGTGTTCAAGATGTGCTGCTGTTGCTGGTGAGATGATGTCTGTGTTGGATCTTTGGTTATATGGTAGCTGACTGTGGACTTTATGTGACACATTGGACTTAAAGGAACCGTGAGGAGTTTTAACTGGCTGAGAAACAGGCTAAAACGTAACACCAGCGGGAACATATACCCAGCAGGGGTGCTAAGAAAAAAAGCTCTACATTGATAAATTTTTTATTTTAATTTAAAAATACCAGCGTGGCAATATTGTTACATGCAGCAGTAACACATAGTCAACTGTGTTGTTTACTCAGGAAGCCACCCAAAAAATGAACATATGATACATGAGACATCAGTTCTCAATCAAAAACCAAAATTACTTTTAATTCACAGATAATTCAGATCCTGATTGGTCGTGGGTGTGTCATAACGGTAAGCAATGTAAACGATGTGTCACAGAGTTCGTGTAACTGTTCATGGTGCTGATCAACTTGACAACAGTAGAAAATTTGTCACAGCTTCTGTCCACATTACTGTGGTGCTGAACGGTGGTGCGTAAAGGCGTGCTGAAGTGTTTTACCTTACTGTCTTTTCTGTGGCTTTCCACCAGTTTGTGAAACCTCCCTTGATAAAACAGCTGTCTAACTGCGCACTGTCTGCATGAATCAGACCTTTCTCTACTGCCATAGCTGTCCTCAATATAATGCAGTTATCTCCATTTGGTCAACCAGCTAACAAAACATTTCCTTAGTTGGTTAATCTGCTGCCTCTGGAACGTTAACATTATGACCAGGGATGTTAGCTTGAACTGCGGGCGCACAGCTCCTGTCCCGGTCCCAGTGATCACTGTCTGAGGGTGCTGTTGCTGTTTTGGTCGTTTTAGGGGTACGTTTTAGATACATGACAGTTGACCTTACACATACATGGTCATTTGACTAGCATGAGGAATATTAGGTCAGACTGCAACAATTTATAGTGATTAGTGTTTCCCGTTAACTTTATTTATCTATTTATTTTTCATTTTTGGGATACTGCAGCGCCGCCAACACCCCGACTTCACGCAGTACTGCTGATGCCGCTTGTTGCTGATGGTCTGAGTTGCTTTACAATGACATTCTAAAGCAACCCAGACCATCAGCAACATGACAGAAAACTCCTCAGTAGATATTTGTGATAGCTGAAACTGCTGTGAGGGAGTAGGTGTCAGAGCAGATGATTGACAGCAGGCCTGAGAGATCGCCTTTTCCCATGGCAAATATTCACAGTAAGTGATGCATTTCACTCTTAAAAGACAAGTTTCATGTGTACAGGACAGGATACAAGAGTTATCACTTGGAAAATCAGCTCAACAGCAACTTTACATCTTTTAGATTTTTAATTAAGTTAACCAGAAATGTCCTCGGTTTCCCTTATTTTGCTCTACTTTTGCTTCAAACCTACAAAAATATAATACTGGTTCCTCTTTTGCTGTGAAACTTCATCCTTTATGATTTGACTCTATTTTATTTATCCCATATATCATAATAGTCAGTTTGGTTCAAAAATAAAAATTCCAGTCAAAATTCATCTGTAAACATGCAAAAATACTCACTATTTTGCAAAAATAAAGTCTAAATTATATGGTTCGCCTCATTCTACTCTGTTTTATTCTATTAATAGCCGTCACAATGACTGAACACGTGTGGTTTTGGGGCTTTGAGTGCTGAAATGGAAGTGCTTAAGTGGTTGGAGGGGTATCATCCATTAACGAACCGTGAATCAGCCGGTCACAACCGCTGTCACACATGACTCAACGCTAACTCTCAATCCAGCTCTTGTCCTGAGCTGTGCCGGTCCACAGCAACTGTTTTAGAGAATGTACAAGTGTGAGGGTGTGTGTGTGTGTGTGTGGCAGTGATCACCCAGCCATAATGTTCAAGAGAAAGTCCGAGAATGAAAGCCTATGTGTGCCAGTGTGAGCGTCGTAGAAGCCCCGTGTCTCTGCTTTCTGGGTTAGGAGTGTGGAAACAATGGGCACATTGTGTGGGGAGTTGGCAGAGTGGAAGGGGGAGGTAGAGCAGTAGGAGGGGGAGGAAGAGGAGGAGGAGGAGGAGGAGGGGGAGGAGTGAAGTGAAGAGGAGACAGGAGGGGAAAGCTGAAGGAAAAAGATGCCAGAGGATGAGCTTAAGGGTGAGGACAGAGAGAAAGGGTGGAGAAGGGCGGGAAGAACATCGCGTTGAAAACTGCTAAAATGGAGAAAGTTTGAAAAAGTTTGAAAGGAGGAAACGACAGGAAAAAGAGGAGAGTTTTGGGGAGAAAAGGTGAGGAGGAGAAAAGACTATTTATAGTCAGAGGTAGGCAAGGAAGGGAGGAAGAGGATAGGGCTTTCTAAGCAGAAAAACGGGGTGGAAAAAGAGAGCAGGACACAGAGAAAGGGATAGAAGAGTTTTCAGAACTATGTGGGAAATGCTCAAATTAAAAAGTCAAATCTTCAGATGCTAGCTGCCAAAGAACACGGGTCATAAATCACCTTCTCTGATATATGCAGGATCTACTAGGTCCTCTGGAAACGCTCATGGATGGTGGCTCCAGCTCCCTGGAACAAACAAGTCACCCCGGTCCTGAGATACTGACATGAGTCATGACGTGTGACTTTATCCATCCAGTGAAACTTGTTACATGACGAATGTTTTGCAAGTTATAACTGTTTGGTGGGAGGTCTTTAAGGCTTAAGAAAAAATGATGCCAGATGGGAGCAAAGCAACAAAAATCACGATCAACTCTGAGTGATTTAAGGTTTCATGCTTAAAGTCAGTGAAAAAAACAGATGGATGTATCGTGATCATCGAAACCTCCCAGAAACAGAAGGATTCTTCTGCACAGTGTTGTTGACAGTTGCACTTGTTTAGGAAAACAAGTCTGTTGATGTGTGGCTGACTCTATACACCAATTATAACGTCATATTTTAGCTGGGAGGACATAACTGATTGTGTGACAGAAGAGCATTAGTTAGACGTTATCCTCAGTACAAGTGCTATTGCGATATTTTGTCTGGTGATATATCGTATCGTCTCATTTACCAAGTATCGATTTTTCTAATTAATTGCTAATGTGAAGTCAAATCTATGATAATGGAAAAATAAAATCAACTTTTTGTCCAGTGAGGTTGTTAGAGCAGGAGAAAGTTAGTTCGACAAATATATAAAAGTTTTTCAAGATGTGCCACATGAAAATAAAATACAGTGTAAAAAAGACAAACATAAAGGAAAGACAAATGCTAAATTAGCTAATCAGTTGAAAGAATTATATAAAACGCAATATATTGTATAGGATTACTTGCTGTATTGCAGAATGTTAAAAATCGCAGTAATATCGTATCGTGGCCCAAGTGTCGTGATATTATTGTATCGTGGGGCCAGTAGTGATTCCCACCCCCAATAGACACAGGGGAGGGACTTTGTCAGAAGTTTATCTGTTCTGTGTTTTTTCTTACAACTTCAGCAATATGTCTGAGTAAAATGAACTTAAAACCAGTACTGTAAAATCACATTTATCATCTCATGCACTAAAAAATGCTTTTAAATTCACGTGAACATAGTTTTTGTTTTTATAAAATCACTTTCAGATGTTACCTCTGTGAATCAGAATACATTCACTTTTACAAGTCTAATAGAGAAAATGCCACACAGCTGTAGTCCACTGCTTTGGTATTTAATTTCATGAAGTAAAAATGAGTTTAAATCTTTCAAAAATCCTCACAATGTCATGGACGTTGCAGAGGAATCATTATTTGGGTTTCCCTCTTTCATGCTTCATGTTTTGTTTTTTTATGAAACTAACTAATATTAAGCTACTTTGTGTATATTAAACATGGGCACATTTTTGGTGTTGGAATACATCTGTGGAGGTCAAACAACCACCAAGCGTTGCCAAATAGACCTGATGACAAAAGAGACCTAGGAAGTGGACAGACGTCACAAACACGAGTCAAAGCAACACAGGTGTAGTAGTGACGGTGTGGTCCCAGAGTGACTGGCTGTCCATCACAGAGAAGTTTGACCAATAAGAAAGGAATAAAAGACGGAGAAAGGGATGAGATACAGCAAGAGGGAAGACAGCAGACATCAACTCTGAGAGCCAATCCAAGAGTGGGATGTTAATGTGGGGCTCAAGAATGTCAGACAAATATGAGGGGGTGCCCATTTAGTGTCTGTAAATCACTGGAAACCTCTCAGTTTCTTATCAAGTAATAAACTTCATATACTCATTTTGATTTCGGGCGCAAGTGATTTATAGTTCAAAGAGGGAAAACAGTGCTTCCCTTGGAAAATAATGTAAAACATGGACAAGTTCATCATGTAAGACTTCATCCTGTTAATGAACTCCCTTTGGAGCAAATCCAAAATAGACTCCCACATCAGTGATCTGTCTGACTAACCAATAAATTTTCTCTAGAGCAGACTAAACTCCGTCTCAGAGTAGAAACAACATGTCCGAGACAACTTTTAACAGTGTTTCCCAAAACAGCTTTATACCTCTCAGGACCATATTAAGAAGGTTGGATGATGTATTGTTGTTAAAGTGGGAGCAGACGAAGGTTATGGTGCTGTAATTTGTTTAACTTCTGTTCAAGCATGAATCTGACGAGACCCAGCCAGTCTACCTCAATACGTAAGAAACTAGTGTTTACAAAATGGAGCAGTTTCACTTCAACTGGCATATTAATAGATTAAGATTAAGATCAAGACAAACTGAGATTCCACTGAAGGGTCATTCCTCAAGGAGTCAGAGTCTTTCTTTTTAATTACAGACGGTAAGAAAAAGTGTTTTTGCTCATCCAGCCATCATCAGTGTCATGGAGAGACCATGCAAGTGTCCTTTCAGTAAAAGAACAGAAGTGATCTCCAGAGGAAAATGTTTAACGAATTAGTTAGAATTATTTGTTACAACTATCAGAAAGTAATTGAATCACTGAAGCTGTTTTCAGACATGCACATTGGAAAATTTCAGGAAAATTTGAGGTCTCCGACTTTGAAATTTACAGACAGACACCCACACAACAGCAAGTCTCCTCTGTCAGACAGGCAGCTGTAGGGGGATCTCAGGAGGCTAACATGACCCCTAACAGACATCCAATATGTGTGCTAATAAAAAAAAAGAAAGATTTATTGTTTTCGTTTGACTGAAACTGGTCTTTTAGAGTACACTTCAACATATTAGCCAACTGAAATCGCACTAAATCAAACTTCTCGAAGATGGATCAAGATACTGAGATTATGTGGTTGGGATTGATTTCCTTTCCATGTATTCACTTCCACTAAACTGAAACTGGCTTAAGTAATCTTCACCTTCAACGCTATGTACCAAAGTCTTGATTTATCCTAGTTTGGCATATGTTGGAGACAAATGTTTTCATACATTCTGTATTGTTGATAAACACTTGATAATGCCTATGGGTGTACGAAGATCACATAGCTCACCCGGGGATACGCTGTTTGAGCAGAGCGTCATCACAGTGACTCTCTGCATACAACGCTACTGCACAAGTGGTGGTTAGGAAGAAGGAAAAACCTGGAAATACTGAGAGCTTATACTGGCGGAAGGTGGAACCAAGTTGTCCATAGTATATAAAGTCTATGTACAGTACATGAGAGAGAAAATTAATCAACACTGGTTGCTATGTCTGGATCAAGAGCTTCTTTGATTAAATCTGAATTAAAGATGAAGTAAGGTTTGAATATTGGGTTGCATCTAAAATGAGCGTTCTCCTAAATACAATATCTCAGCCTCAGACTTTTAGGTTATACGACTTTAACTGAACTTTTTATCGAAGAATATCTGGATGACTCTTATTGAAAATCAGATGCTGCATCATGTTCTTGTCTTCAAGATTAAAGGTTAAGGTTAAGGTTTGGGTCAGGGTTTGCTCTTGATATGCTTGTGGCTCCTTTCCCACTACTGACAGGCTGAGTTAAAGACAAAGGAGGATAATCAAATTTGATTGATGTTGAAGATATCGAGATATTTCTAAGACAAGAAGGATTTTATAGAACCCTAAAGAGAAATTATGGGTCAGTTTTTACTCAAATGCAAACAAAAATACAGTCTTTGTTATTGTTTCTGAAAGAGAGACCATAATACATGAATGAATGTGTGTTGTGTGTGTGTTGATTGTGTATTTTAGGCGTACACAAATGTGCGGATGTCGCACTGGTGCTGATCTGTAAGTTATGACCTCACTCGTAAGGATTCCAGGGTGGTCCTTCCATTGCCTGTCAGACGCACACACACTATTACACACACAGAGACACAAAACGCACTTTCTTCTTTCCCTCCACGCAGCCTCACTTTGTCACACGTTGCTAACAAGCATGAAGGGAGTGTGTCGACACACACTGAAACACAGCCAGCGTTTTGTCCTCTGCCTTTAACGCCCAGGGTTCAAATCATTGTGCACACACTTGCGTTAAAATGCTTCAACAACTGAGTCATTCAAACTTTCCCTTTTACTGCACACTTACACACACCCAGGTGCAGGAACACAGAATTCTGAATTCCCCCTTATTGGGGTCCTCTGTCTTGCTCTTTTTCCTTTATATGAGACCCACCCACCAACACACACCCACACACATGCACGCACGCACAATGACAGGATCTCTCTCTGCAGGCTCCAAAGGTCTGATGAAAGTGTTGGGAATGTGTGCTGAGAGGCCACTGACACTTCCTCCACTTTCTAGTACTGACGAATGGCCTCAGGCATCTCATGCCCCGGTGAGTGCTCCCTCCAGACGTTTAATGACCATGAGCCACAGATGACAAACACAATAAGTGGACTTTTATCTGCGGCGGTGGTTGTCGTATGGCTCCCTTGCTATGGATCTATCTTACATTAATGTCCCTCAGCAGCTCCTTTCACCGCCTCTTACTGTAATGGCTGAGTAATTGCTTTTCTGGATGGAAGTAACTATTAAAGACCCAACATGGAGGTTTGATAATGTCCTTTCAAAATTAATTAAATATCACTACAAACACAGGGGAAAAATAAGAAACCCGTCACAAACAGGAAACAGATGCTTTCTGGTGACATATAACTGGTCTGTTACTAGAAAGGAGACCTCTCCTGGAGTCTGGTCTTTTATGACACATTAATGCTGAAATTAAAGCTCCAGTGAGCAACTTTAAGTTTATGTCAACTTTGGTGCCCCCTGTGGACAGTTTTGCACCTTTGCATGCTCAAGTGATTGGTGACAAAAAGTCGCATCCTGCCAACATTTGTCATCAATGTGTATCATTCATTGTAGATATTTGTTTGATAATTGTGAAAACAAGGCTGTTTCTGAAGTAGAGGATATTTTTCGGGAATTCCCGTGGGTCACGTGATTCCTGCAGGAATCCCACGGGATGGGATTCATTTTTTAATTAATCCTGTGATCGGGACGGGACGGGAAAAAGCGGGCAGGAGCGGGAACAACATTAATAGATGATCATTTTCAGCCGTGTTAAACAACCAGATGAACAGATGCGTCCATTTTTGCTGTCAGCTCTCAGTGAGAGCCTACATTCTTGACCGCGCTAGCAACACAAAAGAACTACAACAGTGGTTTGACTTACTGTCACCACCGGAAGTGAAAAGCGATTCGGAGCGGCTGCCGGCGACAATTATGTGTGTCGCCGGCAGCTGCTCAGACGCTGTGACTCGGCTGCCACTTTTACCTAAAAAATTTTATTTATTCATACATATTATGCACTGCACTTTCAGTTGATTTCATGAACATTAAAAAACAACTTGTCACAGGAGCTTTAATATACCTTTTTGTGTATTATCTGATAACTGAGAAAAGTTTCACTGACCTAAATCTTTAGTAGAGACTCTTTTCAAAAGTCCTGTTTAAGAAATGATTTACAGCTTTATCATGTAGGGGTTTCAATCAAGTGTAAAATTACTTGAAAAATGCACCCTTATCACACCAGCCACAGGCCGTTGTTTATTTTCGAACATGCGTCTTTAGAAATAAATGTGCAGACACAAAGCAGACACATCCGGCTTGTCTGGAGCGCCGCGGCGTTTGCAATAATTCAGTAAAGCTATTAGAAGGTTTCACTGCTATTTTGGCGCATGAAATAACATTGGACAGCCACTCCAAGCAAACATGGAGACCCTTATCAGCCCACCTCGGGAAATTGAATTTATAAACATGGTCCTGGACGGCGTTTATTTAATTGATTAGGACTTCCCTTTTACTGTTATGCCCTGTCACGCCTAATAAACACACTGGTTTGGTCTAACGAGTATTAAGATGTAAAACACTGCTATCACGTAATTGATGGACAGTAGTGCTTCTGGCATAAGCTGGGGTTAATAAAATGGGCTAAATATAGAAGTCGTCTCATGAAGTTGAAGCAGCCAGGAAATAAATAATGGCTTTTAAGCCTCTGTTCCATACGGCCCTCTGCGTTACGTAACATATCTTGTATTTCACGGCTGTCAAAACAGTATGTTTCCTATAAAATTTAGTGCTCTTTAATGGTCGAGATGCAAGAGCTGAAAATATTTCTGGCAACCTTCTACTTAAATAGTTTTCAGCACTGCCTCATTTCCTGCGAGTAAGTCTTCTTTTGCATGAGAATTTTTCAGAGGTAAAGGTTGCAATAGGTTTTCCAACAAATTAGTCCAAGAGAGGGAAGAAATCCGTCATGTTTGCAGTTCAGTTTTGGCAGAGTGGAGATGTTTGCTGTGTCACAGCAGAGAGAAAGGAGGGCTTAGAGGATTTGAATGGTCTTATTGGGAAGTAAATCAAGTGAGAAACCCCGAGCCTTCAACACAAAACTTCTCCTTGTTCCTCCCTTCCTTGTCACATCTTTTACTGCAGTTTTTAACAGTTCTTTCTCACATTAAATGTCTTTCTTAAACACACAATTTCACACACAATTCGCTGCGGTCCTGAGGGTGTGCTCAGAAACTCGGATTTCAGGGGAGAGGCTGTTGTTGTTGATGTTGTTTAGTATTTAAAGCAGAAATACTCATAAATTCACTCCGATGGGAGGAAAAATAAAATGTTCAGCCTCACATCACTCCGGAGTTTGTTTAGATAGATCACATATCCTGGGTAAACACACAGACAGTACAGCAGGCTTGCGTGCACACCCACAGACACACATCACCATTGATTAATGTTGACTTTGACTTAAAAAGAAGGGCATAAAGGCCACCCCATCAAATATTAGACAGACTTTGGTTTGGATTTCCCTCAATCTCTGAGAACAGGAGCTTATTCAGTCACAATCTGATGATGGTATATGTCAGCCTAATCTATTTCAGTTTGGGGTTTCATATTCACACTAAAGGAACAGGTTAAAAAAGTTCTGCATGTTAAACATCTGGACTCAAAGAGAGGAACTCCAAACTGTTGTGATCTTGAGACATCTGAAATTTGACTCACACAGTCCAGCTGCCAACTGGAGGTGAACAACCAGATGTGATCTCCTGATGCAATCCTTCTCTGTGGAAGTTTTATTTGTGGGAATTGTTGTGAGGAAAGGGGTAGTGTTGCAGAACAGTGCATGGGAAAAAGGAACTTTCTTTATATACATGAGATATCCAGCAAATCTCGAGAACATGTATCAGATAAAACATCTCATCATCTTCATGTGTACCTTTACCTGACTATTTTAACGTGTGCTTCATTTCCTCCTTACAGAAAGCACCACTACCACCATGGAGGACGAACAGTGTTACTACAATGAGACCATTGCCTTTTTCTACAACCGCAGTGGCAAGTATCTTGCTTCTGACTGGAACACTGTCAGCAGGCTGGTGATGGGTCTGGGAATCACTGTGTGCATTTTCATTATGCTCGCCAACCTCCTAGTGATGATTGCCATCTACGTCAACAGGAGATTCCACTTCCCTATCTACTACCTGATGGCCAACCTGGCAGCTGCTGACTTCTTTGCTGGACTTGCATACTTCTATTTGATGTTCAACACAGGACCCAACACAAGGCGTCTGACTGTTTCCACGTGGCTGCTGCGCCAGGGTTTGATTGATACCAGCCTCACGGCGTCAGTGGCCAACTTGCTTGCCATTGCAATAGAGCGCCATATTACTGTGTTCCGCATGCAGCTACACACACGTATGAGTAACAGACGGGTAGTTGTAGTGATTGTCATAATCTGGACTATGTCCATCGTGATGGGGGCCATCCCCAGTGTGGGCTGGAACTGTATCTGTAGCATTAGGTCTTGCTCCAATATGGCACCACTTTACAGCAACTCCTACCTAGTCTTCTGGGCAGTGTTTAACCTGGTGACGTTTGTTGTCATGGTGACACTATATGCCCACATCTTTGTCTATGTGCGCCAAAGAACCATGAGGATGTCTCGGCATAGTTCTGGACCACGACGCAACCGGGATACCATGATGTCTTTGCTGAAGACCGTGGTCATTGTTTTGGGTAAGCCTAAACCTGTCGGCCCATCTCTCTGTCTCTCTTTCTCTCTTTCTGTCTGTCTGTCCATGCATACAGTCACGCATCCACACACCCATACATCTGTCTTTTTGATCTTTTCGCTAACTGCCTGAAAGTGTAGCTGTTTTGGTCCGTCTGGCTAATCCACTGCACTTAGACCACTTCTGTGTTTACAGCAGCAGTTCCCCTCTCTGTCTGTCTTGACTGATTTGTCTGTAATGGGGATTATGACATTTCAACAGTACCAGTAAGAGAACAATGAATCTGTTGATTGGCCTTTCTGTGGGGCTGTATGGTTCTGTGGAAAGTCCAAGCTCAGTGGCTGCCTAGCACGTGTGAGGCTCAAATACATCACTTCATGCCACCCTTTGTCCCGGTCAGTAGGCTAATACTGCTCTGCACAAGCAGCGCATGCAGCAGGCCTGTGAAATGCATCCTAAATCTGCTGTCATAAAATAAGGAATCAAGCCCTGTGTAACTGTGTATTTCTATATTTTATGTGGTTTGTTTACATGAGACAATGAACTCTATTTTTCACTCTAAGCAAAATCACTTCCCTTATTTCCTGAGGTGAATGAAAGAGAGGATTGTACAAATGCTGACATTCATTTGAGGTTGAGAGTATGTTGATATAAGTCTGTGGATCATCTTTCTAACTACACAGAAATTCCTAATGGTCATGACTTACAAAATCAGAACCACAATTGATGAGGTGGAATGGATACTATATTTCTGTTTAACTGCTATTATTAGATTTTTGAAGAATGAAAACGAATGCACACAGCATATCTATTGTTTCTGGTTTGTAGAAGATTTTTGCCATTTGCAGTGATTTGGTGCTAATTATAAGCATTAAGGTCAAGCTTTGTAAATTTTTGTTCTGTTTTGTGCGTTTGAATACGGTCAGTGAACCATCTCTTAAGAAATTAAAGGGACCTGCCTTATTTTTAGCCTCAGCTGTGTGTGCAGTCTGACAGTTTAGTATAAGCACCGAGCAGAGATTTGTTCAGGTCTCTTCAGTGTGTGATTAATAGAGGGATCACTGAGTTTATACGTGGACTGACTGTTGCACAGTAGCAGACTGTCTAAACTCTGTGTTAAAGTAAGTTCGAGTGTGAATTGTGGGAAAAGGCCTTTTTTTCTGCCTTGAAGCAGGATGTGTTGGTCCCAGACAAAACATACCAAAGGATTCTGTGTGATTTGTCTCCTATGTGCTGTGTAATCTCATCCTGTTGCCTCTGTTGTCTTTGCTTCACTCTTAATTCAGAGCAGTGGACAGCAGAGAGTGCTCTGCAGTGTTCAGTATGTTTAAGACACATTTTCCGCTGCCTAAAGATTTTTGTTTGTTTCTCTTTGTTTAACCCGCCTCGTAGGTCAGAAACTTTACCCCTGAAAATAGGGAAGTGTCTCTCTGTCTTATCTGTATTTTCATGCCTTGTGATGGGTGGATTTACATCTTTTTGTATGAAAAGCACTTTTTTAATTAAAGGGATATTCCAGCATAAATTTAAGTTAGGGTCAAACACACCGTAACATCGAGTCAGACACCCCCTCGAGAGATGAATGTTGGCGACTGCTTGCTTCTATTGTTATACCAACTTTAGTAACAACCGCACGATAGCAATACACAGCAATCTATGGATCCATGCGCACACCTCCAACAAAACGCCACTCTATAGACACAAATAATGCTCAGAACAGCACCTGACTTCATCAACAGGACATATAGGGTCCCAGCCATAGCACTAGCCACCAAACATATTTTTAGCTTTTCCAGGTTTCCCTAGTAAAGAGACTAAACAGAACTCACCCACTCTCCTCCAGCAGCCGCTTGTTTGTGGGGGAGCCCTAACAAGTCGATCACCGAGTGCAGCGGATCATTTCCATGAAGTAAAAATCATCATAATAATCATTTTGCACTGCAGACGTGGTAGTTCTTCTCCCTTAGCATCTCGGTCTGATTGCTATTCCATGAAGTAATGATCATAAATGTTTTTCCTTGAGCTGTGAAACTCCACTGCACTCGGTGATCGACTCGTGAGCGCTTCCCCCACAAACAAGCGACTGCTGGAGGAGGAAGAAGAACTACCACATCTGCAGTGCAAAATGATGATTATGATGATTATTACTACAAGGAAATGATCCGCTAAGAATAATTCCATTAAATATAAGACCATCAAAGAGAGGACACAGTTTAATCTTTGTTGGTACTACATTCTCTCTTTCTCTGCGGATCTTTCTACTGTGCCATCTTCCCCTTTAATAAATCAAATAACCAATCGATTGTGACCTAATAGATCTTCATGGCCTGCATTTCGGGTACAAACCAGCAAGTCCTAACTGGTCCGGTCTTTTTCCACGGTAAAATAGTTGAGGAGAAGTTGAAACTCTTTGTGTGATTGCAGCTGCCTTTTTGTAAACAGTGTTTCGTACACCACTACAGACAAAGCTCTGAGTCATTCAGTAACACTTAAGCACACAACTCAGTGAATTACTGTTGTGTATTGTTGTAATATATTAAGAAGAAACCTTGGTTAATAAACTTGTACCTGATTCTGACAGGTGACTTCATACTAGAGGAGAAAAACTAAACAGAGACAACAGTGCCAGGCTCTCAGGTTCTTCAGCCTCCTTAGGGGTTAAAGTTTCCATTGATTTAATTATGTTGTACTTTTTTAGAGGAAGATTGAGATGAGTTGATGAGAAAGTAAACCCCATAGCAATTCCCTGTCCACCTTCTCCCATCTGCTGACCAGATGATAATAACTACTCCCTCAGTGCCTGCTGCCCTCTTCACTCTGTCCTTCTCAGGATACTGTAAAAACCCGACATGGATGATTTCTCCTTGGAAGGAAAGGCTGAGAAGTTCAAAAATGTGGTTACACACACTTGCACACATGCTTAGCAAAGGCACATACTGTACATGTATACATAAAGGTCTCCACACTCACAGAAACCCCCTGCCAACTCATGAAGAACAGCGGTTTATCGGATTGGCTTTATTCACTTAAAATCAGATGTTTTCAGTCAGTTGAATGATGGGAAGATGAAACCAGAATCTGGCTTGTACTCGACTTGTTTGACCAAACCAGTAAACGGATTATGACACTGGACATTGGAAAAATGTCTCTCAGCAACACAGCAGAACTCCTTTTGCCTCCACTATAAGGGGGTAGGTGTCAGACCAGTCATTGGCAGCAGGCTGAAGAAACAGCTTTATTTTTAGGTTTTAGGATTGATTTATTCTTTATTTTTTAAATGGGACAATTTGCATTAATGAACATTTACATGTAAATACAAGGGATTACAGCCAACCGGCTAATTTCCATCCCCAGTTCCATTAGCAGGTTGGTGTCAATAAATAAAACCAAAAACAAACATCGATAACAGGAGTGAAACACACAGAGCCTATCAGCAACAATATAGATGACATACAAACCAAAAATAAAAACAGGCTGAGAGTTGGAGGACCACACACTGAATCATGAAGTGCTGGAGTGCTAACTAAAGTGCCAAGTGCCAAAGTGCACAGCACTAGCTGCCTTGGAGCTCAGGTCCCCATTATTTATTACAAACTTGAACAAAGTTTTCAAACTTGCCAAAACAGTGGGCGGTTTTATCTTCTTGTGGTTCTGCTGTCAGGGCAGACTCTGAATTTTGTTCGTTTGGCCACTTGTTCTCTTCTGCTGAAAAACACGTTTGAATGACACCAACAGAGATTCTCCTCATCACTTTTCAATGAGTCAACAGCACTGCCTTATTAACCATGACCCCTGTTCCCTGTGTGTCTGTGTGTCAGGTGTTGGCCCATGAAGGGGTCGTCTGTGAATAATTTGATTATCTTAAAGCCTGTGGTGCTGCGTGCGGTTGCATCGTCAGACAGTGTGGAGCGCCAGAACATACCATCAGCCGAACACATGCAAACAGATGCTGTATCACTGACATACACTTATTTGAGAATCACACTGTATAACCAATCAATGTTCAACACAACAACTCACTGGCTCTTCTATCTGTGACTGCAATGAATGAATGAGAGCAGAACCAATCAGGGTCTGTCTGACAGTGTCACCTGTTTTCTGTTAGAGTGTGTGTGTGTGTGTGTGTGTGTGTGTGTGTGTGTGTGTGTGTGTGTGTGTGTGTGTGTGTGTGTGTGTGTGTGTGTGTGTGTGTGTGTGTGAGGCATGCAAGAAACTGCTGTTCATTACTGGCATTTTATAATCACTCATTGCCAGAGGAAGTTGTCCATATGTGGCAAACTATCCTCTCTGCTCAACCATGAACATTAAATTCTTAATAAACAGTTCAGTTCCAAGAAAACCAAGAATTTATGAGTTTAGAGATCTTCGTATACTTAAGTAATTTCCAATTATTTTCCAGCAAAAGCTTTAAAAAAATCATTGAAAGAACTCTCTTCTTTGTTGTTTGCATAATTGATGTTTTCCTGGTCTGTAAAAGTTGGAAAATTTGAGTTATATGAATTATTGCAGGACAGTAATGATGCTTTGTACGCCTGATATATATGTTTTTTTAATGGATCATGATACTTTGAGTTTAATTCTTATAAAATCTGTAACAACAGTGCTGGTACAGCCTGAAGGCATCTGTTTAAGGGTCCAAAAAAAGGTTTCTACGTGAATGTGGCCCAACTCTGCAGATACTTTACTGCCCAGCTGAGCAGAAAACCATCATTATTGCCTTTTCAAAGAACCCACTGTACTTCCAGTTAAAAGCATGTTTATTCAACCATTAGATCACCATGATGCCACCATCAGACTCCGCCACTGTGGACACCACAAGCCTCTTTATCAATTATTGTAAAGCCTCAGCGACTGAATGTGATCTTTTATCTAATTTTCAGCTGGTTTGTGTGGAAGTACTGGTATGGGAAAGAGGATCGAGGAAGAACCAAAGCTCTCTGCGGACAAATGGAAAGTCATCTGGCCTTTCAGAAATACATACTATCTGGTTTCTGTCAATTAGCTTATTTCCTCTGGGATTATGGTCAGGACGTAGAGGATGGTTGGGTTGGGATAATGAAAGGAAGAGATAATGGAGACAGCTGAAAGATGAAAGAGCCAGTTTGCAAAATTGGGAGATGATTAGAAATAAAAGTATGAAGATGACAGAAAACCTGGAGAAAGATAGTCCACTTATCTCCTCTTTAAAGCAGGTTTTAAGAAAAGGCTTAAAGCAGAATTCAGTCGGAGTGCTGTGGTCATGGTGTGGACTGAAAAGAAAATAACGGTCTGGGATAAAAGCAGTCATTTGTACATTTGGTAGAGTTTGAGGTTTGGGTTAAGACAGGAATACTATTTTTGTGGTGAAGGGGACTTCAACGTTGTTTTTCATTCTTACCCTTCAGCGACGTGAAAAGTCAGAGGATTTTGGTGGCCCCTTTGAAACACCTCATCCTCAACCTTTCTTACAATGCCCCCTATCTCATTTGAGTTCTCCCAGTTGGTCTCCATAAAGACTTTTGTCAATTGTGTTGATGTTTTTCTGCAGCAGTGGAGCTTTTTCACCATCATGCTAACCGTTTGTACACTGGTTTAGTTGATAAATGCGAGTTACTGACTGACTCTTGCCTTATTCATTGGCACCTCCTGCAAGAGGTTACTAGTTGTTTCAAAGTGCAGCCTCTTGTCGATCAAAAAAGGCCTTCACAAGCTTTATCTTCTGAACAGTATTTCTTTGAACGCATGATTAAGGTCTTGTCCACACGTAGCCGAATACTTGTTAATACAAATATATTTTTATACATTTTGGCCTGCCATCCGCACAAAGCCGCATGAATACGTCATTAAAAACTCTGGACATAGTGAAGATTTTGGAAAACTTTGGTTTTACATTTGCGTGTGGACATAGATAACCAGAGATTTAAATCCCCAAACGTCACTGTCTGCAAGACCTAATAGATAAATATCATATACTATTCGCCTTTGTTTATGTCAGGCAGTGGACGGCACAGATATATACAGAATTTATATTTATGTGAGGAGAAAAGGAGAAGGCGTGCTTTGCAGTTGGTTATTCTACACCAGATAACCCTTACTCCACCTTTCTTGTGTTTTGTTGACTTTATTCTCCAAAACGATCCTTAAAAGCTATTCCACCTCTTTGTTGGTCCACATGAATGAACTACACGGCGCTATGTTTCATGGTTGGGGAAGTGGCGACGAGAAAGTGAAGCTTGCTGGCAGCGTGACTACTTTATAAAACGGAGGGGGGTTGGATATTCATTTATAAAAATACCCGTCTATGTGTCGTGTGTACAAGGCATAAGATGGCCTGGAGTCCCCATACCAGTTCACCTTGGTGAATGGGTGAATGGGTCTGTAACTGCTCACTTCCTTCTATATTTCTGGGGATGTAAGCAACTGTTGCATACCTAAGCAGTTATACTATAACCAATCTGATTGATGTGGTATGTGGTACAGCACATAGCAACAGAAATGTAAATGAACAACAGCATAGAGAGGAAAGAAACACACATTTCTCACCATATGATGGTGTGGTGCTGTAAGACTCATCCTCTTCAATATGTATAAAGCAGCAGCCTATTTCCTTCGGATATAGTACAGTGACATGATGAAAACATGATTGTGTTTGGTGTAAAGGTCGCAGTGGTGTATAGGATGCAGCTCATTAACCCGATGACATAGAACATGAATCCTTAATAATGAAAAAAAACAACATATCCTGTTTGCAACTCAGCCTCATATTTAAGCAATTCTGTCGAGGACTAAATGTGCCGAAATGGAGCAGAAGGAGCTGCTGTGGAGTGTGTGTCAAGATAATGAAAAAGAACGACTTCCCTTCGGACGTAACATGACACGTCCACCATTAGAGCAAATCCTTAACAACAAACATTCAGTTAGATTAGCAGAGAGAGAGAGAGAGAGAGAGAGAGCCATTTAGTCATTTGAAGAAGGATTTTGTGATCTAGGACTGCTGAAGACCCCTGAAGTCTCTGAGAATAAGAAGTGCAGTTCCAGAAGTGAACCTGTTTCTGGTTAATGATGGTTATAATGTTGATTGTTCAGCAAAGCAGGACTCTGACATTTTTCCTGAGTGCTTTCTAAACGCTGTCTAAATGTTTTCACTTTGTCTTTGAGTGCTCCTCCATCTGTCTCTGTGCCTGCGTAATTATATAAGAGCATTTGCGTGTGATTGTGTCTGCACATGTGAGTGTTTATCTGTGTCTTTTCTCATCTGTGAGAGTGTGTGTTTGTGTGTGTGTGTGTTTGGGAGTTAGTCTGGTCCCCATTATTTCCTTATTTTTGTTCCCATAGCGTTCTGTTCTCTCTCATATGGAAGACCATTTCCGCTTGGAAAAGAAGTAAAGAGATGAAGATTAGGGGAGATAATAACAAGAATACTTGGCTCCTTTTTTTCTCAAGATCAAAGTTTTTACTGTCCATACATTTGACAGTTAAAGGGAAAACCGGATACAGCCAGACTTAGATTTATTTCATCTGACAGCAGACTTCACTAGGCCAGTAGTGTTCCTGTTGTTTTCTGATCAGGCCGACCCCTGATACATGAAAGCATCAAAAACACACAACAAACAGAGTTAGAGACATACATCGTGTAGCAATCAATGTGTGGATTATTGGTGTTCAATAACCTGAAATATCATCCAGCATGGCTTTCAGCAAAGACAAAGACAATGTAGGTGTTACTGATGATAGTCAAAGTGTTGTTTTCAACACTTTCGTACCATCAGGGAAAAATCACACACAGACTACATCAAGACCTGGAAAGTGTCAGAGTATTTTCCAGATCTTCCTGGCCTCCATTAATGGGTGTTTACTTACTCTCCTCTGCTGACTTTCCATTTTCCTGGTTTCTTTTCCCTCTGAGTAGTGACACGGTAAAAGTTTTCTCTTAGGTCTACAAAAAAGACTACTTGACCCTCCTCTCACAAAAACACTTTGTGCCCTCTGTTAACCTGGACCTTAAAGCTGCTTCTCAGCGCCACAGGAAAGGGACACAGTTTTTGATCTGTGTCAGAGTAATTTGGAGAAGACCGGTGAAAGACAGGCGAACCCTGGCTTCAGAGAGGAAATGAAAGAATCTAAGAGTGGAAACTCTCAGGTCATAGCGGTACAAAGATGCTCTCCCTACTCATTCAAAGGCCACGCTGTAGGCTAAATAAAGGAGAGGGTCAATATGAAAGAACAGGACTATAAGAAGGAAGTATCTATTTTTCTTAATGTGGTTAATCCAACAATTGTCCTTAGTTGTGGTAAAGTGATTTACCCCCACTTTCTTGCCGCTGAAGGAGCTACGCTGTTACGTTTACGTTCACGTTACCGGTGCTACTCACGATATAGACAGTGTATAAACTTGAACGTAGGTTCCTCTGTTACCCGGACATGTCCTCTGTTCGGGGGGCTGTCCCGCCTGTCCGGGGGAATTAATGAAATCCTTCAAATGTCAGGGGTTTGGTATGGAAGTTTTGAGTTTGTGTCGCATGGACTTACTGAGTTAGAAGCGCGTAAAAAACACTCAATCCGACCTGAAAAAGTCTCCAAATTGACAATGCTCAACTCTGTGACTCCGCCCCCACATAATTGTGTCCTCTTTTTGAGGATTCAGAATATGGTCACCCTATTGAAGGTTAACCTTCACATTAATGGAAGAGGATCCGACAAGATTTGATACACTACCTTACACTATTACTCGATTTTCATGACACATTATTAACTCACTGACACACGTTGTTATTGAATTTCCCCTTGGAGATAAATAGATAATTTGTATTGTATTGTATTATTAAAGATAAACTAGTTTTTAAAATTGTATTTTGGGGATAAGAGCTGACCAGTTTCATGTTGTTGTTGCCATCAAGTCTAAAACCAAATGGGATGGTGTTGTGAAAGGCAGGAAACATGGTCATGTAATACATATCACAACTATGGTCTGAAGTATTTGTTGTGTTTTTGGCTGAAACCCTTTATGCTTCGGAGTTCCTGTTCAGAGGAAGATGTTTCTCATAGAGAAAATACTTCAGATACTTTCTCTGCTGGGCTTCGAACCATTTGAGAAATTTATCTAGCTCTGGAGAGTCTGCCTGCATAGCTGGGAAGTGAGGTCAAGCCGTCACTGCAGCTGCTGCCTGCAAAACACTAACAGATAACAGGCCTGCCTGTCAATACTTTCTCTCTGCCCCCCTCTTTCCGCTCTCTCTCTCTCTCTCTGGTTGCCCAATTTCTCATCAAGTCCTTTTCTTGTCAAGTCTCAAGAGCACAGTGTCCTACAGCTCCCCTATAGTTGTGACAGATAGCATCTGTTGACATAATTAACGACATTTGAACTTTGGCATTCATGAGTAATGAGTCAGTGATCCCTCTTCTCTGTGCTAATACTGTTCATCTAGGCAGAGAAAGGAGGATGCATCATACTCGCCCGAATGAGGTTAGAGGATTTAAGATATGATGATGGAATACTTGAAAAACTACGAAGTCGTGATGAAATGCTGCTGCGGTGTGTGTTAGTAGCAGTGGCAAAATGCTTGTTTAGTTACATTTATGAGGTTTGTTTGATCTCATTTAATTTGCTTATTGTTAATTTCTGTCATTGGCGTTGTTTCATTTTCACATCAGGCTTTCAGGTTTAAGAAACGGTCAACGTGACACAGTGACCCTGTGGTATTTTCTGTTCTCCTTTTCACAACATAACAAAGAAGAAAAGTGAAAGATAGTTTTTCACAATTTCACCATCCCTTCCCTATTTTCTATCCTCTCAGGACTTGAAGGTTTATCAGTGATTTAATTCAAATGTTGCCATGAAGCACTTTTCCGTCAATTTGTGTCTCTATAAATCCTCAATCTTATGAAAGATTTAAAATGTGGCGAGTAGAGCAACGCACAAGATTATACCAGGGGTTAGTTTTAATGGGAGATAATTATCCTTTTTATGAGATCATAAAATAAAAGATAATGGAATGCCACCATTCATTTCCCAACCACTTTAATAACTTTATTTATGCTATCATATTTGTCTGCTCTGATGACAGCCTTTTAATTTTGCAACTGCAGCTCTACAACCGGTAACCTTTTGCCCTCGAATGTGGGTGGGAGGTGGGGGCATTTAAAGTCCAAAAGAAAAAGGAAAAGAAAGACAAATTGAGCTTAATGGAAAAGTTGCTTCACTTCACTGCCACACCATCCAAACACTGATCGGGTCATTGGAAAAACATAGAAATAAGAATAAGCAAAAACACAGAGATCTGTGATTTTATTTCACCAGTGTGAAGGTGGAGGCATCACAGAGCCTTTTTTTAAACATTGTGGGAAACTTGACACTGAAACTGAAAGACATAGGTTCTCTTAAGTCCAGCCACTCACTAAAGTTTAAATAACTCACCATTTTACCAATAAACTAAAGAGAGTTTTCATTTTTCAAATTGAAATCAGGAGTCATTAATTTGGACCTGCAAAAATCCAGGTTGTTCTCCCTCTCTAAACCCAGCTCAGTCTAACATGAGTCTGGTCCTGCTCTCCCAGTTCTTCCTCTCCTCTCTAACTTGTTAAATGCTGTGAAGTGTTTCTCTCATGCGGTTGAAGATGGGATGGGAGTGGGTCTGATCTTACAGGATGGGGCTCAATCTGATCCCATCTTTACATTAGCTCCTTGTGAACAGAGTCTGGCCTGGACCAGCTTTTTGTTAGACATCTTGGGATAACACTTGTTGTGAATTGGCGCTGTATAAATTGAGATTGATTGCCAAGTTGTATGCCTAACCCAAATAGATCAAGAATGATCCATAAAAACAGTAATATCCTTAATGTTTCCTACTCATGCTATTGAAATGTAAAGTGTTGCCACCTGAGCAACAGCCAGAGCTGAAATCATAAACCCCACTGCCTAATGTGTCAAAGCTTATTTTGACACAACTGCTGATGACATTTAGTCAAGAATAACAATTACAGTGACGCGTTCTTTACTTTGAATGTGTTATTTTAGTCACTTTTGTTTTCCTCCCTAACTCCCTGCTTTGTGTCCCTTCAGGCGCCTTCATCATCTGTTGGACCCCTGGTCTGGTTATCCTCCTTCTTGATGTCTTCTGCGCCAACTGCAACGTTCTCACCTACGAAAAGTTCTTCCTGCTTCTGGCTGAGTTCAACTCGGCTATGAATCCCATTATCTACTCCTACCGAGACAAGGAGATGAGCGCCACCTTCAGGCAGATCCTGTGCTGTCAGCGGCAGGAGAATGTGAACGGGACAGCGGCGGAGGGATCTGACCGGTCGGCATCATCTATCAACCACACGGTGCTGAGTGGCGGCATGCACCACCATCATCACCACAACAATGAACACTCGGTGGTATAAAGGAGGAGCCCAGAGATTAACAGCCTCAAATATTGACTGAAGGAAAATAAGTAACAGCAAGTGAAGGTCAAGATGGCTGTCAACATGAAGCGAACTATTGGCTGTGAAAGGGTTAAGAATGAAGATTAAGCAGGTGGAGTGGTTGATGTTGAGCTGGTTGGCATCGAAATGATGGAGAAGCTGGTAACTAAGACTTCATCACTGTTTGGAGGATGAACAGAGGACAAGTCTGATCTCTGAAGACATCGATAGGCTGTTAGTATTTTTGTTTAGCTGTTTATTATTTTCGATGTGTTGAAAACTTTGGTGTAAATGAACTATTTAAAGTAATCTGTGAAATGAAGGTAATGCCAGTATAACCTATCCTTTTTTCCAGCCGTGTCTAAGTTTGCATCTTTTAGGGTTTAAGACATTTAATAACAGCTGACGGTAAAACTTCTATAACATCATACCATTACCAGGACTGTTGGGTAAGATGCTACACAGTACTACCTAGGGACATTTTCTTTTCTTGCAGTAGATTCATTTACATTTTAATGAACTAACAACCAAAAGTACTCAAGGGACTTACTTTACTCTTTAACCCTCTGACTTAAGAGCTTTTGTGAATGCATCCCAAGTTTGTCTTTTGTATCCAACTCAATTATATGAAGGGTCCGGGCTGGGGAGAAATCCTGAATAGTTTTTCTTTTCCCGTCAGGAATCAGAGACAAGTTGTTCCAAGGATCTTTCCAAAAAGGAGGATAATGTTTGCAGCTTCAGAGTAGACTCTGTGCCTCAGTAGAGACAAGGTGAAGGTCATATGTGGGAAACTTAAACAGAGCTTGGGCCGTGACATTAGATGTGCTGAGCTGTCTTCTTCTGGTGGTCAACAGTTGCCCTCTAGTAGCCCAAGTGGGAAACTCACGGGAATTTGAAATGATGTAGAAACGATAATTCTGGCATTAGCATGATATAAAGTAACAATGTACCAATGTGAGGTGGGACTTTCTGGCTGTAATATGAAGATAAAGCTAATACTGATGAATGTCTGCCTGTATCAATGGTTTACAAACTACATTCTGCCATAAATCACACAGTGGCTGAAAGGACTATACTGTAAACACTGATGATGTAATTATTAAGGAAAGAATAGCTCATCTAAACAGTTTCATGTCCAGTCTGCAGTCAGTGCAGAATCCCAGTCAGCTTGGGTTTGTTGTTTTAAAAAATGTCCCCAAATCATAAACCCCAATTTGAATCTTTAATGACAAACAACCTGAGCTTGTGCAGAAATATATTCCCATCATTCAGAAGCTAAATCACAAGTGAACATGTGTTGGTGTCACAGTATTAGTGATGATATGAAGTAATACAGATGTGCATCCAAAATATGTCATGCCACATAAAGTGGTCGGGGTCATGTTTTATCTGCAAATTCCTACAAAATATGACAAACACTTTAAATAATTGTAGTGTTGTTTTTTTATTCTTATGATTCACATCCCTATGTCCTAATTTGCACTGCTGTATAAGAACAAAACTCCTAAGTGAAAGATTTGGGTCATTAACTTGGACAGGTGACAGCACAGTTTAAAACACATGTATCTGTATAGTGATCTATCTTTGGATGGAGAGTATTATGCCAAATTGAAGTCCTTTTGTTGCTCTGTTTGGGTCAAAATGAGAATCATTAGTGATGAGCTGCGAAGCATGCTTGACTTTATCTCACAATATGGACTGTAAACCGGTCTCACACAGAAGCCGATGATGTGCCTTTTGCAGGGTTATGATAGTGTTAGTGTAAACTATGGCAACTCTTTGGGTTGATATATTGCACTTTTCTATTATGATAATACTCAAGTGTCCAGTAGCCTTCAGGGTTTTATTATTTTTGTGTGTAATGAAATGACAGCTTCACAGGTGAAATCCAGTTATTCCAATGGTGTTGTGTTACATTCACAGGTGCACTCTGTAACTTCTGCTATTTACTTGATATTCCTAGTCAGCTGAAGGTTAGCATGATGGTGCGATGACGTACATTGTTAAAAAAAAAAATACTGGCTGAACACTTCGTCCTGACGTGAATCAAACACATTATGGCCAAAATACAGACGTGTAGACAAAGCTCTCAACAGCTGACAGAAAAGAGGGAATCACAGCCAAAAGTTAGTCCAAGAATCAGGATGTTTATCAGGGATTTAAGCTGCACTAATAACACGAAGCCAGCTGGTACTTCTGTCAGACAAAGTTCACCAAAGTGCTGCCTTAGTTATACTGCGATAGACGTGCCTTTAATCAGGAAAAGGGTTTGCAAAGTTTCAGTGATGTTTCAGTGTCCCACAGTAGATGGTGGCTTTTTTTCCCATGCAATCTAAAGTTCACCTGTAGTTTCTGGTCTCTCGTCTTCTGACTGTGCCTGTGAACTATACAAAGTAGGTTAAAAAAAAACAGGCAAAATTCAAGGCCTATACTTTGCAAATATATGTCTCTGGACCCGACCCTCCATGTCTGACGTTCACTGTAACTATTTTTAACAAGTATTCAGGTAATATAGCAAATCAACTACACTTCCTGTCTTTGTATGTCTCTGTTTATCAGTGTGTCACTCTTTGTACACCATTGTAAGTTTATGTGTACAGTATGTATGTATATAAAATATATTATTCAAATTAATTACCAAAGGGAACGTGTTTGTAAATTTAACTGTAATACTCTGTCCCAATGTACTGTAGGATGTGTTTATGGTTTTTGTCATGAGTGTTTCTGTATTTGTGACGGTCATCGACAAACTTCCTTTGGTCGCTGTAACATATTAACATTTCTGTGACCCAGAACTACTTATCTATGTGTGCAGTGCTTTGTGGTGCTCGTCCTTAAAGAGTAACTTTTCACCAGGCTGAGAGGAAGGTTTTCAGCCCTAGTGGGGTAACTTCGATCTTGCTCCACTGTGGCAGGACTGTTCAGTGTTAAGTGCCTTGTTAAGTTTGCATCCACTCCCTACAGCGGTGTCACGGTGACACTTGTGCACCAGTGCAGCAAGGTGAGAAGCTGAACCACTAGGGGACAACAAAAGCTTTATTTCCAGGAGGTGTTAGGCTGCCGTCGGAGTTTGTTTGAGGCTAACACCAATGTTTTGCAGTTGCATCAGTGCAGATCACATTAGCGTCAGTGTTAAAACAATATTTCACAAGATAGCATGATTTACCCAACAAGACTTTGAGAGATTCACAAGTACAAACAGATGAAAACAGATTTAATGTCACTACATCTCATATGTTATGATCTGATTGTTCCAAATACTAACGATTAAAGGGATACTCTGGCGTGAGTTTAAGTTATGGTCAAACACACTGTAACACAGAGTTAGACACCCCCTCGAGAGATGAATGTTGCCGACCGCTTGCCTCTCTAGTTATACCAACTTAGTAACGACCGCATGATAGCAATACACAGAGGTCTACGTCTCCACACACAAACCTGAACCAAAACGCCACTCTATAGCCACAAATAATGCTCAGAACAGCACCTAACTTCATCAACAGGACATATAAGGTCCCAGCCTTAGTACTAGCAAATATCCTTTTTGCTTTGCCCAGTTTCTTTAGCAAAGAGACTAAACACAACTCACCTACTCTCCTCCAGCAGCCGCTTGTTTGTGGGGAGCCCTGACAAGTCGATCACCGAGTGCTGCGGATCATTTCCCTGACGTAATAATCATCATAATAATCATTTTGCACTGCAGACGCTGTACTTCTTCTGCCTTAACGTCTTGGTCTGATTGCAGAACTCATGAATATTGTGTGTTTGACCATTACTTAAACTTATGCCGGAATGTCCCTTTAATGAACCTGTTTCAGTTATGACAAGTACGAATCAACATGTTGCACCTGAACGTTCACATCACTGGGTGCAAACAGATGCTAGAAGGGTCAGTGACTTGTGTTACAGGTTGCAGGGTTTTCTTCCTCAGCGAAACACTGCTTCAGATTTCTGAAAATTCCCCAAGCTTTAGAGGAAACATGTACAAATAGCCATTTCTAAGAAGTACTTGTGACGCAGACATAAATGTGAGTGTATTTTCTGTAAAGGCCAATATTAATGAATGTTCATCAAGAGTCATACTGATGATACCCAAGCAACAATAAAAACATGAGAAAAGTCTGAGTATCTGTGGTTGTACTTTTTAAACTAATCGAGCACTCTCATCGTGCTTCACTTTATCTTACAGGTCCAGCCTTGATAGTGTTGTTTTGTTCCACCCGAGTTTGTCCACAAACTCATCCAGGGTCACAGAAAGACGGACTGATAAGGTTTGCTTTCTGACGTGCAGAAGTACCGGGAAACACACTTTTAACAGTGTGGTGTGTTAGGCTGCGCTGATTAGGAGGAAAGGTAATAAGGCAGCAGATCCAGCATGTTCCTTCTATCAGTGATGAGTGAAATGGTGCTACATTTGTAAAGAACGTGCGTTTGAGGGATGAACAGCTGAGTATGTGGGTTACACCCATGAAAACTTGGCCAGACCTGCTCTGTCAAACAGCTCATCCTGCTATCAGCTCTTGTTTGGTGTTATTTGTTAGATAAATGAAGTCTGAAGGAAGAAGACATTATTGACAATTTATTCATTCAACAAACAGGAACCATGTACATCCACAACAACTATCAGCTCCTCCCCTTGATTTTCACCAGCCCAGTCACACTCGGATGTGGGATGGCGTCTCGGCCGTGTGCTTGGTGGCCAACGGATTTTCGTTTTGGAATGAAAAAACAAAAATCAGGAGATGAGCTGTCTTCAGACGACCAGTAAGGAATCAGAAGACGAAAAATATAAAACAAACCGTTTTTCGTTTTGATCGTAAAAATCAAAGACTGAAAACTGAGTATTTGACTTTCTGTGATGGGGCTTTAAATGGAAATTGAAGATCAAAAAACGTGCATGGAAATACTTTTTTTTTTTCAAGTTTCATTCACTATTTTTTTTTTTTGTGACCTAGAAGTTGTGGTTTGGGGTAAGCAAGATATGATTTGTTTTCTATATGTAGCCCTCTCTCTGTATCTCGCGCGCGCCTGCCGGCTCTCCAACACCTCCACAGCTAGGCTACTCTGCGTTGTGTCTGCTTAAGTGTGAAATGGACCTCTGGCGGGGGGTGCAGCGGCAGCCGGTAAGGAGATGCACACGGACACAGATGGGTTCGGGATCGTGGCAATACCGTTGGGTTTATTCACAACACAGGGGTCTACAAGGTTGATATCAGAACTCTCAGTAAACTTCAAATAGAAAAGTGTATTACAATGCTACATCTCATTCAAGTTAGCGCTATTACACTCGTATTCCAAACATAGATTTTACCAAAAATATAAAGTAGTTAGCTCAACAAACTACACAGCTATCAAGTGCTTAATGTTTCAGTAATCAAAATAGCTCATCAAAACAAACTTATAACAGCTTATATGCTTAATATTTCGTACTTTATCTTCCCATGAAACTAACGTGACTTACCTACAAGGTTGATATCAGAACTCTAAAGGAAATGCTCAATACACCCGCGATATCAACCCCTACGGTGTGTCAGAGGGACAAAAGGCAATTCTCAATAGTAAACTCTTGTTTTAATGTGCAGCGACACCTAGTGGCGCAACTCAGCATCTACCTTACACCCACCCCTTCTTTAAGAGATGGCGTCCCCGCCATCAGACTCATTCAAAAGAGACTCATGAGGTAACTCAAAGAACTTCAAAAATAAACAAATATGTGACAAGTGTGTGTGTGTGTGTATAAAGTGTGTAGAAAATGTGTGTGTGGGGGAGATGACTCATCTAGGTGTGTGCACTACGTGGCCCTAAATGTGTCCAGCTGCTCTTCTTGCTTTGGCCCTTTGCCACAACTTTCTTCCTCTCTCTATCTTCTGCTGGTCACTTTCCACTTCCATGGCCCGGCACTCTAAAGACAGTTTCAGGGGAGGACGTCGACTCCTTCTCGGCCTTCTCCTTGGAGTGTCAACGCCTCGAGAGGAAGAGGCACCACCACTGGTCACCAGCATATCCCCTTGTGTCTCTGTGTCGGTCAGTTCGGTGCTGGGGTGCTCTTCTCCCCCAACTGCTCCAGTCAAAGCTCCATCTTCCACTTCCTCCATACTGTCATCTTCACCCAGATCAACACCAGTCTCACACGGTTCATTATCCAGCTGGCTCTCCTCCAAGACTAGGTTACTTCGATCCACAGGCAGGAACATGCACTGGGTAAGGAGGTTTCTGTGCAGCACCCTCTCCGGTCCTCCATTCTCCGGTCTCACCACATAAACAGGTACGTTGGGCTGCTTCTTGACAATGACATATGGGCGTGACTCCCAACGGTCTCCCAGTTTCTGTCTCCCCTCCACATGGCAAACTTTGACTAAGACTCGGTCCCCAGCAGCAAAGTCTTCACTTCTGGCTTTCAGATCATAGTACTTTTTCTGCTGCTCTTTAGCATGCTGAGATGTTTGGTTAGCCAGGGTATAAGCCTCCGTCAAAGAATCATGCAGAGTCTGGACATACTCGTGGTATCCACAGGGCTGATTTGCGGTGGGGGACCCGAAAATCAGGTCAATCGGGAGCCGTGGGTACCTACCAAACATCAGGTAGTACGGGCTATACCCGGTGGAGTCGTGTTGTGAGCAGTTATATGCATGTGTCATGGCATCCAAGTGTTCGTGCCACCGAGGCTTCAAGTGCGGCTTTAGTGTCCCCAGCATATTCATCAGGGTACGGTTGAACCTCTCGGTGGTCCCATTCCCCTGAGGATGGTAGGGCGACGTGTGTGTTTTAGTAATGCCGGTACACTTGCACAGCTCTTTCACAATAGCACTTTCGAAGTTGCGCCCCCTATCCGAATGCAGCTTTGCAGGGAAGCCGAAACGACTGAAGTAGTTCCTCCACAATACTCTTGCCACTGTGCCCGCCTTTTGGTCCCTGGTGGGGTAGGCCTGCGCGTAACGGGAGAAGTGGTCAGTGACAACGAGCACATTTTCAATGCCACCTTTGGACTTCTCAAGCGTCAAATAGTCCATGCAGACTAACTCCATGGGGGCACTGGTGTGTATACTGACTAGGGGAGCTCTGACGTTAGCTGTGGGAGTCTTTCTCAGGCAACATCGCTCACACTGCTCACACCAGGCTTTAATCTCTTGAAACATTCTTGGCCAATAAAATCTCTCACGTATCATCTGCAATGTTCTCTCAAATCCTAAATGTCCGGAATCATCATGAAGAGCAGTTTTAACAGCTACACGCAGCCTCTGTGGCAGTATTAGCTGCTCCAACTCTCCTCTATGGCAGTCACGGACCCGCCGGTAAATGACACCATTCTTCACCACTAATCTCCTCCACTCTTTTAAGAGAAGGCCCCCACTTGCACCCACTTCCACCCTCTCGGTGCGGCTTGGTTTCCGGTTGCGGGACTTGAAGTGCAGGACTGGACCAATGTCCGGATCTTCTCTTTGCGCTGCCCGAATCTCCTGTGTTGTCATAGCGGGCAGTGCCTCCATTCCCACGTCTCCATAGGGTTGACTCGGCTCCAGCAGCTGGCCACTCTCTGGCGCCTCCATAGAAGCAGCAGTTTCCCCGGAGGACTCCTCCACTTCCTGGGTGCCACGTGTCTCATTCTGCCCCTGTACATCAGCTACCACTTGCTGGGGGCAAGTCTGCAGGACTTCACTGACCTCTTGGTTGGACATGCGTGAAAGGGCGTCGGCGTTAGAGTTGTCTTGGCCCCTCCTATACTGGATATCAAAATCAAAGATTGACAGGTGAGAAACCCACCGCTGGCCAGTGGCGTCGAGTTTGGCAGTGCTCATTACGTACTTCAGAGGGTTGTTGTCCGTTAGCACAGAGAACTTGCGTCCATAAAGGTGGTCATGGAATTTGTCTGTGACCGCCCACTTAAGAGCGAGGAATTCGAGCTTGTGCGCAGGATATCTCGTCTCAGGTGGGGTCAAGCCTCTGCTAGCGTAAGCGACAACTCTCTCTGCTCCACCCTGGATCTGTGCAAGCACAGCCCCAAGCCCATCTCTCGACGCGTCGGTCTGCAGCAGGAAGGGCAGGCTGTAATCTGGATAGCCCAGGACCGGTGCATTGGTCAGCTTCTCTTTCAACGCCAGGAATGCCTCCTCACACTCAGAAGTCCACAGAAAGGTCGGATCGGGGGCTGGATTCTTCTGGGCCCCTCTCTTCTTGCTTCTAGGGTCTCCCGAGGTGAGGCGGTACAAGGGTGCAGCTAGACTGGAGTATGACTTGACGTAGCGTCTATAGTAGCCAGCAAACCCAAGGAATTGAAGCACTTCCCTGCGGTCTGTAGGCCTCGGCCAGTCTTTGACACGGCTGATCTTCTCTGGGTCCGTCCTGATGCCATCTGCCGACACCAGATGACCCAGGTAGTTCACTTCCTTTCTCACGAACTGGCACTTTGACGGCTTAAGCTTCAAGCCATGCTCTCTAAGCCGATTGAAGACACACTGCAGTCGGTCTAGGTGTTCACTGAAGGTCGAAGAAAAAATAATTATGTCGTCCAAATAAATAAGTAGATGCGTAAAGTTCAAGTCACCGAAGCAACAGGTCATTAACCTCTGGAATGTGGAGGGGGCGTTTTGAAGCCCAAATGGCATTCTGTTGGCCTCGAAAAGCCCCATGGGAGTGCTAAAGGCTGTCTTGTGCTTGTCGTGTTCCGCTACCTCCACTTGCCAATAACCGGAGGTCAGGTCGAGCGTGGAGAAGTATTTAGCTTGTCCTAACGACTCTAAGGCCTCCTCAATTCTTGGTAGAGGAAACGCATCTCGGGTGCTGCAGGAGTTAAGCTTTCTGTAGTCAATACAGAGTCTTAATGACCCATCTTTCTTGGTCACGACGACCACTGGTGAGGCATAAGGGCTTTTACTTGGACGGATGACCCCGGTTGCCTCCATCTCAGTTAACATGCGCCGCACGTCTTGCCATTGGGATGGGGGTATCTTACGGTAGGGTAATCGGAAAGGCCTTGAGTCTACCAGTGGGATCTCGTGCTGTATGGTTGTGGTGTGGCCATAGTCCAGGGAGTGCTGCGAGAACACATCCGCATTCTTGTTTAGCAGTGTTTCCAGACTGGTGCATTGATCTTCGGTCTCCACTGCCGCGTCACTTAGGTCCACACC